AAAGCTAATATTTACTTTTATTAATTTTATATAAATAACTTATTATATAAAAATATTTAATTTATTTATTAAATAACTTAAATAATTAATTATTAGTATAATAATAATATTAAGTATAAATTATATTTTATTTATTAATTATATAACTTATATAATATATTTAATATTAAATATTTTATTTTATTTACTAATATAAATATATATATTTATTTCTTAGGAATTCTTTTATTTTATAAATAATAACCTAGGATCTGAAAAATAAATTATTATAACTTAGTTATTAAACTAAAAACTAAGTATAATTTTTTATTATACTAGTTATTATAAGTTTTTTAAACTTATATAATTATATTAGAAATAAATTTTAATATAACATTTTATTATATTAAATTATATTAAATTTTATAAAGTTTTTTAACTTATATAATTATATTAAAAATATATTATAAGTATTAGATTATAATAAAATGTTTTTATATATAATTATATTATTTTTATAAATATTTACTATTTTAATTTTACTGGAATAGGTGCTGTAATAGTTATTATACTAGTACTAGAAAACTTACTATTATAATCCAGCTGTAAGTCATTTAGCCTTATATCTGCTCCTATTAGGCTCCGGAGAATAATAAGACATCCAACCTTGCTTATAACTTCATTAGATTCCTTGCATATTTCGGATGCCACGCATTCAATACAACCTTGCTGGCAGGTACATTCTTCCACTCTCTTTAGTGCACGCTCCAGTAGATGATCAATATGATCAAAGGCCTTTGTACTAACGCCAGATCCATTTATGCCTCCCTTGGCATCGTAAAATGTTAATCGAGCTGGTCGCTTTCTTTTTGTTTCCTTCTTGGCAAATTCCTTAAGAGCCACTTTGCACTCCGTTCGTATGTCTCCTGGAAGACTGATAACAAATGCGGGCAGTAAACTCATAATGACATGCTCAGCTGCATGTATCGCTGCAGCCGCATTAAGAGCTAGATCCTGTAGTATCCCAAGTACTTGTCGAGGTATATCTATCCACATGCCTTTGCTGTATCGTATGACAGGCGGATTATCGACCTGTACTGCGTCTATGATTCGTCCTTTCTTGTCTACTTTGAAGAAACCAAAAACCGTTTGTTGGATCTTTATGCTTCCGTAGTAAGCATGACAGGGTGATCCGGAGATAGTACGAATAGCCTCGATTTCAATAGGATCGATGTCAGTGTAATCTCGTGGCATGGTCGTCCACTCAACATTAACTCTTTCAACCTTGGCCATCTTTTGGTCCGGCAAGAAATCTCGAATGAGAAACGTGTTGCCTTGATGGAGGAAAATGGCACCATCGTATATAGTGAAAGTCGCTCTCGACGCTTCTAATTCTTCCAGGACCTCATTCTTCCCGTTCGTTATATCAATGATGGCATAGTGCTCATCTTCTGTATCCCGGATGGCGACATACTGGGCGGGGTTGGGGCGGAAGCGGTCATGGCAGTGAAAGTATCCTACTTCATCTTCCACCAACCTTTCGATGCAAATCTTGGGCAAGTCATTACCAAAATATTGCACATCCTCATTTTGTCGAATGGGCATCTCATATGCCGCGCATTGAATATGCCCTTCGCGAAGAAGAATATTTTCCAAATCCACGCGCAATTCGCAGTTGGGCTTTGAAAAGAGCTCATCGGGATTGTTCATATAATGCTGATCCGTTGGAAAGCTATCACCAACCAAGATGGATAACGAGTCTTTGGTGCGTCGTCCAGCTCGACCACTCTGTTGCCGTAAATTTGTAATAGTATAAGGGAAGCCCCATGTCAACACGCAATCCAGAGTGCCAATATCAATGCCGAGTTCCAGTGCAGTGGTCGCAACAATGCCCAGCAACTTTCCCTCGAACATCTCCGCCTCGATTTTCCGCCTGTCCCGGGCCGTATAGCCACCACGATAGCCCATTACCAAGTTGGTGCATTCAGGGCGACCAAGTTCGCGCAGCTCTTGCTTGATTGCACTGGTCAAGACTTCACATTGGGCACGAACCCTACAGAAGGCAATAATCCTGACACCTCTTAACAGGAGAGCGCAGAATAAACGAGCGCATTCAAATTTGGTGTTTCCTCGTCCGCTGGTGGGATCGCCGGGCTCTCTGAAAGGGGTGTTCCAGCAAAGGAACTCCTTTCGCCCAGATGGGGACCCATCCCAGTCAATTAGATGGACATTCGAAACTCCAAATATCAGTTTAAAATGCTCTTCGGGATTGGCTACGGTAGCTGAGCAAGAAATGAACTGGACGTGTCGATTTCCTACTGCTTCGCATATCCTTCTTAGCCTTCGCATAATAAATGCGACATGAGATCCGAGTTGACCATTGTAGTAATGTAATTCGTCAACTGATGGATTGTCAGTTAAAAGAGGGTTAGGTAATAGGAATGAAAACAACTGACCAACCACAAATCTCAAATGTTTAAGAAAAGTCCTCCACCTCTGCTCCTGAGGCAATATCGTCAGGTGAAGCATATCTGGGTTGGTGAAGATGATTTTTGCCTCATTTCGAATAATTTCCCTGAGGCTCATGGGGGTATCTCCATCAAATGTATCTACGAGAACATCGCTAAGATTTGGCATGAATGCCAAAAGATCGCCGAGACTGCGTTTTTGATCCTGCGCAAGTGCTTTGGTTGGGAATATATACATGGCTCTCGAGCTTTTGTCCCGTTCTAAGGCGTGTAAGACTGGCAGTTGGTAGACCAATGACTTCCCAGAGCTGGTTGAGGTCGATATAACGATATTTTGGCCCTCGTAAAGACTATTCAGAGCCTCGGCTTGATGCGTGTAAAATTGGGTGATCCGTTTAGCATTATAGAGGGCATTCACTAGATTTTGAGATAGCAAAAAATTGAGACTTCCATAGCTGGGATCCTGGGGTTCAAATACTCTATGGCCATCAGGTACAATCTGGCCTGAGTACCACGGGCTTTGTTTGATTTGGAGCACTATTTCTGATATACTCCCCCTTTCGTGAGGGATGGCATCAGGTATAGCACTTGCTGTGAGCCTGTTTGCGTCGGTGTCTTGTAACGCCGGTTTGGGAATACAGGCCTTAGCCTTTTGACGTAAAGCCTCCTCTGGATCAACAACATCGTTTATACAGCTCTTGAGGAATTCATTGATAGAATTCGCAAACTTTTGGTTGCGGCGTTCGATCAGCTGCATCATCTGCTTTTGACCGTATACTGGCATTTTCAGTTTCTCATTTCTTAGTTTTGTGGTTGGCCGTGTCGCTTCACCCGTCTCTCTATCTAACACCTGTCGCTTTAAATCGCCATCGGTGAATTCCAGGTATAGCACTTCTTGCCCATGCGAAGCAGCTTGATCGTTGGTACCATCGCCAAGACGTTCGTTTCCCGTCAGTCCACCGACAGACGAATCATGTGCTGGCGCTTGCGACATTGCAGATTGCGACGACTTGAAGACGTCGTCCCTTTGAGCGCCTCTGGTGTTGAGTTGCAGCATGAGTTCATTGGTGTATTCAAACTTCATGGCTTCTGGGCGAAGGGCAACCATTTGAGCTACATCCTCAATAGATAGAGCCCTTTTTATGTGGCATTCAACGGCTGATTTAAGGGTGTCAAATGTCGTGATGACATGTTTGCGTGATGAGCAAAATGTATAGACCAAATTCAATGCTTTATGAGCCTTTTCAAGGTCACGAAAAGTATCACTCCAAGGAATATTTGATGGAATAGAGCTCGCTGAGTCGTCTTTGCGGTCCTCCCTCTTTGGAGCGACTCGTCTTTTCGCCCTTGGCTTCTTCGTGACAGTAGCAGAGGTATCACGGCGTGTGTCTTCGCCTACGGGAGAAGTATCCTCATGGATGCGCTTCCGCGCGACCAAAGATTTCGACCCATCTGGAGCTGGATGCAGCGTCGCGTTATCCTCCATGGTTGGACTTGATAGATGGGAACCGGAAGACCCAGTTTTCAAATGTCCGCCGTCAAACTGGATACCGAATCATCTCAACAAAAGGATAATAAGCAGATAACAAACAGCAGCGGATGAGTCCTTGGGTTTTCTGGTAGACACAGCAGCGGAGCCGGCATCATCATTCGTAGCCAAGGTAGGTAGTTAGCTGCGACATCTTCCACGGATCGGTTGTTCACGCCTGCACATCGGACCCGGAATCGCGAAACTAACGCAAAATCACGTGCGCTAGCTGCTTCTAGGCGTCTCTTGTTTTCGCCGTACAGGTGTTGCTGAGTTAAGTTGATTTAGTACCAGAAATTTTGATTTCTTGAGCTGCAAAATTTCGCCAGTATAATAGTCATTAATTCATATTGTGCCTATAATGGTATTATTGTTGGGAACTTCGTCCCATTTGACATGTCTAGAGTATCCCTAAAGTACTATACACAGATGCCTGATCTTCCTTGTCTTATCCTCACTTCCAGTCTATATGGCGGTTGGCCAAATCAGGTATAAGCTTGCATCGGTCATGCTGTTTTTGCCCCTTGAGACAGGGCACCAATGGGCGGCTAACCCCAACATTTGCTCTGCCTATGCAGAGCGACACGGAATGGCCAGGGCCAATCGTGGTATAACCACCTCTCTTCTTTCTAAACCAACGTTATGCTGCCGATACTAAGCCGATTTGAGTGCAAACATTTTGCCATGGGCTTTAGTTGCCTCGAAGTTCTTTCTGGATACTGCTAATCTCCTTTAAGAAGCTCTTAGCGCTTGCAGCTGACATCTATCATGAGCAGAGATTAGTATCAGCGTTGAATGATATTTGTGAAGTAGAAGAACTCAAGCGAAACTAACCCTCAATGTGATGCTCACAGGCTTCGCCTGCTCACCCTCAAATGCGGTAAACAGTATTCCCACAGATTTGAGGGATGCCTTTTCTTGGAAGTTCATAGCCGGGAGAATGGCGGTATTGAGAATCACACGGTGTGTCTGATCTTGGCGCATAAGAAGACGGACAACTTTGTGACCTTGTGTCTTATCACCCCCCTCTTCATCAGCTTCAAGACTGGACGCATCAAATGATCCAAGAACAGGTGATCCATTTTCATCAAATTCAACGCAGCCTTGCGGAACATTGATTTTCAACATCCCAGCGCCTCGTTCCTTCCAGCCCGCCTCTTTGTCATGGTAGAATAGCTTTGTTCTGACAGAAAGCAGGGTTGTTTCACCTGCTTCGCCATCATCAACTTCGACTAAGAGCATTATTTTCATATTAGTACTCCAACTTTGAGCGAATAAAAAAAAAAGTACGCAACGGAACCTTTTCTCACCTTTATGAAGTTTGATCTTCTTCTTCTCCTCCAATTCTTTCTCTAGTGATGTAGCCCCCTCTTGTTCACTCGGCTCAGGTTCATCATCTGCATCTGCGTCTTCTTCATCTCCACTCTCTTCATCACTCTCTGGAGCACCAAACGGCTTTGCAGGCTTTTCACTCTGAACTTGTTTGACTATGGGTGATGCGAAGCTGTCCAGACCTTTGCTGGCTGAGAACGGAGAGCCAAGTCCAGCTCCATTAATCCCTGAAGCAAGGCTAGCGAAAGGCGAAGCACTGTTAGAACTTCCAAAAGTCAATTTAGGCATAGTAGACGGCGGAAGCTGTGACCCCGGGGCGCTGAACACAGAGGCTGGTGGTAAAGTCGACGCAGCAGCTGGAGAAGCAAAGATACTGCTCTGGGTTGTGCCCAAACTCGCAAATGGCGAGGATCCAGTAGCAAGTTTGCCGAAGCCTGAGGCTGAAAAAGCGCTGGAAGACGTTTGGGGCAAAACTTTGGCTGGGGAAGTTTTGGAGTTTGCTGCATCATCTGTGGCTAGCGGTAGGTCCGTTGTTGACGAGGAGTTCTATGTAGCCATGCGTTAGATATGCGAGATGCAAAGGGGCTATAAGCAGTTTGACCAGAGATCACATACCGATACCTCTCTCGTTGAGTCCTCATCACGATGTCGTTTTTTTTCTGGCTCTAATCGGGAAGCTCGATCTCTGGTAGATTCTGTAGATGTAACACTGTTGGTATCGTTATTTTCGACGTCTATGCTTCCATCTAACTGGTCGTGTGCGCGTTTCTTCTTTGGAGACGGCACATGCTCCTTGAATCTATCATCTTGGCCATCGGATACTTGGTCGGTTGGCGTATCGGGGCGTGCCGCTCCCTCATCTACGGGATCGGATCCGAGGTCACGAGCGGCAGCAGGAGGGTCAGATATGGAGGACTGTTTCAGTTCTCGGCGGGCAGCGCGCGTCTCGGCGTCTTCGCCTGTTTCTGGGTAGATTTGCTCATTCTTAGGACTGGCTGTCCCTTGAGAATTGTCGGCCATGGCGTGGGCAGAGGTAGCCAGAAAAGGGCGGGTGGTGTCGATCGCGAAAGATGGGGTTGGCTGGTAGAGTCGAGTTGCAGCTAGGATAAGGCAGCGGCGGCTGCTCGCGCACAACCGCGCGACTTAGACGGCGTCCAGATCGGATACGTTGATATGGCTGTGAATCCAGGCAGAAGGACAAGACGGCAGAGGCAATTTCCGTCACCAACGCTTTACTCTTGCGTTTGCCGTTGTCGCGCCGCAGCAATTTTGTGCCGATAGTAGTTGGAGGTGGTCAGCCCGGCTGGTTGCAGCAACCAATTAAAGACGTGGGCACCTGCTATCACTTGCTTCCGGGACGCAGCGAATAGAAGGGATCGCTGGGTACCTAGGGAGTACTGCCCCGCTGTACGCTCGCTACTGAGTACAGAAATCTACAAGTCCCCACACTTGCGCCTAAGAGGGCAAAGAGGGGTCATAATCAAAAGAGGTCTGACAAGGTACCTTGCATATGATCGCGTTTGCGCGTATTGGAGCCGCTCAGTCTTGGCCGGCCTCCGACATCACTATCCACATCCTAGGAGACTTCCCACGCCCGCCGTCTTATTGCTGGTTTGTTCCGAAAGAGATGATGCATAATTATGTAACTCGAATTGCCAAGTTTGTCCAGCGCGCAAGCACTGAGGAATGACATATACTATGTGATAGTCCTACTTCAAGCTAACATATTACCAAACAAGATGGGGAATTGCTTGTAGAGCGTCCTAGTAAAATATTGTGCATCTGCCGTCCACCAACATGGCATTTAGCATACAATAGATTTACAACAAGGTGCCCTAGCTTCAGAAACAGCTCTGGTAGCATATACGCAGCCACCAGTGAAACAACCATTCAAAGACAATAAACGCTTTCTGGACATAATCTTGAATCGCGCTATAGACTTGGCCTTGTCAATGTTGACGGTATATCTTTGATCCAACATAGAGTCTGAAATGATGTAATATATAATGCAGATAATAATGCTTGCCGGTACCATTATGGGCTCCATTCTTCTTGAAAAGCATTCTTCCTTTTCAACTCACATGGCTCTCGCATTTTAAAAGCAAGACCTAGCCCTTCATCAAGCTGCCGCACAACTTTTAGCTAATGAAGCATAGACACCCTAGCCCTAGATAAAACACAAAGAGGGGATAGACAGCAATGGCCACCCGATTCTTGACCACTCCGCTACCGCCAAGAATGCTGACGCCAGCAGCGATGGACCACGCAATAAGAACGACATAGACAGGTATCCGCGCAATCCAATGAAGCTTCAGAGCTGACAAGAGGGCAGCAATTACTAGAGGAAATAACGTGTACCCAATAATGCAAATGCTCTGGGCAAAAGAGCTATTGTTTTTTTGTTAGTTCGATGTCACCGGAGTTGAAAGACAGTTCGTTGCTGTGAATTGAACTTACATATTTCCTCCCAAAAGTTTGATCTGAAGAGTGACAATCGCCTCGCCAAGCCATATGGTTGCGAAAACGCCGCTAAAGACAGCGTCTCTCTGGTCGGATCGCGCCGTAAAGCTAAGCAGTACGCTGAGCAGCAAGCAGAAAATCAATGGGCCCCATAGATCCCAGTCTCTGAGTCCTGGGCTCATGTTACTCTGCAATAGAGCTTCGGCATCCATCACCCGACTGGCCAGTCCAGTGAGCTCTTCTCTTGTGCCAGTCAAGCCAGCGCCGCGTATGTTGGAATATGCACCACGGAGACCGCCCTCTGAGTCGAACATGGTACCGCCAAAAAGGTATCGCGGGTATAAGACCTCCTTGAGCTTGGCCCACACAGCTAGCAGATCACGTCGCAGTGTTTCCCACACGGTTTCATCGATAGTGTTCTGAGGCGCTCTCCGATCATCTCCAGGAATGCGAGAAGTGAGATAGCCCTCGTCCAGCCGTCCCGATGCCGACGCTCCAGATGCAATGGTGTTTGTTAAAGGCTGCCTAGATGACTCCGGAGCTAGAGGGTCGTCGAAGTCGTTGAGATCCGCTGGTCTATCGCATTAGCTTCGTGTTCTGCTGTTCTGCTGTTCTGCTGTTCTACGTCGAGTGGCTTGGACTCAAAGCTTACCATCATCCGGATCAATTAGATCGTCATCCTCGAGAGAGGCACGGCGGTATTGACCTCTAGCGCTTGACATTGGAATATCTAGGGCTCAAATTGGATATTCTGAGTGTATTGCAGTCGCGAGATGCTTCTTGGAGAAAGGGAGCACTACCTGATGAGGACCTGCTGCTAAAGGACTCTGGTGGGGCTAAGAAGCTGTGACGTGGAGCTTAAGAGCACCGAAGGACGTTAGTAGTAGGTACCTACAGTACTAGGTCTTAACAGCACTCGCAGATGACGCAAGAAAAAGTACATCTACATCGGTCGCGCGGCCAATAAAAAAGCACATCGTGGTATTCCCTTTGCGTTTTAAGACGGGATGCGAGTATACCTGTGTTTGTAGCATGCCAAATACAAGTAGATAAAATCATTGCACTACATACTACTGTCCTTCCATACTGGTACTAATACTGGTACATTCGTCCAGGTAAAAAGTAAAGAGTTTCATCCTCATTCGTAGCATAATAGTATCCCAAACTCCTCAGCCCATACATTATCAAGTCAGCAAGTGCCTAGTATTTGCTTACTTTCCAACCCCTCCAACTCCGAGACTTTCCAGATGTTGACCTGCGCCGTGTTTGCTCGATTGACCAAGATGGCTTTGATAAGCCTTTTATGCTTCAAATGTTTTCACCTGGCCGTTGCCGGTGGGTGGCAGCATTGATTGGCCATCCAGTACGGTCTGAAAACCCAATTTCTCGCCTTCCATTGCAATATCCTGCGCCATTCGAGACCCTTGCACTCCACCTGCCTCAGCGGCCGCGTTCAATGTGTCTTGGACAGTCTGTACTTGTCTTTTGAAGGCGAGCCTGTCCAAGAATAGTTGTTGTCGGCCACGTTCTAACTCTCTGCGTTCTTCACGCAGTAGCTCTTCCATCTCGTCAAAGTATTTAAGCTTCAACTCTAGTTTCTGGAGCATCACGTTGGCAGCTGCCGAAACTAATCGAGTCATCTCTCGTTCTTCATGAGACGCAAATACGGCCCCACGAGCGCCAATGGAGGCCAAAGGAATAGATGCAAGAGATGTCTTTGTTGTTGTTGATGTTGTAGTTGTCGTGGTCACGACTGTCTGCCGGAAATCTACATCCATCGACTCTGCCTTATCCACTTCGGTATCTTTCTTGTCTGCCGCTTCGGCATCATCTGTCTGGTTTGCTCTTTCAAGCTGTTTTCGCAGGTTACGCTTGAGCTCGTCCGCTGATTTATTTGCTGCCGCCGCAGTGCTAGCTGGATCTGCTAAGCTTGCCAAAAAGCCCACGACAGACATAACGGGGTTGTCCACTTGGTTGAAAGGGAGGTGGCCGTGTTGACCTCCCAGCATAGATAAGCCTGTAGGCGGGTTCGTAGGTGCCTCGGAATCGAGGTACTTCTCTTCAATGTCCAATTGAAGGAACTGAAGCACGCATTCTTCTCTGGTGCGAGTACCAACATGCTCTGCAATTTCTCCCCAATCGTCATCAAATCGCTCCAAACCTTCCAAAAGTCGTAGGATTTCCGCGTCAGTCCATGGTGCATCTCGGTCCAAGATGGATGTATATGTTGGGTTTTCCACTTTGGAATACATGCTAGAGGTGTGGCTCGCGGGTAATCGGCCCTCGGTGAAGCAATTTGGGCATAGATCGAATTTAGCTTTCGCTCTGGCATCCGATTGGGAGCTGTGATAGTATATCCTGGTGCAGTCGTTTCCACATTGGTGGCAGTTGACCTTGGCCACGGGAGCCTTTGCGCTCTCCTCGGTAGAGATGTCATCGCCGTTCTTTTGGCCTTCTGATTTTGTAATCGGAGTCCCTTTAGCACTGGCTTCATAAATATTCCGGCCAATTCCCAGGTTCAAGTCGCCTTTATTAGGGACCGATGAGTTGGCCTTTTCTTCAGTGTCACGATTCTTTTTGCCCTCTAGAACAACAGGGTCTGCGGCAGGCTGCCAAGGTTGAAGGCCTCGCGGCGTGTCGCATATAATTTTGAAGTGGCCTGTAAACGGGGGCCCAACGTGCGATGGTCGTTGATCAGCATCAACCTATAGTGCAGTGTCAGTGTTAGAAATTAAACCAATTGAGGTCGATAGCTGAAATCACCTGGTAGTTGATTAGGCCCCATTGTTCGAGGAAGGCGTGAACGCGCATTATGGCACAAACATCTCCAGCTAGGTTGCGACGGCATGCTGTCATCGTGAGATACTCAACCGGGTTAAGTCGGTATGTATTGATCATAAAGTCGCGATAGTCTTTGTAGACTGCTGGCGTTTTGCTTCGGTTACGATTGTTGAAAAACTCGGCCATCGCCTTGCGCTCAATCTCGTGAATGCTGTTCATGTCAAACCAGGTACTATAGCTTGGCAGAACGATGGCATGCGTCTGAGAGATGAGATGGTCTCTAGCAGCAGATTCAAACGCTTCCTTCGTTTTGGTTTCTACTCCAGTGTCCGATGCTACTGGAGCGCCAGTCGATCCGGCAGGCAGGCCCTTTGCGTCCTCGGATACATCGCCCATCTCTTCATCGAGACGAGTGGTGTTTGGCGCAGGAGTATCACTGGGGACCTCGCCTGAGTTGTCTACAGCCGCACTGGCCGTAGGACTTCCGCCGCTCTGTGGGACATGTTCTGCGCTCGAAGATTCTTCAGACATCTGCACGTCTGTAGGATTCGTTAGACACAAGGTAATTGGTTGGCAAGCCGTAGTTGATTGCTCACCTTGAGAATCTAAGCCTTTGGCATTGGTCTGCGATGGCGGCTGTGCAAGCGCAGAGTTGGGAGCTGGCGATGTCGCGTTTCCCGGCGAGTCATAGGCTGTAGAGTCATCCATTGCTACGCGTCTCACCTCAAATAACTAGAAAAGAAAAAGGGGAGAACGGTCTAGCTTGCCGGGATAACGCGCAACAAGCGTTGGAGATGGTAAGTTGGTAGTTGTGGCGTCTGTATTTTCAACGCGACGGAAAATGTCATTAGCAATTTAGTACACAGTGTACGGGGTAGAGCACAGTATCTGAAAACCTCCGTGTGACAGTATTCATTTAATTTATCCAACTGGCCATCACCATGTTTCATATAGCTTGAAGGTCATGGGATTTTTGTTTTATTTTATTTTATTTTATTTTTGGCGATAAATCATGGATATTATCCTATTTGATGAAGATTTGAATCGTTATGATCTATTGCTACTCAACAATGTCTGTTTATACTCGAATTATTGTACTGTTTTATTATGCCGGTAAGCACTGTGCTCTGCGGTGACTAAGCCATACTAAGGCAGGTACTTCACATGTTCCCCCTCTAGATTGCTGTAGTGGGCAGCATAGGTGTCATTCATTGCTCGCTCTCCTTGGCCTTGAGCCTTGTCCTCTGCCATATACTTGGCTGCTTAATTTCTCCGGTCGCTACTATTGACACATCTCTTAGCGATCCTCGTTGGCTAATGTCATAATTAGAAGTAAAATACTCAGTTGGCAAACGCCCAATGCTTTGCGAATATGGCATTGCCCTCGCCGATTCATAGCGGGCTTCCTGCGACGCTATCACCGCATCACGAAATTCCGAGAATGCAATATCGAAGCCGCCCTGTATCCGTCGCTGTTGAGCCCGTTTCACTGGTTATATCTGAATGTATAGCCATCACCTCGGCCATTCAGAAACATGCGCGCTCCCCCCAATCTGTCTCTGCCATCCTGGGCGGGAACCCCAATACTATACAGTTCGGATCCCCTAAACCACAGTCCCAACCGCGGGAAAGTGGCGTTAGCAACCCCTTTGGAGAGAGCGAGCACGACGGAACGGCCAACAATCGATGGAGCTTTCGCGGCCAGAAGGCGAAGAGTTTGCAGGATAGCCCCATGGTCGCAGGCTTTGGCAAGCTTCGTTATGAGATCACAGGTGTCCAGAGTGTGTATTAGCTTCACCTCGCCATGCCGTTTGCCGCCAGCTAATGGTAAATAGATATTCATTCATTTGATGCGCCAACACTCTTAGCACCCTTTCTCTTCGTGATCCAAGAGAAGGGAACAGCAGCACCGATTACGATCTTGGCTCTCGGGGCATTACGAAAATTCCTAGCTTACGGCTTCATTTGCTCGGAGTCCCCTCGTTTTGCTCTCGCAATGCAGTCACTCTCAGCCGCTGTTACCCACTGTCAATTTGATATAAGTGACTCGGCCCAGGGCGAAGTTGTACTGCTTATGATTCTCAACCTGATGGAGGACATGATGTCTGGACCTGGAGGCTACATATTAAGTGATGAGAGTGTTTGCGATATGATGGGACGTGGCCTGGCTATATGCTCTCAACCTCGATTCTCCCCTGTGCTAAGGAGGACAGCCGAAGCCGTCATGGTTCGAATGTGCCAAATCATATTTGAAGATATTAAGCACCTGGAGGTCGAGGTCGGAGACGATTCTTCAGTCATGGACCAGTTGGCCGATCAGCACATGGACAATGTCAAAATGGATACCACCGCCGGTAGTACCGTTGCAGATCCTATTACCTCCGCCACTGTCCAAGACGAGTCTTCTCCGGAGACTTTAGATAGTACTGGCAATGAGAAGGCAGAGGAAGGCTCTGTGAGCAACCATACCAATGAAGAGAATGGAGAGAGTGACACGGAATCACTGGATCTACGGCCCTACTCGCTACCTTCCGTCAGGGAACTGTTCCGAGTTCTAGTCAATTTTCTGGACCCCAATGACCGCCACCATACCGATACAATGAGGGTAGTGGCTTTACGCATATTACACGTTGCGCTGGAGGTGTCTGGACCTTTCATTGCACGCCATCCTGCATTGGCCACTCTTGCTAAAGACCAGCTGTGTTGCTATCTTTTCCAACTTGTCCGATCCGATAACATGGCTATCCTACAAGAATCTTTAACGGTCACTGGAACGCTACTCGCAACATGTCGAGGTGTCCTCAAATTGCAGCAGGAACTCTTTTTGTCTTATTTGGTGGCCTGCCTTCACCCGACAATTCATATCCCCCGCGAGGCTGGCATTGACCCATCGCTGTACTCCGGCATTCCTGAGACGCCGAAGCTGGTCAAACCGCCGCCGTCACAGTCAAATAGCGGAAGGTCAACGCCCGTTCCTGTAAAAGACCGACAAAAGCTAGGGTTAGAGGGGGGTGCGCGTAAACCCGATGCTCGACAAGCTATGGTAGAGGCCATCGGTGTCTTATCCAGGATGCCTACATTTGCTACCGAATTGTTTGCCAATTACGATTGCGACGAAGATAGGTCGGATTTATGCGAGGACGTGATTGGGCTTCTTGCGCGAAACGCCCTGCCAGACTCAGCTACATGGAGTACTACAAGTGTGCCGCCTCTCTGCTTAGACGCACTCTTGCGCTTTATCCAGTTCATGGCAGAGAGACTGCATGATGACCCTGTTTACGAAAATCTCCCGGATCCCGATATGCTGAGAGAGAGAAGGCGAAGGAAAAAGACCATCATTATAGGAACGAGCAAGTTTAATGAGAAGCCAAAGGTGGGGCTGAGCTACCTCGAGGCAAACAATGTCATAACTGATATCGGAGATCCTGTTTCTGTGGCTAAATTCCTCAAAGGAACGTCACGAATATCAAAGGCGGTATTAGGAGATTTTCTATCGAAAAGAGGCAATGAAGCTATTTTGGGAGCCTTCTTAGACTTGTTTGAGTTTTCCGGCAAACGGATTGATCAGGCTTTGAGGGTGCTACTAGAAGCCTTTCGATTGCCAGGTGAAGCACCGCTGATCGCAGCCGTGGTTGAGTCTTTCTCCGAGAAATACTACGATTGCAACACGACGTCGGAGGTGGCAAATAAAGACGCTGTCTTTATCTTGACTTACGCCATTATCCTATTAAACACTGACCAACATAATCCCAATGTAAAATCTATGAAGAGGATGACATTGAACGACTTTTCTAGAAATTTGCGAGGGCAGAACAATGGGCAAGATTTCTCACCAGAATATCTTAAAGATATCTACGAAACCATTAAATCAAACGAGATTATCCTGCCTGATGAGCACGACAACCAGCACGCTTTTGACTATGCATGGCGAGAGCTTCTCCTGAAATCCGAAACAGCGGGCCATCTATCCTCCTGCAACACGAACATATACGATGGCGATATGTTTGCCGCAACCTGGAAGCCAGTTGTTTCAGCTCTGTCATATGTCTTCATGTCTGCGACTGATGATGCTGTTTTTGCAAGAATTGTGACTGGGTTTGATGAATGTGCTCGCATTGCAACCAAATATGGCAATGTCGAAGCGCTTGACCAGATCGTTTACTGCCTCAGCCACATCACTACCTTGGCTACTCGCGTGCCCTTCAACACATCATTAAACACAGAGGTTCAAGTAGGCGACGGTAGCGTCATGGTCAGTGAGCTGGCTGTGAAGCTTGGCAGAGATTTTCGTGCGCAGCTTGCTGTTCTCGTATTATTTCGAGTTGTTATCGGCAGCGAGGCTCTTATTAACCAGGGATGGAAACATGTCAGTATCTTTTCTCAAGGGTTCGCAATGGCCGTTAAGCTAACTATTTGTAGATTATTCAGATATGGATCCATCTGTTTCTGAACTCCCTGGCACCGCCGCTATCATCGACCGACCTTCCAACCCTGCCAATTCCGGCTATTCCCCTACAGACTCCCTCACAAGTCATAGATAGGGTGGCAAGATCTAGCGATATTGGGTTCTTCTCAGCATTCACCTCATACATATCTAGTTATGCCGCGGATGATCCCCCGGAACCATCAGACGAAGAACTAGAGAGCACGTTATGTACCGTTGACTGCATCAATTCTTGCAACATTGACAAAGTGTTGAACAATATCTCGTGAGTACTCATAGGGACTCCCCTGCTCTATTAGCATGTTGCTAATGTCGTTCATAGCAAACTACCTGCGGAACGCATTGACATATTGATCCAGTCTTTACTCGAGCAGCTGCCGCAGAGCGACCATTCAGCTGTTATTGGCGTAAAGCAGGATAATGTGGCAATCCCTCCCCCTAATGGGCCAACTCTACCAACACACTTGCCGAGTTACGATCCTTCTACGCCCTTTATTCTCGAACTTTGCACAATTTTAACTATTCGTGACGGCGGTTCTACTTCAAACACTGCAAAACAAGTCTTCGACGCTGTTCACGGCATCTTGCGTGATTACGGACAGTGGCATGGCATCACTATCTCGCGAGCAGCGTTTTATGGCCTAGCAATACTCAAATCGGGTTACGTATGTTTTCTGTGTTTGCGGTGAATCCCGCTCTAGTTTCCCTTGCTAACTTTAGTCGACAGGACCATGATTTTGTGAATGTCCCAATTTTCTTACATACAGTCTCCAGCTTACCACAGGACCTCCTCTTAAAGACCGCGAGTGTCATACTTTCTGGCCTTTCCATCTGCACGCGTGACCCAGGCCCCTTGAGAAGCGAGATGATGACTTCGCCCGATTTTTGGGCCATCTTACGGGTAGTGGCAGGAGATGCTAGTGCCGCTGCTCAGATCTTCGACATTCTAGAGAGGAGCACTGCTGGAACCCCACCAGCCATCATGGCCGATAACTATGAGGCAGCTATTGCATTGCTTAATCACTTTGCATCCGCGGCTGACCCTCTCACCTCCCGGGATTCTAAAGCGCATGAATCGACCAAGCGCGAAGCGTAAGTCTTTGACAATGCCCCAATTCAAAAGCAGCCAGAAACTAACGTTTGCAACTACAGCGATAGTCAAGTAGTAGCAAGAGGCTGCCAAGCAATTAATACCTTGCATGGAATGACTTCTCGGATTCCACAGCTTATGCAACAGTCTCATCTAGAAAGTAGTGAGGGTACGTCTACACATACACCTTGAAGCTGCGCTGTACCTGGATATTGACTTTTATTTTTCTTCAGCCTGGTCAGCCTACTGGCTCCCTATTCTTCAGGCATTGACAACGCAATGCACCAACTCCTGTCGCGATGTTCGCCAACTTTCGTTCTCCGCGCTGCAGAGATCCCTTCTCTCGCCTGATCTGACTTGTAGCGATCCCAAGGAATGGACGGCAATATTCAGTCAAGTTTTATTTCCTTTGATTTTCAGGCTTCTGAAGCCGGAAGTGTTTTCATCCGATAGAGATGGAATGAGCGAAATGCGTGTCCAAGTGTCTTCGCTCCTCTGCAAAGTCTTTTTGCAGTACATGGTTCTTTTGTCCGAATGGGATGGCATGCTAGACTTGTGGATCAAGATCATTGAGATCATGGATCGTCTAATGAATAGCGGACAAGGTGACAGCCTAGTGAGTTTCCGGCGCCAACACATAAGCTACATGTATGCGGATGAGCTAATCTCTATTTCTAGGCTGAAGCGGTACGAGAAAATCTTAAAAATGTTGTCCTGTTCATGGCTACCAGCGGCTATCTGGTGTCTCCTGAAAAAGACGCATCAAGAAAAAAGCTCTGGGACGAGACATGGGAGAGGGTTGATCGATTTTTACCAGACCTGCGGAATGATATTATCAGCGAGGAGAGTCCTGAGCCAGGGGAAACTAAGGAAGGCGAAGAAAAATGATAGACAACTGTTTTTGGTTAGAGGACAGGTTATATTTATTCCATGTAATGATAATACATATGTAGCTGTACATTGTAAGAATATACTGCATTCATTTAGATGGAAATTTTATGTGAATAGATCAACAAGACGAGAAAGTCAGCAAACAGACAGGCTCCCATCTAGCGCCTGGTTCATCTCCTGCATCCAACAATTTTTCTATATACACACTAAATGATTAGCTACCAATTCTCAGGGCCTGATTCCATGCCTGCGTCCATTAGTAGATATGCTGTTCTATAATCTAACAATTGTATTACACCCCTTCCTTCCCCCCTCATTACCAGAGCAGCTCCTTGATTAGTTAGCTACTCGGTGCCTCGTGCTATTACACTGACTGGTTGGCTCTGTCAGTTTAGTTTCTTGCTCTCCGAGACCGGGTCGAAGAGCCGTTGGCCATGGCGTTGCTTTCGCTCGTGATGGAGTCGACAAGGGTGCTAGGGGCCGGAGCTGTTTCTTCAGCAATCTTGCGGGATGCCTTTCGAGCGGCAGCCCTGCTTCCTTGCTTTGCATAGGTGGCAAAATAAAAGGAAATGAAGAGGACAAGATATGAGCTGAGAATAATGATGCCCGAAAATGCGGCGAATTCTTTGCCGGCGCAGCTTCCCCAGTTGGGCATCCAAGGCCAGTACGTGAAAGTGAAGTACGTGTACGACGCAAAGTAGACAAAACCGAGGTCAATGACAAACTGGATGATTTGCAGGCGAGTAACCCATTCTTTCCACCAGATGCGCACGCCGCGGGCGCTCTGGAAGTAGTACCAGTACATGACAACGTGGACAAAGAGGTTGAGAGAAATGACAACCCATTGGACCGATGTGCTGCCAATGAGCTGGGTGTAGCAGAGGACAGCCGTTGCGCCGTGGTGGTAGCAATGAAGGAAAGTCAGGGGCTTTTTCTTGAGAAACAGGAAAACCGTATCCAGAAGCTCCAGGTATTTGCTGAGATAGGTCATCTACACGAATACAAAATTAGCAACTTGTACTACCTACTAGTAGCCAGGTATGCTCTCCCTGGGTACCCAGAGGCAGGCATGGGTTTACATACGTAGTACAGGACGACGAGGGGCTGCGTCCAGCCCCCGTTGGCATCGCAGATGGCGTAGAGAACTCCTCGGCGAACAATGGTGGGAACCAGCTGCTCAATGAATAGCGCCAGAATGATGGCGCTGACCGCCGTGAGGACGAAGTTGTGAATCAAAAAGAGAGTCTTCAGCTTGAAGGGCTCCCGGTTCCGCATCAGCTCGCGGCCACCAAAAATGACGAGGTAGTAGATGGCGACAAAAATGGAAGTGTCTCTCAGCGTCGACATGGGCGTCTTGCCAACGACAAACTCGAACTCATCTGCAGGATATCCGGCCACATACTCGAATGCCTTGTTAAAGAGCGGCCACAGGTGGATGCCAAACGGCCTGTCCACGCTGGGAATGGGGAGGAGCGCTGCCATGGCTGCAGCAATTGGACGTCAATTGGGCGACAGAATGCCAATTAAACGAGAGGACGAAGCTGAGAGAGCTGGTAACGATAGCGAAGGAGAGGGGGCACAAAAAAAAAACACATAGATATAAGACAAGGCAGCCAGCAGAGAAACAAACTTTCGCGGCGAGTGGTTGGTTGGCTGTAAGTAGGGCGATCCTGGTGGCTTTCGCTCCCGGCGGTACCGAGTACCAAGCTCCAAGTGCCAGCCACACAAACCAAAGCAGTGGAAACGCACCAACAGCTTGTCGAGGGTACAAAGCGCATCTCTTGGTCGGAGCTTTCGGATCTCTCTTCCCACTAAAATTGCGGAGCGTGCCGACAGCTTTCTTTGCCTTGTTAGTGGGCTGGTAGTCTCACAATTAGTGTTTAGGTTTACCAAATACACGAGGCGTCAGCGCGGTTCAATCAGGTACGGGCGCGTAAAAACAAGGTTCATATCCAGACATATCCAAAATAGCTACGGGCGGTGCGTGCTTGCGTGCATCAATTATCATTACAGTGGTGGGGGGTTCGGCCTGCCCTGCTTTGTCGCGACTATGGGCTTAACAGCGATCGACCATCTCTTTCTGCCCTGCCCTCTTCGGCCATCTTCCCGCTCACTCGTCGTCGCTCATGAGCAGCTGAGCTCTTCAGCCAGTAGTCGTTTCCGGACGAAACTTTGCGGCCGCCACCGAGTGCGGCTGGGCCTGCCGAGGCCTCATCTCCTCCTGGCAGCCTCGTGTCAAAGTGGCTATCCAGCTGGATGGAGCTGTCTCGATAACGCTGGGATTGCACATTCGGCTGCAGCCGGTCATTGGCATTATCTTGACTTGCCCAACTGGGGGGCTCCTCATACTCATCGGAGACGGTGTCGTATTGAGCTGCATCGTCAATCTGGCCGCGACGAGTATTCAGCGGCCTCGGCAGAATTGGATTCGACGTTAGAGGCTTGGGGTGTGTGACGCCCAGCCGACCTTTTTTCCGAAGGATGTCGCCCAAGGTATCCTCCTGCTCAGAATCCGAATCGGACGAAATTCCGCCCATGCTGTAGGGCTGAGAGAGCGCAGCATACGACTTGGAGCCTGCAGAGCGGTGGGAACGCGCCGCATTAGTCGCGCCTTGTTGGGGCTGATTTGTTCGCGATGATCCAGACGCTGGCCTCCTGGCCTCGGCAGCGACATTCCTAAGTGTGTCGCTGACCCGCGGTGACATTGGCTCTGGTTCGCCAGAGGGGACTGAAGTATATGAACTTGGATATGAGGCGCGCGGCAGATATCTAAGCGGGGCCTTCTTGCGCTCAGGCGAAGCAGCGGCTCGAGATCCCATACTTATCCCAGAGTCGCGAGATTCCGTCCTCGTGTGCATGAACGAAACAGAGACACGCTCTGGGATACCGTCATAGACGCTCGCCGAATTGCGCCGGCTTTCCAGCCACGGCTTGTCGGTTTCGTAAGCGGTGCTTACAGTGGATAAAGACGACTTGTTTCGCTTGTGCAGAGGCCGGGCCGTCAAATTGTCTTCGAGCGGGTTCATATCCGGCGGCAACAAGGTAATCTTGCGGAACATCCATCCCAACCAAGCGCAAGAAAAGAGCGTGAGTACGTGTGTGCTACCAGCACCAATCGCCGCATAGAATACCGCGAGAGTGAAAACGGGTAGAATATCCTTGTTGCTGAGAACGATCCCCCAGGTGGCGGCATTCTTGTGCACGGTAAGCGCTCCTAGAGTATATCCAACCACGGATCCCGTGTCCGCAAATATAGCAGAAAACTGGTACGCGGCCGAGGATGCTGGTGTCCTGCCCCCTGCGTCTCGTGAAAGGTGCCATATAGCGTAGGCAGCGTGAGCGATTGTTACGGCTTGCTGTTAACCGCATTAGATTCATCCTTTTGCGCGTTGCGTGGACAAAGGCAGAGGTTATGCTTCTTAGGAGGTGATACATACTAGAATTCTCATTGCCCAAGAGGTGGTGTTGTCAACGCCTGTGAACAATGAAAAGAGAACCAACACGCCAATGCCGGCGATTAGCTGCAGCACTCGCAGCGCGAGTTGGATTCGACGCAGCCATGTGATGTAAACCTTGGCGCGGCGGTCCAGGGGGGTATAATTGTCTCTTCGGTGTGGTAGAATTACATGGTAGCTGAACAATGTGTCAATTGGCAGCTCTCAATTCTCAAAGACAATGACCGTTAGGTACACGTACTCAGGGTGAAGATCAAATGACACCATAGGCCCCTTTGGAGTGGGCTTTTTCTTCGGCTTGGGCTCCCAGCTGGCGCGAGTAATGGCTTTCGGGTCGAAGGTGGTTGTCGGGAACCTCGAATCCTCGCGATGGGCGTCATACAGGAAAGGCGCCGCTTGACCCATTCTGTAAGCGTTCCGGGGCACTTGTGCCCTTACCAGCAAGCAATGCCGCTGGAGTGCTGTCTTTGCAATGGAATGTTTGAAAACAGCCCGGCGATGAATGAACGGCAAGGGGAGAAGAAAAAACAATCAAAGGTCGAAAATGCCCACCATACAAAGGGATAATCTTACAGTAATGTTCCTGTAATACGACCTCAGCTGCACGACAGCAGTAGTCGCATGCGCGAGCAGGGCACACAACGCTGGTCCCTGCGCCGCAGCTGCGCTCTGATTGGGAGCTGGTGACGGCGTCAACGGGCGCCGGGGTTGCCACAGCAACGCGCATTCGGAGCTCCGATCACCGATGCGGTCCGGACCGATCTGCGTGGGAAATCTCAGCCGGGTTGACAGGCGAAAAGGCTCCGCCATCCGACGGACACGATGGTGAAACAAAAGCTTCTACACACATTTCCAATCGGAATGGGTCCCTACCAACGCCCGTTTTCATAATGCTTCTCAGCCTTGGCCGGCGTGCTGCCTGGCCATCTCATCAGGTCCATCTCAGAGCTTCCGTGAGGAGCTTCTCCGCCTCGCAATGCGTCTCCCGGCAGGCCGATGCTCCATTCCGCCTGGCCGTTGTCGGGTCCGGCCCTGCCGGCTTCTACACGGCGTACCGGGTCATGTCCAAACTGCCGCAGGCTCGCGTTGACATGTACGAGGCTTTGCCAGTCCCGTTCGGCCTTGTTCGTCACGGTGTTGCGCCAGATCACCCGGAGGTCAAGGTGAAGACAGCCATTCACTCGCCACTTTGTTTCATGAGCGCCCGAAAATTCTAATTGTCTTTCTTCAGAACTGCCAAGAGAAATTTGATGAAGTCGCTGCCGCTCCCAATTTCACTTTTATTGGAAACGTATCCATTGGCCTCCCTGGACATCAGTCAGAGCATTGCACTATACCGCTAAAGGTGCTCACGAGCCAGTACGATTCCATTCTATTTTCGTACGGAGCATCTGAAGACAAGAAGTTGCACATCCCGGGAGAATCATCTCTTGATGGTATCTACTCGGCTCGTCAATTTGTGGGCTGGTACAATGGCCACCCAGATTGCACTGAGCTTGCGCCAGACTTGTCTCGCTCCGAGGAAGCAGTCATTATTGGTCAAGGCAACGTCGCCTTGGATGTGGCTAGAATATTGCTAGAAGATGTAGACGTACTTAGAAAGACTGACATTTCAGAATCGGCTCTCGCGCAGTTGGCTCAAAGTCGAGTCAAAAGGGTCCATGTTGTGGGTCGGAGAGGCCCAATGCAGGTAAGCAAGCTGTCTGAGTGCAACACTGTCACAACTAACTCGTTCGATAACTAAATCCGATTGCATTAGGCGGCGTTCACAATAAAAGAAGTACGCGAGCTTATGAAGCTTTCTGGAGTTGCCTTTCACGGAGTGGACAATTCGTTGATACCAGGCGCTCTTGATACCCTTCCAAGAGCTGCCAAAAGACTGATGGAAGTTCTTCGGAAAGGAACACCAACCAGCCCTGCAAATACTCCCAGATCGTGGTCTCTCGATAGCTGCCTATCACCAAAGGCCTTTGTTGGCAGCAAGCTAAATCCTTCACATGTGGGCGGCACCGAGTTCTACGTCACAAAGCTGGAAGATGCGTTCAATCCTCGATCCTCTGTGGCTCTCACAGAAGAAACAATAACTCTACCGTCAGATATAGCCTTCCGCTCCGTTGGGTATAAGTCCGTAGCCCTGCCTGGGTTTGCTGAGGCTGGTGTTCATTTCGACGAGAAGCGAGGGGTTATCAAAAATGACGGAATGGGCCGGGCCATACAGCTGCCAGCCGATACTAGCAACTCCGCCGAAGCGCAGCCATCAGCATTGCCCGGTGTCTACTGCGCCGGTTGGGTTAAGAATGGTCCCACTGGTGTCATTGCTTCCACCATGAGAGACGCATTCATAACAGGAGACGCTGTGGTGCAAGACTGGCTTTCAGGAGCTCCTTTCTTAGGATCCCCAGCAAATGGCACGGCTAGGGGATGGGCGGCTGTCAGCGCTGACATTGGCGCTCTATCCAACCAAGTAGTTACGTGGGATCAATGGCGCCAGATAGACCGAGTTGAAAGAGAGCGAGGCTTGGAAAAGGGTAAGGAAAGGGACAAGTTCACCAACGTTGGGGACATGCTCAATTCAATCACGTAGAAGGCATAAAATGGATGCGCTGTGACTGTATTCTATTGTATTATATATATATATACCAATAACAGTTTAGGAGCTCTTGAGCTTCTCCGTTAATTCTGGGACCTTTTCAAAGAGATCTCCTACGAGTCCAGCATCAGCGATCTGGAAGATGGGCGCATCAGGGTCCTTGTTGATGGCGGCAATGACCTTGCTGTCCTTCATGCCCGCCAAGTGCTGGATGGCACCCGAAATGCCCACGGCCATGTACAGCTGCGGGGCAACAACCTTTCCAGTCTGTCCAACCTGGAGACTGTTGTCCGCATAGCCGCTGTCGACGGCAGCTCGAGATGCACCGACGGCGGCGCCCAAAGCATCAGCCAAAGGCAGCATGACCTTGTCGAACTCTTCCTTGGACTTGAGTCCACGACCGCCCGAGACAACCTTGCCAGCGGTAGCGAGATCGGGTCGGTCTGACTTTGTTAGGTTCTCAGACACCCACTCTGAAGTAGCCTCTGACTTGGGGTCTACTCCAGCCTCGATGGGAGTAGATGCCTGTTCTGGTGTTGCAGGAGCAAAGGCGGTTCCGCGAATGGTGAGAATCTTGATGGCATCGGTGGACTCGACGGTGGCGATGGCGTTTCCGGCATAGATGGGGCGGACAAAAGTCTTTTCGTCTTCGATAGCTGTCACATCGGAAATCTGCTGCGAGTCAAGCAGAGCTGCGACTCTGGGTAGTACGCTCTTGCCGAAGGCCGTGTGTCCGGCAATAACGTGTGTATAGTTGCCCTTCTTGATGTTCTCGACTAACAGCGGTGCGTAGGTCTCGGGAAGGCCCTTTAATTTTGTCAGCATCACCAATTGCATCTCAATTGACGTTTAGCTGGGTCGCCCGTACCTTGTTATAGGCGTCGTTCTCCACCGTAATGATCTTCTCCACGCCGTTTACTTTGGCAGCCTGCTCAGCAGCCGATGACACATTGCTTCCCGCCAGAAATGCATGGACAGGGCCGCCGACCTTGGTGCCCGCGGTAAGGGCACTGAGCGAGCCATGAGAGAGCTGGCCGTCTCGCTGCTCCAGAATAGCTAATGTGGAAAGGGCACTGCTCTGGCTGTACTTGGACGACGCCCACCGCATGGATCTGCCAAGGACCGCATCTCCACGCTTGGAGAGCAGCTGTCGAGTTAGGGACAACATGTTGAATCAATTGAGAGGATGCAGATGTCCAGGAGCACCTCTCTTCTGCGCCGAGCCAGTTGCAAATAGGTCATCCGGCGGCTGGAAGCGGCCCTCGGTTGTACACTCGGCTGCCCGATTGCGCAGTGCCGGGTCAGTCACGTGCTAGGATCTCGCAAGGAAGTTTACGGAGCGGGTGTTTTCCACGAGACAAAGACCTGACTAGACCTATTGAGTGCTAGACTGGGCGTTGAAGGCATCAGGGTTCTCTGATCCAAGAACACTGTAAATAGAGTAAGGCGAATATCCACTTTGACGTTGAGATTGATGAAGAAATCGCATTCATCTATGAAGACCATATAGTTATCATCATACAGGTGGAAACATTTGCTCTTCCGAGTGGCCCAACATGACTTCGGCATTTTTCAAAGGAAGCGATGCTAACCAAACGATCACTACTAAGCTAAATGCATTGCTTAACATAGTAACGGTAGAAACCCTCATTCTCACCCGTAGTTTCGAGAGCCTCGCCAGTATGACCGTGGCGACTGGCCGCGACAATACTCACGTACATCAAATCGGCCTCATCTGCTTCGGTATTGTCGATGCTTTGGATACATGCCCTGCTGTACCAATAATCAGAGAGTTGTCTGTTGCCCGCCATCGACTCGAGTGACTGTGTGCACTTCTGCGGCCAGAGTGCTGACGACGTTGTCGTTGAGGCTTGGACGTTTATCAATCCCTGTAGGGGAGTAACCTGGTGTTTAGCTTCGCCAGCGTCATCATGAAACAAATCCTTCACGTTATCCTATACGTTTCAACAATCACTCAGAGGGATAGCTATTGAGGGGCATCTTAAAGTCCGGCCAGTGGTATGAAACGAGAGAAGCTTGCCTCAAAGCCGTCAGGTGCAGTATCCAAAGCCGCATCTCAGCATTTCCAAGGCAGCGACATTCAGGGAGGTCACCTGTGCCAAGATCAAGTAAAGCGCAGACTAACACAAAATACTAACGTGAGAGAGGCAAGATTTCCACAGGCTTAATTTCACTTAGCGGCCGCTCCATTTCCAGGGACTGCTGCTAAATTCCCGATGCTCCAATTTTCTTCTCAGGTAAAACAAGGCTGTGCTTTTTCTGGTGGGCTGTGGTTTGTCACTGGCACTCTGCTCGGCCTATCAAACGCCAGAATTGAGCATGTTCTCTCGCGACGTCGTGTCTGATTCTGGCCTTGTTACTTGTAAAATTCCCCTACAGCAGCACACCTTATATTAACCGCGCTCAATCACAGGCTTAGTGCTTCGCAAGGTACGCTATGGAAGCTCATTGATTGTTTCACCACTCGACTTCTTTTTTTTTTTTTTTTTTGCTGCATTTCGGCTGCGCATCTACAAGTCGACCATTATGGCTGCCATGGGCCGGTTAGGCTTCTTGGCCACTGCGGTCATCTTTCACCTGGTCTACATCTACTCCATATTCGACATCTACTTTGTCAGCCCTATTGTCTCTGGCATGCAATTGGTTCCTGTGCATCGTCTCGCAAACACTAAGAGTCCTGCGAATCGATTAGTCCTTTTTGTTGGTACGATTGCCATGCCATCTTCCCTGCTGTACATCGAGTCTCGGAGCTTGAGCTGACTTCTGCTTGACAGGCGACGGGTTACGAGCCGACAAAGCATTCCAGGCCTTTCCTGAGCCATACCCCGAATCAGAAGATGATCTTGTTCCCAGGCACTTGGCCCCCTTTCTTCGTTCTCGAGCTCTTCAGCATGGAACCTTTGGAGTTTCGCACACGCGCGTTCCGACAGAATCCCGTCCTGGCCATGTGGCCCTGATCGCTGGTCTTTACGAGGATGTTTCTGCTGTGGCAACTGGGTGGAAACTCAATCCCGTCAACTTTGACAGCGTGTTCAACAGGAGCCACCACACTTGGAGCTGGGGGAGTCCTGATATTCTACCCATGTTTGAGCGTGGTGCTGTTCCTGGTCGTGTTGATGCACACACATATGACGCTGAGTTTGAGGATTTTTCCAAGGATGCGACTCACCTCGACTTCTGGGTCTTTGACCATGTTAAAGAATTATTCACCAAAGCTGCCACCAATAAAACACTTGATCGGGCCCTCCGACAGGAAAAGGTTGTCTTCTTCCTTCATCTGCTTGGTCTAGACACAACTGGGCATTCATATAGACCCTACTCCAAGGAGTATCTGCATAACCTTCAGATTGTCGACAAGGGAGTTCAGGAGGTGACCGACCTTATCCAACGATTCTATGCCGATGATCGGACTGCATTTGTCTTCACTGCGGACCATGGCATGAGTGACTGGGGTAGCCACGGCGATGGCCATCCGGACAACACCAGAACACCTTTGATCTGCTGGGGCTCGGGTGTGGCTTCCCCTAATCTCTACTCAGGGACAATAGCCCCAGGTCACGACGATTATTCGGCTGACTGGGGGCTGGATCATGTTCAAAGACATGACGTTGCGCAGGCTGATGTTGCCGCACTCATGTCCCATCTCATCGGCACCGAGTATCCTGTAAATTCTGTTGGAAAACTGCCTCTCCCATACTTATCCGCGAATAATCGGCAAAAGGCAGAAGCACTGCTACTCAATGCCCGTGAAATATTGGAGATGTACAAGGTCAAGGAGCAGAAAAAGCAAGCGAATGAAATGAGATATAAAGCATTTGGTGCCTTTAGCGGTGCAGAGCTGGCTCCATCACAGCGCGTAGCCAATATTGATCAGCTCATATCTCTCGGCAAATATGAAGAGGCCATTGAGGAAACTGATGCCCTCATCAACATTACGCTTGAAGGCTTGCGCTACCTTCAAACCTACGACTGGCTGTTTTTGCGAGCCTTGATCACGGTTGGATATCTTGGCTGGATCGCATATGCCATCACAACGGTCATCGATTTGTACGTGATACCGACGTCGACTGTACCCCAGCGCAGCACCTCGAGTGTTGCCGGATTCTTCTCAATCTTAGCCGCACTGTATGCGTCTTTCATTGCTTCTAAATCCCCCCTTACGTACTATGCGTATGCGTTCTTCCCTGTTGTCTTCTGGGAAGAAGTCTATGCCCAAAGGTTCAGTCTGTTTGAGGGAGGCAAAGTACTCTTTGGACACATCGGATCTGCTGGTGGAATTGTAAATTTTGTTGTAAATGCGTTCGCCTACTGTGCCATTCTGGTTTCTTTGGTAAGCTTCTTTTCACATGAGATCACCATCGACATGCTGCTAACATATCGTAGGCTCTCGGTTACGATCATCGCGAAATATTGACTGGGCTGTTCATCCTGGGAGCAGCATGGCCTGTCATGCCTGGCACGTCATTCATTCGCTCAAATATCCTTCTCAGCGCCTCATGGGCGATATTATGTCTGGTTATGAGCACTTTTACACTCTTACCTGCAATGAAAGTTGAGAATGTGGATCTAATGTATGTCGCACATCCTTGTGTAAATCCTCATCTGTCCTGCTTCTAACGATAGATTGAAACAGTGTCATCAGCGGTGTAATCATGAGCCTTATCGGTGTTTTCTATATGATATCTGAGCCCCTGATTTTATCAGACTTCTCTTACCAGAAGGCTGGAATTGACCACAATTCAGAGTCGCTCGTCAGCAGGACTGTGACTGGTGTTCAGGTAAGAGAGAGAGCTCTGGGATTCTTCAACCGTGTAACTGCTCACACTTAATCTTACTATAGGTCGGCCTCATTATCCTTGCAACTTTGGTAACTCGCTCCAGCGCTCTATCTCTCCAAGCCAAACAGGGTTTGCCTTTGGGCAACCAAATCATGGGATGGATCGTTTTAGGTAAGTCTCCAAATATGAAACAATCTCGATTAGCATTGCATCGATCCAAGGGTTCTAACATCCGTCAAAGTTTCATCGTTTTTGATGCCAACACTCCATCGATTGCAGCCAAACAGCAACTTCATGCATCGCCTGGCAATGATTTTCTTCACATGCGCCCCGACATTCATCATTCTCACGATATCCTACGAAGGCTTGTTTTACATTGCGTATTCTATTTTACTCGTCATTTGGGTTCGCCTGGAATACCGTATCGACACTTTCGGTAAGAGCCAAACATCCAGCAGAAACGGCTTTGCAAAGGCGGATCAAAGCGTGTTGAATCGGCCACTGCGCTTGTCAGACGCACGCGTATCTCTCTTCTTCATGGTGCTTCTCCAATCGGCCTTCTTCAGCACTGGAAATGTCGCGTCCATCTCATCATTTAGCTTGGAGAGTGTTACTCGTCTGATTCCCGTCTTTGATCCATTTTCTCAGGGAGCTCTTCTTATTCTCAAGCTCATGATCCCCTTTGGTCTCATTTCAGCAAACCTTGGAATTTTGAACAAGCGACTTCGAATTGCACCGTCGGCATTGTTCATGGTTGTCATGGCAATCAGCGATATTTTGACTCTCTATTTCTTCTGGGTCGTCAAAGATGAGGGGTCCTGGTTAGAAATCGGGTCCACTATCAGTCACTTTGTGATTGCTAGTCTTCTATGTGTGTTCGTTGCCGCACTAGAAGGGGCCAGCGCCATGTTCATCAGTGGAATTGATGTTAGCGACGCGCCACCTCAAGGCCCAGGAAGCCAGGCCAAGGCCAATGGAAAGAAAAGCCTGGAAAAGATCCAGGAGTGAAAAAAGGCATCATTTAAGCGTGGGGAGGAGGACGATGATAAACCCCTTCCCCAAGGCATTCGCCGGAGGAGTGATTATGTTTTATTAACCAATTATACCAGCTCGCAATCTTTCCTGTACGATTAGAGGGCAAACAGTTTGTTTGGCTGCGTTATGATTCCATGATCATATTTTGGACTAGACTTCCATAGACTTAGAAATCAGTAGAGGTATCATTTTTACGAGTAATTTTTTAAACTAATTGAGCACATTCATCTTTTCAGCATCGATCCTATTATCATTTTAATTTTATACCCAGTTCCTCGGCTTTATCTCTCACTTCCTGTATTGCACCATCTGGACTCTCCTCTGTCGGATTTCGAAGCTGCCAAGCCATGCAGATGTCCAAGGCTTTGCCCATCCACACGCCCGGTGGGACCCCCAAGGCCTTGGCCAGCGCTCGTCCATCTATAATTCGCTTCAAATTGGGGGCATCGAAGATATCAAGCTTAGCGAGGTGCTGAAGGAACTTTTCCCATCCTTGGAGGAACTCTGTATGGTCTGTGACGAGATCAGAAAGTCAGCACAACTGTTAAACTCGCCCTGATGATAGCTTTGTTTCAACGCTTACCTTTACGTTTCTCAGCGGGATAGTCTTTGAGCTGTTCCATCGCATCGATCATTATCACTCCTAGAACTTGAATCTTCCAGTGTCCGCCCACTGCTTCCCACTTCCGAATCGCCATGCCAAAAATGTCTCGTTGCTCTATTATTGGCGAACTCTCACAAACCGACCTTTTCAGATCAAGTATTTCAGCACGATGCTTGTGACATGCTGCCATGACCGTTGTGAGCTTGTTCGAGGCTTTAAACCCTTCGCGGGCGATGATACCAACGCGCGGGAGGGTATTTGCCTTTTGCTTGCGCCCAGAGCGGTCATTTTCGGGAATCCAGGGACTCACAGCAGCGAGATTCCATGCCAGATACGTGGTATCGCTGTCATTAACATCAACCAATAGCTGAGATATCGAGCCCGGCTCTCTATCCTTTAGTAGTTCGTCAAGACAGCTGTAGGCGACATGCCATCGGGATATATCGGGCAATACAACGTCTTCTTCCGCCGGATCGCTAAAAATTGCTTGGTAGAGGCCAAGACGGTCAATTATCTCCAGTGCTGATTGGGGTGTTTTGCCTATTTGCCTCATGTCAGCTTGTGGTTATGCAAATTGGGAAAGGGGGGGGGTTCGGAAGAGAGCAATGCATACCCTTCAGCATCTTTTCCAACTCAACACCAACTCTTTCACGGCTGATTTTCTTCCGGAGAGCCTCAAGGATATCCTTGTTGTTCATGAATTTCTCCGACGTCTCATCGATAGTAAACCCTAGTCTAGCAGCGAAACGTATGAGACGAAGTACTCTGAGGGGATCATCTATAAACGTTTGATAGGGTTCGAGGGGAGTCCGGATCATCTTCGCCTCCATGTCGCGGATGCCGCCGGTGAAATCTTCAATCTCCTCGGTGTGCAGGTTATAGAACAAAGCGTTTATGGTGGCATCGCGGCGAAGAGCATCTTCCTCTGCAGTACCAAACTCCATCTGAGGGTTCCGACTGTCCTCGGCATACGTCTCCTTGCGAAGATTGACGAAATCAAGGTCCATGCCAAAGAGCTTGACCATGGCGGTCTCGAGATGCTTGGACTTGTCCGGATTGCTCGCAATGTGATGCAGCCTGCCGATGTCTCCAGGCGCAAAGCCATGGATCTTTGCGGCATCGGGCTGCTTGCAATACTCCGAGATGTGCTGCGCAAACTGCTGCCCGGTCATGGCGTTGATCGCGACGTCGATGTCATGGCTCTCTATGCCGAGGAGTCTGTCCCTCACCCAGCCTCCGGCCCAGCGCAGCACCAGCGGCTGGCCGAGCGTCGTTGTCGTGTCAATGAAGTTGGCGACGTTCAGCAGAAGAGAGCGGAGCTGTTTCTCGCGCTCTGTGAGCTTGACTGAGTGAGTGGACATGGCGGTGGCTGGACTTGAATCTCTTAAAAGTGCACTGAGCTTCCTCTTCATTATGAGGCGAGGGCGACAGATTCGCGATAGCATAAAAAAGCCAGTCGCATTATTTATTTCCTGAGAAAAGTCAACATCGAGTCATGTGGCCAGCGAGGCTGTGAACCATTGGAAGAAGGAAGGAACATCAGGTTGAGTCATACCCGCGAATCCGTTCAGAACATGATCTGAGCTGTCCGATCAAGCTGTGCTCAATGCCTGCAAAATACTTTAACCTTGCAGTAAGAGCTCGCTGTAGAGCTCCAGTAGCTTATTGTTGCGGCAAGCTAAAAAGCTGAGCTAAAACTCGATACGAACTACGAACTGGGTACGGCTCAATTTGATTATAAGATTTCACTTGTAAAAAATGTACGCTTTACAATTTGAGGGTCTGCATGGCTTTATTTGAAAATGACGTCATCGGCCTATATCGATCATATTGCTACCGGCACCAATTAGTTTAGGTATCTGGTCTTGATATTTGTGTATCTATTCTAGCTTCTGAATATTGTCTGCCCAGGATGGCATAATTTCTCTACACACTTCCTCGTAGTCTTTGAGTTGTGGACTCTTGCTGCTCAGCTCCAGCGTGGTCCAAAACATGGCCCAGTTGCAATCGGACAGCTTACTGGTGCCCACCGACCGCTCAAAATACCACTTGTTGACGGGGTTGTCTTTCCTGCTCCTCCAAATCACGCCGTCGGGGAAACAGTCGCGGACCATGGCGTTGAACACAATGTCAGCAACTCCACCACTGCCTTGACGGCTCCGAAGAACAGCGAACTTGTCGAGATACGGGACGTAGCGTCCCTCGTCATAGGCCGTTCGAGGATCAATACTTTTCGGCCTCTCCCAGGTCAGAATAGCACATCCTTCGTATTCTCCCGCAATAATCACTCCTGCCAAGTTCTCATTTGTTCGTCGCAAGTAGTCTTTGACGTCCAGCTTGCGACCAAAAGAATCCTCAATTAGAGTGACGAGCCGGGGTAGATCAATGGATTTATCAGTGAGCTGCGGGCCGCGCTCTCCGGGCGCCGCTGGTTTCCACGGAGAGATTCTCGGGTCGGGGTAGATTGTCAACGGCATGCCTCGCTTGACGAGAGTTGCACTAATTGACTCTCCTGTATTTGAAAATGCCAGTCCGGGAGACTGGATGCGTTGAAATGGCAACGAGGGAGAGTATACTGGTTTATCGGTAAGGAGATTATGGAGGAGAGGATTTTGTTTTCTGCGAGTGGTGACCATGCCGTCAAAACCAAACTGGTATTTGCTGTCTCGCGTAGTAGGAAGCCCTGAAGAGGCCGACGACGTATTGGATGCGGCGAACGGAGAAGTTATAAGAACAGAAGCCGTCTCGGGTAAGAGAGATAGGGTGTCCTTTGCTAGCTTGAGGTTTCTTGCGTGGGCAGCAGAAGTTCCACCATTGCGTCTGCCTTTTTCTGCCTCCGATGAGCCATCACCGCCGCCGTCCAGTTCATCAAGGAGTATGTTGTACTCTTGTTCAAGATTGATGAATCTGTGGTAAACATCAGGACGACCAATCATGGGAATGCCTCCGAACTGATCGAGGATAATGACTCTTTCGACGGAAGCAAGGGGCTCATTAGCTCGTCCATAGCCTCCACCTTGGCTGTTGCTTGAATCATCATCAAACTGTAGTCCCGTGAAGTATCTCGTCAATGCAAGAACGGTTCTCTGAACATCAGCAGGCGCAGGGGACATGGTCTCATTGTTCCGCGCAAGAGATGGAATGACTGTTATCATGTTATGTTGAAGCGCGCGGTTCAGGATACCATAGTCTTGGACCTGTATATCATCCCAGAATGGAGAAGGGGTGGCGCTTTGAAAGTGCGAAGTACCGACAAGTACGTTTTCGATCAATCTGGAGCCATGTTTGCCAAAGGAATCAACGGCTTCGCAAAGCCTCAGAGCTTCATGTTGAAAAGTGAAACGGCTCTCGTCCATGTCACAGTCCACAACAACGACGCTCATCAGACCAAGAGCCCGAAGCTGCGTTAGAGTCTTGGCTATTCCTTTGATTGTGTCTGCTTGAAGCTTTTGGGGATTCCGTAAGACAACAATGGCGACGTTGAATGGCGGCTGAGCTTGGAGTTGCCTTGCGGGAGGTTTGAGCTGATGCTCAACTTGCGTCGACGATGCTGATACTGGAGGAGTAGGCTTTGGTGCTGCATATTTTTGGAGGTAGCCCTTGGCATCTCGCCTTGTGGCTGTGGACTCTAGGACAGACACAATGACGTCCTAGCATACAGTATTAGCGACTGTTACAAAGGCATTGATGCTATTCAGCAACGTTTCAATGAGTCATGATAGCCAAGTAAAACTAATACGCACCCGATCAAACTTTTGTCGCTTCTCTCGGGCCACTGTAGGCGAAGAGAAGCCACGAGTATTGGCCGGCTGGAAGGAAGAGGTATTTGATACATGAGAGCCCCCAGCTGTCCCAATTGATGCTATACTTTTGCCCATGGACCGATACGAAGCTGATGAACGGTGCATGGCCAGTTTTTTGTTAAATGAAAGTAAGCCATAGCTAGAACTGGAAGAATTGATGCTGGCACGGCTCCAATATACGTTGGATGCCATGCCGCATATCAGACAGTCGTGAAGAATCTTTTTGATAGTGCGAATATAGATGGCACTGAAATTCTCTCTCCCTCTTTCCGGAACAGATCAGTTGGTAGAACTCACGGCCTGATAGCTGCGATTTCACTCCCAGAAACACATTTTGACAATTAATTCGAGTCAATTCAATGGAGACTGAGAATTTTAGACTGGGGGAGGTAGCGAGAGGTTGAATGAGAATAGTCTAAACAGCAACTGCACGTGATGAAGCAACAGATAAAGTAGTCCACAAAATAGATATAAAAGACAATAACAACAAGATAGATGAGATGCTGAATTACTCAAGAATGGCCGATTCAGGACTGGCTAGCAAATGTAGGTGAGGCGATAAGCGAAGCCTTGCAGCTTGGTTGATCTTTGATAGGAAAATCTCTTGTGCTGAAAGAGCTCTATCCGCTAGCAGCTACCAGGGTGCACAGCAGCTATGACTCTGAGCCGTTGCCGGCCACTTGATCCGAGGTACAGTCACAGCTTGTAGCGCTAATCCAACGAGTTGGGAATCTCACATTTCTCTGCTATCTATACCTCTTATTTCTCATCATCTTTCTTTCTTTTCTCCCTCCCACCTCTTTTCCTTTTCTTAATTCATGCAACCTTTTTTTTTTTTTAACTTCCTGCATCATGCAAATCACACACACAATGCTCCCCTGCAGAAATAAATGACAATCATCTCGTATTCGGGCACTCTCCCCGATGAAACTAGCCACAGTAGCAATGCCTACTGAGTCTGCCTTTGCAGGCATGAAAACGCCTAATAATGCTGAATGTGACTCACGCCGTATGATTCCTCTTCAACGCCCCCCAAGACGGCACAACTACGAAGCTCGACCTTTTTCAGATATTCGTACCTAGTGATGTCAAAAGTCTTATATGTATTTCAAGTATTATTTTTTCTAACAGACGGCACTGAAAGCGATATAGTTCTCGCATTACTTGAACCAATCTTCATCTATCTACAACTTTCATTTTTCTGCCCAGCCTTTGTGAAGTGATATCTCCATTTTTTTCAATTTTTCATTCCTCGTTGGAGCAATCCTGTACAGATATCCGTGTTTTGCAATACATCAATTGCCAATGGATGCTCCCGCTGAGCAGACTTTTGAAGAGTCGCACGACACTGCACTCTGTCTTATACCTCCACCTCACCTTTGGGGCCCAGTCAACTCGCTGCGATCACTCAACGACGAAAAGTTCACAAAATGGCCGCCGCATGTCACGCTCGTCTACCCATTTGTGAAACCAGAAGCCCTTTCCGATGCAGCTGAGGCTCTGAGTGGGCTCGATCTGATGCCAGATGGCGACGACATCTCCATGAACTTGGAAGAGGCTGGAGTCTTTTCCCATCGCCGACACAGCACAGTCTTTATCTGCCCAAAGGCTGGGCAGGAGAAAAGACGTCTTTCAGAGCTGAGGGACCGAATATACCGCTTTCTTGGATGGCCCAAGGGCAGAGAATACCAGCCTCATCTAACAGTTGCGCAGAGTGAAGATACTCACGCAGCATGGCATCAATTCCTCCTTGAAAAAGCACGGCTTGTAACGCCGCTGGCATGGAACACTCACCGGCTCGCAATATTGGTTCGCGATCCCGTTTCTCCGAATAAGATGACAGCTTCGCGGCCAATGAGGCTCTGGGGCTATATCGATCTGGCGTCAAGGTCTCTTGTACGCGATCCGGCGACCTTGGCCGCAATCCCTGATTTACCACAGGATAGCTCTTTGCCATCTCCTCAACATACATTCCGCTATGATGGCATAAACGCGTCATGGAAGCCCCTTGAAGACAATTCTACGAACACATACGATGAAACGAAACGACCTGATCGCCTTGTTGTCGCCTCTTATAATGTCTTGGCTGAGTTCGACTGGCCGCCCAGTTCAACTAGGTATCCTGAACTTGTTAACAATATTCTCTCTGGGCGCGCCTCAGCCGATACCCTTGTTCTTCAGGAGGTAACGGATCACTTTCTCAGCTTTCTGCTAGCAGACAGCAATATTAGACAGCAGTATCCTTTCTCTACTCATGGATCTCCCCAGCAGCTTGGCATTGGCCCTCTACCCAGTCATCTGAATCTCGTGGTCCTCAGCAAAATTGCCTTCCAGTGGAAGTATCTACCAGCCGCAAAAAGGCACAAAGGGTTTGCCATTCTCACGCTTCCAACAATACAAATTAGCGAAACTTCAGACTCTGATCCAGCGCCACTGGTTCTAGCTGCCTGTCATCTTAGTAGGGGCTTAACAGATACTGCTCTCAATACGAAACGAGATGAGATATCAACTCTTGTCGAATATTTGAAATCCTCCTTCCCTCAGAGTCCGTGGGTCATTGCCGGAGACTTCAACTTGGCCTCATCGTCACGCACGATTGATGAAGGACTGGAAAAGAGTGAAATTTCGGGAAAGGGTCTCGAATATCTTCAAGAAATTGATACCATTGTGGCAAAGGCTGGATTCCAAGACTCATGGCTCATAACTCGAGTTGGGCCTGGAGAATCTTCAAGCACGACAGGCAGCCATGAATCAAGCTTGGGGCTCTATGAGGGCGAACAAGGAGCTACTTTTGATCCAACCTCCAATGGCCTTGCTGCAGCTTCCAGTGGCGTTGGCAACAGCCACCCACAGAGATATGATAGAATATTGGTCAAGAAATGTGCGCAATTGCGTCCTCATGGGTTCAACATGTTCGGTCAGCAGGCTGTCAGTGAAATTGGAAACGCCTCTCAAAGTTTTGCGAGCGACCATTGGGGCATTCGCTGCCTTCTTACGCTGTCACCTCGCGAAGAAGGAAATCTTGCACAGTCTAGCCCCAACTTTCAAGTCAACCTCCATAAAGCTGCCCTTTCTTTGGGTAACTTCGAGGAGTTGAAGGCCAGTCTAGTTTCCAGCGGCCAGTTCCCTACCACCGCAGAAGCGAATCTGAGAAAGGAAGCAATCGATCTCCTTCAAAGGATTTTGATCGAAGAAGATGCTACTGCCGCAGTCGCTGAAACGCGCTCAAAAGTGCAACTTGTTCTTATCCCAGTGGGATCGTTTGGTCTGGGTGTGTGGACTGACTTGTCAGATATCGATTGTCTTTGTGTAGGCAACATAAGCACCCGCGTGTTTTTCAACTTGGCAGTACAGAAGTTGAGAAAAGCCTCTGCCGAAGGTGTGAAAATTCTCCGGCGTGTAATGGCAAATACTGGGACAATGCTTGAGCTGGAGATTCGCGGCATCAAGTTTGACCTTCAGTACTGCGCTGCTGCTGCCATAGCTCAGGGGTGAGCTTTTTGTCCTTTTCTATTTTACACAATCCCGCTTTGTTGGCCTATTTGATCTTACTAAATCCCGTCTAGGTATCCGGATGTTCTAAAACGACCTTCGTCGGATCCTGTCTTTGCTTTGCCGCTCCAAACTTTGGCAAAGCTAAAGCCCGCAAGGGATCTCTTTTATCTACGGAGATCCATCCCTGATATGACGAAATATCGTGTGGCACATCTCTTCATCAAAGCATGGGCACAATCGAGGGGCCTTTACGCAGCAAAATATGGTATGCTGGGCGGAATTCACATTTCATCCATGTTGGTGCCTATCTGCAAAGCATTGGCAAATGAATCCGAAGCAGTCTCCACAGCCGATATTCTGACAACTTTTTTCCAACACTACTCAAAGTTCAACTGGGAAACAGGGATGGTATTCGATCCATTTTATCACCTTGGATTGAAATATCATCGCACATTTAGGGAGCCATTGTGTCTACTTGGCTGGCATGGGCCATCTCTCAATGCTGCATCCACTGCATCCATTTCTACTGTCAATGCTCTTACTTCTGAACTCGTCAGAGCTGCAGCTCTGTTCCATCAACAAGATGTGACATGGAGCCGATTTCTCGGCCTGGAACAATCTGCCACGCCATTGACTTTGATTGAGAAGGGAGCTGCTGATTTTCTTAATTCATATCGATCCTATATCAAAATAAGTGCTCGCTACTGGGGTTCCTCTCAACAAAAGGGAAGGAAATACCTTGGCTGGCTAGAGTCTAGGTGTATATCTATACTTGTTGGTAAGCAATTAACATGAGCCGCTTGTAGCGTTACTGGATACTTACATTCAACTACCTACTTAGATATAAGCCGAAAATCTCCAAGTCTTATACCACGCATGTGGCCAGCCAGATTTGCAGACGAGGACCCGACAAACAGTACCTACGACCAGACTTCGGAACTCAACGCTTGCTATCTAGTAGGTCTCAAATGGGACGAGAACGTTAGTGATAAATCCACAACGAGCCTAGCCACTGCAGAGGGGAACGTTCATGTGATCCTTCAAGAATTTGAATCACGCATCCAGAGGGACGAGAAGTACTTTGACACCGAATCATGTTGGATGAGCGCATCCCTTTCTCGTCGATCTAGCCTTGGTTCTGTGCGTCTTGCGCCTAGCCAGCTATACGATTATGATGCCGCCGATTCGGACCTAGACGAAGACGTCGATTCGGAAGAGCTAGACGAATCAGACAGCGACATCTCTGGCGCCAACAAAGACTCTCGAGCAACAAAGACAGACTCTTCAAAGCCTTTGCTCAGAGCTGTCAAGCCGCCGGGAGCAGGAAAACTCCGCAGTGCCATTGACGCCCTGAATCGAATCCGTTGGGACGTTTCCATGGATTCCAGCGACTACCTGGTAGGATATGAGGACCGCTTCATCGGAGCTCAGGAGAAGGCGTTGGACAGCTGGAAGGCTGAGCAAACGGACGAAGAGTTCATTCCACAGCATAGAATACTGTACTTCAAACGCAAGAGTGATGGAGTGATTGTATGGGATAGAAGGTCACGAGTAGACACCATTTTTGGTAGTGGATAAAGGAGGAAGCGGCACAATCAGGCCAACTGATTGCACGCTGGGAGCTAGATCACTTTTTAAATTAGAAGCAGATTATCATTATGTACAGACAATATCTGGCTAAATAGCCATACACATCCATGGTATCACATCCCAGCTCATCTAAGCTTTTCAGAAGCCGCCAGTGCTTCTGTAGTTCGCTGGCCGAAAATATCATTTCGCTATTCGCATCATATCCGCGCTGCAGGATTGAACTCTTTTCATCAAATAGACCTGCGCAAGACCTCAAATATCATCCTTGCCCCCCACCACAACATCTTGAAGCCGCTAAGAACCGAGGCTTGCAAACACAGCCGCAATAGACGACTTGTCATATTTGACATATTTGCCCTTGCCTTTATCAATCTCATGGTAACGATCCCAGAACCTGTCATACAGGGGCTGGAGCTTCTGGCGAATGTCTTGACCAAACATTACTCGCACTTCGCGCTCCATATTGTAAGACTTGTGCTTCGCCACCATGTCATCAAACGCATTGTTGAACTGCGTAAACTTCTCTTTAATCTTGTCCTTGTCCTTGCTGTTCAGACCCTTTACTACCGAGGCCGAATCGGCGGAATCAGCATGGCCGGAAGTTGGACGCTTAGTTCGATTTGTATGAATGGTGTCGAATAGATACACCGATAAATCTTTACAGATATCAGTATACTGGGCAGTAGCCCTCTTCCTCCATTGATCAAGGACATCCGGCCGTGGATCGAGCAGTGAAGCAAGCTCGGAGCTGCGGATCATATGCTCGATGACGACGACACTATTGGCCATAAACACGCCCAGAAGAGACTTATTTCTGAGCAGCATCTGAGACTTTTGGTTCAGAGAGGTGAGCAGAACATCAATAGTGTCCAGGCAGTAATGGGCGAAAAGCTCTTTGCCGTCGGCGCCGACATCAAAAGAAGCCAAACTCGGAATTCCTTCCGTTGTGCGGCCACCACCAGCAGCCCCGGGCTTCCAACCCCCATCGCCAAGGGATATCATGATGCTTGATATCGGTCCAAGGAATTCCACCATGGAGATTAATCGTTGCATCGTCTCCGCAACAACGGGGGGTGTAACTCCATCTGAGGAAAGTGTCTGCAAATTTCCAATCTTTCGTCTGGTTTCTTCTAATAATTCGGAGAGAGATGACTTGGCCGTCTCACGAACAGGTTTTAGCGCAGCAGAAAGGGAGTTCTTTAGCTCGCCCGTCCTTTTATCAAGGTTGCTTGATAAGCCAGAAATGATTTCGGTAACCTCATAGGCCATATAGCAGTCGGTCGTGAGATGAGATTTGATGTGTGTATTGAGCTCGCGTAAAGTCCTGGCCAATTCAGTAATGGCACCCTGGCAGGTTGCCTGCAATATGGGGCCCCAGTCCTCGCGCTTGAAGATGCTGCAGATATTATCGTATTCTGAGAGGAAGATGCCCTCCATGGCCTGGGTGTACGTTCCGATACCATTTGCACCTGCTTGATACACATCGCCCGGGTTTTTCTTCTTAGCAGTATTGACACTGGCGGCAGCCAGATTGGCGAGAGAGGCAGCCAAGTAAGGCCCTCGTACATCGGCATATATCCTCGCGACAGACGAGTCGAAGCTGTTGGGGAAGTCCCCTGCGACATGTGAATAAACGAGGCCTAACCGGGCGACCTTGTCTTGTGAAAGCACGGGGAACGGCTTGTCTTTGGTGATGTAATGAAGCGGTTCGAGGGATCGAGGGGTTTCGGCGCGAAGGATCTTGTCGAAGTGGTTCTCTAGCTGCGAGTTTCCCAGCTTGATGAGGCGGGTCAGCTCTGCCATCGTGCCTTGGTTTGCGCGGAGGTTCGAAGTCTGCATTTCCTTGTACGAGTTGCTCAGTCGCTTGATGGAGGCCAAGTAGTTCGACAAGCCGGCCTTTTCAGGCCCAGAACGAATGATTTGCTCCTCGTCATCTTTGCTGTCTGAGGGCTGGCGCAGGCGATCGATGGCCGTAAGCACAGATTCGACATCTAGCTCTCCTACTTAGCAGTGGTTCGGATTCCGACAGGAAAATGTTGGCTGACTTTTGCAGAGAGTCTGGAGACGTCTCGTCTCTCCATTCAGAGGGCCGGCGACATCCCGGACGCTTTGGCCCGTGGCTTCGAGTCGGCCAAGGGAGGCCTGGATCTTCTTGGTTAATTGGGAGGTTCGGTCGAGTCTGGAGTTTAACACGTCAACTTCCGCTCTGGCTTCCTCATCCACGGCGTTGTATCTGCTATTGGACAGCGCCCCAATAGCCATTGCGCCTGAAACAGAGGTTCGACTGCTGAAAGACGGAGAAGTTGAAAGAGTGCCAAGGTACGTCTACCAGCTACCTGTAGTGTCATTTGCGGTAGCTAAGGTATGGTGGAGTGCAGGGGTCGTTGGGAGCTGGGGATTAGCGGCCGAGCGTTTGGCCAATGAAGAGGCGGAGCCCGTGTCATAAAAGAGCAAAGCAGCTTTACTGTAGCATTACCAACATTCTTATTAAATCCAACAGTAGTGGTACGTATTGTATTACGGCAAATAAAGTTTGTTTGTAGTATTATAATTAGTGTGATTATTTTAGTAACAAGGTTTACGCTACGACCTTGGGCTTAAAAATGAAGTTTATATAACAACTCTTTTCATCGATTGTAGGAATAGAGCGGCAAAGGTACCTAGTGTGTAGATGATATTAAAATGCGTATTTTCAGGTTTAAATCAGCCCAAAAAATATCATGATGGATGAAGCTGATTACCTATTTGGTAGCGAGGCACTACCAGTACACATCAGTTGTAGCTAAATAGGTACCTTGATCTACCCAGTGGTACGAGAAGAGAATAAAACAGGCTATGCTAGATAGTGACGTCAAGGAGCAACGGAGATCATGTGGCGATACTCAATCTCAATAGCTTCTTTGCCGCCGTTGAATGAGGCTATTTTGCGGGGTAGCCAGGACTCTGGAGCCGTTATCCAATCCGAGGCCAGTCATAGGTTTCACTGACGATAGCTCTTCCAGCATGCCACCAATATCACGTAAAGTATTGTAGATCTCCGCCATATATAAACTCCTAAATATCCCATCAAAAACGCATCCTTCGTAAGTAGTCTGGCGTTGACATCGCTCGAGGTCCATCTTCATAAGAAACGAAGGTGCCAAATTGATATAGAACAACGTCATGGAGAACGCAGAAAGCCCCGAGCTGCAACAAAAGCAAGCTGCAACCGAAATTGGGAGCCCACCGGTTTCGAGCGGCAATAAAGATCGTCGATTTAGTGATGAATGGGGTTCGTTCCCGCAGCCTTCCCGCACCATCGCCGTCGGATATATTTGCTGGCGTAGAGCAAAGACTCGGGGGAGTTGTGCTGTCAAGCTGCTAACAAGGTACCAGATGCTGCAAAAGTGCCACCCAGTCGGTTTCAGAAGCGCAAAGGGTCAATATATGCCACGCCTAGCTCTCGGGATGGCCACATCGATAAGAATTACGCCGAGAAATATCACGCCAAGATTGCCGAGATGAAGGCGGGGAAGGCAGGTCGCTCTACAACTAGTGAAGAGACTCCAGGTAAAAAACAACAGGTTGATCCCATCGTATGGGTCGGGGGCTTTTCAGGGTAAAGTTGGTAGTATTGCAAGCAGGGCAGCGAGATCCCCTCTTAATGCAGCTCTTTTTTTTTTTTTTTTTTGCAAATTTAGTCGTCAAGACCATCAATATCAATAGCATCTGGGTTGGATGCCAAAGTTTCCTGTCTTGGCTGCATGTCTTTGAGCCCTGTGCTGGCAGCAACGAAGCCCTGCGGTGCTAGAGACTGCTTCTCTAGAGCCGCAATAGGATCGACAGCCTCTGTGCCCGGGGAACCTTCTGGTTTTTGTAAACTTCGTGCCAGAGCTTGTGACGCGATGAAGTTGACATCGGTGTTGAATTTTGCTTGCACACTGCGCTTGATTCGCAGCATTTCTTTGAATGTGTCCTCGTTGCCATGCTGAACTTCGAACTGCTCCCATTTTGTCCAGAAATCAGCGTTCGTTCGAGGGTCGCAGAACTGTGAGGCATGTCCATAGATGGCTCTTGCCCGATCGATCTCTCCCAATCGTTTCTCCATATCTGCAAACTTGAGACACATTTCCTTAGCTTCGCTGTCTGGGAGGGCTGTAATGGCTCGCTCATAGATGGGTCTCGTAGATGGCAGCCCGAAATTGGAGGCTGATTTGGTGATGTAAAAATTGAACATGTCAGCTCGATCTTCATCAGAAACCGCACGCGTTGCTCGTTCGTATATCCGCATGGCATGGCGCGCAAGCCCACGCTCTTCCTCCAAATTTCCATACATGAGGTATATCGTCTTGGCGAACTTGGGCGGACAGTCTTCTACCGCCTGTTCGAAGAGGTCTCGCAATCTCTCAATGCCAATTTTCCTGTCGACGGCCTTGGTGAGATACAGATTCCACAGTTCAAAAGCCACTGGATAGCTGAAAAGATCCAAGCCACGCTCGAAAACCTTGAATGACTCTTCGTAATACTTATGCTCCTCCAGAAGGTTGGCATAGTTCACGACTGTTTGAGGAGTCGCAATTCTCAATTCGAAGATACGTTCATACACCTTCTTGACTTCATCTAGAGTTGAGACGCTTTCCACCAAGTCCACGTAGAAACTCCAAAGCTTCCAGCTTTTGTGCACTCGCTGCTGAGGAGACAAGGCCTCGTCAAAGTAATCAACGTTGGATCTTTTTGGCGCTTGAATTGCCTTGGCCATTACTCGAGCGGCATCATCAAAGTTCTCGCTGCGCAGTTCCATTTCGGCCCATTCAATCCACATATCAGCCAGCTCTGCCACTGATTTAAATGGGACCTTGACGGCCTTTTCCATGATGATACGGGCGTTTCGAACATCTCCACCCCGTTCATAAAACTTGGCGTAGTTCGCCCACAGTTGATGAAACGGGCCAACAGCCCTCTTTGGGCTGATAGTTGTAATGGCATCCGTGTAAGTCTGAACAACCTCGGCGTTCTTGTCGCCCCAGAGCGCGACCCGTTTTTCCCATTCGAGAACATTGTTAGGATTCTGTCGAAGTAAAACATCGTTGAGAAGGAATGGACGCCGGTCCATTAGATTTTCAAATCTCATCATCCTGATATCGAGCTCCAAATCTGTGTCTTCGTTTTCGATGCCCTTCCCAGCTCGAGAGTTTGAAACATCCATCAAAGCACCAATTATGGATTCTTCAAATTCAGCATAAGCGTCGAAGATGAGAGTAAAGTCTCTGACTGTCATAACGGTTGTTATGCCCTCCTCAAAGACGTCACGGGCTCGCTCGAAACTTCCCCTTCTGATCCAATATGTCGCGAGTCCAACCCAAAGTTTGCCTCTTTGATCGCTAAATCGAATGATTCCGGACCTAATGATGCCCTCCACGTCAACTCCATTTTCGTAGCTCGTTTCGATGTCGGGTGCGTGCTCAACCAGCATTTCGACCATCTCGTTCCACAGCTCATAGTGACCTTTTCCACGTTTGCTCGAAAACCGTGTGTCGTTGAGGATATTGATGTATCTTTTTGCCGCCTCGGTATAGGCGCCTCTTAGAATGAGAAGCTCAATGAGGTCCTCGGCGTCCTCCGGATGAACCTGCATATATCGTCGCCAAATCTTAACTGCAGTTTCTCCCGAAGCGGCGTTGGCGAAGGGAAGATACAGCGACCATATGCGATTGTGCTGCGTAATCGGGAGCGCTCGGAGGGCTCGATCAAACGTTCGGCGGGTAAGCGTGACCAGAGGCTGCTTCATAAGAAATTTGAGGTACATTTCCCATATTAACGGCATCTTGTGTAATAGAATCAATGATTTCTCGAATAGAGCGTTGACTTTTCGGTATTCGGCGGCATGGACTGCTGGATTGAGCTTCGAAACGTGTTTCACGCGAAAGGTGAGATACTGTTGTTCCGTTAGCGATTTGGGCTACATTGCATTCTCGGGGTTCAACTGACGAGTTTCCAGAGCTTGTATGATCGCGGTAGTTTGATACAAGCACGCTCCATCACAAACGCTTGTTCCAGGACGCTCCCATGGCGAACCTTGAAATCGATATACTCTAGCCATGGCTTAACACGTGTGGGATCGCGGACAATGTCCTGCTCATAGACAGAGTCTTCGTTCGACTAAGAGTACAGTCAGAAAGAAAGGCGCAGCGCAAATCGCTCTCCAGGGGAACTCACAACAAGAAATAGGTCCATTCCGTCCGCTACTGGGGCCGCCATGGTGGCTTTCCCCCTCTCAGGCGAGAGGTTGGAGACGTTACTGCGATGTCGGTATTTTCGATGCTATACAACGAGGCTCATTGTTTTGTCCTTGGAATAGTTTTGCGCAGAAATTGCTGTCAGGATGTCGGATGTCGGCCTACAATACGCGAGGGCTGCATATAATTTATCGCGACAGAAATATTTAGGCGCCTGCCACGGCCATGGAAGGTAGCGGTGCTAGCGCAAGTAGCAGGCGGAAGATGCCCGCTTATAGTGATATTGGCTTTGTGGGGGGAAGCATGCGCTGCCCAGCCGTGGGGAGCTATTATCTGCAGGTACGCAACTTATCGAAGCATAGCGAGTGACATCCATACAGCAACGACAAAGGCCAACCCAACAATTTATAGAAGCTCCTAATCAATCTCGCAAACATGTCTGGCGCTGCGGTACGTTATAACACATGGCTATTACTGGTTTCTATTTCTACCGCGGCCGATCCGATATATCTGACTGTCTAATAGGATCGTGAGGCCGTCTTCCCTACTCGGCAATCGCTCGGTATCATGAAGGCCAAGCTCAAGGGAGCTGAGACTGGCCATAGTTTGCTCAAGAGGAAAAGCGAGGCACTTACCAAGTGAGTAGACAATGCTATTATAATTACTTTTCATGGAGCAGCAGCTAACTAGAGCTATCACAGACGTTTCCGAGGTCAGCTACTGTCGTTTCAACCAGCGTTTCTCTCGGACAAACTAACCAATCTCAGAAATTACTCGGCGAATCGACGAAGCGAAGCGGAAGATGGGCCGTGTGATGCAGATTGCGGCATTCTCTCTTGCTGAAGTCAGCTACGCTGTTGGAGGCGACATTGGATATCAAGTTCAAGAATCCGCGAAATCGGCTCGATTCCGAATACGTACAAAGCAGGACAACGTTTCAGGTGTTCTCCTGCCGGCCTTTGAGAGTTATCTGACAGAGGGCAACAACGACTTTGGACTCACTGGCTTAGGAAAAGGTGGACAGCAAGTCCAGCGATGCAGAGAAACCTATGCACGTGCTGTGGAAGCTCTGGTAGAGCTGGCGAGCCTCCAGACTGCATTTGTGATATTGGATGAGGTTATCAAAGTGGTTAATCGACGAGGTTTGCTTTCAAAGGATTGGCTACTCTATCACATTGGCTAACTCGATATAGTGAACGCAATTGAGCACGTTATCATTCCCCGAACAGAGAATACCATCAAATACATCAACTCCGAACTGGATGAACTGGACCGTGAAGAGTTTTACCGTCTGAAAAAGGTCAGAGGGCCTATACATGGCTTCTTCTCTCTGCATCGAATGCTGACATTGTTTATTTGTTCAGGTCGCCAACAAAAAGCAGCGAGATAACGCTGCTGCCGATGCCGAGATGAAGGCGAAGAGGGAAGCCGCCGAGAACAACAATACTGGGGCTGCGGCAGATGATTCAGGCCCAACAGATATATTGGCCGCAGCGGACGATGACGACGTGATTTTCTAAGCGCACAAGGGCATAACTTTTTGTCAAGGCCCTTTGATAATTTTCTTTTCCTCTTGTACTTGTAGACTGCAAACATTGCCATAATACAGAAGTATATACCAAAACACCAAAACGCATCGCCCATTACATTAGTGATAACGACGCCCTATTGACGTTGGTAGGTAACCTTGATTGGTTTATCCGCTAACAACATTCCAGCAGTATTCTCCTTCGCCGTAATAGCGCCTTGTTCATTCTGATACTCAACAAAGGCAATTCCGCGTCGACCTGGAACCAATCTAATTTCTCGGAACCCATCGAACCGGCCAAAGATGGCGTTGAGGCCGTCAATATCATATTCATCGGGGACATTCTGGATAAAGAGAATCTTGTTCGGTGGCAGGTATTCGTCTGGTACGACAGCTGATGCTGGGGCGCTGGTGGACTTCAAGCCCGACGGCTTCGCTGATTTCGATGGTCGAGCTTCGGCTGCGGCAGCGGCACCTCTCTTGAGCTGCCTTTGTTCGTCGGCTGCCTCGAGCGCCTTGCGTTTATCTGAGGGACGATTAGTGCTGAGAAGACCAATTCGATTGTTCGGGCGTCTCTTACCCTTTTCTGCCTGCCTATGCCGCTTGTGAGTCTCGAGTTCATCCTTGCTACAGTTGATCTCGACGGTTCTGTCGCTCTGCATCCGGGCCATCGCAACTCTCAAGGGCTTGCCAAAGAGCTCGAATCCTTCGACCTCTTCGATGGCATTTTGAGCGGCGCTGGGTTGATCAAACACAATAAATGCCTGTCCCTTTGCCTTGAGGTTTCTCTTGGCCACGATATCAATTACATTCCCGAACTCGGAGAAGATGGTCTTCAATGCTTCCGACAACACTTCAGGCTTCACCCGCTCTTCCAAGTTTTGAACGTATACCCTACGAAAAGATCAGCTTGTTGCCATGTACGACGCGTCGCGGTGCAATGACACGTACGTAGTTATGGGCATATCGGACGCCATCTTGAAATCCTAGTGTTGGTGAAGAAACCATCAATCAGTATGGGAGGTCTTGGATCGCATTCAGAGGGATAGCGCCAACCTAGAGCGCCAAACGCGAGCTTTGGATATTACGCCACTTTTTTCAAGAAGTAGCCAGCAGTACCACTCAAAAAGGTAACTAGGTTGTATGTGACATGTGAAAATGCTTTTCAAATTTGTTTATTTTATTTGAAGCAATTTTTTTTATTAAAAGCAGGAAATCTCCAAGCAATTACAGGGCCTGGGTGTAAACTTCGCCGTAATGTCAAGAAAATCGCTGCTAGGCCAAATGCTTGTAAAGAATACGCTAACCTAAAACGGAAATATATGACTAAGCTTTCTTCCTCCAACCTATCTACGTCCTCGAATGCTGCTCATGAGCTGTAAGAGCCAGGTGTACTGTTACATCAATGTCTTGTTCAAAAACAGCTGTTGTTCTGCTTTGCAAATCTATCTAGCTCAATCATCGGCTAGTTGAATGAAGAGCAGCTATTTGACTGAAGCTAACCACTTTAATTAAGCCGTCTAGAACAGGTCACTTTCTAACTAGGGGCTCAACTTAGTAGAAGTCAGGCGCGGAATAAGAGTAAAATACAAATAATGCTTCTGATAAATATACTACTATTGGAATTTGTACTGTTAGACAATTCAAGTGTGTAATAATCCACATAGCAAAACCATTCTTTAATAAAACATATTACTACTATAACGCAGCGAAGTTCCAGGGTATATTTTGACATTGTGCTGCAAGTAGTAGTTACCTGGCTACCCTATTGTTTTTCTCCGGGGGCTGTGCGGCAAGGTCTCATCTAATTTTCGAGATAAAAATCTCCCCGTTCATTCCGCATTTAAACAACAATACTAGCAAGCTGCCCAACTAGCTAGTACAGATAAACCCAGCCGCGAGACCTGAGCAGCATGTAAGCGCTTACAATGCCAACTGAGATTGACCATTCAGCGCGATTAGCTGAAAGCGGGAACTAATAAAGCTTGGCCAAAGCTTAGCTTTCCTTTTCTAGATCGACAAGAGGTCTGTAATCACACAAGAATTCACAGCCTATAAAAACTGCAGCAAATTACATCGAGCGATTCAACGCAAGCGACCTCGATGGCTCCGAGATGACTCACCTGCAAGATGTCTTTAGTTCTTTGTGGGTTTCATGACCGATATGAAACACATGCCATCCTGCATCAAAATACAGGCCAACTTCACATGGAGAATGAAAGATTGAAGGAAGCGCAGCTTATTGCACGGATCAACTCAGTCCAGAAGAGAGAACTTTACAATTTGACGAGTAAATCATCTTCTCAATCAGGGATCATCCACAGCCCAAAATGGACAGCTCTTCAAACAGCAACGTCTCACGTGGTAAATGGCTTGTTGGCCATGCGAAACTTTCCAGCACAACCATTTCTGTTCTATCTCGGCTTACAGAAATGCTGACCCGTAGAGTTGCATCTCGGCTTGCAGAAATATTTCCAACGCAGCCAATTTTTTTTTCCCTATCTCGGCTTGCAGAAATGTCTTCAGCTCATGGAACCATTTTTGCCCTATCTCGGCTTGCAAAAATAGGCACTGACCCGTGGAGTTGCATCTCGTATGTCCTCGGTTAAGTGCCGAGAGCTTCAAGGGCACGTGCAGCTGTGCCTTTTTTCCTTGCCTCTGCGATCGATTTTGCTTCTGCGATCGATCTGCCTTGGCGCTCGCTCGATAAAAAAACTAATGGGAAATCATGAAGACGGGAAAAATGCATTCGCCAGGACTTTTCTTGTCGCCTTTCAAGACAAGTCATGGGAGAGGAATGCACTCCTCCCTCTTTTTTTCGCGTCTGCCCGAGGGGTCGTATCGGGAAGAGCTGCTATCCCTGCGGCATAGATTACACGTTTTAATCAATCCCTCCCCACATGCTCTCCTCGTGCATCTCTGGATGGATCATATATTGGTCTCAGTTTCAAGGGGTGAGGCTTGGGTAGCTATTGTCACCCGTTTCCAGCAACTGGTATGGATCGCCGGCGCAGTCGGGAAACAGAATTTGGCAGGACCAGCATGAGAGCTCCGAGCTGCCACCCACTCGGCGACTTGTCACCATCAAGCATTCCCCAAGGAATCAAGAATTTCGTGGCCACATCTTTGGACGGCCTAGCGAGTGTAGATTTGCGTTCCGACAGTTCAAGCGGCTTCCTTAGCTTGGGTATAAGTGCTTTACGACTCAAGCGTTCGAATCTCAAGAGGTCTCAGTGCGCCTACCATGGCAATAGTAGGGGCAGAAATCCTGCCTCTTGCTCAAAAGGCCTATATGCTTTCCGGAATCTATTGCGTCAGCTTGATAAAGAGGTACATTTTCACCACCCCATCAGGCAGAAGGCGTGAAAGAGCCGGTCGACGATGAGCCAATTGCTGATAACATCCTAAGCAGATTCTGGCGACGAGGCATCGCACTCTTGGTCCTAGACATGTCTTATCATTTCATTCTATGCGGCCAGGTATTTAGCTAGTTGATAAGGCGCATCATCAAGTCAAAATTCCCAGTCACTAGGATCGGCACTTATCCTGCCAGAATTTGCCAGACCATCATCTCACAGACATATCGTATTCTTCTACAAACCGATAGAAGACAGTCACCATCCTAAGTAGGCATCCTATGCTGGCAAGTTGCGACAACCAAATCTGATAGCCGGCTTCCGTTTATGAAGTTCATTGCTCATAGTCACTGGAATTTTGGACGATCAACCCTAGATGTGAAGCTTCGGATATGCCCGACTCTTAACAAGGAGGCTTGGAGATAATTGACCCATGAACACGAAGCCTTGGATATGGTCAGCCCTGCTCCCTGTTACCATCTTATCAACTGATGAAGTCATCATCAATTTAAAAGTTCCCAATCGTCGGAATCAGGATCGGCCCTAAGTGTATGGCTTTGAGCGTGGTGTCTCACATCCCATTCTTTCGAATGGCCATGACATTATAAAGAGAGGGAAAACCCCAAGCTGCAACTGGTATGTGTAGCCTCCCCAATGATCATGATGATCTTCGATTGATCGATATCTCATCTCAATTGCCATCGTTTGATCGCCAATGCCCTCTATGTATATGATATTTGGGTCCCCGCTGCTTCAAAGATCTTTTCTGATGTGTTCTCTATAAGTCGCAGCCCTGCGATAGGACATGTTAAACAACTCCTCACTAATTGTTCAACATAACTGTGCGGAACAATAGCTGATTTTGGCCGGTAAAGACAACCTCGACTCGAGATGGACTCTCTCCACTCTCTCTCGGGACTTTCAGTCTTGCTTGAGAGCTTATACTCCCTGCCAATACCTGAAATCAGCACAAGTGGAGGATTTAAACATCTTCTATGTTCAAGCATTGACAAGGAACGGATCTTGGAGGCAATCCCAGACACGCCACATCCTTCCTCTCGACCACTGGCGTTGCTTGGTGCACTATTGACCGAGTTACCGGGATCATGGCCGACGTTCCCTCTAGTCAAATGCTTCACAAGACTATATCGCTTAATGCCAGAAGATGCCAAGTCTTATAAAGATACAAGAGCAGCACAAATAATTCACGACACCTCGAAACTGGTGAAAACATCTTATGGGTCGTTTGCCTCTTTTATATCTTACGACTTACGGCCAGCTCTGAGGTCATCAACGCCAGGAAGCTATATATCCCACAAGGGACTACGAAGATTTGTTGATAGCTTTCAACTCCCATCTGGAAGTTTTACTCAGAAACCGATTGTCGCAATAGCTTTGCCCAATGGCCCGTTGCTTGCTGCGACCTGTATTGCGGTTACAACATATTATACCTCTGCGCCAATCAACCCTGCTGCTGGCGCTGAGCAATTCCGCGCAGATGTGCAACAAGCCGGTGCTAAGTTCATATTGACGACAAGAGACGACTATGAAAGACTGGGATTAGAGGATCCCTGGGTCGCCTCAGCGGGAATTCAAGTTTTCGTGGTCAAGTGGGACAATAACGACAAGATCGAGATTCAAGACCTTAGCGGCATTGCTATTTCTCAGCCGAGCCAGAATCTTCCTTACAATGAACCAGATGATTTTGGATTGATACTTTTCACAAGTGGCACATCCGGCACAAAGAAAGTCGTTCCCATGACAATGCACTCTATTATCGCTGGCATCAGCTTCGTAGTAGAGTCATGGGGTCTGACTGCTTCTGATATATGTCTCAACATGATGCCATTGTACCATGTGTAAGTGTAAAAGCATTAGAGAACGCGTGGGACAACCTTAGCTAACATCTATGGCAGCGGAGGATTGGTAAGAAATATCTTCGCTCCTATCTTCGCAGGTGGATCAACAGTCTGCTGCGCAGCATTTGATCCCGGTTTATTCTGGGATGTGGTCCAAGAAACTCCCGTGACGTGGTATTACGCATCTCCATCAATGCACTCCGTCATCTTGGCTGCTGCGTCGGACCGTCAAGCGGCCCTGAAGCAGAGCTGTATTAGATTGGCATGTAATGCTGCGGGAGGTCTCCTGCCGTCGTTGGCGTGCAAACTTCGAGATACATTCAACTGCGTTGTGCTTCCAAGCTATGGAATGACCGAGTAAGAGATATGATATCAATCTAGAGCAATCAATCATACTGACATATAATAGATGCATGCCAATATCAACGCCACCACTTGATTACCAGTTGGACAGAGAAGGTACATCAGGCGTCAGCGTAGGGCCAGAGTGTTCCATCCTGGATTGGTCGGATCATCATGTCCCATTGGGCGACGTAGGGAGGATCTGTGTGCGCGGTGAGCCTGTGTTCCCTGGATACCTCAAACCAGACGGAACTCTGGACAAGTCGCCGTTCAACTCAAACGGCTGGTTTGACACAGGTGATCTTGGTTACATGGATAAAGACGGCTACCTTTACATCACTGGGAGGAGCAAAGAAGTTATAAACCGAGGTGGCGAGCTCATCTCGCCCTTCGAGGTGGAAAATGCCATTATGCGCTTATCCATGTCCCCGGAGTCGCCTCTCCATGGACGCATTCTCCAAACTCTTGCCTTTTCGGTGCCTCACGATGTGTTGCAAGAAGTCGTTGCAGTGGTGTTGGTAACCCCTGCAAATGCTCCTCGCGTCGATCTGAAAACACTACAGACTGCTTTACGTTCGTCATTACAGCAAGTCAAATGGCCGGTTCTCATCACTTATATGAATGATGTCCCAAAGAAGAACAATAAAGTCTTGAGAATCAGACTAGGCCAGAGGTGTGGGATACCAGAGTTAACAGACGACACATGTTATCTGAACAGGCACTGGGAGGCTACATGTCCACCTCCCGACACCGACCTCTCAGTTCCAATTAACTCATTACAATGTGCTATTGACTATGGCACCTTGTCTGCTGGCTTGAATGCCATCGTTCCTGGCAATTTTAGGCACTACTGCAGACAGAATCACACTAGGGGGTCATTACAAGCTTTTATCAGTCCGGTTGAAGGAAATTCAGGGGCATTAGATCAACAGCCAGATGCGTTGAAAGCACAGCTATCCAAAACCATTCACGGATATTTGGTGCCTGAGCACGTATACCTGCTGTCAGATCCCCTGCCACTTGATCCTTCTGGCGCCGTCGATAACGACGAACTGGATCGGCTACTTGCAGAAATGGAGAATGATTCTTTGCAGGAGCTTGAGGCGTCCACTGAAGGAAAAGTTAAAAGGATTTTTGCAGATGTCCTTTCCCGAGACCCACGGGACATAGCACTCAATGTCGATTTCTTCACTCTCGGTGGAGATTCTCTTAAAGCAGGGCGAATGGTATCAGCATTACGATCTACATTCGCTATCCAGATTCCCATCCAGCTTGTCTTCAACCAAGGGACTGTTTCTGCTATTGCTACGTTTGTCGACAAAACAATAGAACTTCAACCGGCTGATGCAGTCACTGATAACACAATTGGTTGCTCGAAGACTTACAGTTCCACAAACCCCTTTGTGATGTTTCTTCAGCTGATTCCGCTCACGGTAATCTATCCTCTACGTCGTGCTGTTCAATGGACCGCCTTTATTGTTGCTTTGGGCTACGCACAAAGCTGGCCAACAAATCACCATACACTGGGTCGGCTGTTCAATGTGGTGATTTCGGTTGTATTCTCAAGATTTGTTATTCGAATCGTCAGTCCCTTTTTTGGCATTGCGGCAAAATGGCTGATTATTGGCCGCTATCGCGAGGGGCTTTACCCCATGTGGGGGACATACCACACGCGCTGGTGGATGGTCCAGAAGATTGTCAGCCTTTGTGGAAAGGGATTTTTCAATATGAATGGAAGCATGAAGCTCATGTATTACCGGCTGATGGGAGCAAAGATTGGCAAAAATGTCCAGATCTCTGGCACCTCAGTTGGTGAGTGGGATCTTCTTGATATCAGAGATGGGGCAACTCTTTCACAATGCATGTGTCGTCCATTTGCTGTGGAGGGAAATACGTCGATGTATTTGGGCCGTATTGTCATTGGAGAGAATGCCTCTGTTGGTGCAGCATCAATCATAACACCCGGTGCAGTAGTCCCTGCCAATGTTTGCATAGGAGCGAATTCGTCGAGCTGGGAGCTTGATGACGCTGACGAGGAGAACCGGACCCTTTCTTCTAACCAAGCGCAAAAACCGCATCTTCTTCTCACTTGCTTATTCACTGTGCCGCTGGTTTTCTTCGTATGGATCCTATCGCTGCTCCCTTGGCTGGGTGGTATCCTCGGCATGGTAGAAACGATGCCCTCCCCAGATATCTCGCCAGTAAGAGGGGTTCTTGACTGGTTCTCGACGCCCAAACGGGTGGGATTTCACTCTCTTGCTTTGGTATTACGGAGTATGGCTAGTCCGTACATCTTCTTTGCTTTCACCTTGGTCGTGAAATTACTACTAGATGCCGTGTTTGGAAAGATGACCTTTGCCTCTGCAAGAGATCAAGGAGCGATTGCTACGTGGCGAGCAGCTCTGCTGAAGACCTTGTTGCCAGTTTCGCGCCTACACGACATGACGGCCATGTTTGGCCAGCATTACGAGGCAACATCTATTGCTTTACGCTTACTGGGTGGTCGAATTGGCAAGCGAATTTACTGGCCAGGGACTGGTCCCGGCATTGGGGATTACCATCTGATAGACATCGGAAACGATGTCGTTTTTGGTTCTCGCTCTCGCTTCATTACCTCGGATGGCACTGGTTCCGAAAAGATCACTGTCGAAGACCGTGTCATGATCGCAGATCGAGTGTGTCTGCTCCCCGGCGTGACAGTTGGCACTCAAGCTACTATGGGTTCTGGCTCCCTGACACGCCGGGGGGCATCTTATGCACCTGGTGGTGTCTTCGTGGGCTCAAAAGGCCGCGACTGTGTCCATCTCTCAGGTGGCCAGAGCACGGCAGTTGATGACAATAAATTGAACCGTACCCGTACCCGTACCCGTGTGCGACATATACGCAGCGATGACACTCTCACTGGCAATAAGACGGATTCAGATTCCAAGGAGACTAGCATACAAGCTCGAATTCCTCATTCGAGCAGTGAGGATACGCTCGCCGAATTACGCACTTCAAAAACGAGGCCAGGTGAGATTAAAAAGGAAGGCTTTACGGCCTCTGAAAGCGAAACAGATGATCATGCGTCAGAAACGGCGGAGACGGACGACTTGTCTCCATTTGGACGTGCATTTTATCTCAAACGTGCGCCTTACCACGTCCTGGGACAGTTTGCCATATTCTGCTACTCCTCATTCATCGTCATTTTCACCACCTTTTACTGGAATGCGCCAGTCGTCATATGCGCACAAGTGGTTGACCACCTTATGAATCGGTTCGTTCGCCGCGACATTGGTTACGTATTCAATGTTGGCGTGCTATTCCTCATGTCTTGGGCAAGCATGGCTGTCGTATTCACAATGTTGGCCGTTTTGGCGCTCTCCATTGTCATTGCGAGCAAATGGATTCTGATAGGCCGCCGGATGCCTGGAAACTATGACTGGGATAAATCTTCTTACTGTCAACGATGGCAAATGTTCCTCAGCATCGAGAGGCTTCGGCGGCGCTGCTTTCATAGCCAAGGTATTATCGGGCTCTTAACAGGAACCCACTGGATTGTTATGTACTTTCGAGCACTGGGTGCTGAGATTGGCAAAGACTGCGCCCTTTTTGCCAATGGTAATCCCAGCTTGACATTTACAGAGCCGGACTTGATCAAGCTAGGAGACAGAGTTGCTATTGACGATGCTAGTGTGGTGGCTCACATCAACACTAGGGGCAAGTTTGATCTGAACAGACTCAATATTGGAGACAGGTGTGTCATGCGTTCGGGAAGCAGACTGCTAAGCGGTGCCACGATGAAGGATGACAGCTGTCTTTTGGAACATACGCTCATTATGGGTGGCGATGTTGTGGAAGAAAGATGGACAATGCAGGGATGGCCTGCAGAGAGGCATACCGGAAAGAGAGCAGCGATTGAGTAGAAGGTCGAAGTCAAGCGTTGTACAGATTACGAGTGCGCTTCGCATCTTGCTCGCATATGACAGACAGACATGGTAAGTAAGTAGAATGATTAGCGAAAAGGGGGTTAGCTTCACGCTTCATTGGAAACTGGGAGAGTTGACGCTTGTTTGGAACGAAATCTTTAGTTAGGTAGATAGATCATGACGAAATGATGGTTTGCACTGCTCTTATATAGCGAAAAATCAGGTTTTCTTTCTGGCCCTAGCAGCATCAGTATCCACATTCATGTAGTATATTGGCCGTCTCACCATGCATATATAGATATATAATGTCTAGGTACCTAGTTTGAGTATCTCGTGAAACTTTGTATACATGCATTATACTCATTATCATTATTATCGTTATTATTATTATTCAAGATATGTACCCTAGCTTTGAGTACTGCTAATGGCTTCGCTTAAAGACGCCGAAATCAACCCATGTGTTCCTCTGCTCGCCTGCACCGCCCTTGAAACTAGTGATTGGTGATTGTATGAAGCAGACGAGGGTAGCTGGCCCTTGAACCAGAGATTGGTGACTTCATCTCTGTTGGGCAGATATGCCACGCAGCAAGCAGCCAGAATGGATTCGTGCTCCAGCGCAACAGGGTCCAGCACTATCGAGGCATCGTCGCCATCCTTGCTCGCCACCAGCGCAGCTACTCCTCCAGAAACAGTGTCGACGCAGTCAATCCCTGCATCGGCAATGGCTGCAGAAGCAACAGTAATGCATCCGCCCAAAACATTCATCACGTCCCATTCCTCGACTCGCCGCTCCACCGCGTCTTGCCGAGTTGACTCCCCCTCGATGATTGTGACCACGATGTCGACGCCGCTCTTGGGCCACCGGTCAGCAATCAGGGCCCCGCGAAGAGCAGTCTCCAGGTGTGTGCTGAGATCCTTTTCGCTGGAGTCACGAATATAGCCTCTACGCTGTTTCGTGGCAAATGGAGCAAACTTGACATGGGTTGAGAGCACCATGTAGGGCGAGAAGGGAGCAGAGCGTGGAAGGGATCTGGGTCCATGGACGGTGCACGTCAATTTCATGCCTGAGCCGTGTTCTCCTTCTCTGGGCTCAATCTCGAGATAGGCTGAGCCGGATGCTGAGGGCGTTACCCCCGTCTTGAGATCTAGTTATAAATGAAGTCTTAGTCTCCGATTTCTCATGATAGCTCATAGAGCTTTATCTGATTGGGATGGGTTCATCTCACAGAGAGGCCGGATGGCATCAGGTGCTCGCTGGCGACGCGAAGCCGCATTTAATTCGCCATCGTCATAGACGGGCGGTAAAGTAGAGCTCCCGGGCCCATTGACTCGTCTTCGATCGGCCATGATGTCTGGTTTCTTGGCTGTATAGCATCAACAGCCCAAAGAACTTTTTACTTTTTTCTCAGAGTGAGAGCCTCAGCGAGCTAGACCCACTGTATTTTCTTCGTTTCAGTGCAGAAGCGCTGCCTTTTCCCCAATAGGGCATAACTCAGGTACGTACCTATCTGGCAGAAGCTCCAGAGCTCGAGGCGCTATTTACCTAAGCGTGCGAATCTAACTGCGTATTTGCATATCGATACGGCAGAGCTCCGCGACTACAAAATCTTTCTGAAATTTTCTTTGCTCTGCTTTGCTCTTCTTCACTTGGTTACAAAAAACACCTTCGCCGCGCATTGTCGTGGCTTGTGTCGAATTTGCACCAATGAATGCTGGGGCTGCTGCACTCCAAAAGGACGAGCGAGATATACCGCCCCAGCCGCAGCTACACAGGTAAGCAATGCAGTATTTGCCTCACCATTCGAAGGCGTTTTGCCAACTTCGCATCACCAACCTCCAACACATCTTTCATGATGATTTTTTCACACTCTGTTCCCGCGAATCCTGAGCGCAGAACAAAACATGCATCACCATCTGATCCAAGCCTTCTCACACTGGTTGTGCTGTACTTTTGAGGACGTCAGTCAACTAACGCTGATGCTCTAGGAGACACTACCTGCTGCTACTACCGGTAAGAGTTTCGGTATAAATGCTGTGATGTTAAATGGTAAGCACCACTATTCTTCCTTTTTTTTCCATCTTTTCTTTATCCAATTTGCCCACCGACTTTATGATGAAAATCCTTTTTTCCAGTTCTGCTACTGAACATTATTGATGACTCCTAAATTACCATACCAAGATCTCTGATGTCGGACTCTATCACTTCTGTCAATGTTTATTTCACCGCGCTACATTTCAAGCCGCTAACATCTTGTTCTACTATGTAGTGTTGCCGCCGTTGCCATGTCTTTCCAACTCGCATTGTCCACAATGAAAACGGGAAATGGTAAGTGATGATTTTTTTCTTCCCATCTCGACATCCCCCTCGAGGCCTATGTGATGAAAATTAAGTTCTATCCATTCAACAATCGCCTCTAAGCCAAGTCGTTCTTCTTTCCTGCAAGTGTTTACGCATGCGCATGGGATCAAGGTCTCGACTCCAGTGTCTTGTTTGTGGGGGGCTCGTTTTGAGTTCTTCGCAAGCAGGGCCGGCTGGACGCATGAGTCAAATCGGCTTATCTGATATGCCACTCTCGACACTTTGTGTATACGACTGAAGCCCTGGGAGTAACGCTAACGTCTAAAAGCTTCTGTAGGCACGCTGTGTAAGAACTGTATTGGCATTTCCAGATTGTCTACACAACACAGGGATGAGTGTTTGTCCCTCCACGTAGACAAGTAGACTGTAAAGATGTAGCCTCTTGGTCAAAGATGATTGGCCTGATGTGACTGGATGGTCTTGATTGAGCGAGAGCACAAGCCGTCTACTTCAATTTAGATCATCTATTTATACCAGAGTCATCCATCTAACCCATTGCTATCAAAGATGCAACCATGGAACGGGGTGGCTCATATGCTGAAACTTCAACCTTGCAGTCTGTTGATCAGCTCCATCAACTCTCAAGATGCTTTCCATACAATAACGTAAAAAATACAGTTTAACCTGAATATATGCACTGTGCTGTCCTCACTTTAATGTGTCACCGTAGCATGTGCCTAGAACGCTGGAGCTTAGCTTGACCAGGCATGCTTTTATACCAGCTAACCAGTCCCAGTCTACATGTAAACTGCCTGCTCTCACCATAATCCGTGTTAACAGCCGAAAAAGATTGAGGGAAAAGCCCCCATGCAACCGTGTCTCACTGTTTTTTTTCACCTCATAAATCAGTAAAGGCTCTTATCATGCATGAATCTTTGCTCGGCGATAGCAACCGTGAAAGGCTGCATGCAATCCAAGCTGGTTTGTTCAAGACGTCTTCATGTGTCCAGAGAAAACATCGCTAAGCCGATCGTTAGCAGAAACATCAAAGAAAAAGGAGCTGAATCTGCAAGAAATCTCGTCCAAAATACACGGTGCAGCTACTCCAGAGGTGAGCTCTCTCAACTCGTCATTTCTCGGCCATGGCTTTGTTTCTCACATTTCACCATCTCTCATCCATAGGCACTTCGTGATACAGGCCTAGAGCTGTTTCACCATGTCGATGCTCTCTTGGCTACTCGCGCAAACGGCCAAGAAGACCAGAAGTGCCTATCGACGGAAGCCTCTAATCCAGCTTCCAACGAAGAGTCATCACGTGTGCAAAAACTCGTCGGCTCGGTGGCCCAGAAGCTGTTACAATTTCCTGCTTTTGGAAATGATGCCGCCGTACAAGGTAAGGGCCCTCGACGCTTGTTAAACAAACCGTCAAGGCTAAACTATTCATACCACATGGATCAGATTCCGATTATGCTGCTCATTCTCTGGCTGCCGAAGCTGGGCTGGCACTGCTCGTCATAATCTCGCTTTTCTGCACCTCGCCTTCTGAGCCTTTTCTCATTGACGACATAGTTTTGATCAACATCGTTACGTACACTGACGAAAACGATGCTTGGACAACGGAAGAGTCATCACAACTTGCAGCCCGTCTGTTAAAATCCAATATGGCCGATGACAAATTGGATACCTTCATCACCCAACGCCTACTCCAGGACACGCTTCGGCCGCTATTTTCTAAATCGTCTATCCGGTTAACTGCTTCTGGCAGGCCATCACAAATCGCTCAGCAGCCTCCCAGTACACAGGCCAGGACGTCTCTAGACAGCGTTTCACAGGAACGCGAAAAACTCCATGCTGCGTCAAGCTGTAAATGGGCAGTCATGTCGTGCAGTGTAGGTCACTCCAAAGATCAGAATGTCCAAGCATAAGTGCTAACTGATGTTCAGCAAACTACGATGGGTCGCCACTGGCCCCTGTTTCTTCCGATCCTACTTTCACTAGCCGAAGACCATAACACAGCAGTCAGGATAAAAGGCTTGCAGATTATTGGTTTCTTCCTAGATACATGCCCGGCAAACGTAATCCTGTCTGCTGGCGTTGACAACGTAATCCAGGACGCTGTTTTCCCTACGCTGCTCTTCTTACCCTCCACAACACCTGAGAGCGAGTCCATAGAGCTCTTGTATCCTGCATATCGAGTGCTCCTTCGGATAGCCCAGCTGGATCCAGACCCAAACAGTTTGCGAAGGCGACGTTTTCTTGACAAGCTCTTGAGGGATGGCGTCTTTGTGGGCCAGTTTCATGCATCCGAGTATCCTCGCATCGTCGAAGTTCTCATGAACATCACAAAGGATGTCATCTCGTGCTTGGGATTCTTCTCAGCAAAGCATCTTCAGGTGGGATGGAAAACCCCCTTTGAAAGAATCTCTCTGTTGTTGTGTGCTAACAGCTTTCGGATAGAACCTTCTTCGTCTGTTTGCCTCTATACTATCGGATCCCTTTGTTATGGGCTACCCACCGTTGATCCTTTCAACTACAGAAGCCTTGAATGCAACTTTGGTGAATTGCTGGCCGAGATTTTCATCTCCTGGGTACATCGACCAAGTCATCCATACGATTTCTTTGTGCTGGCTCAATCTTAAATCGTCACAGCTGCCGCCCGAAGATGTGGATCAACTTTCAGCACATCTAACCCGTACATCGACAATCTTGCAATCTCTTTGGGTCCGAAAAGGTTCTGGGCCTATTGAAGGGCTCACAGCGGCGCTACAAAAAGAGCCACGGCTAGTCGATTTGTTTCCCAGTATCCCAACATAATGAAATGGGCAAACACGTGTGTCTGCTCCTGGGAGCTACATAACGTTCAGTCAAGAGGCTGCTGCTTGAAGAAGGATTTACCTCGAAGCCATTTCCCGTAGGCTTTGTACCTCTTCTTAGGCGCATCCTCTTCGGTGACAGTCAGGGGATTCTCTACTACCTTGACCAGCTCTGAATATACGTCTGCATCTTCGTCGACCCCTGGAACCATCAGGCCTTGGTTTAGCCAAGTACCATCAACATAATCCTGATACTCCGATGAGTCGATGTCTATAGGAGTGTCGCTAGATACAACAAGTGGAAGATTTTGAGGATGACGAATATATCGTTCATAATCATCCGCCTCCTGATCCTTTACGACCGGGTTTAGTGCGTCATGTACCGCTTTGGTAAACGTCCACTGTGTTGTTTTAGATTTTTCGAGGTCTGACGACTTCTCTTTCAGATTCAACGTATCTGCCGATGCAGAAGCTTTGGGTGAATACATGGCCTCGTGACCATTGTAGATTCCCCAGCGCTCGCCAGCATGTGATGGCCGCAGCCAGAGATTCCGAGATCCATCCCTCCCAGATCCTATATCGGAGAAAGTAACTGAAGCTCGATCTCCCGTGTCCAAATGTCGGTAGGTTGTCGAAGCAAGAGACGTGGTGGGTGATGTCTGCTCCTTTTTCACTTTTCTCTTTTCCGGATCGACATCACCATCGGTTCGGACTCGGAAGGGGCTGAGGTCGTATCTACCATCTTGAGTTGCCTTTAGAGGAATGTATTTAATGGTAGAATTCATCTTGTACGCAAACATCTTGGGGAAGGAAGATAGGGTGGCTGGCCGATAATATTCTAGCCAATAATCGTCAAAAGACTCTGCATTTTTGCAGCGGCCAAGAGCCGTTGGCGCTACAAAAGGCGGTATCTTGCGCTCTTCGAGATATGCCGGTGTGAACCACTTGATGTAACTAGGTCGTCCTGTATCTGTCCATTCTCTAGGATTGGCGTGGTGAAGGTAGTAGTCTGTTGGGAGATCCCAAAGCATAGGTTGGCCTTGTGCGAAAATATAGTTGCCTAGGAAGAGATTGTACGCCTCTTGTCTCTGGCTGTCCAGGAACGAGTTATTGTAGTAGCGCTTGAAGCTTTCTATCATATCTCGAGAGTGGCTGGTCCATTGGTTGATTTTGCGATAGGTTTCCATGGTATTGACTAACTGGGAACCACCGTACTGTACCGCGATTGTGTCTCCATGATCATGCCACATATGAGTGAAGAGATTCACGGCATCGGTATCGTATTCGACAGATGTATTTTCAATTATCCCTAGAGCGTGAAGTTGATGGCCCAACGCACGCTTGCCAATGACGAACTGAGCGGCATTGGTGCGATCCAGGCAGTCGATGCAATTGGTCCGGGCAATGCCGTTCTGAGCCGTCATACCGCTTGTGAGCCCATCGCCGTTTTGGAAGAAGCCTGTTGTTTTCAACACCGATTCAGCGATTGTCTCCAGATTTCCAATTACATCGCCACCTCGGATTTTCGAGGCACGGCTCATGTCCCACGCCTTGTGAATGATCTTTTTGTCGGCTGGCAGAAATTGGTTGAGGTAGTCTATGGCATGTGTGTACTCTGCTAAAAGCTTCGACTCCCTGGGTTGCCGTTCTTTGGATTTGATAAGGTTGAGCACATATATAGGCGCGCCATACCGCTCAAATAAATTATTAAAATGAAGTGCCGCGGCGCTGTAGAAGGGATCTATCAGATTGAGCTCAATGGGTGGCTTCGGAGTCACGCCGGTGTTGTCTTGAGTCCAATAGAGGGGTATACTTCCTCGGTGTTGGACGTAAGAAGTGTACTGAGGGCTGCAGTACGGCCTCGGACCCGGAGCATGGAAAGACGTTGTCAAGGATTCAGCAACGATTTGCTCTGTTTCAACGTCATTGGCGACGTATCCCTGATTTTTAGTGAGAAGATGGTTACAAAAGTGTGAGGTATACGGCAGCTTACCAAGTCGTTTGCGCCTCGTTTTAGAAAGCGGGCACCAGCAAAATATCGTGACCGCCTAGCAATCACAGTAATATGCGCGGTTCGGCCATATATTGAAAGCGCTGTGCCGGGTTAATTGGTGGCTCATGCATGATCTGAGAGTCAGAGATGACTTGCCTGCCTGATCTATGTATCCATGTATGATAGGACGGCACCAGTCATAAGGATCTTGAAGCGCGTTGACTGCTGGCTGCAGCAAGTAGCTATTCCAGACAAACATTGAATTGAGATCCTCGTTTGGCCACGGTATGGTGCCGTTTGCGAGTGATTTCCTCTCTCGGGTAATGTTATGCTGGAGAGTTCGAGTGATGTCGTATGAATAGCTGTAGTAGAACGACTTGGTCAAGTCGAGCGTGTTCAATATCGTCAGGTAGCGCTGCTCTTCCGGCTTGTTGCGAGCGTCGACCTTGGACCGTCCAGGCGTCAAAGGCACCAGCTCAGTTCCCTCCACCTGGTGGATGTAGTGGCCACCGATCATGGCAACAGTGCTCTTCTTGGTAATGAGGAGCATGTAGTAAGGTCCGGTAAACTTGATGAAGCCCAGCAGGCCCCAGGTGGTGCAGCGCAGCTTGATGCCTCCAGTCCCACGATTTCCGTCATCGATGGTGTCGAGCAGCTGGTTCACTTCTCTGAGGCTGTAGATGATTTTGTCGTCGGTGATGTTCAGCTCAGCTCCCTCTGTGGTTCTATCAATCTTCAAGATCCTGTACCGCTTCTCGCTCACGTCCACTCCAACCATGTAGTAGCGGCTGACTGTTTCGTAGAGGCTGAACTTGTGCATCTTGTAGAACGACCGCCCGTCGTCCGGGCTGCTCTCAACGTCGCCATTCTCGTCTTCCGCCGCAGGGTTGGAGGCTCCCTGCGCGCGAGCTGCCGAATCTGGGCTGGACATGCGAGCGAAGGGCTTTGCTACAGCTGGCTCGTCATTGTCCTCCTCTGGATCGCGACCCCATCCGTTGGTGGTTTTTGGGGTAGCAATGGGCGGGGCCTCGATATTCTGCAGCAGAAGAGACGCCGGAGTATCGCTCTCTGGCGTTACTGGCTTGGGTGATTTGCCGCTTTGGTCTGTGGTGTCCTGGTCCATGGCAGGCTGGAGGGAGAGACTTGCATCTGACAAACGGCTGAAGATGTACGGCGGCGGACGTGCATCGACGGCTGGCAAGTATGTTACTGGTAGTGAGTGGCCTGTAGCAGCGCTCTGAGGAGTTTTGACAGTGGCCACTTGATGAAACTCGAATATAGACGGATATATAGAGAAGAGAGAAAAGTGAAGAAGACAAGAGAAACAACAAATTAGAATCACTCAAGGCGCCAGCTCCGTCATTTCTTGATTCTCAAGTGTTGAACTGCTTGCCACAACGATGGCTTGCTGTGATGAGTGCTGTAGCGAGTTCGGGATGCGCTGTGGCTTGGTGGACAACGCCGCTAGTGCTCGACTACGATAGCGCTCGGGCTCCATATCTGCTAGAATGGGACAGCATTGATTAGCATGCATCGTGTCTTTTACAGAGCGGGATCATGGTTTGTTGTTGATGAATACCGGTTTACTTTTTACATGCTGTGCCTAATCTACACTTGAGATCTTGATTGACTGGGCACTTGCACGAAACGCGGTATGATGTCGACACAGGAGTTGTACTCGCACCTCTCCACGTTCTAGGCCTGTGCTAGCGGTGACAAGTACGTACTCCGGACTTTGGGGACGCATGGCATCAATGGCTCTCCAATGTTTACAAGCTCAGATCTAGCATGTGGTGGTGCTCTCATGACCTCCACTGCGGAGTTTCCCATGCCATGCCTGCCACGGGCAACATTGAACCATTTCACGTCACAGCTCCAGTGCCTGTGCAGTAGCGCCCAGGTACTGACATCCCCCACTAAACTCTAAAGCGCTCAGCGTTCTGCTGAGGCGTGATTGTTGCTCGGCCTTCTCTCCAGAGACACTCCAGCGAATCCACAACTGCGACAGCCCAGCTCACGACTCTATCGGTTCCGCTCCTCCGACGCTCTACACGACTCTCCAAGCGCGCTGCCTCGGCCGATCGGACCTCTCCTCCGGCGCGGCCATCGCTTGACTGGCCTCGGCCATGCAGGATGGCATCGGAATAGCGCCGCCTCTGGCAGCGACTCAGCAAGTTGGCGATTTCGACCTGACGACGACAAATGCCTGGTACAACCTCACGGCCCTTGCCCGCGCAGTCAACGTGACGCGGTATGCCCCCCTTATTGAGGGCTTCGTTAAGGCTGGCCCGCGCATAGTGATGAAGCTGGGCTCCTTCATGGCAGCTCCCAACGCCCTTGGCCTTCCGGCCCAAGACGCCATGTCGTCTGCGATGCCCGAACCGGGAATTCTCCATCCCGCTGCCACCGACTCGAGCCTCTATAGCAATATCGTCGGTGTCGCAGCAACTCCCAGCGCCCAGGCGGGCTCGGCAGCGCAGCCGCAGCTCTTGTCTCTGGACGGAGTTCGAGGCTTGGGCAGCGTCTTCAACTACGCCACCAGCAAATGGGCGCTCTCTTGCATTGCCATGGCCGTTATCCTGAATAGAACTCATATTTTTGCTGCTACTCGCAGGCGGCTACGACTCCGCTGGCAAGTGAGGCTGCTGGCGCGACTCATTCCCTTTACTTTGCTGGTCCTCCAGGCCCGCCATCTTCTGCAGTCTATTCAGTGTCAGACTTCGCCTGATTTTGCCTACCTTAGATGGGGCGATACCAACAAGAGTTCTGATCTCATGTCTGCTCATACAAATCCCTTTCTAAATGCCATAAGCTCGTCGCTGCTTTTCGGAGCCTCGGATGAGCAGTCTTGTGTTTCTGTCAACATGGTCCCACCACAAGACGCCGAGGTTGTTGGAGAGCTCCAAGGCTCTCTATCTCGGCTGTGGCCTCTTTTTACTTCTTTATGTCTGAGCCAATTTCTTGAGACGCTTACCTGCGCTGTGCAGGGACGTCCCGTTGCCGCCGAGACGGGCATGACGCTGTTTGAACAGTCCCTGGCCTTTGCTGAAGCGGACGCTGCCGTTAATAGCCAGCTTGGTTGGGGCGCGTTTTCCAAGTACCAAAACCTGCCTCCTATACCAACTGGCAAAGGCAACACTATTACCCTGACACGAGCGGCAATTCTCAGACGTGTCAACACATCGCCTGAAGTCTTGTGGATTGCCCTCCTGTCTTCGATGACACACATTACAAGCCACGTCTTGGGCGTCTTTGACCTTCAAGCAAAGTATCGGCTGGTGAATACGGGGTTCTGGGGCTTGTGTTTTATGGGCAGCCTCGTATGGAGCTTTTTCACTTTTGAGGCTGATAACATTGCGTCGCAAGGATTCTTTAGGTTTCCTACTGTTTGCATCATTGGATTTGTTCCTCATGTTCTGATCCTAGTTGGCATTATCATGTGTCTATTCATATACGGATTAGCACTGCTACTTACGGCCGCGATGCCAACAGCCAGCCAAGAACAGTCAAGGATGAACTTTCGCCAGCGACTGCTTTACGCGCACGAAAACATGCAGGCAAATGTCTCGCTGTCGGAACTGCGCATTACGCGGGAGATGGATTTCTACACCGCGCTGCTAAGAACAGGATTCGCTGCCATCACTATGGCCAGTGAAGCTGTTTATCTCAACGAAGATCGTGGTGTCAGCCTTAAGCGTAAGACCTGGCTCGAAGAGGCCCGTTACAGAGAGGCGGAGGAGTTGCGGAGGCAATGGATAAGCATGGGCCTCTCCGACCCGCGTTATGATCAAATTGGCACTGTCGGCCTGATACCTGTCAAAGATGGGCCTCTTCTGCCCCCCAATGGATATAGCCGAGAGCGTGCTGCGCAAAAGGTTCCCCGTGGCCGTGGCGACAAGGTGCTTAGAGTCGGTATAGGAGCTGCCGAGAGGAGTTCCAGGTGGTTTCTCGCTTTGGAATTTCTCCTCAGCATCAACAAGCTGCTGGCAAGAGTTTTTGCTCTATCTCTCATGTGGATCCTTGGTGTCTGCCGTATTCAGTCCCGCCCTGGTTGGTTGCTCTGGCTGGCGCGCCGTTCCAAGACTCCTGAGAATGAAACTGCATCGAGACCAAGCCGTGGTCCTGGCGGGAGTAGAGATGCGACGGCGAAGCCTTCGAATTTAGATGCGACTCTTAGGTCGGATGCTTTGGATATCGAAGCTGAATTCAGACGAGTTGGTACGAGTCAAGATGAAGAGACCCTGGATAAAGATCTATACAAATACTGGCTAAAAGGAGGATGGTGGGGATCTCAGGATATGAGCGGAACATATCAGCCTCGCGAAGAAGAGGAGGACTGGGACAATACGAGCGTAATCACCTTGACCACCAATGGGGGCGACAGCGACGATGAAGAAGCAGACGGCTGGATGTCAGACGAGGGCAGCGGGCAGAGAACCCCAACTCAGCGATCACCACGACCTGGGCGTGAAGGCACCCCTTTTCTAGACAGCCCACTGGCTATGGCTGATTTAGCTCGCCTTTTGCATCCTGCTAGTCTGGAGGAACGGCAAGAAGCAGAAAGACTTGCAGCGCATCTTCAAAGTGATCGTATCTTGACCAGATCTGGCTTTAGACGAATGGAGCAGCTGCAGCGAACGCGAATTTTGACAATGCAGACTCCAAAGGGAAAGCAGCTGAATAAGCTCGGTCCTCAGGGCCGTATCACAAAGCTCAGCCCAGAGGAAGAAGAGCTTCTCCTGGAACAGCTTATCTGGACAAAACGACAAGCTTCTCCAGAGAAAGATGGCCAGCAAAGCTCTGAGACTGGCGAAGCGTCGACGCTTACTGAGGGAGAGAGCCCCTCTTGCGTTGTATGCCAGTGCTCGCCACGCACAGTCATCGTGTGGCCGTGCCGCTGTCTCAGCTTGTGTGACGACTGTCGTGTTTCTCTAGCCATGAACAACTTTGACAAATGCGTGTGCTGTCGCCGCGATGTCATGAGCTTCAGCCGGATCTACGTTCCCTAGAGCATGTTATATCGCAGCGTCTGAGGCTTAAAGGGGAACAACTTCTTGGGAAGCGAATATCTTCTTGATTGTATACTTAATTCATCATCTGGGAGTTGGGGCGGGTAGCTTGATTGCTTGATTGCTTGTATCTTTGGCTTTGGCGTTTTTCATTTTCATTTTATTCTCTTCTTCTTCTAGACTGACGTCGTATTATATATATATATAATGCACCCTTCCTTTCAATAGCGGAATTCGTGTTTATAATAAACATCAAAATGTTATGTTACATACCAGCCCATTCTATGCTGAATGTTCTCACCGGAGATGTGACCATATCGGGACTTGCAGACGGTTTACGGCCGCCTATAAGAAACGCTTTCTTTACGGCTGTTGCCAGTCTGCCACCGCCTACGATATCAAGGATAGGTATCTCTTCCTCCCAGCCGTATTCATTTGCCATGAAATGAGCATGGAAACGCAAAGGATCACCGGGATAGACACTATAGCGTGACCCGAATCGAAGCCCTGGAGTCATAAAATACCCGGATCCCAACATGTGCTGGCAGAGCGATCCTTTTTCTGAGTTACGAGGTTCCACGGGCAAGGCATGCGCATCTGGGGAAACATGGTTGATGCTAGAAGTTGGTGTGACGCCCAACAGAGTCACTTGGCTATTGCGGGGCGATGGATTGCCATCTGGTTTAAGGGCACCACTATCAGCTGTTCCGAGGTCGGTCGACGGAACAGCCGAGCTGTCATCACGCGCTTCCTTATTCTTATTCTTCTTGCTGGCTGTTATGGAGGCCTTGTGCGCGTTAATCTCGGCAAACACCTTTTGCGCAGCCTGCTTCCGCAGCCGCAGCGAGCTGACATAGGCCCTCCGCGAGTCGGGATCTAGGGACTGCAGCGCCGACTGGTGCGCGGCCACATCATCTACGACGTACGCGACGTTTGTACGGATTAGAGCGTCCACCTCTTCGGGCCGGAGCTCAATGGGCAAGCCCAGGAATATGTTTTGCGTGGGCTGCTGCGGAGTAGTTCCCACCAAGGTGCCATTGGTGTTTGCCTGGCGGCGGAGCGCGCTCACGGCATCCGGGTCAAACACGAGGTAGCGCCCTGAGATGTTGGCAATGCGGATCAACTTGGTGGACTCCATTGTGGGCAATTATGGTCCTGTAGAGCGCAAGGGAATGATTAGTTTCATACGCTTGCAAATGCTTTTGGATTGATTGAATAAAGAGAGGAGTTGATAAAAGGATCATAAGTCGTCTTCGTAAAATTTGATTTTGTCATCAGTGTTCAGGGGATTGACAGATTTCAAGTGGAATAATCATGGTAAACAACTCCAAAGGAGTCTGTGTGTTTGAATGCTATACAATTGCACAGAACAAAAATTGATTGCTTACCTTGCATGTCTGCCTAGTCTCCCCTTCTTTAGCCTCTCCAACTTTTCGAATGAGGAGATTGAGAAAGAGAGATTTGAAGAGGTTGAAAGGAAGGACTTTTTAGTTTTTTGGTAGCTCTTATACTAAAAATTATCAGACCTAGTATGGTGGGGGTGAGAGCTATATGCTCCGGTAGAGGAATAAGTATCCACTAAAAATTCTTATTTCGCAACTGGGCGGTTCTCAGTGCTGGGTAAGTGCATACATCACTTCATTGAGCTCACCAACACACTGGATCTCACATAAAGCCCAGGGACGTTGGGCGAAAAAAGGTAAAATTGAGAAAAAAAATATCCAAAGCTAAAAATCAAGCTTTGGTTTGTTCTCATTCGAGGGCGTATTCGAAGGGCCCTCGTCATCTAACAGTGGCGGCAAGCTATACGGTGTAATAATAAGCCCGCTTGAAGCGCTGAGCTTGAAGGACATGTCCTCCTTCACCCAGCTTCCTTCCAGACCTCCCCCCTTCTCATGGAAAACAGGCAGCGAGTGGATTCTAAAGAGACCCTGTGCCTTATTCTCATTTGACGAGTTACGATCAACGGGGTGGTGTGTCTGTTGCTGAAGCGGAATCATCTCCACGACACCATCGCAGAGAAGCTCTGCTCGTCGAACAAGGCCCGTCGAACGGGGGTATAGCGAGATGGGAAGTGTCATCATGACAACAATCCGCGAAGGAAACTGCCGCAGCAAGGCACGGATGTGGTGCAGGAACTGCAGTATCTCCTGTGGCCGGCAGGCTGATGGGGGGTATATAGTTGGAGAGAGTAAGCTTGGGATGACGATTCTGTGGATAGAAGTTGGAGGCGAGCTTTTCAGCCGGGAGGTGATGTCGGTGATGAATCGCCGGAATGGCGACTGGGTTGGATCCATGCCGCCGCCGCGAGTGGTGTAGAACTGCCCTTGCGCAACGCTGTCCTCCAGGCGAGCCGAGAGATCAAATGTGTGACAGAATGGCGCTATGCCTTCCGCTGAGTCTGCTATTGAGGGTCCTATTTTGTGCATCATTAGTGAATGATAGACAAAGTAGCAGAGAGAAGAGCCTTACCACGTGAAGGTGTAGCTCTACTGCTCAACGCCTCGTATCTCCAAGCAATCTTCATCTTGCTATCTGAAGACTTGGAACTGTTGGCGTCCTTGGATCGGCTCTCACTTGCCAGCCCCGGAAGCTCACGCCGCCAGTGATCTCCAAACCCCAAGACATGCACATGATGACCTTGGACCAGTCCCTCGGCAGCAAAGTAGCGAAGCAAAATCCCACCAAAATCTGTTGTTCCAGACTCTTCAATGAGAAGAGACGTCCCCATGGGTAGTCCAGCATGGCCTGCTAAGAGTTGATCCAGGGACGAAGTGCCGGTAGATGTGGTGAGTCTTCCATCGTGAGGGGAAGGCCGGGTCCCCGAGACTGATATTTTGGCTCGTTGCGGCTCTGGTGTAGTCCCGGCAATACCAATTACGGTATTTCTTTTTCGAAAGGACATGCTAAGATTTTTTTGGTGTTTGACTCAGAAAATGGCCGGATTTTGTCAGCTATGATACTAATTTTGTAAAGATAATCCTAGGATAATGACGTATAACCCGCGTGATGGCCGAGTCAACTTTTATAACCGAGCAACGATTACTTCACGAATAGAGTAACAAAAACGTGTTTTCATTCCTTCATCAAGCTATCATCACACTTTGTCGATGCTAAATGCCCCGATCCACTGGCGCCGCAGCCACGGATATGCACATATCCGAGCTGCACCCCTCCAACCCGAATATTTTCTAGAACCATTTCAAAAGTTTCGAGGCCAAAGAAAACGCAGGCCAAACTATTATTGCCTATCAATCCCTACGCCCTACGAAGCCGAGATTCTCAATATTAACAGGAAAACTACAACTCATATCATAACAACTCATTCGAAATCCACAACCATGTCTGGAGGCGGCAGTGGCGACGCCACTCTTTTCGAAGAAGGCTTTACCGTCACCGCGTACGACCAGAAAAAATATGACCGCGTCGCACGCATCTCGTGCACATCCCTCGACAACCAGACCCTGATTGAACTGGACATCAACATCGAGCTGTTCCCTTGTAGCCAAGGAGACACGCTGCACGTTGTCCTCACCACCACATTATCACCAGACGGCAGCAAGGAGGACGACAAGGGCTGGCGGGACGTTGGCAAATCCGGCGATGCGCCTGCTACCCTGGCCGACCTCTACGACTACGTGTGCTACGGAAAGATTTACAAGTTTGAGGAGACATTTGATGGCAACACCATGTATGAAGATCCACACCCATCACCAGTGACCGACATTCTATTACGCTGAGTGAGGGGAGAGAGTGAGAGAAGTTCACTGCTAACGTTTGTGTGTTTGACTACTTTTAGCAACGCTTATGTCTCCTTTGGCGGATTGCTCATGGCACTCAAGGGCCCGGTTAAGAAGCTAACACCACTGCGAGTTGACAACGTCTACCTGCTGATCAAGCGGTAGAGGGAAGAAGCAGGGCGAGTCATGATATTACGAACTGGGGAGCTATGACGGGAAGAACAAAAACTACACCAGACATGGACAACTGGCGCATTTTAATTTATAAAACTCACAATGAGGAGTCACACATAATCCGACACCATGGCATTAGAAGAAGAAGAAAGAAGTTATATGGGGACTAAAATAAGAGAGGGGGAAATCTGAGCGCCATGTATTGTCATTTCATGCAAGAACCAAGAGAGAGAGAACAAGAGAGAAAGTTATTGGTCAATAGCTAGCTCAATTGGCGTCAACTGGCTGCTGGGTGATGTGGCCAGCCCAGTTGGGCTGGTGCGGACCAGGGAATGGGAGCTCTCGGGTCATTTTAGCCCTAATCAAGGCCAAGTCGGGCTCGTTGGCTTCGGTCAGAATGCCGTGACGAATGAAGAAGTCAATCATCACCATGGCGCAGTTGGGCTTGAATTTTGCGTCCGCCAAGTCCTTCTTGATCTCCTCCACGTCACGCAGCCGAAATTCTTCCACTTCGCCGTCCTTTGGCTTGGGTATAACGTCGGCGGGTAGTTTCAGGTCATAGACCCATTGGCATTCAGGATAAATGTAGCCGTCCTCTCCGATAAACTTGGCCTCTGTGATGTAGATGTATGTCGCATTCCCGACCCATTTGGCAGTGCTACGAACCAAGTGGTCGGGCAGACTTGCCTCTTCATCAGCCTCTCGGATGATGCATTCAAAGGGATCCTCGCCGGTTGTCAGGCCACCGGCCACAGTGTTGTCTAGCATGCCGGGGAAAGTTGACTTGTTGGATGCCCGTTTTGGCACCCAGATTTTGATGCCATGAGGAGCAGTTTCATCCTCCACGTAAGCAACCATATGCACTCCATATCTAGCGGCGCCAAACAAACCGACGGCGGCCCTCTCCACGCTGAAGAGTAACTCCCCTGTTCGGCCATAAACCGGCCAGAGCTCGTCACGCCAGCCCTTGAGAGACTTGAACGTGCAATTTTTATGCCAATGGCCTGTCAATTTCGCCACAGCAAGAGTACGCTCCGCTTCTGTCTGTGGCGTCCTGAAGAGCATGACAGTACGGTCCGCCATGTTCAGAGTCATATCGCCGCGGATGTCTTCAGGCGTTTTGGATAGCTCATTGATAACCCAGTCTGGTACATAGCCAATGGCATATTGGCCGTCTTCATCTTCCCAGAGCAGCTTGAATAGCGTGTCCCGCAAGGTTTTTGCCTCAGCAGTTTGGTCATCATCGTACGGAAACCTGCCAGAGGTGATGAGTTAGTGAATAGTATTTCAAAAAGATAGATTCATCACTAATTAAACAGGGTTTTCTCTTCTTTTAACTCGACTGTCCCCTCCAACCCTTTCTTTAATGGTGGGAAGTGAAAAGTCAACGCACCTATCCGTAGCAGCAATTAGCTCCAGATTAGTCTTCATGGTGTATAGCGGATTTGATGAAAGCTAAGTAATCCCAAAAGGCTTATTATACGGTGCTTTGAAGAGTTTCTAGATGTACGATTAGAGATGGTTGTACTCGTCTAGCACGCCATGAGGTGGGACAAAGCAAAGATCTGCAGATTATCACAAACTTTTGCTGGTTGAAAGTAGAGCATGTCAGCCGTTAAAACATCCCAGCACCGCTTGGCACAAGGGAGAAAAAGAATCCAAGTTTATCTTTATGAGCAGCAGATAGCCACGAGTTTCTTTCTAGGCAGCCACCTGCAGCTTCTGCGGGGGATCATGCCAGCAGTAGGCCACAACAGCAGAGCAGCCAACAAGTGAATGATGAACAAACGTACCGTGGTAAATGGAAAGCTATTCAGGATCAAAGCCAGTGATCAGATTTGAGCAATAAACTTTAATAGCGCAATTCAGATTGTGAGGAGCAAGAATTCCTAGGTTTATAGCCGATGGTAAGTTGGATCTGCCTACCAACAGCCAAGCGGGCAGTAGAAGCAGTAGAAGTAGTAGAAGCAGCAAAAGCGGTAGACGCAGTAGAAGTACCTAGTAGAAGTAGAGACTGCAGCTAGGCTGGATTGCTGCGGCAAGGCAGCATTAAAAACGATCAATCCTTCCAACAGCCCTATATTTTTCATTCCTTTCATTTGCCCCAACAATTAAGCTGCTTTTAGTATTTCTGTTCCCGCGTGCGACTAACTGCCTTGAGTAGCACTTTCTGCCTTGTCCACGGCCACTTATCCCACATTTTCTTTTTTAACCCAGCCAAAGCTCAAGCTCCAACACCACCACCACAACTTCTAGTTAATCCTTGTTCGCATCGCAAACTACTACTGCCTCCCCACGTCATCAGATCACCGGCTGAGTCGCGCCGCTACAGCAACACCAAGCCAATTAGAACAATCAACCCATTGAAACACAAACGAATATTCACACAGCAGCCATGTCCGGCCCTCTCTTCGGCATCGTCCCCGCCGGCCAGCCTCTCATCACCGACCCAACCTCGGCGCCATCCCCCACCTCATTCCTCTACGCACTGCCCCCGACCAAGCCCTTCTCCCACATTGTCGTCTTCCTCCTCCCAAACGTCGTCCTGCCAGAGAACTCCGCCGCCGCCATATACCTCACCACCGTCCGCGACGTCACCGCCGCCTCGCAGGCCAACTCGACGCCCGACTTCCGCTTCCTGGGCGGCATCGGCCCCGGCAAAGAGAGCGCAATGTTCAAGATTGGCGCCGACGCCAGCGGCAGCGGTTACATGATTGGCGTCTCCATCGAGTCTGCTGAGTCGGTCGGCACGCGACTGCAAGAACTCGCTGCTAGCAAGGCTTCCTCCTCCTCCACTAGCGGGAGCGGCGGCGCATCATCGACAACCACCGCCGTCCTCGCCCAGCGCATCATCCAAAACGCCTTCAACTTCCTCACTAGCTTCAGCGGCACTGCTGGCCCTGGCGGTGTCGAGGTTGTTCCCCTCAAAGCTTTTGAGGACTGGTGGCGCAAATTCGAATCCCGAGTTCGTTCAGATCCAAGCTTCCTCGAGAGGCAGGCCGATTGATATTACAATACTTTCTTCTTCATCTGCTTTACATCTGGTTCTCTCGCATAATCTTCTCAGCCTTTGCTTTCTCCAATCTTTGGATTTGTAGCGTAGAGTAAAATTCTTCTCTCTCAAATATCACGCCTCCGTCTGTTTTATTACATCGCCATACACATAATAATAATGTTCTAGGTAGGGCCTGGCAATATCTGTTCTTCACAGTTAACAGAACTAGAGTGTAAATAAAATCAAGGATATAATCTGTAAATTAAATATCTGTGATTCAAGCACAACACTATCTATACTTGGTTCTCGTTACGCTCTGAATGCGAGCGGATTCCCTCAAGCCGGCTTGAAGACATGATTACTATCCACCCAATACCAATGTACATCTGTTTTCCAAAAATAAAATATAACGGCTATTGTGCAAGAAGTGAAGCTGACCAACCGTGACATCCCGAATGAGCTTTTGACATGTCAAACATTACAATCATGACTCTCTTTGTCTGGAGAGCTTGTCCTCCTCGTTCCCTACATCCATTATTACTAGCTCTCTTGGGGTATTATGGAATTCTTCAACCGTGTCGGACTGCCAGTTCTACTGCGACGACCAGCATTTAGCATCTGAAGCGAAGGGGCAAGTCGTTCGCAGCTCTCGGTTCGTACAACGAGGCCATGTCTATCCATTGCCGACGGCGGCTGGAGGTCGTCATATCGCTCAAAATTCAATCTCGGTCCAGCCAAGCGAGAACCCCTTACGGACCTTGACACATCGCCACCATCCGAGCCATCGGTTTCATCAGACTCTGTGCCACCAAGCTCAAACTCTGCCACATCGCCTTCTTCCAATATTCTTTCATATGGCGTGGAATTTCTCCCAAAAAGCCTTCTAACAAACGATGAGCTCCTGGCCTTGCGGTAACGCCAAAACTTGTTGAACACTCTGGACCCCAATTCGGTTTTCCTTAGAAGATAGGCAATAAGGAACAGAATCAACATCACCACCAAAAAGCTGGAGAAGGGCTTGGATCGACCCGTAAGGATATCATCGTCGTCGTCGTCGTCATGGTCGTCACCTATATTTGAGAAAAGTGGCTTGGACCCCGCAAATTCAAAATCAGCAGGAATTTCTGATCCTGTATTGCTTCCAAATCCAACAGGAAGCGGCGACTCTTTGGGGGGGATTTGTCCAGCGGCGTAGAGAACCATTTTGCCCAAGGTCCAGCTAACTTCAACACCACCAATCGTATCGATTGGCTGGAAGGGGTCTGGGAATCCCTTGTCGCTAGCTTTTTCCAGCGCCTTGGTTGCATTGACTTTGTGGCTGGGAGCCTCTCCTAAGCTAATGCGGGGGATGCCAATACCTTCGTACAGCACATTGATCAGCCAAGACGCCTTGAAACAGGCCTCTCGGGCGTTCTCGGCCTTTTCCTCCAAAGTCTTTTTTCGCTTGTCAAGCCCGTTTTCGATGACCGACCAATCCTGACTGCAGAAATTATTGACCTCTTGCTCGTACGCAATCAAATCGTAGACTTTGCTCTCTTGGCCAAAAACGCCATGTGTCGTATGCCAATACTCGGAAACGCCAATGAAATGATTTACATCAAAGTCGATCGCAGGCACATGTTGACCGTTTAGTAAACAAGGTTCGTCGTCGCATGGAGCATCTTTGCCGAGCAACGGGTACGTTTTGCGCAGACACTCCTCAAACATGCCGGTGCCAACAAGTGCATCGTCTGACGCTGCCTTGCCTGAAAGAGGCTTGCCTGAGAGCGTGGTCCGCAAGCCCTTTGGTAGACAAGGATCAGGAATATCGCCCTTTGCACTGCCGTACTGCTCCTGTAGACTCTCGACAAATCTTTCTCGTGCTTTGTTGGCACCAAAGCCTAACCAGGAAACCGTAAACACTTTGTATTCAGCGGGAGAGCCATCGAGTCGTCGCAGCCGGACCAGCTTGAGATCATTCGAGTGCCTTTCCGCCTCTGTTGAGTTTGGCGCAAAGGCAATTTGCGCGGATGCGCCGCCCATATCCAAAAAGCCATAGGTGTGGTGGCCCTTGCCATGCGCATGCTCGTCGGGTTTGTCAAAGCCCCCAAGCAGGTAATTGGCAGCGATCCACCCATACAAGCCCTCTGTTTCGCCCGAGATGACCTGAATGTTGCTCGCACAGTCGGGAAGCTGAAACTGCGTGTTGGCCTTGAGGTATGTGCAAATGCCGTCCAGCAGCGACGTCTGCTGGTGCTTTGGTAAGAATCGAACACCAGCAGTTGCGAGAAGGAAGATGGGTGTCTCGGAGACTTGCGATGCCGGGATTTCGTTGAGGGCTGTGTTGATGAGTGTTTTCAGGTGATCGGGACCGACGGAGGCGACATTTTCGGCAAACGTAGAAACTCCCGGGTGAATCTTCTTGCTCTTATGGAGTTTCAGCTTTGGTAGTATGTGAGCTTCGGAGGCAGAGGCCTTCTTCAAGGCCTTGGCGGGATCTTTCCATTTGTAGATGTACACACGGGTCCCCGAAGAGCCAGCATCGAGAATTACACCGTATTGACCTGCGTAACCGCATTGGATTAGCGAAACCAAACTCCCTCTTTTTGTCTCTTTCTTCTCTTCCAACGAGCTTCTACTGAAATCGAATAAGCGGGAGATGTCATTTACCCATCAGAGCATGCGGGCCACAGGAATGAACTCGAGTCTCGCGTGGCGCCTTATTATGTATTGTTCAATTCGGTATGCTGGGGTCTGAAAATAATGCCCAGCGAGGGATCGATCGACTTGCGCGGCTGCGACTCCGTTCAATGCGGGGGGAAAGAAAACGAGGAACAAGGTCGCAAAAAGACGAGACAAAGAAAAGTCGGTAAGAGTCTTTTGTCTCTCTCGGCCGTTTCCCCAGAAGAGAAGTGGGATTAATGCTGAGGAATGGAGGCTTCTGGAGACGGCGGCGCAATCATGGGGGTTCGATAAGGAAAGCCGTAGGATTAGTCGGACTAGCAGCAACAACAAGGCAGGGGGTATATTAGAAGCGGAAGAAGATGTTAAAAGGAAAAAAAAAAAAAAGAGGCTAGCGAGCGATCGAATTGAAGGAAAGTGTAACACGGGAGCCAGACAGGGATCGAGGTCGAACGATAAAGATTGTAACGAGAGATGGAGCAGTTGTGGTGCGACAAGAGGCTGCAAAATTGCGAAAAATGTCGAGTGCAGCGTTGGCGTTACTGACGCGGACTCGCAGCTAGTATCGGGCCACTCACAGGCGCTGGACGTCTCACGCACAGCCAGACGGCCCGCGCCACGCTGTACCTCGACGCCATGCTGAGAAGTGCGCAGATCAGTCGCTGTACTTGGAGCAGAGTGGCAGCGGCAAGACGCGCAAAGTCCCTCGACTTGTGCCGCTTATCGCTCAGGTACCGCCACGCCATGCGCATCCCTGTTTCGTCACTGCTAAAGATAGAATACGAAGTCTCATGCAGCAGCTCATATCCGCTTCGGGTCAAACTGCACATCTAGTTGCCGGGGCGTGATCGAAACGCATCTTGAGCTTTTCCAAGTCGTCTGGTAGAGTCGCATTAAGCCGTGTTATCGTGGAAGGCGGGTGCGCACACAACGCCTCTTCTAGTATGCCCAGGTTCTCACGCTTCCACGTCGGTGGTTTCGGGTTCTTATCATCCCCCGTCGTCGTGTTCGGTTCTTTACAGTCCAGCGCCATTACACCCTTAATAAACTTAAGAGTCTCCTTATCTATTCCTTGTTCGGACGGAGCTGGAAACAAGTGTTTTACTACATTTACTGGTATAGAATTCCTCTTTTCGTCTGCTGAAGGTCGCGCATCAGTAGTATTTGCTTCGGTAGTATTTGCTTCGGTAGTATTTGCACCAGTAGCATTTGCATCAGTAGCATTTGCATCAGTGGCATTTGCCTGAGTACATGGCTTCATGTGGATGTGCATGCGCAGCCCGTCTTCTCGTTTTCTGTGTGAGTTCATATAGGAAGTGTATTCCCTTTTGAGGAACCGGCAACCCCGGCGGCAAAGCTTGTAGGCCCGGTATGAGCAGGATGCAATGTCGGCAATGTTTTTCACCGATGGCGAACTGCATCGCGGGTTTCGCTCGCTTTCGAAACACATGGCTGGGAAATGTGTCGATTCATGAAGATCTGGAAGAGATGGGGGGGAAGAGCCGCGTATTTAATACAAATCTTGTCACTGGCCCTCTCGTGATCGTGTGTAAGCTTGTTCACTGAGCAAACCGTAGACAGAGAACCGATCTTTGTAAAACTCTGTTCACTTTGCGCCTAAATTGGATGAATTCTCTTTTTGCTGCATTAGCACTAAGGTGTTCAATACTGGTTCGTCTCAAAGAAATCACATATAAATATCCCTTTCACAAAGATAGTGCTATCATCAACCAACGCTTCACCCCTCATTATCAAGGTTAGCCCCTCAGAGATCCTTTAACGACCCATTTTGCCCAGAATGGCCGCCCGGTTGTCCAATCTTCGTTCCAGATGTGAGGCCAACGCCAGCCCACACGTTAGACTGCTGGGGAAAATTTGGACTCACTGCCGACGACCTCAGATCGTCCCGCCTAGACGGTTCGATATTGCTGGAGACACTAGGGCGAAAAATCTCTGCAGAGAGTCGGCCGTTTGCGCTTTGATGGAAAGGTGGAATTTCCGGAATCTGTTCTATCATTGTTATGGGTTAACCCGAAATTGAATCCACAGGTATGATATGCCTCACCATAAGCTTGAGGCCTTTTTCTTGGCCAGCGACTGTCGCTCTCATACTGTTGCATGTTCGATACAGGCAGGCCCGAGACAAGATCAGCGGCATCGAATCTTGGCGGCCCACGGTTAAGGGGGAAACTGCGCTCGTTATTACTTTTTAAGCTGTGTGGGCGGAATACGTTGGACGCTTGGTTGCTGGTTGAAGGTTGAGGCACCGATCTAGTAGAACTGTCTACAGCATCGAAAGCTGCCTGCTCGATTTGACCCAACTCAGCCCTTTTTTTGACCCTGTTGTAGAGTTCCTGCGTCTGAAACAGCTTGCGGCTCTTGTCTTGATAAGCTGCTGCGAGTTCGTTATTCTTTTGCCGTAAAGCATCCCGTGATGCCGTTACGCCTATCTTGGTAAGCCTGTGTGCCCTGAATAGAGAGATGGTTTGTGGCTACTAACTCTTCAGCTTGTCGCATAACCTATTGATCTCTGCAGAGTAATCTCTGTTTACTTGATCATATTGATCCCACAGTGCCGAGTGTTTCTCTGTGAGGGATTTGTACAAGTGACGTTGATAGTGTAAATCATGAGTAACTTGATATGACCAAAAGCTGATGGCCCGTCCAGCACACTCCATGATTACGTTGGGACTCAAGCCACTGAGGACGCACGTTTTGAACTCTTCGCTTGGATTCATACTCATGAAGGCAACGTCTTCTTCTTTGGTCAGTTGGACGTTGCATATGGGGCAAACGGTGCATCTCTGGTCGCCTTGGCCAACGAGGCCAGACTTTTGAACGCAGTCAAGGCAAAGAATGTGACTGGATTGCGAACGAATCGTCAGCACACGCCACGAAAATCTGCAGATCCCGTTGATAGGCTAACCTGCAAGTCGTTACGAGTGCCCGATCGGTAAGCTCCTGTCTGCACTTGGGGTCATTGCAGAGAAGCGTGTTTTCCATTTCGAATTGAGACTTGTGGTATATGCTTAGGGAGTTTCAGCTCGGGATATGGATGAATATTATCGAGAAAAGCACAGCCGCAGTGGTATCTCAGTCTGGCGGATAGTTCCTTGAGCACTGGAAAAAGCAAAGGGGAGGTCGAGGAAGAAAGAATTATGAAACCTTGTCGAAAATGGCCGGGCAGTTCTAGGAGATATTGAGGAGCCTGACTCGGTGCTCCTTCCTAGGAATCTTAATTTAGTGTTCAGGTAAGCACCACTTTGGATGATTGATCGCTTTTTCTTGGCGAGCCCCTTCCCAAGAAGGAACCTTTTACTTGATGAGTTTACCTTCGCACCTGCCTGTCATAGCTGAGGGATCACTTTTACTTTCCGCAACATGCAAAAACTTTACGTTGCGGCAATTGATGTTTAATGAGATCTGAGATCTAGTAAGCGTTTTTTATTCCACGTTTCGTTTTTGAAAAGATATTCTGCCTCTACGATGCTGCCGAAGCGATAGGACGACCGTCGCCATCTTGCTACCATACAATGTATGATTTGGTGGCCCATCAACCAACATCTTTTAGCCCTTGAAATTTCTCCAAACGATATGATTTCCCAAATCAATAGTTGGCCATAATTTGCCAATGATGTAGCTGTGGGAGATATGCTCTTCATCTTTATTGGCCTGCTACTGGTCCTACTTCGACAGGTATGCCCTGCGCATTATAAACGCAATACCTGACATCGGCTCTCAATTCCGTCAAATATGCAGGTGTTGTCTATCGGAATGTATTGCTTTGTGATGATTTTGATAATCTCCTGTGCCACCATGCCTCCAATAACGGCGGAAATGTTGTGTAGCTCTCCGCCAGCCGCTCGCGACAGCTCCTGGGCTACCTGAGTCAGGCGCTCGTTGTTCCTGAGAGCAGGCGCCTTTTCAAGAACTGCAGCAATAATATCATCAGCTGAGGCAGCCGAGGTAGATGACGATGCGCCCAAGGCAAGGTAGATGGGGATTAATGACATTGGCATTTCTGGTCCGGCGATGGCGGCGATTTCGTCGTTGCCAAGTTCTCGCTCTGTTGGTCAACGCCAATCGTCAGTAAACAAATTAGTTGATCGAGGGCTGCCATGTCGCTTACCTATAATCTGTCCCATGCTTGGGGGCTCCTCTCCCGTAGTATTAATCAACTTGATGAACCGAGCATTAGTGCAGAACTGCTCTACCTCTGCCTGATCAATATCTACATCTCCTGAGATCTTTTGAGCTCTGGAAAAAACGTCGTTTGCGTCCTGCCGAGCTTTCTCTTTGTAAATGTTCTGCAGCTGAATGTAAACATTGGACTGCGCCTTCATATCAAGCAAGCCACCAGCCACAGGCAGGCGTTGGTGTTCGGCGTAGAACTCTTTCAAGGCCTCGGCAATGATCCAGAAGCTGGACTTTGACTGCTGCTCATCCTTGTGCTCATATTCAAAAACCTGCTTTAGAGATGAAGGGAGTGACGGGGCAACGACGTGCTTCATGACGGCAGCAACAGCCTCCTCAAAGTTTTCTTCTCCTCCCTCGGGATTATCGCGTCTCATGGCCTTGGATACGAGCTCTCGAAATGCCGTCTTTTCGCTGTACGCCGTTGGATAGGCGCCGTTATGCTCTTCCTTCCAGATGTTGAGGTAGTGAAGCAGAATTACAACCATGGGAATATGGCCATGCTCGTGGTGGTCTAGATACTCAATGTCTTTGGTCATTTCGCTAGAAAACTCAGAGAGTTCCGGCCAAGGAGAGAGGAGTCTCAAGTCTGTCGTAGCGGTCTCATCCGGGTGAGTATCAACGATGGGAAATGTGCCTGGTAGTGCAATGCGAAAGTAGGAGTAGAATCCAACAGAGTGGATAGCAACAAGCGGAGTACCATGCTGACGGCCGTATGTCTCAATGACCTGAAGCATTTCTGGTTGTAAAGGAAGGTTATACATGATCATGGTGAAACCCTCCGGAACATCAAGTAGTCTCTGGAGGCTGGCGGTATCCTGTAGAAGAAGTCAGCGCTACACATTTCATGAAAAGCGCAAAGATATAATAATCAAAGTAGGTACGCACTGTCACTGTAGAGTTCCAGGATCCATTAACTTCTGGATTAAGCTCGAGCAGTAGTTCAGTACAGCACTGCGCTCTCGATTTGCCGAGAGAGGACTCATCGAGGAAAAAGTTGACGCCGAGATCCACCTCTTGAACGGCGGCATTGTCTGCAATAGTAAATTTGCCAATGCCTAGGCGGAAGAGAATAAATTAGCACTCACAATCGATTTTAAATGTTGAGCGAAGGGGTTGACAAACCGGGCAGGACGAGATTCTTCAAAGTCTCGATGCCAGCCGTACCGGGCCCAGAGTTAATTAGGAGGATGTTTGCGGATTCCAAGGCGGCCTGGCCCGAAGCAGCCCATAACCTGAGCTGACGATCGTACTTCCTTTCCTTGTCCGAAGGGCCGTGTAGAATAGGAGGCGTCTGTGCTAAGATTTCGGTCATACTGGGCGAGATTCGCCTATGCGGGTGAATGAGATGAGGTGGGAGTTGGGCTCCTGCGGGGCTCCAGGAAGAGGCACGATGTGTATGCAGCTAGGTTGCAGGTGTGTGAATTCGTTACGAGAAAAATGCAGAGGTCGAAGCTTTGATGTGATTGGCAAGTATCACAGTGAAGCAAAGGCGCTGATGGCATAAACAGGCGATTGATGGTTGATGCAGGTATTCGATATCAAGAGTGGCACCAGGCGCCTGTAATACAGTAGCTACAGTAATTACTTAAGGCACTTAGGTAGCTGTCGCCGCACTTTTGGCGTTAATCCGCATTATTGCCCGTCGTGGGTTAAAAGCTCAAGAAAGATTAGATGTATCTAGTCCGAAATAGGCACTAAAATACTAAAATATGAGCGAGCGTGCTCCATTAATATCAATCCTCCATCTATAAATTCAACCTCTTTTAATGCATTGTTCTCTATTCTAACCGACGTCGCAATCATTAAATATCAAGACAAGAAGAAGAAGAGTGGGAAAAGGAGGAAAAGAGCGCTTTGCAACGTACCTCATTAGGCGCGAGCCTGTTTGTCAAGGTATAGGATAGCAAAACTCGGCTTGATAGGCTGGAAACACTGGCAAGCATTGTCCTGTGCAACATGAACCTGAAAATGGCTTCTATAGGTGTCTGTATATCAGCAACATCACAGCTCATGCCAACGAAGTACTGTGGATTTATTTTGGTCACCACACCAAGCTTCGGCTACGATCACGCCCATGGCGCACAGATTCTTTCTTCCCACATCCCGCCAGCAGCAATGGGTCACGGGTCACTGTAATTCACTCGACACCTGAACACTACTATAGTAGTACTGACAGTCAATCTTGAGCTATTTGCCAATGGAGAAGCCCCTTCTGCATGTTAGCTTGGCGTGATTATAATATTCAGCCGTGCATATGTTACTGCCGCTTTGACTCAGAGAGCGCGGCCAACTTCTGACTTTCTGGTTTCTGGGTCCGCGCCCCCAGTATTGCTCACATGTAACCAAGCTGCTTTCCGTTTGTTACAAAGTTCTTGCTTTTATTTCCTTGACACAGATACTGCGGTAGTATCTCTAATGATTCAGTCTGGGTCGCAGCTTACGCCTCTACGCGGATCATAACAACACGCATCAACAAAATCAAGGTACATAAACATAGCAAACCCAGCTCTTATATCGTTCAGAGTCTGCAGTTCTTTAATGAAAGGAAACCAAGCTGCAGCATCACGATATTCTCAAAAGTGGCTCAACAGGATCACACCAAATTCCAGAATATAAATTGTTCGCTATAAAAGCTCTTATTCTTTTCCGAGGCCTTTGGCTCTCTTCTATTCTTCACGATGTCGGCATCTCCTGAGACGACGCAGGCCCACGCCACAGACAGGTCACCAGAGGATTCAAGAAGGTCTCGAATGATACAAACCTTGAATAGTATAAAGCAAGACCTTGCATTACTGCAAGCACGTAGACCGGCTCGCGAACCCTCGGAGGCAAGTATGTCGATGAAACGATTCTGGCTCATATGCTTTGGGTATGTATCAACACTCTCGCGTGGAGAAAGCCCATCATGGTCGAAATAAGCTGATTTGCCGCCTTAGAGTCTGCCCAGGCTTGTTGCTGTCCATCATGGATTCATCCGTCCTGGCGGCGAGCTTATACCGCATAGGAGTCGACTTCCAAGAGCACAGTTTGATCAATTGGGTAGTGCTGGCATATAATTTGGGCTACATTGGCTTTATTGTTTCATCCACTGCCCTTTCAGATGTCATTGGGCAACGCTATGCTCTCTTGTTTTCCTACTCTCTGTTCTTGACGTTCTCTGCTGCGTGTGGATTTGCTCAAGATGTGGACCAACTGATATTATTTCGGGCATTTCAAGGAGTTGGTGGTTCAGGTTTGTGGTTTTCTTCCTGGAAAAGAGAAGCATGACGTTGATGACTTCTTTTAGGCCTTTACGCTTTACCCATCCTGATCTTGACTCAAAACAGCCCGCCTCGAATGCGTCAGTATATAGGCAGCATTATTGGAGTGACTATTGCAGCTGCGGGCGTCTTTGGGCCTGTTATTGGCGGGCTACTCACCCAGTACTTGGACTGGCGGTGGATCTTTTTAATCAAGTCCGTCACTACGTGACTGAATATTACATACAATGAAAGTCAGCTAACTTGGAAACGTAGTATTCCAATTTGCTCTATCGGCATAATAATTTTCTATTTCAGTTGGCCTCAAAAGCTGCAGACGGAATATACTCAGCTTCGATCGTGGAAGCAGTTTGACATCATTGGTGCTATACTGGGCATTGCAGCTTCGGTCCTCGTTGTATTCGCACTCGAAAACGCTGGCGAGTCAGAAGCTTGGGGGGCTATTAAGTTCATTCTCCCGCTAATACTTGGCTTGATCTGCTGGATAACGCTGTTCTTGTGGTCAAACTTGGTTGATAAACGCCTTTCTCAAAACATTGTATCCATCTTTCCCATGACATTGTTCAGAAATCGACGTTACACGAGGACCGTCTTACCAGCTTTATTTGCAGGCTGCCCGTATCTACTTTTGATCTACTCGATCCCCATGAGGATGCAAGTCTTTAGCGGCAAAAGCCCGCTCGTCGCTGGGCTGTCGTTACTCCCTATGTTAGGCACAGTTGCCCTCGGAAGCATTATCAGTGGAAAACTCAATGCTTCTGCAACCCATCTCGATCTCACTTCAACTATGCGCGTCGGCACAATGTTAATGGTTTGCGGATTTTCCTGGCTTTCAGCAGTCCAGGGGTCCAAGGACGATGCAACTACACTTGGACTTCTTACCCTGGTTGGTCTTGGTTTTGGACTCTGTACATCAGCGGCGACCAACATGATTAGTGTCGAAGTGCCTATACGACACCGGGGTATGATGTTTCTTTTCCGCTGCTCTATTGAGATATTTGGCTAATAATTATTCCATCAGCATCCGCTCATGGCATTCTTGCCCAAGCAAGAATACTGGGAGGAAGCTTCGGCATAGCGATTTCTACAGCATGCCTGCATCACTTTGTCATTAATCGACTTGCAGATATCCTAACTGCTGATGAGTTTGCTTCCTTTGATGGAGACATGACAAATTTTACAGGGGATACCTTGGAAGCAATCCGGTCGGCGTTTATCAAGGCTTTTGACCTTGGTATTGAACTAGCTATGGCGGGATGCTGGATCGCGTATTTCTCGACCTTTTATGGCTATCGATTCACCTGGAGAGGCATAAAATGTCCCGTAGAGGAGGAACCTTTGGAGTTGTTGGAAGCGAAAGTCACCAGGACGCGAGCAGAGGTGGATATTCTGCTAAGTGAAGCTCAATTAGAAAATTGATCGCTACGGATCAGTATGGATATCGCCAAGCCGATTAGGATTACGCCTTGTGTTTTGGCTATAAGATGGCAAGTATATGGAGAGTTTATGTTTACGACGCCAGAAGATTTGAGTACCATGGTTTTGGTCTGGGTTCTTCAGTTGGTGTTATTGGAGTATGAAAGAACTGAAGCAGAGATCAGCTTCTTTTGACCCTTGTACATAATATGTTAGGTATTCAGAGGTGGCTATGCTATCAGAGTCCCATGGGAGCAATGGATAGATATCCGGGCTATTATTACATTACATGAATATATTCCTTTTGGTTTAAACCACATCTGTCTAACAATCATCTCTGAATTCTACGGATTATAATCCGCCGTTGGCTTGATGAATTGGGTAGTTATTAGTGGGACTCGTCTGCGTGTAAAATTCAATTCCCTATCAATAAGTGGCGGCGATATTTGTCTGCGGGTTCTCCATCGCTCGCTCGCTCTTTAAGCCGAAGCCCCATAATCTATGCCCCACGTCCACCAGCGCGGGGTCGTCGGCCATCGCATGTAAGGAATTGCAGCATCAAGGTGGGGGATTGGCAGAATTGGGAGGTCGAGCGCGAGGCATTGGCCTGTCGTCATTTTGGTATAGCATGATGAATCACAGCTCTCACTGGAAAAATCACCTAGATTTCATGACTTACAGTAGTAGCCTAGCTATAGTGTGCGTTTTACACTGCCAAGTGTGGTAAAACTGCCTACAACGGTAATAGTGCTGGCTATCTATCTATCTTCAAGGGCGCCATTCACACACGCCTCGTCCACTTTTCCTCCTGTTACAAGCTCTCTCTCTCTCTCTCTCTCTCTCTCTTCCTCTTACTAATACCACTTTTGGATAAATTGGTTTGCTTGCATACGGAATTGATGCCGCCCGTACACGCCAGAACTGCCACTCATCTTTTCCGTCGTGCTGCTGTAGCTCCTCTGTCTCGGTCTAGCTGCCATAGCTTCTCCACACAGAGCCAGACACGATTTCTCTCACTCACCCATCCCAGCTCAACCCTCAGACCAGCTACATTCTCAAACAAGCACAACATCTTTGCCCGCACCATGTCTTCCGCAGCAGCCAAGCGCCTGGAGGGCAAGACCATCCTCATCACGGGAGCCTCTTCCGGAATTGGAAAGTCCACGGCCCTCGAGTTTGCTCGCACAAACCCCAACGGCAACCTGCGGCTCATTGTCACGGCTCGTCGTGTTGACTCACTGGAGGAGCTGGCGGCTCAGATCCGCAAGGAGACCAACGACGGCGTCAAGGTGCTGCCTGTGAAGCTGGATGTGAGCAAGGCAGATGAGATCCGAGGCTTTGTGGGCAGCTTGCCCGAGGAGTGGAGAGACATCCACGTCTTGGTGAACAATGCGTAAGTCTACATCTCTTCGTATTAACTGAGCTGTATTCGAGAGCAATCGACTGCTTTTGGGGGTGAATGTTTCAACTGATACTAATCCATCCGTCCAGTGGCCTTGTCAAGGGTGTCGCCAAGGCACCCGAAATCGCCGAGGATGACCTCAACATCATGTTCGCTACCAACGTCACCGGCCTCATCAACTTGACACAGGCCATCCTGCCCATCTTCCAGAAGCGACCAAACGGTGGCCAGGGAGATATCATCAACATTGGATCCATTGCCGGTATGCCATTTACCCATTTACTCCAGCATAGTGCTCTCAATCTGTATAACTCTGTATTGGTACTAAGACTTTTGCGCTTTATAGGCCGTGAACCATATCCCGGAGGCTCAATCTACTGCGCCACCAAGGCCGCTGTCCGAAGCTTCACTGAAAGCTTGCGAAAGGAGCTTATTGCCACTCGCATCAGAGTCATTGAGGTCGACCCTGGTCAGGTTGAAACGGTACGCAATTTCCATTTTGAAATCCGTCTTCAAGTGTACTTTGCTCACATCATCTATTAGGAGTTCTCCGTTGTTCGCTTCTACGGCGACAAGTCCAAGGCCGATGCCATTTATGCGTAAGCCTTCTCACCATCTCCTCTCCCTCCCTTCTATGAACCTTTTGTCACTCTGGTTACATGGATCCTAACATCTTCATGCAGCGGCTGCGATCCTCTTACGCCTGATGACATTGCCGAGATTGTAGTCTTTTCTGCTACCAGGAGAGAGAATGTCGTTCTTGCCGAGTCTCTGGTTTATCCTAACCACCAGGTGAGTGCTTCTTTCGTATTTCGCCAACTTGCTTGTAATAAATGCTAACGAGTTCATATTCATAGGCCTCTGCTCTCATTATGCATCGCAGGCCGACTTAGATTTAGACGAGATCTAAACGGACATAAAACATACTACATACACATGATAAAAAAAAATAGAGAATTAAAATGGCAAAAAAATATTGTATTCAAACGCTGTGCGTGCTACAGTTATTCTATATTTTAGAGCAAGAGAAATTTTTAGAAATGTTTACTTAAAGCCACATTTCAAAACTTCTTTGCATGTTCGAAAGGTTCTCTTGCCCCTAATCCACTTAGCCAACCGAAGCCAGCAAAATCAGGGGCCTTCTAGGATCGAATAATTCAATCTACCAACGTTCCGTTAAGAATCCATTCTGAGATGAATCGGATCCTTGCTGCCACAAGGGCAGCACCGCTGGGGAGGGTTTTCACAGGTTCACAAGACATAGCAAAACACTCACGCGACGGAAGGGAGAGAGCATCATCTACCACTCATCATCATTCATAGATTTTGACCGACCTTGTTCGTATAAAACGTCAGATATTTCTTTGTTTCTTTTGCTTTCCTCAAATCCGAAGACGCCACGCTAGAATGAAAATGATCCACCCGGCCAGACTATTGACAGTCTTGATAAAAACAGACGGTAGCATGCGATATCATATTGCTCATTGAAAATCATCAGCCTTCCGCGCTTCAATCTCCAATGTGCTGGAACAGAGGAGAAATCGACTCGCCGTAGTGGTTTCGGCGGATTGCTTCGGCTAAGAGGAAAGAGAGGTCTAGTATGACCAACTTGCTCGAGTTCTTCACTCGTTCCTCATTGATGGGGAAGCTGTTGGTAACAACAATGGTATCGATGCACTCGCATGCTTGCAGTTGTTCCAGACAATCTCCACCAAAGACTCCATGGGTGGCAATGCAGTACACCTTTTTGGCCATGCCCCTCTTCACCACCGTTTCGGCTGCAGCAATCCATGATCCTGGCTTGTCAATCATGTCGTCGACAATGAAGACTGTGCGATTTTTTACGTCGCCTACCAGCGTGATCATGTGCTCCGCCTTGGGGTCTTCGAAAGCATTGTCCTCCTCATCAGAGCTGCTTTCGTTGTTGGCGCCACCAGCCAGTGATTGGCGGTCGGGCGCAAAGAAGGACGAGGCATGAGACATGGTCATGGGGTCATCTTCATGGACACTGTTTGCTGCCGTTGACCGTGCTGGAGATGGAAAGTCATCTTCAACAATGTGCCCCTGAATCAGTCGACCATGAATGACCTCTTGGGCGCGACGATCATCGTAGTCAGAGTCGAGCTGCGCAGAGCTTTTTCGTCGTGCAACACTCTGGTCTTCTGTACTAGGATCAGCAAGATTCGTCGCACTTGACGACAAATCGCTTGTCCGAATAGGCGAACCTTGGGGGTCGGTAACAACTCTAGCGTTCCTCACAGGTGTCCTCGCCCCGGCGCGTGACGGCGCAGGCTTTTCGGAAGCGGCCTGTTGGCTATCGCTTTGCGCCACACTCTCAGAGATAGGACGTCGCTCGAGACCATCGAGATGATTCATAATCATGCTACCGGTCATGTTCGTTCCACGTCTCCTATCAGTGGTGACGAGCCCAAAGTTTAGCTTGAGGGCATCGGCGAGCGACGTCACTCGCTTTGTGCCACCAGGGTTTTTGGAAACCACCACAGCCTCTCGCCAGTTCGGCACGTTTCGCTTGATCCATTTGGCAATGATGGGCTCAGCGTGAAGATTGTCAACAGGACATCTGAAGAAGCCTTGCATCTGGGAGGCATGCAGGTCAACCGTCACGACGTGCTTAACGCCAGCAACGCCAAGTAGGTTGGCCAGCATCCTTGCGGTGATGGCGCCTCTAGGAGACTTCTTCTTCGACTGCCGGCTGTACGGGAAGTAGGGAAGCACAGCTGCCAAGCCACGTCAGCAATGTTCCACAGCAGAATCCGTGCTCCATCATCGAACCTGTGACTTTGTTGGCGGAGCCGCCCTTGCAAGCGGATATCATGATGAGCAGCTCCATGATGGAGTCGTTGATCCTGGGACTTCCAGACTGGACGACGAAGACATCTTTCTCTCGGACGCTTGTCAGGATCCTGACACTCGTCTCGCCCTTTGAAAGGAGTGAGTTAGTTATCTGTCCCGAGGCCGGCAATCAAGGAAAACCAAAAAGCAGCGACGCAGAGCTACAGGAAGCTCACATTGGAGAATTGGGTCAGCTCCGCCTTAGCAGGAGTCATGCCCAGGTTCTCACATATTTGGCCGGTGAGAGCTGGGCACGAATTGCCAGCGAAAATGAGCGTGTTGCGCATTGTGGCCGACCCTTGGGGAGAGAAAAAAAGAAGAAAAGTTTTGGCAGAAGATGCTGAGCGAGAAGAGCAGCTTAGATTTTTTTCCCCCGTCCTCTAGACGTGGGGCTTTGACGAGTCATACTGTGTGGATTACGAACGCGTCTACGGTCGCAATCAGTGCTGCAGTCGGTATCGATAGTCGATTTGATTGGCCACAAGCCGCCTAAACCTTGCAGCAATCCCCATATAATACAGTGCGAATTGCATGCACAGGCCGTCGTATCAAGCCGAATGGCGGGGCACTTTGATTGGAATACCATTGCTGTGAATATGGCTTGCTGATTGCTGTGTTTGGACCAGCCAACAGTTCCACAAGATTATGGCATGCTCTTATGAAGGTTTCCAAGCACCGCCCCAGCTGATGGCCCATCTGATGTATTCAGCCACTGTCTTATCTCGACTCATTTCATAAACAACCTGTTCGGCCGATATGGGAATCCCTCACTTGATTACCACTCTGGAGCGCTATGCTTCAGACAAGCCTCTGCAGGATCAGACAGTGGTCATTGATGGTCCAGCTCTAGCATATCATGTCCTTCATATTTGCAGAATCCAAGGCGCTAGCCAGCCATCATATAGCCTTCTTGGCCGGGTCGTCATAGACTGGTTGGATCGGTTAAAGGATCAGCAAGTAGCCATGTAAGCTTTTCACCACATAAAGAAAGGCAAGCACTGTGACGATCTTTGCTAATGTGTAAATAGTCGAGCCATATATTTTGATGGCTACCTGCCAGAGTCCAAACGACTAGTACGCATGGAGAGGGTGATGAAAGTGACTTCTCGGCTCAATATATTCTACTCTGCCAATCCTACTGCTTGCCCTCGTAGGCTTGTAGTTCCATCAAATGACTTATATCTGGATACAAACCGCCCAACAAGATTCACAGACAAGACTTCTCTGGACCCAGCATTTCTAGTACCTGCAGTCATTGATGCCATCCGGGATAGTGACAGTTATCGGGACAAAGTGTCTATCGTTTCGGGAGAGGCCGATGCTTACTGCGCTGCAGACACGGCGAAGCATGGAGGCACAATACTTACATCCGATTCCGATCTCCTTGCTCACAACATTGGCAATGGCAAAGTTGTATTCTTCCGAGACATTTACGAGAATGCTGGCTCGAAGCTATCATGCACAGAATATGCTCCCCGTGAGATATATACAAAGCTCGGCTTAGCAAAGTCCGCTGACCCCTGTCGACTGGGCTATGAACGCTTGCGTTCCCCCAATGCCACGTTGCCGCTGCTATTAAAGGCCTGCTCGAGTCCGATAGTAGATGCTATGGACTATGATCGTTTCCGACAGCAATATCTCCAACACGAAAGTGCCCAGCTGCCACAGCTAATCGGAGGTGACTTGCTGTCACTCAAAGCCCTTGACCCTAGAGTCTCCGAGATACTTCTTCAGATTGGCCAAGCACCCAGAACCAAAGATGCAAAAGAAAAGGTCAAAATCTTCCTTCCATCTTTGCTTGAAAATCCTAACAAAGGAACATCTTGGGATGCAAGCGCGCCTGTCAGGCAGTTGGCATATAAGACAGCGTGCCAGTATATTCAAGGTGGTTGCTCGATTTCAGTCGAAGAATACAGACGAGTACAGAATGTCGATCAAAAAGGACGAGAAATCCTGTTATTGACGAATGATGAGGCGAAACGTGCGATCATTGAGCTTCTGGTGCTTATGAGACGAGTCAAAGAAACGCAAATGGCTCCGCAGCATTACTGGACTCTTTTGTCCATGGTATTGGATATCATAGAATGCAACCAGCAGGGTAAGAACTCACATACGCTGACCACACTTCAACGGGGCCATAGCAGTATGGCCACTTCAAGAGACAAAATTTCATGGGACATGATTCATTTCTCTGCGCATATACAAGCTGGATACTACTCTCTTCGCATTTTGAGCCAAGTGCTCACTTCCGTCAATCTCGAGAACAATAGCACAGACAATCTGACCCTCAACCTCGTCCAGCTCCGCAACCTTTTATCGGAGCTACCCCCTCTCTCCGAATTTCCAGACGTCGATTCGCTATCCAGCTTTCTTAAAGCATCAAAAGAGCTTCAGATATTGCGTATTTTATCAGATTTCATAGTTTTTGAGCAGGAATCTTCTCAAGAACCTGCAGATGCTCGCCACCAGACACAAGAGAAGAAACAAAATAAGCGGGGAGGAATTCCAAATGGCGTTAACAAGAAGCAAAGTAAAAAGAAAAATGATGCAAGTAGAGGAAACATGTTTAATGTTCTCTCTACAGACATGTAAGAATTTAGACATGGGTACGGCTTCAGGAAATTCCAATCAATGAGAGTGGCAACAAGACTTGAGATATCCCCCCCCCCCCCCCCCCCCCCCAAAAAAAAAAGAAAAGAAAAGAAAAGAAAAGAAAAGAAAAAGGGTGAGAAGGGAAGAGAAGAGAAACAGAGAGATCTAGTTTAGCTACTCAAGCCATGCTCGATCTCTCCCTGCTTCTTGGAACGCCTTATCGGTACCATTTCACTTAGGCTGGAGTGGGTCCGTGTATGTCTTGAAGTAGTTGCAAAAATGTAGCTGAAAGCTCTTCTTGGCTCTCAACATCCTGAATTAGGCTCTCCTGAGTGTTTCCGTTGCCAGCGGCGCGAAGGATTCTCCAAGCTCGGCGGAACTCGTCACGAATCGATACTATGCCATTGTGAGTGACTGTCCGCGCCACATTGTGGTCGGTCTCGAATGGGTCTTCGATAGCAAAGAGGTATCGGAGCCGAATCTCTTTGACCTCTTCGTCCTTGGTGGCTTGTTGAGCTACCTGAGGCTGAACGGTTGACTGCAGAGGGCTTGCTGGAGCGGCTGCATTGCCTGCTGTCTTCTGAACTTCATATACAGTCTTTGCTCCCGTCCATCCCTTTTCTTGCTTTGTTAGAATGCCTCCATACGTTCGGAGGCTGATGACATTTCGGCCCCAATCAAATCCTTTACCAATGCCATTGCTCATCGTCCCACTTTGAGCATAATACTCGAAGAAACCCCTCAGTAGGTGTCCAATGCTTTCTCTATTTCCGTTCAGTTGGTTTTGAGATGCTAGTCTTACGATTTCTTCTTCATTTCTCCAGAACTGAACGTCATAGCCTCGACAAGTTATGGTGGATTCAATTTCAGCCGGTGACAAGTTATTGGGTGGCGGCGGTGCAAGCTGTTGGAGATTTGGACAAACAAAAGGCTGCACAACATTGACGAGATAATGGAGGGCCATCAAAACATAGCCGTAACTGCTTAGAGTACCGCGGTATCCAGAGTTGATGCCTCGCACTTTAGCCCAGTGTTTGATGAAAAGGATCATGGGGCGAACTCGTGGATCTGTATGCGAATAGCACCGCAGCAAAAGTGTGTTTTGAAGAGCCAAGTGAGCAGAAAAATTGATATCGCATTGTACCCCTGCATCTGATGCAGGGAATTCCAGCGGATCGCGATATCTGTCATTCAGCATCATCTTGTGGGGATCAGCTAGCGTCTTGATTGTGGCAAACGTAGAAGAGAGTCCAGGCGGGACAGGCATGATATAACATGGTTTTCCTGGCTTGATTATTCTTTTTTGTAGCGGCTGCTGTAGCAGCTCGATATACTGCGTAATATCTGGCACAAAAGCTGCTTCGTATAAACTGTTCTCCACAGCCTTCTTCAACTCATTGGCTAAATGAATGCTTTTATGGCGACATCCCACCGCTTGGATGGTCCTCTGCTCCGGAAATTGTTGTATATAATCGCTGAGTTGGGTACGTATTTCTTCTTGGAAGACTCCGGCCACGTACTGACTAATTATAGCTTCCTGCACCGCGGAAAAGGAGCTTTCATGGTAAGGCCCTATGTTATTTATGAGGCTTGTGACCCTGATGTTGTACTGCGAGGGGGTCTCTTGTTGGTCTTGCTGGAGTAGTAGTAGCTGCATAGATGGCATCTTTTTGAGTTTTTCGAGAGCCAAGTGAAGGTCCCTATTATATGAAATAGGCTCGATATCTGACAACTGCCTCGACTGCAAAGACTCCCACTGTGTGATGAGTTTATCATCTTCAACTTGTTTCAGGAGACGGCCCTCGCTCCATGATTCCCATTTCCGTATTATATATGCTCCTTCTATTTGCATATATATCCCTGACAGCGAGCGGCGGTAGGCTGCGTTTGATAGAATCCCCGCTGCCGAGACGGAAGGAAATGAGGCGATATGATCTCGCAAGGAGGCATCTGCCAGACCTTGTATAAAAGCATGGCAGACTCTATTGAGAATATCCCATTCGGGCTCGGTGAGGTCTCTCCAGTTTGAAGCGTTGGCGTCATGGCCGCCAGCCTTTCGCAAAACGCGCTTAGCTAGACCATAGTAGGAATCAAGAGAATTTCTTGGCCCTTGTTGTAGATGGAAACGGCGCGTCTCGCCAGAGTCTTTATAGATGATCTCAAATTCGCCCGACGGAGAGCCTGATCCAGCATCAGCTACTCCGCTTTGTGCGTGAGCATCACCATCGCCGCCATGATTAAAGCCATCATTTCCATGCTCAGCTTCGGTGGTTCCGGGTTGCGCATCACTGTCAACACCGCGTTCCCATTTCTTACGTGCTTGTAAGAGGCCCTTGAGGAGTTTCTCCGGGGGGAGCTCGCAAAGTTTAATGATTGGGACTCTGGTACGGCTTAGAAGCCTTGCGCCGAGACCAGCTTCTAAAAATGCCTTTTCGATTAGGCGAGGTATGGGAGACCCAGGGGTATCAGGCGGAAACTTGGAGAGGGGTGATACGAGGCCAAGATCTAAATCCGAAGCTTTTGTGGCAAATCCAGAAGCAAGGCTGCCGAAACATTTTAACTCCACAGAATACGGCGGGATCGGATTGCTTATGTCTTGCTGTTCCTCAAACCGGCAAATAATCTCGCGGCAAATTTGCTCTATCCGCTGTCGAAAAGCTTCTTTCTCCGCTATCTCAGATCTGTCGATTTCGGAATGAGCTACGACTTGATGAGAGAGCTCGTCCAGCAGACGGGCTTGGTTTGCAATTTCTTCCGGCGTAATGTAAGAACGCTGATAGCTATTGTTATAGGCTGATCCTGTGCTCTGGTGTGTGATGTGAGATGGTCCCGTATTATTAAACGACCTCGGCGTCGGCGAGTGTTGGTACGCAGGCCTATTCCCAGACGGCTGCGGAGGGCCGTTCCATGAGTTACGCGGGCGGTGGAATTCTGAGGACCTCGGCGCTGGCCAAGCTTGAGGCTGCGAAGCTGTCCATTGGGAATTGGGCCTTGCTGGATGGTGATAAGGAGGCACCTGCGGCGGCGAGTCAGGGGCGATTGTGAACTGAGATGCCATCTGTCGCCGCTGAGCTTGATTAGGGCGCTTCCGGCCAGCCTTTGGCGAAGGGTGCCCCTGCTGGGATGTGGCATCAAAGGCCATCTGGTTTGCTGGATAATTGGATTTGGTATTGGTATTTTGTTGTCTCCAATTCATAGAAGAATTCGGCTGCATAACGGGCGTTGAAGACGGATATGGCGCCGCGACTTGGGGGCGAGTGTCTGCAGATATAAAAGGCGCTGGGCTGAGATTTGGATTGGCGTTTGTGAGAATCAGATTCCGGAGGTGGCCTTCGAGTCCTGCAGCTGACGCATCCCCTGCGACGCCGCGAGGCTCTTTCTGAGTAGGGAACATCTTGTCCTCAGGCGTGTCGGCCAATGCAATTGATCCAAGCAGCGTTGAAATACCGTGGTGGCAATGCGGGCAAGGCTATAGCTTCCAGCGCTTCAAAATCCTCGATTTCTTCTGCCTACCACATCGATGTAATCCGATTCTTAGGCGGCTGGAATTGCGTAAGAGATGCAGATGAGGAGTAAAGAGGAAGTAGAAAAAGAAACAAAGCAGATGGGTTGATAAATAATGAGGGGAGGCACCCAGAGGTACTCTTCGTCAAGGCTGCAGAATCCAAAGCTTGTGTTCGGCTGCCTGACAGTGGTGTAGCGCGGGAATCGCACGTAGAACTGCCGGAGTAAGTGAATAATAATGGTGAAGTTTGCGTAGAATGAATATAAGTGGTGTTTACTATTCAAACAAACAAAGAGCGAGGCAGAAACCGGCTTTCTGTTGCAACAGCAAAGCGTCGAGCTTGAGCCTGTTTCTGGCAACGAAGTACTGGAAAGTACTAAGCTTTGGAGAAGTGGAGGATGCAGAGCCAAACAAGAGCTGGTAGCGCAGAGCTAGCGCTATAGTGAGTTTAGTGCCGCCGAGGTGCAGCAGCGTCTAAGGCTCTCGCCAGCACCTCCCAGCGATCTAATGTCTCCTAATCACTCGCAATTCAAATTGCCCTCAGCCGCGCCTTGGTTTGCTCCTCTGGTCCTTGCTAGGCGGGAATTGCAAATGCAGTGATTCACACAAAGTTTATCATTGGCCAAATATTTCTGGGCAGATATTGAATAGTAGTAGTAAGGCACATACAATCTATATCGGGTACCTACATAGATATAACGAAATTTATGGAGGCTAGGAGTGCAATGGAGGCTGCCCGTGTAAGAGGTAGTAGATACCCCTCCATCTTTTTGACCCTTAAACTTGGGCATCGAGTAATGGTAATGCTATCCTATCACGCTTATTGTTCCGAATCTACAATAGCCTTACGCAATTAATTTTAAGTAAGTATTATCCTCTACGCCAAGGGCCTCACAATGAGATATCAAGGCCTGCATGGATATGTGAATAGAAGATAGTTCGATGCGCATGTGCTGCTCTGGATCCCTGGACAATTAGCGTTACGTGACGTTAAGCTCTGTCTTTGTCATCAAGCCGTCATAAACAGCGGCAGTTCTCCGGCTGGTCGCCAAACAAGAGCTGAGACTACTGCCTATTACTAGGCACTACCAAGTCTCTCGCGATCTGCTGTTCTCTTTCACTTTCGCATCCCTCAAGCCTCTTCCCTCCCGTAGCTGTGCCTATTCGAAAGCAGCATCTTATGTCCTTCAGCCAGATGCAGTAGCAGCTATTCGAACAGCATCTATTACGACCTTTGTCACGACGCCTTTTAATCCAGTGCGCTGCCGTGATCTGCCATAGCTCTTTGTTTAGCAGCGGAGGCACGACAAGCTCGTGCCACAAGGCTTCGTGCCTTTCTCCACGGATAAAACCTCGGTAGTCAATGCCCGCTCCAGCATCAAAATGAGCGCCCCTTCCGGAAATCCCAATGGCCCTCCGCGGAGCCAAAAATCGAATCCTCTGCGCCCTCTTCGGAAGAGGCCTGTCAACCCACTTGTCTCGTCATCACGCAAGCCCGCTCCTAAACCCAATCGACCGCCTACAAACAACGCAGCGTCGACTTCGGCGCAGGCTACGGCAAATGGAAGCAAACCCAATATCGAAGAGCTGCGAAAGCAATATGGCGGATGGAGCGAGCCACCCCCTCCTTACCCTTTCAATGATATACCTATCATGACAACCAAAAAGGCTCTGCTCAATGGAATCCGATATCATCTCATGAAGTTTTCTCAGACCAAATTGGGCGACAAACCTATTGATCCAACGGACCAGGACGAATTTGCTAGGCCTGTAACTCTACATCGACGTGATGCCCGCCAACCTCCTCCCGGAAGAGTTGTGAAAGAGGAGGAGCCCGAACGGCCACCAGTAGATGAGCAAGAGGCTGAAAGGATGGCACAGATCAAAGCTGAAAGAGAGGCCCAGAGAGCAATTGATCAAGCCAAGATCGCGCCCGTAGCGAAAGAGGTCGCTCCAAAACGACCAAAGAAACAGAAGGAAGAGAAGACCATGTTTAACCGAGCCCCCAAAACGTCAGCGGCGAAAAAGGAGTCTGATCTGAGATATGAGGAGGCTTTGCCCTGGCACTTGGAAGACGCAGATGGGAAAAATGTGTGGGTTGGCAGCTACGTGGCTGCACTTTCTGAGTCCAGCGTCGCCTTCATGATTGACAAGTCGGTCTTTCGCATGGTCCCCCTGGAAAAAAGCTACAAGTTTAATGCCAAGCCACCGTTCCAGCCTTTCACGATAGACCAGGCGGAAGCTTTTATGACCCGCAAGGTTGACGTCGGCCGTTGGGTTATGAAGGACGAGGAGAAGAAGGCGGGCTTGAACGATCTTGAAGCTACGCGGCGGATGTTGTACGGACGGGGACAAATGATTAAGACAGAAAGTGATACTTTCAAGGCTGCTTCGCGCGCAGAGAAGATGGAACACGACGAGCTTGACGTCTCGGGCGATGAATTCCAAGATGATGACGAAACCCCGCACTTTGAACGAAACGATGATGAGGATACAAAAGACTCTAAAGAACGTATTCGGCGTGAGCAGCTGGGGGCGAATCTGTTTGGTGAAGGAGACGAGCAGGAAGTCGATAAAGAGCTGCAAGAACAGCTGAGAGAGGAGCTGGAGAGACAAAAGTATGGCAAGACAACGAAGAAGGCTCTAATCAAGAGAGATCGAGAAGATATATATGAGAGCGACAACTCCGGCTCCAACCCATGGAGCAGCTCGGTAAGTTCACCCTGTTGCCAATCTTGGCACTGATACATCGCTTATACCACCACCCCTATAGAGTGACGATGACAGCTCCGACGAAGAGGACGAGGCTGGAAAAGATGACGAGAAAAAGGAAGGCGAGAATAAAGAGGGTCAAGGTGATGGCAAAGACAAGTCTAAATCCCAGAGTGCCAAAGGCTCCACCACTCCACAAGGCAAGCAGAAGCTCTCTGAGATGGGCAAGAAAGGAAAATCGTTGAAACGCGCCGGTTCGCCTGCTTTGTCGGAGTCAAGCGGCAATGAGTCGACCAGAAAGAAGTTCAAGAAGGCATCGGGGGCGGCTACTGATAGCCGTCCAAGCACCCCTGGATTACAGACTAACACTGTCCGCCGTCCTAAGATTACTGCAGGCTCTGGGAGTGATGGGGAATTCACAGCGGGCGAGATGTCAGATGGAGCAATGCAGAAGAAGAAGATCAAGCTCATTGGCAGCTCAAGAGGAACACCTTCCGCATCCAGGGCTGGCAGTCCAAATCCCGCTCAAGCTGGTAGGCTCATGTCCTTTCCGTTGAACCTCACTGCCTCATCTATACTAATGACTTATGACTTATGAACTAGGTGCCTCTCCTTCCTCTTCTGGTGGGTTGATTGAATCGTGGGAAATTTTGGAAAAGATACCTGCAGATGGAATCACTATTGGTGATCTCATCAATCTATTCCAGGGTCGCGTTGGAGATGGTCCGGGCCGAATGCCCAGACAAGAATGGATTGGCCTTGTTAAGCAGTTGTGTGACTATGGGCCGGATAAGCGCCTGCGCCGTAGGAAGTGAGGTTGCTCTCGATCCAAGATAGCATACCTCGCTAGAACTTAAATGCGTTGAAATCTTCATCTTGTTGGGATATTGATTGCGAATGAATCGCAAGCCTCACGGCAGGTTAAACTTGAATTTTTTGACTCTTCTTTTTGACACTTTTTTTTTTTTTTTTTTTTTTTTTTTTTTGAAAACGAATTATAGCGATGACGCGTCGAAAACTACGACGCCGAACTATTTAAATCTTAGTTCTCGTAGGGTATCTCATGGTATAAATTATACTACCACCATTATTATTACTATTCATCCATTTGCCAAGCGTATTCCAATCCCTTGTTCCGTTCACGGCGATTTGCTGCCTTGAACCGTTCTGCTTCAAGCCCATTGCCTCTGTCCACGCCATCCCATCGATATCCCGGCTTGATGCCATATCGATTGGGAGCTGCAGTCCCTGAATAGACCGGCCGGCGCTTTGACTTCTTGCCTCCACGATTTGTTTCTTTCTCCGCCAAGAACTGTGTCATGGGATCGTTCCATCTGGATTGTTCTTTGAGCTCTCTATTCATATCTTCATCGTCAGCCTTTCGGGCAAAGCTCATGAGTTTGGCATCTTCCAGCTCCTCTTTCCGTCGTCTCGCATTCTGCTGCTGAACATCACCCTTCAAGGATTCAATGGCAAGCCTCTCCTTTTCCTCAGCCTCGGCCGCTGCGCGCCTTGCCTCTGCTCTCTTCATAGAAATATCGATTCTTCGTCCAGTGGCATCTCGGTAAACCGTCTCTTCTTCTTTTGCAGTTTTCCGGTGGCGCTCAAAGTCTTCTCGTTCCTCTTGCTGCCGCCGTCTCAATTGCGCTGAGACCGCAGCGGCGCTCTGTAAGCCGGCATGTGTTCCATCGCTCATTTTCGCCACGCCTTGGCTGTCTTCGACAATCGGCATCTCATCGTCGGCGGCTCTCGCTGCGTCGTTCTCTGCTGCGGCCGACGCGATAATTGCGTCTGCAGCCGCGGCGCTGTCGTCTTTCTCCTGGCCATTCCCGCCATTTCCTACTGTTTTCCAACTGCTTTTCTTCGCTTTTCTGAATTCGGCTGTTGTCCCCGTGACGGTCAATGGGCCGTCCTCGTCTGCATCGTCCTGCGCGGAGCCATTGTTCCAGGCTGTGTCGTCGTCGTCGGTTATTAGCAGGCCTGAAGCTGCATTTGCCTGCTTGCGCTTTCGCTTCTTTGATGATGGTTTTGGATCAGCAACTAGATATTTTGAAGCTAGATAGCTGGAAAGATCTGATGGCATATCGATGAAAAGTATAGCTTCAGCGGTTTTCAATCACAAGAGAGAATAGAGAAGAGATGGATGGACGGTTGATGCAGAGCTGCTGCTATTATTGGACAGCACCCAGCACTACGTAGGTACCTGGCTATGCAAATATCGAAGCGGATCGGAGAACGGAGAACCGACACCCCGGTACAGAAATATGGGGCGGTGCAGGTACGTAGCAGAAGTCGGGGCTTTTGATATCATATGAGAAGCCGATCGTGGCTTCAAGGCAAGTGACATCTCGCAACGCTCCCGCGCCAGCACGCTTCGCAAGCGAAATATGCAGAGCCGGTTCACGACGCCAGATCCCCGCGACTCTACTCTGATCCCTCGTTCCGCATGAAGTCACCACAAGCGCCTGCATTGTCTGCGCGGAATCACCGCACCCAGTCGCCTTCATGCCACGGCCTCAAGATGAATCGTCTACGGAACCGATTCAGGCGCTGCCCGCCGCGGCCCCCGCCGCAAAGTTCTCTTATATGAGGCATTCGACCTCGACGATTGAGCCCTTCCCCACGTCTCCTTCGGAATCATCGCTCGTCTTTCGAAACTCGAACCCCTCCAGAGCCTCTTTATACGCCTCGACATTATCCCCTCCGGGGTCAAGGTCCATGTCGCCAGCGGGGCGGGGATCTCCATCGAGAGTCCTGTCAAGCACTGTATTCGACATAGGCCAGAATCGTGTGTTGCCAGAGAATGTTGGGGATGATCCCGGCGAACCACTGAATCTGATTCTCAGATCGTTTGTGCCTCATGTATCTGTCTGTGCCTCGCGGGACACAGAGGCTTTAATTCGTGAAAAGGGTTTCCAAAATGGATTGTGGGAGCTATTGCGGCCGTTTGGGGAGAATATCCAAGGAAAGGTAAATATCAGGGATAGCAACGGTGTTGGGCGAATATTTGAAGACTTTTCTATACGATTTACACGGTTCGGCGAAAACATAGAGCGTCCAGATGCGCTATCGTCTGGTTCTCAGCAAGCTCCGCCGCCGCGAAATCCCAACGGAGCGCAGGAAAGAGGTGCCGGCAACAGATCGGCCATAAACGATATCGAAAGCGTTGTTGAGCGACATCTTTCTTATGCAGAGGAATCGTTTCTCGGAATGCCGCACAAGAGTATCATGATGAAATATGGCTCGGATTCTGAGGCTGCTTCACCATACTATGCTTTGTATTTACGACGATTGCTTTCAGGATTGCCCATCTCGGCGCACGAAACCTTTGCTCATCCCGTAGCTTGCATCATAGCTATCAGCTCCCGCAATCCCGCTCCTATAGAAGAGCTACGGAGACTGTACTCTGAAACCAGCCAAGGCGAGAAGAAATTGCCCTCGTGGGTAGATGGAGATTACCTAAGATACTATGTTTTGGTCCACGATGAGGAGAATGATGACATTACGAGATCTATGGGCTTATTTGAGCAAATGAAGCGGCACCTCGGACTTCATTGCCACCTATTGAGGCTACGATGTAGCCAGAGTGTGGAAACCGACGACGATAGCATCCCTCTCCCCCGAAGCGATTGGATGTCTGCACCCGAAGAGTTGGCAGAGATTCGGCGAAGCGAAAACGATGAGGATTTTGAGGATCCATCACGATACATTTTTGAATCAGATGCTATTGCCATCCGCACGTTTGTGCGCGAAATGCTAATGCAGTCGATTATCCCCACTATGGAACGCCACGCCACGATCTGGAACGACCAAGTTGCCTCTAAGCGTAGGGGAATCACAGGAAGATTTATGAGCTTATCAAAAAGATGGACAGGGTTCGGCAGCAGCTCGCGGTCCTCATCCAGCAGCAATAGCATCAGCATCAATACCAGCAAGGACGGCTATGATCCCTCGGGTTTCTACCGTGCCGATACATCTGAAGCCATCATGCGAAAGCTGGCTGATTTTGCCTTTATGTTGCGCGACTGGAAACTAGCCCATTCGACCTACGACCTCTTACGATCCGATTTTAGCGAGTCAAAAGCTTGGAAATACCACGCCGCAACCAACGAAATGGCTGCTATTAGCCTGCTTCTCATGCCGCAGCAATTGACATCTAAGAGCCGCGCGGAGACCGTGGATCAGATGCTAGAATCGGCATTCTATTCCTATAATACACGGTGTAGCTCTCCATATGGCGCAACGAGGACTTTGATTCTGGCCCAGGAGCTCCTACGACTAAGAGGAGGCTCCAGTATCGATGATGCCGCACGATGGTGCACTCGCCTACTCGAAACAAAGGTCCTGGGTAGGATTGGAGATGCTTTGGTCAAAGAGCGGTTAGCAATCTGCTATGCCTCCAAGCTAGGTGTCGGCAGTTGGAGTTGGGGTAGTCGGCGGAGAAAGTCAGCAGCTTGGAGCGTCTTTGCTGCCAGAGCCTGGGCACAACAATCCAAGCACATTCCGGCTCAACGGTGCCTGAATGAAGCCAAGAAAATGTACGAAACGCTGCCTCACGGACAGGGCATATCGCGCTTCGCAAGCGCTCGAGAAACCATGGACTCGCTACAGCGTGAGCTGACAGAGAAGCTGGAATACCCGGCTGGGCATGGCCGGGGCGTACCAGAAGACGCGATTGACGATACCATAGACGAAGAGAGCGAGGCGTTGACTGATATGCGCTCAAGGAGAGCAAGCAATCTGGCCCGCGGCGGAGCTTTGGAAACGGCGCCCCTGCACAATGAGGAAATGAGCAAAGATACCAATGAAGATATAGATAAAGAAGGCTTTGAATAGGATAATGGAATTGGGTTAGTCACGAGGAGGATAATTGGATCAAAGGTTACGAGCGCTGATGAAAGATGAACCGTTCAAAGATATGAATTATTGGGAGGCTTTTTGTCTTTGTCTACTTTTCGTTCAAGTGTCATGGTATTGTTGGGTCGTTGTACTAATAATAAGCCTTCGGCTCGAATGGCATTGCATCTAACAGTTCTGAGCGTAGATGAATGAAAGGCAGGCCTTTTTTTTTTTTTTTTGTTTTTTTTTTTCCTTTTTCAGTCTTAGATAGATCATATATGCGCTTGCATTGCTTTGGGTTCATTTGTACGTTAGGTAAATGCAGCTGGATCAACGAAGTGACACAAGTGGCTGAATGGCTGAAGGAGTGATATCACATGCACCAAATAATCGGGCAGTAAAGCTAAAGAGCCTTAGCGGCATCTCTCCCGCTAAGAACATTTGCCTGTCATCACACCAAACACTTCCAGCAGATTGTATTAGTCGCGAGACAGTACACGTGCCATTTTCTTCATCAATGCTCATGAGAAGTACCTGGGAAGCGACATTATAGGCACATCTGTTTGCAGCGCGAGGAATCGAAATAGCTGTTGCTGTCATTTTGTGAAGTCAAAATGGGCGAGCTATCTGATTACTTGGTCGAGCACGATCCCAACTTCCGCAAGTAAGTGATACTCAGCCTGATTCCATCATCCATTCTTCTTTTAAAGGGTCGCGTAGTATTGGTACTGACTGTGGTAGAACTCGACTCCCTGCGCTGTATTCCGACTTTCGGTCACAAAGGACTCTAAACCCAGATGGATACCACGCGAACATCTCGGCCTGGCTACTTGCTCTCGCGAGATTAGCCTCTGAAGGGCTATTATCTCGCCAGGGTTCCAAGTCGAGCGCTCTCGTTTTCAATATCGACGAATCACTACGACGGTCGCTGAGTAGCAAGCAATTTGGCCAGCCATTAGCGCTCGGCACTGTCATCAATGAAGCGCTGGCACAAAGGGATCTGATACCTCTGCAGACTTTCCTGCAGTCAACCCAGAATATATATCAACAGCAACAGAGCTGGTCACAGGTGCCATGGAATGTCATGGGATGGGCGCTGCGGCAAATAGGAGTCATCGACCCGACTCGAGGCGAAGATAAGATACCCAAGGGCAATTACGTTGTCATGAAGAACGTAGAAGCAACCAGCCGGGAGCTGGGAGAAACGATTGCCGAAAGAACATCACGATATGACCGAGCTTTTACGCGAGCTCAGTTCCAGACACTGTTCGAATCAGTGCTGGCTAAGGATCAGCGACTGTCCGAGACAGATTTTGATGTGCTGTTAAAATTCCTATCCCGAGATAAGGATATGATTGAATACAATGGCAATACGGTCCGCATCCGGGGACTTGGTGAAGAAAGAGGCATCACCGAGGAAGATGCGTCTATCGCATCTATCAAAGAGCTGATGGACAGCCTGGAACATCAAGTCAATCTACTTGACAAGCGGATACATGAACTAGATCAAGAGGCAAAGAATGCAGTTCTACGCAAGAATCGCGTAACAGCTTTGGCGGCGCTCAAATCGAAGAAACGGGCCGAATCTTCTTTATCAACACGATATGCCACTTTCAGCCAGCTCGAGGAGGTGGCTTCAAGGCTACAGCAGGCTTCCGACCAGGTGCAGTTGGTCAAAGTCATGGAATCATCGGCCAGTGCGCTACAGAGCCTCAACGCCCAAATTGGCGGCTCCGAAAGGGTTGGGATCACGATGGATCATCTCAGAGAGCAAATGAGCGCGACAGATGAATTAACTGCCATTTTATCTGAGCCCACTGGCGACGTTGTAGATGAAGGGGAGATTGATGATGAGCTGGAAGCCTTGGAGATGGAGCAGAACAAGGAAGAGGAAGAGAAGCAGCGCCGCAAGGAGGAGGCTAGGGAAGCTGCTAAAGCCAAGAAGGAGCTCGATGAGCTGCCATCTGTACCAACGGAAGATGCAGAGAGAATAGGGGCTCAATCACCAACAAGGGCGACGGGTATTGCGAATCTGTCACTCGGTAATTAGAGGAGAAGGAAAGTAACAATCTTCGGATTCTATTCATTTTACAAGGGCTCTTTTTTTTTTCCCAACGCAGGGCTATATACTGATTTCAAGGTAAAGGTATGAGCGTGATTGATATAAATGTTTTATTATTATTCGACAAATAGAATGATCAATGGGTCTTTTATTGTCTCAATAAAAACAATTTCACCAGTAGAATGCGAGGTTTGCGCTGTAATTTCTTCATTATATTCATTATCCCCAATCGACTACGCTCGAATCAGATGGGTATCATTATCTTGATATCAGAATATGTACACCCTAATATTTATCTTGTTTCTGCTATATTACTTTTTCTGACGCTTCGGCTGTTGGCGTTTAGTCTATTGGTCGTTGTGAAGCTTCCCAAGCCATTGGTTCAGCACCGTGAGGGGGCAGTAATTGCATAACCGGTGCGCGTTCTGGCTCTTCTAAATTCCTTTGGGCTGCTGAACTACTCGAGGCCGGTGGTTGTGACGATGAAATGACCATCAAATCTGGAGGCTGGCTTGTTGAGCTGTGCGGCTGATCAATTGTTGATTTATCCTCCTCCTCCTCCAACCTCTTCTTTGTCTTGTCTCCATTTCTTCGAGCGCTCGCGATAAGGTCTCTGAATGAAGAGTCGTGCTTAGCTGCCCATGCAGCACCGTCAAAGTCTTTGTCCTTGATCGCCGCCGCAGTTTGTATCACTCGGCCAGTAGTCGGTGCTCGGCCGCCCTGGGTGCGCTCCCAAACATCCAGGTCGTGGAGCAGCTCTGAGCGCTTCTTTGGTGTGGCCGCATCGCAATTCGCATTCCATAGCGTTAGCCACTCTTTATGGCGTTTTTCCAGGAGAGGGCGAGGTCCTTGGTTGCTGAGTCCTAATTCTAGCATCTTTTTCCGCAGCGCCTGCTCTTTTAACATGGAGTAATTGAGGGGAGGGAGTCGCTCGAGTGTCTTTTGCTGTTTTCGCTGAGATTGTCCAAAGGAAAAGGTATTTTCGGAATCAACATTATTGCTTGGATTGTTTGTCGGGGCCGAAGGGCCTGGACAGGATTCTAAATGCCCAAACACCTGCCATTCTTTCATCTTTTTATTGCACATGGGGCAGGGCACAAGGCCGTTTGCTGCGAAAGCGCATTGTCAGCTGTCAAGTTGTAAATTGAAAGCATGTCTGTGCACTCACGAGTATCAGGCACATATTCTTCGTCATCATTGTCCTCATTATTTGAGTCGGGAACAGTTTGTTCTTCAGCCGTTACGGTCGGAGTCGTTGCTACTGCCGGTTCTCCTCGGGTTTTGCTTAATCTAGCTGATGTGCGCAGTCGCTTTGGTTCGTGAGACGCATGCGCATCCGGAGACGCCTCAGGAGCCTTCCTTTTCGGCGATGGACTCCTCGGTCTCTGATTGCGCGCAAGATTCAGCGCAGCCATCCGTGCTTTGGTAAAGGCCTCGACCGTTTCCTCCATGGACCAGTTGCTTCGAAGTTTCAGCTCTTGCTCCGTTGAGCGACACATTGGACATTTGCCATCGTTGGACAGTGCTCTTCGAATACAGATTGAGCAGAATGTATGCGAACAGGAAGTAATCATCGGTGTCTTGTAAAAATCTTTGCACACTTGGCATCGCAAAGCGGCCTCGACAGCTGCGAAGCCAGAAAGCGGCGTCGAGAGCCAGTCGGTAGAATCTGGAACGTCGTCGGAGGTGGCCATAAAGGCAGGCAGGTTTTGAATATCCAAAAGAAGAAAGAAAAGTAAAATAGAAATAGTTTCGATTTGATTATTTTTACAATGTGCGGCGCCGGAAATGCTCCGGTGTAACAAGACAGGGGCGACAGATTACTGTCGGATATCGATCGAGTGGCAGCGCTGAGCAAAGACAAGACAAGGCTTGCCATTAACGACCAGGATGCTGAATGCGCCGTCGTCGCGACCGACGCGTTGGAGGACCGCAAGTCGACTTGTTAGATGCATATACATATTAGTCGCATAGCCAAGTGCAGCGTCTGCAGCGGCCCTCAGGGTTGTCTGCTTGCATTAAAGAGGCAGATATGCTACAAAGCGAGCAGATCAAATTGGCTGCCACGTGAGTTCGTGTTTAAGTGCTGAACGCGCGTGGACCCAATTGGACTGGAGAGCTCCCAGAGCGAGAAGAGAACTGCAAGCTTGCGTGCCCAGCTATCGGAATAGTCTGATAATCACTGTTGGCTTGTGGATCAGACGAGAGAGCACAGCCATGGACGACACCAAAAAATACCTCTCCGATCGGCTCCTGAGTGAGGAGGTGCCGGTACGTATAGATGCGCTTTCAATTGCTATACCAAGTGCTGGAGACCTATGAACTAAGAATCCATGTTTGTCGCAGGTGACATATCGTCTGCTAAGCAGAGCGCTCAACCTTCGGGTGAATGTTGCTAAACAGTAAATCTGGTCGTCTTGTTCTTTTTGTCCTGAATTATTTACTGATTCAAATTTCAGAAAACTACATGAATTTTATGAGAGCCAGAATGCTTCCAAAGCAAATTCTATTCATGCTACCTACCTGATTTATGGATCCAAAACGGAAGACCGAGAGCCAGAGACTGGCGATGCTGACATGGACGGCTCAGCACCTGAACCCGAACCTCTCTCTGACTATGCACCCACCAGAACGGTCACCATAGTAGCGGAAGAAGGCTTAAAAGGTCTGGTCATATCAACAGAAAACAGCTGCCAGGTTTGCTAATAGTCCACTTAGATGCGTTGGCCGAATATGAACAAGTCACATCGATGCATGTTTACAGCCTGTCCCCCTTCCCTCAGAGAGACTTGGTGCAGCTATCTGACGTCTCAAAGTCACTGTCTGAGTATAGAAAGGTTGAAGATGCTGCGAAAATGCTGGAAACATATGGATTAATCGCGAATCCCAAAGCCCGCAAGAAGGACCGCAAGGGCCGCACTCCAGTTTCAGTCCCGGTCTCTGTCCCAAGCGCACCTAAAGCTGCCAAGCAGGAGGCACAATCGGCTACGCCCAAACCTAGTCAAGCGGAAAAGGTCAAACAAGAGACTAGAGAAGCCCCATCTGCCGATTCTACCCCATCATCGAGTGCTGGGAAGAAACCTCCTGCGTCGCTAAAAAGAGGTTCTTCTGGAGGCATTATGCAGTCCTTCGCTAGGGCGGCGGCGAAACCTCCCAAGCCAAAGCCTGAAACGAAGCCCAAGGATGAAGATACCAGCATGGCATTATCCGACGATGGTGAAGCTGACGAAGAGGATCTGCCTGGCTCCAAGTCAATAGACATGGAAGCATTGAAACGGACAAGAAAGGAGCGTGAAGAGCAGCTCCTACGTATGATGGAAGATCCAGAAGATGAAGCAGAGGGAAAAGAAGAGGCCAAGAAGGGAGATGAGCAATCAGATGAGGAAATGGAAGAGGCCTCTGAGCCGGAGCCTGAAGCAGAGCCTGAACCTGAACAGCCTAAAGAGGATAAAGAGCCTGCAGAAGTGATATCGAATTCCAGTAATGGCCGCCGGAGAGGCAAGCGGCGAGTTATGAAGAAGAAGCGCATATTGGATGATCAGGGATATATGGGTAAGTTGCTTGATCATGTTTGTGTCAGTACGTGGCTAAATCTTGTATACAGTAACTATCCAGGAGGCTGCATGGGAGTCCTTCTCTGAAGATGAAGCTCCTCCACCAGCCACCAAGCCGACGCCTACGGCAACACCCGCCTCATCAACACAGAAATCAAAGAAGGCAGCGCCCGCCGCGAAGAGTGGGAGTCAAGGCAACATCATGTCATTCTTCTCAAAGAAGTGACATGCCAGGGAACAGAGCAGAGCTCATGCCATACATCTACATTGATAATATAATAATCCGTATATTGTTTTTTCGCTTGGGTCCAATATTATACCCAACTACTGACTGGACGATCACTGTCTGTGACTCCCGCTACTAATTTTTCATAATAACCGACATTGGCCTGCATGCGTTGCAACAGGAGCCCAAGCCTCCGGACGCCATCAATCAGTGCCTCCTCGGGCTCCCAGGAGAAGCAGAGTCTGATTGCGTTGTCAAATTTCGCGCCTTCTTCGTCCCCTCGAACCGCAAACATGTTTCCTCTTCCAAGAACGATGTTCTCCTCTCTCAACGCAGCATCTGAGACTAGCAGTCCTGAGGGTCCCTGGGTTAGTGTAAGCCATACGAAATAGCCACCATAAATGCTCTGGCCCTGGATGCTGGATTCCTGTGATACAACACCGAGAGGGGCCAAGTACTGTTTTACAGCGTTCATCATAATCCTATGTCGCCTCTGTAACGCCGGCCGAGTCTTTGTGTCGATGAAGTTGGCCAGCTCGCCAGTCCGAAGCAAATCGGCCAGCATCGCGGCGCAGAGCTGACTTGGAGCACCGCCAGACATGGAAGATGCCGTCTTGGATAGTCCTAAAGCAAAGGCCGGAGTACCCTCTGCCCATCCCGTCCGGACACCTGGTCCCGCAATCTTGCTAAAGGATCCATTGCTCACTGTGTGTCCAAAGCCTTGAGGGTCGATTTCCGCCCGACCCAGTGACATGTCGATATCGCACAGGCGGGGGAGCCTCATTTCTGGCGGCCGTTGAGCAGTAGTAGGCCCCTCGAGTGGCCACTGCAAGAACTCATAGACGTCGTCGCAGACAACGAGAGCATCGTACTTTCGAGCTAGTTTGACAAGGCTCTCGCGTCGCTGGACTGATAGCGTCTTTCCTGACGGGTTGGAGCAAGTTGGCACAACGTAAATGATGTGCCTATAGAGCTTTCTATACGGGCCAGGGTTTTTGAATGGCTTGGGCTAAGAAGCAGAAATTGAAAAGAATAAGTTTCAGCTCTACTGCTGCATGTTTACTACAACAACCCGGGTCGAAAACACATGCCAGAGATTGATAAATTCATATCAGGGGATATTCTGCACTTACCTCCTGATGTGACCCAAGCTTCTCTGCGCTCTCCCAAGCGGCCAGTCTCCTCTCCAGCTCCTCAACATCAAGCCCCTCGTCATCCTCCGGCGCCGCCCTCAGTCTCCCCGCAAAGCCTGCGTCCTCAAACATGCCAAACGACAAGTGGTAGCAAGGCGCAACCATCCACACAGCCCGGGTGTAATGCGGATCCGTGAAGCTCTGGAGGATGCAGGCCAGGTTCTGGCTTGCGCCGCCGGTGATGCAAATACGATTGGCATCCGGCTCCACGCCGTAATGCTGGCCGAGCCACTGGGCCAGCCTCTCCCTCAGCGGCTGGTAGCCCGGATCAGGGGCATATTGCAGGATGGGGACGCTCTCGACGGGGTCGGCCAGGACGCGCTGGCAGGCTGCTGAGAGGAGGTCTGCGGGGAGGAGATGTGGTGAAGGCCATCCGCGCAGTAAGTTGATTTGCTTTGGCTTTGTTGGTGGTGGAGCGTCTGAGCTGGACATGGTGGCAGCGGATGTCGTTGTTATCGGACGCAAGCAAGTGAATCTCTGGGTGCTGCCTGGAGCTATTAATCCCAATGAGAGCTGCTTGCTGCTGTGGGACTTGGAGGGACAGGCTCGTGTTAGTGGAGGGCGTGCCTTGGATCGCAAGATGCCGTGCAAAGGGCGCATAGTCCGGGGGCAAGGCTAGCAGGTAGCTGACTCGCAGAGATGACGATGATGAGGGTGGGACTCATTCACAATAGAGACGGGAAATGCTAGTAGTCAAGTACTGCTCGTATCGGTAATATCAGCGCACTTTCTTGTGAGTCAGTTTCGATGTCTCACAGGCCTATCTACCTGATTCGGAGGAGACTAAATTGTGGAGTCTGATTGAAGCTCTACGCAAGTGTTGGTGTGGGGTTTGCCTACCCCAATAACTCTAAAGGAGTCATTGTTATTCAAGGGCTTGGACATGTTTTACATAAAAGAATCGTATTTACTCATTTCGCTCAAATTGCTTAAATCTCATACGGCTCAGCTCCCGGCCCAAACACCAAATGCGGTTTCCGCTTCGCCAAGTCCAAAATCGTCACAGCAAAGACGCCGTTCGCCCAAGCAAACCAGCTTCGCGTGTACTGGTTCACGTAATTAACATCCACGCTCTCGTGAATGAGACCTCGAGGGGATGCCTTCAATACCAAATCGATACATGCCTTGATCTCCTTGTCGTCGTTTGAAGTCTGGGCTTGGAGCAGCAGGCTCATGGGCCATGCATTTTCCAAGCCAATATGAGGACCTAAAAACAGATGTGTTAGAACTTCGTTGTTGCCTTGTTAGCTGCGAGATTCGTCATGCAATAACACACCTCCAATTCCTTGGAAAGATTTGCCCTTCAAATAGTATGGGTTGCCCTTCTTTTCCAACAGCATCTTCCTTGTGTTTTGATATATCGGATCATTTACATCGCAGAATCCCATCACTGGAAGAGCAAGAAGTGAAGGGTAATTGGCATCGTCCATCAAGATGGAAGAACCATATCCGTCAACCTCATAGGCGAATACGTCGCCATATTTCTTATGCTTGATAACACCATGCTCCAGTACTCCAGCGCGGAGCTGCTCGCTCCACTTGGCTAGCTTTCTAGCTAGTGTCTTCTTGCCTGCGGCCTGCAGCACCTTGGCAGCCCGACCAAGCTCCACAGACATCATAGCATTTGCCGGAATGAAGAAGCCTAGGATAGTAGCATCGTCACTTGGCCTGAACGCTGAGCGAACCAGGCCCGTCTCGCTATTCAGCGGGTTTCCGACGCCTTGTAGATTGAGCGTCTCAGTGCCAGTATTGGTCCATCGCTGGAACGTGTAAGTGTTTCTTTCGTATTGGCTTGATTCGGGATCAAATGTCGACTGCGATTGCTGCTTCAATACCCCCAACAGAGTCTCAACGGCAAGGAGCCACCGTCTGTTCACAAAGTCAGTCGACCCGGTGTGGTCGTAAAAGTCATTTCCCAGCGCCAAAAAGTGCGCCAGCGAATCGAGTTCGTATTTGCACTCAAACACCACACTGGGCTCGTACGCCGGGTGCACCAAATCGTCCTGACCATTGGCGGAGACGGACAGTTCGCTGATGGGGGGTGGCTGGAACGCATTGCAGTACGGCGACTGAATGACATACTCGGACTGCGTGTTGATTGCACCGAGGATCAAGCTAAAGATGGCGGGATCCTTCTTGGCCAGGGCCTGGTAGGGCCGTAGTTGGTTTGTCGAGTCACGCAGCCACTCTGCAATGATATCTCCTGTGATGATAAACGACTGGGGTCCCTCCCATGCGCCATCGTCTTGCCGCCGGCCATCAAGACGGACAAAGGCCGTTTCCTTCTCGCCATTGGTGTGGAACTTCACGGTAGTATCCGTCGTAGAGGGGAATGTGTTCTCGAAGAGGCGTGCCAGATCTGGATCCTTGATTCTAGATGTCACTTCTTTAATGACTCTCTCGATTTCGTCCGATTGGAACGTCCGGCATTGTGGATTTGGCCGCTGGTAAGGCAGGGCCAGCGGGCCAGTGCTGAAGGGACGACTGCAGTTTTTGGTCAGACCTTGACGCTCATACGATATCATAATAGGGGACACATGGGGCTGGAACAAACTGCGGATATGTAGAGTAGAGCGCATAATCGGGACAGAAGGCGCCGTAGTTGGGCAGCGGAACCTGCGAGTCGTCCCGGCCAAGCACCGGCGTCACTGCGCCGAAGCCCAGCAATGCGGCTGCGAAGAGCTGGAGAGACATGCTGGCCTCTGGCTGAAGTACAGGCGAATCGCCAATGCGACGTCTCCCTCGTCTAATTCGGAGTGCTGTGGATGGAGGCTCAGAAAGAATGGCTGCTTCGTATCTGCGGTAGAGATAAGTTTAGAGGCGCTGCATGCACTACAGAGCCCCCCACTATGGCACTGTCGCCCCCAGAGCTAGAGTAGACAGCTCAGCTTTATTGCTAGCTGCATTGCCGCTCTCGGAAAGCATCAGCGTCTCGGCTACGTCATTAGAGATGATTGAGCTTCAAGTAAATCTTCCCAGGGCTACCATTCAAACTGAGAAATTCGCATAATTTAAAAACTATTTCCGATTTGTAATGGAAAAGCACAGAAGCGCGCACCTGAGTGGGTGATACCGCACTGTTAACATTTACCTATTCAAGTTGAAAGGGCGGCTGTCAAGCAAGACTCGGCAGTCAAGAGCAGCTGTAGGAGAGTCATCAATATTGGGTAAATATATCTTGAGTTGAGGGTATCATCAATCTAAGAGTAACTTTTGACAAGGGAAAAAAAAACAGGATGAGACCTCCATTGCGCTCAGTACAGACAAAGCTATCAACAAAACACCTACTAAGCGCCTGTACCCCAATAACTCCCATAAACACTACCTATAAAACCATATTATATCATATCTGCTGCCAAACCAACACTTACATCACCAACCCCACGTACGACTTGATGCTGTAAACACTGGTGGCTTCCACTGGATCTTCTGGGGATCAAGAACCCTCTTCCGTTTGAGTTTTGCCTTTTCCCGCTGCTCAATGAGTTTTTCTGGTATCACGATTTTGTGATCACTCTTGTGATACACTTGCATTTTCATGGCTTGCAGCGTATGTTCCACATCCTGAGTCGTCATTGCGAGAGATGTCGAGATGGCTTCAATCGTCGCCTTCTCATCCCGCTCATTATAGCCCAGTAGTAGATCCAGAATGTTTTCAGACCAATACTGGCGGTAACTAAGGAGACCGAGATCAGATAAAGGCTTCTCGGGAGAGCCCAGTTTGCCTTCAATCTTGGACAGCTCATATGAGAACTGAATCAGGAGACGGCCGTAGCCTTTCCGCTGATATTGTGGAAGCGTCAGAATACAAGCCACATTGTATGCATCAGCACTTTCCTTCTCCTTGGAAAAGTATCCTACGACATGGCATCCTTTATCTGTTCGCGTCGTCATAACGTAGAACAGGAAGGGGTCTACATCGTAGTAGAGTGTCTTGTGGTCGAGGAACATCTTGGACAAGAGACACAGATTGCGACACCAGGTCCGCTGTCGCCGTCCATCAATCTCGAAAAAAGAGACGTAGTCGTCTCGGTAAATCTCGTTGCCCGGTGGGTGCTGCAACGTGCACTTCTTTCGGTGTCGCGTGAACGCTATCTCATCTCCATAGTAGCTGAGACAAAATTCACAGATATATATCATATCTTCTGCCCCAAAAATCTCTGGATAAGGCGAGAAATACCATGGGAATAAGTCGTGCTTCCCAAACTGTACTTTTGATATATTTCTGATTCGAGATATTTCGGCCGGATTTTGCGTCATCGAACCCGAAGTGCGCAGTTTTTCAATCTCTTCCTCTCGGCTAAAAGCATGGTCCTCTTTCTTGTCTTCCTCTTCTTTCTCATCGGCGAGCAGGTCATCTCCTGCGCCTGGTGTTGCGCTTGCCTCAAAACTGACGTTTAGTTGTGATTCTGCTTCCGGCCCGACTGAGGATGATTTTCGCTGGCTTTGCGCCTCGTTTAGATCTGTTGGTGCGATTCAAACAGTCAACGCCATTCATGACCGGCCGCCCAAAGCGCCCATGTCGCAGTATATGATCATCAGACTTACCCGTCCATGGATGCGGTGTTGTAGCTTCACTATTAACCGATTGTTCGCGCTTCCCAGGTCGCTTTTGCGCCTTCTTTGATACTTGCGACTTCTTCGGCTGAGCTGATGGAGCTTTCTTGGTCTTGGAATCCTTTGGCTTGTCTTTCTCGGGATTTGGCCATTCGACGTCCTGTGAGAAATCGATCCTCGCAACCGGCACCCATTCGTCCAAACGCTTGTTGAAGTTGTCGAAATTGCAGTAGAAATGCTTCCCAGATTTCGTTTCTTTTATGCTCAGAATTTCGGCTCGTCGCGGCTGGCCTTCCTTCTCGACCCAAGCAATGCAGCCCATCTTCAGCGTCTCCGGCGTCGCCTTGCCTTTCTGGCGCGGCGTGTCGGAGCCGACAGATGGCTCGCCATGCGGGGTGCCGCCAGCCATGATGGAAACCTTATCAATGTGTGTAAAGGTGATGAAAGTTGGATGGAATTCGAGAATGCGATGCGAGGGGCCTGGCAGAATATGATGGCCGATTAAGCGTCACACGCTTTTAGCTTAGCTTTATCTGTTATCACAAGGCGGTGAGAGGCCTGTTCCCCAGTACAGCGATATCCCCAAAATTCATAAAGTACGCTTATAGTACTAAAGCTCATAGTTGCTTGAGACTGCTTCTTCCAAACTTCGCTGTTTGACTCGGGTACAATCTCAAAAGTAAATTCTACCACGACGTTTTAAATAACGAACACATGATGCAGTTTCCTTTTCATTAGAAAGCTTCTCTGGCCCATATCTGTAAGGATGGCCGAACTATCCTCCAACTGGAAAATCCTTCAAGCCCGATTGAAGGCCGGGGCTGCTTCCCAGCCGCCTGTGAAACGAAAGGCTGAAGAGCAGCTACAATCCTCAGCGAAAAGAAAATCTACCGGGAAATCTGAGAGTAAAAGCAGCTTTCCGCCAAGTCGCAAGAAGAAGGCACCTGCTCGTAGAATGGGCGGTGTTCAGAGTTCAATCGCGGTAGACAAGCCCAAGCAGAACCCATCTCCCTCACTGGCGATATGGGCCAAGGATCATGAGGTCTCAACTGAGGATCTGGCAGAGGCCTATGGCCTAGGAGTCAAAGGCAATGCTATGATGCTCGCATCCCAGAAGGACAAAGTAAATCACGGCCTTTCCAGCGGAGTTGAGATTGGAAAATATGTCGCCATCGACTGCGAGATGGTGGGAGTTGGGCCGGGTGGGCATGAATCTGCGCTGGCACGTATCAGTGCTGTTGATTTTCACGGACGGCAAATCTACGATTCATATGTGAAGCCAGTCGAACGTGTTACCAATTGGAGAACTGCCGTGAGCGGAATCTCTCAAAAAGAGATGAGATTCGCACGAGAATTCAGCGAAGTACAAAAAGAAGTCCACGACATCATAAAAGACAGGATTTTAATTGGCCACGATATCAAGCATGACTTGGAAGCCCTCAAACTAAGCCACTCTCCAAGGAACATTCGCGATACCGCCAAATATCCAGCCTTCAAAAAGTATGGCCATGGACGGAAGCCGGCACTGAAAGTTCTTGCTAGAGAAATTCTTGGTTTTGAGATCCAAAATGGCCCGCACTCTAGCACAGAGGATGCTAGAGCTACTATGCTCTTATTTCGGAAGCATAAATCTGGCTTTGACATGGACAATACGAACCGATATGCTCCAAAACAGACAGCCAACGCCAGCGCGTCTCGTTCGAAAAAGAAGAACAAGAAGAAGTCATGAGAGACATAAATCTCTCAGGGTCCTACAAAGGAATCTTGCCCATCAATTCTGATGGCCCCTCCCGCGCGACTGTGATGATAACATCACCAAGCGTCTTGGTGAGAAAGCCGGCTTCGCAGTATGAGAAATAATACTACAGTTGGTCAGACCAATAAATAGGTATCAGGAATCCAAAAGGTGTCCTTTCTTACCTCCCATTTCCTGCGGAAAACTTGGATAGCTTCCTTGGTCATATCAGGATGTTCTCTGAGCAACGCAGGTCGAATGGTTTCCTCAAATCTACCCAAAAAACTTTCTCTCCAAAGTCGGAGCGTTTTGGCGTAATGGCCGCCAATATTATCTACCTTTTCAATGATGAGGGATCCCTGAGATTGAGAGCTGATGTGATTCAGGATCTGGGTGATGGATGGGAGGTAGCCGCCGGGGAAGATGTATTGGTTGATGAAACTAGAGACGTTAGCAAGCTTGCAAATTCAGGATCGTTCAGTCAATACCTACTCTTTAGACTTGGAATATGCCTCATGGCGCCCTTCGGGCATTGTAATACACTGAAACATGGCGATGCCTCCATTAGGCTTGAGTAATCGGTGCACACAGTCGAAGTAGTCGGCGAGATAATCCTGCCCCACAGCCTCCAACATCTCTATGGAAATGATTTTATCGTAAGGCGCCGTTGGAACTGGCAACTCTCGATAATCCTGGAGTCTGACCTCGATCCTGTCGCCCAATCCAGCTTCTTCAATTCTCTTCTCCGCCATGGCTTTCTGCTCAGTAGACAGGGTTATGGTTGTCACTCGGCAACCAGTTTTCTTCACTGCTTCAATGGCGAATGAGCCCCAACCAGTGCCAATTTCCAAAACATGATCGCTAGGCTGTATTCTTGCACCTTCAACGAAGTAGGCGAGCTTCCGCAGCTGCGCATATTCCAACAGCTCATCGTCGTCTGGATGACTACAGTCCCAAATTGGGCATGAATAAGTCATGTCTGGGGACAGAAACGCTGCAAACATCTCATTGCTGATATCGTAGTGTGCGGAAACATTGAGGAGAGCATTGGAAAGAGTGTTTGTAGATCGAGCCAGATTAGACAAAATAGACGAGAGCTGAGAAAACCATGTAGTGCCGTTGTTCAGTTGTTCACGGTTGATTATAAATAGCTGTAAACCTCAAAATAAGTAAATGGTATGAAATTGTCATGTCTTGGGCTGGCGTGTTACCTGAAAGAAGGAAGTCAAATCTTGACACTCGAAATTCTTAAGCATGTAAGCTTCGGCAAACCCCATGTCGGCGAATAAGAAAAGTCGCATCCAGAACTCCGCGCTCTTAATCACAATTTTAGCAAAGGGTGCGTTGTCGATCCGACTTTGAGGCCAAGCACGTCTGGCTGTGTCATCTGCCATTTCGACATCTTTCTGTCCAAAGACATGGTTGGTGTGGTCCGATTCGTCAACCAGCAACAGAGTGCCAATTTTTATTTGAGACAAAATAGATAACACGGATGACTTGGCTACCCTGAGAGTCGGATTCCATGTTAGACTCCCGAGATGGCTGCGCAATCCATCTAGGCTTTGACTTAATAGTTTTGACATGTTGTATAATAGCTATCCGCTGCTGTAGTGTTCTTGCAAAGTAGAGAGAGTATGACGAAGAGAAAGCACCCGCGACTAATGTTACAGAGAGCAGTCATATCACGTTATATATACCTAGATCCGGCTCTCAAGATGTGGCTTGACGCCAGTGCCGTCTTCGCAACGCTGAAGTTACACAAATCTCGTCACCGAGGCGGCAGTATCTCTAGCAGCGTCAAATCCAACTAAATGCTGTAGTTACTCCAAAAGAAGTCAATGTTACCTTTTCAAGTTTACCGTCAGCGAGACTGGACTTGAAGGCCATTCGAGTGATGGACATAGTAGGCGAACCATCTTTATTGAAATAGTACATGGTGATCAATGACATATACCATACCGAGCTAATGGCAGCTATATCATGGGCATTGCCATAGTTTGAACTTAGACAGAAGTTAGAGCATCTTACTAGACTTACTGATGCTACTAGTCCACGTATAGAATAATTTGTCTCGATATGTGCGACTGGGTGGCTGGCCGGCGATCTGAGATCCCAGCAACGGCTCCCGCCATCGTGGATCGAAGAAGCTACCCGGTAGTGTTTCGCAAAGTAGCTCTGTTTTCGGTTTAGCGCCCGAAAATGCTCCACGATCGCGGCTCCGGCAGATCTCAGATTAGATAAGGAATTAATTAAACTGCGGCGCGTCTTGCTTTCAATGCGACGCGGGCCGAGGGACAGCAACTGCAACGTTCCGTCCATCATCCAATTAACACGATTCACCATGGCCCAGCCGCCAATGCTCGAGATCCTCAAGGATGAAGCCACCACGAGTCGAGGAACTGTCAACGTGCTCCCTTGCTGCGTCCACCACACCGGGTCGATCGAGCCGTCCTCAGCCTATTGGAGCCCCAGTGTAGATGAGAGTGAGTACAATCTCTCCACAGGCTGGGGTTTGTGACGGCAGAATCTGACATATGCATTGCTTCAAGACGAAACTAGGACTGCCTATATTCGAGGCAGGAAACTTCAGGGAAAAACTGCATCGTTACCGGCAAACTATCGAGGAGTCGTTCTCCTACGAAAAGACGACGAACCCACCATTGCCGAGCAACCGGATGTCATGATTGTCGGGGAGGATGGAGAAGATGAATCTGCTCCTAGAGTTGGAACAATGCATACCGTGACTGAGTTTGACAAGATGGTTGTCTGGTCCCACGATGCGCTTGCTGATGCTTCGTCGGATCCCTATCTAAGAGGCGTGGAGGAATGGCTGCAAGTGGCAGATAGTGTAGGTTGATGCATGGATACCAATGGAGACCTGATGACTGATTGCTCTCTCGTTTAACAGATACATTCATACTCTACAGAGGACGGCCAAAATACGAAATGAGCGTTGATATGATGGCCTTGACCTACGCCACACTCCACGATTGTTTCATGATACCCACACGCTCTTTACCGCAGAAGACTAACGACTTGGAGGTGCCTCAATTTTTGAATAATATGATGAATGAATAGCCGTATATATGGTTTTTCAAAACCTCATTACGTACCCAGGCAATTGGATTGATTCTACAAACAATTTGCTTGCATGAGGAGGTGGCCAGCAGCAAGAAGAGCGCTTCATTGGAAGGGAATAGACGCCGTTGTATGGAGGAAAGAATGAAAAGAAAAGCTATAAATATCAACCAGAGAGTGATTCTTTAGGAACTCTGGCTGAGAGCGTTTCACATTGTTTTCAACACTGCAAGACAAGGACCAGCTGGTGTTCTATAATAGCATGCCTTGGTCGTGTATAAATTCATAAATTCATACAGTACGTGTACAAGTGCTTAAGTCCCCAGTAAACGCAATCAATTAAATTTCGCGTCGCGCTAGCCCTAAAATGGGATCCCTGCGACGCGCTCCACGCGCGTTGCTCCCTCCAACCAGATCCAGCCCACTTCACCTCCAAATTTGGCTCCGATAATCTTTTGCACCAGCTCACCCAAGGCACGGCCCAACCTGCATTGCTTCAATTGCGCATCTCCTCGCATTCGCACTCCCGCCGAAGCTGCCCTTGGCCAATTCCCATTGAAATCCTCAGGGCCAAAATGGCTACCCCCGGCGATTCCAACTTCATGATGTCGGACGGCTTAGCCCCGCAGAGGCGGCCTGGAGGCTTCCCCTCGTCCTCATCAACTCGGCCGCGGGGTCCTCCGTCAGAGAACATGGGCACGCCTCGTGCCGACGACTATGGCGACGCCGACGGCTTTGCGGACGACCAGCTTCCTCGCAGTTCGCGCATCCCCGACGCTGCCAGCATCCCCAAGGTGGAGGACCGGATTGGTATCCTCGTCCAGGAGCACTTTGAGGGCTTCATCGAAAAGTGAGGTTTCACGTTTGGTGTGGTTTTTCAGCGGCTGTGGCTAACACTCGGAAATCAGCTTCATCGAAGATCCCCTTTCATCAGGTGCACCCCCTTCCAGTGCCGCCACAACGAACAAGTACTACATTGCCCAGATCAGGGGCATGCGAACATACCAACTGTCTACCTTCTACGTCGACTACAAGCATCTGGCCGCTTGGGAGAACGGCAGTCTTGCAGACGGTATCATACGCCAATACTACCGATTCCTTCCTTTCCTTACCGCTGCGCTGCATAACATGATTGCCAAATATGAGTCTCAATACTTTCGCGAGCATCGTCAGGCCACCGCCTCCAGCAAGCTGAGCACTTCTGGCGCCAGCCAATACGGCTCTGCAACCCAGAGCGACCTGTCCCAGAGAAAAAACGAGCATCAGCAGACCGACAAGCTTTTCTCAATTGCGTTTTATAACCTGCCGCTTGTCTCCCGAGTTCGAGGCCTGAGAGCTGCCAACATCGGCCAGCTGCTATCTATTTCTGGCACCGTTACCAGAACATCAGAAGTGCGACCCGAATTATCCCTGGCTACTTTTGTTTGCGAAGCCTGCCGTGCTGTCGTTCCCAACGTCGAGCAGACATTCCGATACACCGAACCAACACAATGCCCCAACCAGACCTGCCAAAACCGTGTCTCATGGCAGCTTGATATCAGGCACAGCACATTTGTCGATTGGCAAAAGGTCCGCATCCAGGAAAACAGCTCCGAGATCCCCACAGGCAGCATGCCCCGTACTATGGATGTCATCATGAGAGGCGAGATTGTCGATCGAGCCAAAGCGGGTGAAAAATGCATCTTTACCGGTGCTTTGATCGTCGTACCGGATGTCAGTCAGCTCGGCCTTCCTGGTTTACGGCCTACAGCGGTCCGTGACGATCGCGGTGCACCTCGTGGAGCTGATGTTGGCGGCAACGGTATCTCTGGTCTCAAAGCCCTTGGTGTTCGAGATTTGACTTATCGCTTGGCATTCCTTGCATGCATGGTTGCGCCTGATACCACGTCCACTGGCCAGTCTGCCGCAAGTGGTGCTGCAGATGCTATCAGTGCTCTTACTCAGAATGGTCGTAACGGTGCTGAGGGTGCTGAGTCGGTGGATGAAGCCCAGGCTGCAGTTCTGGCATCTATGAATCCCTCGGAGATTGAGGACCTGCGATCCATGGTCCACGGTGACCACATATATTCTCGGCTGGTCAACTCCATTGCACCAACAGTCTATGGGCATGAAGTCGTCAAAAAGGGTATCCTCTTGCAACTCATGTCTGGTGTCAGCAAAAGTACCGCTGAGGGAATGCAATTGAGAGGTGATATTAACATTTGCATTGTTGGAGATCCTTCGACGTCCAAGTCTCAGTTTCTCAAATACGTATGCTCCTTCGCACCACGTGCAGTGTATACCAGCGGTAAGGCTTCGTCAGCCGCTGGTTTAACGGCTGCTGTTATCAAGGATGAGGAAACAGGAGAGTTTACCATCGAGGCCGGAGCACTTATGCTGGCGGATAATGGTATTTGCGCCATTGATGAGTTTGACAAGATGGATATTGTTGATCAGGTTGCTATCCACGAAGCCATGGAACAGCAGACAATTTCTATTGCCAAGGCCGGTATTCAAGCAACACTCAATGCGCGCACCAGTATCCTGGCTGCGGCAAATCCGGTTGGAGGTCGTTATAACCGCAAAACCACTCTCCGCGCCAACATCAACATGTCGGCGCCTATCATGTCCCGTTTTGATCTGTTCTTTGTAGTTTTGGATGAGTGCTCCGAGTCATTCGACCGCCATCTGTCTGAGCATATTGTTAGAGTCCACCAGCGCCGCGACGAGGCCATCACTCCTGAGTTCAGCACCGAGCAACTGCAGCGATATATCCGCTTTGCAAGGACATTCCGCCCTGAGTTTACGGATGAGGCGAGGGAATGCCTTGTCGAAAAGTACAAAGAACTCCGAGCTGACGACGCCCAGGGTGGCGCTGGCAAGAACTCTTACAGAATCACCGTTCGTCAGCTGGAAAGTATGATTCGTCTGTCTGAGGCCATTGCCAAGGTCAACTGCGTTGAAGAAATTACTCCTACAATGGTCATCGAGGCGTTCAATCTCCTGCGTCAAAGTATCATCTCTGTTGAGCATGATGATGTCGAAATGGAAGAGACGGATGATACCCAGGAAGACAGTGAGACACTTCGTCGCGCTGCTGATGCGGCCTCTGGAGTCACTCCTACAGAAGACCATGAAGGCGATGCTGCCATGGCGGAAGAAGGCCAAGATGGCACAGAGCAAACCGCCTCTGCTAGGAGGAAGCACACCATCACCTATGACATGTACGTCTCTATGATGAATATGTTTGTCCAGAGGGTCAACGAGGACGAGGCTGGCACCGGCGACGGCGTCGAGGGCAGCGTTCTCATCAACTGGTATCTGGAGCAGAAGGAAGAGGAGATGGATGGAGAAGAAGACTACCACAGGGAGAAGACCCTGGCGAATATGGTTCTAAGAAAAATGGTCAAGGTGAGTTCTAATCCCCATCATCAGCGTACTGTATTACATGATCTAACAACCCCCCTTTTCTCACTAGGACAATATCCTCATGGCGCTCAGAGGCGAAGGCCTTACAGATGGCGCTGGCCCGTCAGCTACGCCTGCAAATGTCGTCTATGTTCTGCACCCCAACTGCGCGGTTGAAGAGATTTAGACAGAGTTATCATGATGAAGAGGAAGAAACAGTAACAAAATGATATACCAAGTATGGAGGGAGTTTGGAGTTGGAAGGAATGCGTATATAAAAATTGACCAGATGTCAAGGGATGTTGGGTCGATGCATGGATGCATTAACGTAATGACATGATAGAAAAAAGCCATATTGGATCTATGAGAAATAATAAAACCACATCACATCACTGAAGCATTTGATAAGGCACAGTGAGAGGAAACAAGTTGTAATGAGCAGAAAAAAAGTTCAACACATTTGGCATATTTTCTGTAGAATATTGCACTACTTCACGTCAATGTGAACAAGCAGCTTGTTTCCCCAATCATTCCCCCCTTTCCACCATGAAGGGGGACGAGGGCCTTCGAATCGCCAGAAGCCTGCTCCGCAAGCTTTCCAGAGCCCAAACGTCCGTCATTTCATTATTAATAGCTAGAGGGGCCGGGCTCAATATATGCCCAGGACACCGTATTCCATATCTGTACTTGTACAGTTTTACCGGTGAAGCCCTACCAAATTGGCAAAAGGCCAAAGATCGCGCAAAAGGGGTTTTTTGGTCGTTATGATTCTGGAAAGCTGTACTGCGAGCGTGAGAGATGCGGAGGTTGCTTGTTTGATTTCTCTCACTCTACGTTGCTCCTGTAGACGATGCCTCTTCCCCAGAACTAGTAGGTAGGTAGGTAGTAGCCAGCGACGGGCAAATACTAGAATGAAAATCTGGCTCAATTTGACAAGCCTTACTGCAGACAGACGATGATCTCTCTCTCTCTCTTTTTGGTCCTTTTCCTTTGTGTCTGTTCCTTGATCCGTCCGCAATGCCTTGATAAACACTGGCAGAAAACCAATGCGCAATCAAATACGTCAAAAATAACGCGTGTTGAAATTGTACATATTTGCCCCTGTGCCATCTGAGACTGTTGAGTCCAGTGTACAGAGACGACGAGTAGTTAAAAAAAAAAAGATAATTATCTCTCATCTTCGTTCGTTAATTTGTAAGAAAGTTCAAGATATCCGTACGTGCCTCAGCAAACTGAGGACAATCAAATAAAGATAATGTGCCGTTATGTTGCTGGTTTGGAATGGCTAGGCCCAGGCTACCGAACAAGGTGACCAAGGGTGTGCGAGTCGTTCAGCTAGGCAGCTTGATCGCGGGAATATCGACTCCAGGAATCAGATCCGCGACTACGGTACCCGCCGCGGCCGCCACGGCCAGAGTTATTTGAGGTCGTCGAATCACCGTAGTTACTCGAAAATTCCCTCTTACTGCTACCGTTGCCGTTTCCGCCGTTGCCATTCCCATTCCCATTGCCGCCACCTCCGCCGCCAGGACCTCCACGAGATCCGTGACCACCGCCTCGATGTCGTGATGATGGACGATGGCTTCCTCGTGCGCCCCTGGCCGCAGAAAAGGGGATAGTGGCCACCTTAGGTTCACTCATCCCTGGAAAGTAAATCCGTACAGCGTTTCCGCCGCCAAGAACCTCAGAGGCAAAATAATATGGCTCCATAACAGTCGGCTGTACGAAAAATCTCTTGGGCATTGATTTTATGCCTGCTGCCGGTTGCCACGCTGCTTCTGGTGCCTTGTGTGGTAGTCTGATCTGTGGAAGAGAGCCCATTTCTTGCTCTTCAAAGCATTCTTCTGCCATTGGCTTTGAGGTCAATGATTGTGGAATTCCCGCTGAGTGCTGTACCGATACAAAAGGCAGAGATACGGTTGTGGAAGTCTGGGTAGTCGTATGATCTAGCGCATGCCGACTGGCAGGATCTACTCCCATATGTTTTGGTGGAGATGTTTTCCCGCCGTTTAGAAGATTATTGATTTTATCTTGCCAATTTCCATGTGACGTCTCAGAAGGTCGTCGCATAGAGTGACCCTGCTGGACGGGAGCGCGAGAAATTTCTCTAGCAGCCGCACGGCTGGCCCATGTGTTAATTGGCTTTGGTTGAGATGCTTGAGCGGCAACCATAGCAGGGGGTAGCTTGACTACTGGTAGCGGCTTCGGTAATGAGACATGCGGGCGTGTGATGTCCCCTTCGTATGCCGGGTGGCCCTCCATTGTTGGCGGTGGAGGAGATGGCGAAGAGGGCCGCAGTGGTTCAGACATGCCAATCTCCATACGAACGTCTCTGGCAGGGAAGAATCGAGAGGGTCGCGATTGAGGAGTTGTTGTTGGGCCGTTCGGAGGCAAAACAGAGCCGCTGCCCCCGCTACCAATAACTGTAGGTTGGCCTCCCAAGATGGAATCATCCGCAGAAGAAGCGCCCCTGGTGAGATCGTCTCGCGAGACTTTCCACGGGTCTGTGATGTTAGGCTTCCCTTCAGTAGAACCCATGACGTGTCTAGTCCCATCACCAGGATTATGAACTGGGCGCCAAGTGTCTTTGATTGCGGGTTGAGCATCTTCCGCTGTGACTCCACGTTCTGCTAGCTGACGATCACGCCCTACCCGTTCAGCCATCTTCGCCGCACTTATTTTTTTGTCGTTTTCAGCCACGGACGTCACCCATTTGCTCGCAATATCGTTACCAAGATTTGAATACCGAGTAGCACGCGAGCCAATTACTGACGGAACCTGGTTTCGATTGTGCGAAGATGATTGCGCGATAGTAGGAGGGCCAATAGGAGCTGGTGCGTTGGGGTTTGAAACTGATTGAGCAGGCGTGCGGCCGATAATGGGATTGAATGTGCCGTTCCCAAGTCCGTTATTGTTATCCGGAGAGCTCCAGACATTTCGTTGGGCCCCGGAATTCCATGATGGGAGCCGATCTGGCCGAGGTGCAGAACTTCCCCAGACATTGGAAGACTCTGTGGCTTGGCTGTGTGATAGCCGCCTGGCTGTAGGGCCAGGTGGGACGACGTTTGCCGATGCAGTATCTTTCTGGCTGAATGCGGGCTTTTCAATACGCGTTATAGTGACTGTGTCATCTTTACTAGAATCCGCTTGGCTTGGAGGATTCTCGACCGTAGACGGTTTTTCAGAAGGCGGGCCAGATACCAAGTGCTGATTCACCTCACGGTCCTTGGGCACATCTTTCATTTCGCTCTTCTTTTCGGGAGGAGGCCCAAGAGCGTCAAGTTTCTTTTGTATACGCTCTCGGCGTGCAGCTTCTTCGCGAGCCTCTTCCTCTAGTCGACGTTTTCTAGCGAGCTCGACACCCTCGCGCATCAGTTTCTTTTGATATTCAATATCGTCTTCAAGCTGGTGAGGGGCAGGTCCGTTGTTCATCTCAGCATGTGGGTTCCCATGGTGAGGACCAGCATACGTTGTCCCGGGGGACGGCCGAGAAGCCATATCGTGCAAGGGCTGGTGTCTTGATTGTCCTTGACTCATCACAGATGCCGCGACTGGAGAAACCGGGCTCTCTATAACAGAGCCACTTAAAGACCCTCTACGGACGCCGAGAAAGTCAGGGGGCGGCGGCATAGAGCCATCGCTTCCCTTACTGATGCGCTGAAGATATGATCCACTGCCACCGCTGACATTGGACGAACCCCTACGTCGTCCAAATGGGACTTCCTGCACCGTGCGACTAGTCTGGAATGCAGCTGAAGGCTCGGCTGGGTGCTCTGATGGAGGCATGCGCTGCAATAGAGCAGGGTATCTAGTCTGAGAGTCGGATCGCATCGAGGGGCGCCGATCAGGGACAGGTTCATATCGACCAGACCGCGAGTTGAAAAGCTCCTTATTCCCATATGAAGGTCTATCTCTCCAGGTACGTGAATAATCATCGTTCATGAGATCTCTGGGAGGTGGAGGTCCCATATGGGAGGCGTAAGAGGCGTAAGGGGACTCTTTCAGGCCGCCGCGTGGGGGATACGCAGACTCAACAAGACCAGGCGATGCTTTCGGAACAGGGGGCAGAGTAGCCCATGGAGATTTGGCGGGCGCTGGTGGCGCGGGGGGTTTGGCAACCAGAACTGGCTTTTCCTGAGCAGCACTCTTGAGAACCAGCCCTTTCCCAGATGGAAGCCCTCCTGATTTTGGCAATGGTGTAACATTTGCCACGCCTGGCGGTGCCGGAGAGGATGGCTTGTCCTGGACAGAAGGCTTGACCTCATCAGGTGCACGCTCTGGTGCCTGAATCGGAACCTCGTCAGGATGGGGGAGAGTTGTTTTGGTACCGTCTCCCCAAGTTATCGCTTCGGGTTCCCAGTCATCGTCGTCATCGTCAATGTCTGCCCACTTATTTTGGCCCTGTGTATCGTCTTCATTTAGGCGACTAGCCATGTGAATTCCATACTTCTTGAGCTCTTCATCCGTCAACTTTTTCGGTTCTGGGACAGGTGTAGCTAGAAAGGAAAAGACAAAAAAAGTAAGCATATGTTGAACCAGTGAATCAGCCCCAAAAAAGGAATCTTGCTCTCATGTCGGGTGACCTACGCCTGTTCTTATTCCACACAACACTTGGGTCAGGTGCAGCCGCCGGCTTTCCGCCGTTCGCCAGTGACGAGAACCTTGGAGTCGAGCTCCCCGTACCACTACCCGATTTTGCAACTAAACGTGGTCGTGATATGGACAAGGTGGCGGAGCCAGTCGGCGGGGTACTAGAGCCTGCGGCTGGCTTGTCGCTGGTCTTGGATGAGACATTTGGATTCGCTTTGGAGGCGAGGAAGGTCTTGTTGACAGAAACAGCTTTGAATGTCGCAGGTTTTTTCGTGGAGGCCCCAGCGCGGACCTGGCCCTTGTCCCCGTCCTTTGCGCGCGATGCCTCAGTATCTGATCCCCCGCTCACACTAACGTCGGCAGAATTGATCTGGTCTTCGACACTCGTAATTCGCTTGTTTGCGATGTCTTCAGGGAGGGGGGAGCCTCCGTTTACAGCTGGCGGTACCAGTTCGCCATGTTGAGAGTCGGTGGCCTGCGACTCAAGGAACGCAATGTTAGCATATTTCGAGAGCATGGTGCCGTTACACCTAGAAGAACCAAAAAGGCAAGGCCTGCGCCAACGTCACCACAAAGATGACTTTTGGTCTCCCGATTGGCAAGCAAAAAAGAAGAAGAAAAAGGCGCCTCACAGGTTGTGGTTCAGTCGAGGCAAACACATCAGCTGAATTGTCGGTGGAGGGCTCAGCGGCCATCATCCGTCGTTGTGGCAGGTGTGCGCCAGTTGGAGCCGTAAAGAAGCGAACTCTCTCTCTGTCTAGGGCCCAGAATCAAGTCGCTGCTCCAGATATTCGACTTAATAAAAGAGCCTTGTTGTGTGCTCGTCGGTCTTGAACAACGCACACGACAGGCAAGGCCGCAACGCGATATCGGCAAAGGGAGGTAGAGGAGGAGGAGAAGAGAGGAGGAGGGGGGTTGCGGAATCGCGAACGAAGCTGGCAGTAGCGATGGGCGGACAGTGGTGGCGGTGACAAGTACAGCGGAGGTTTCGGGGTCAAATCCTCTCTTCCTGGGCCTCGCAATGAGGTTCGGTGTTGCTTGGAAGGAGTCGTCAGAGCAGTGACCGGTGTTGAGAACTCGGCTGCGATGTGTCTGGAATAGCGATGGTGAGGTGGAAGGCGACCTGATTTTGAAGCTGCAGGAGCCTGTTATGGCCTAGCGCTGAGTGGGAAAGTTTGGCCTGGGTCGAGGGTCCGTGCGCCGCTGTTCACAGCGCTGTTCCGCCCAAAGAGGCGTAGCATGGCAAGTTATTTAGGTGCAGAGACGCCTATTCAAGATCTAAAGTGCCCCATACGGGTGCTGTTTTAGGAGGGTTTGCAGCCGCTACACAGTGGCCTTTGACTTTTGCACGTCAGCCCCAAAGTCTACTATTATTATTCGTTGTGATGTTTAAATGGAAGTTAAAGGCCTCTCTTCGGGGTACTAGGAGCGATCCATCATAAACGGCCTTAAATTAAAGAGACTTCATTGTATGAAACGCACGAATGTTTATACGTTGGCCTTTTCTCTGTGCGGCTGTCAGTCAGGCGGCCAGTCAGCATCAGCAGATCCTCTTTGCAGTGACTCATGCATACCATGCCTTCTATATTCTAGGTGTGTCCGCCAGCTGACTCTGATGATATATTATCAGTCATATGTTCTAGTGCCTTGGCATCCTGTGAGGGCATTCAGTGGTGTTTTGATGCAAGAAGACCTCTCGTTATATCAAACTATTGTCTATACCATTATTCTCATTCAAACTCGCCAATGCGCCTTGAAACTTTATGGTCGACGGTGTGAAAGAATAGGCGGGGAAAAGAGAGTAACAACGCAAACAAGTCAACCAAGATTTGTGCATCACTTTAGTTTTGTCGGACGAGAAGCAGGTATTCAATGCGTGTCTGATAGTACATAAAGGGAGCCCAAGTGTGTCTATGACAACACCGTTCTAAAGTCTATTTACATAGCCGCTCATCGTTTTATTGTCGAGAGAGAGGCTTCAACAAACCATCCGTAGTACTTTAGTGCGCATTGTTCTTGTGGTGGCCTAGATACATATCAAACAGCGTTAGCAATGAATGTCACTGAAAATCAACGGCCTCCATATACGTACGCAGGTGGAAGTAGTAGTTCTGGGCGTAGCCAATGCCGATGAGGAAAAGCAGGGCGTGCACGATAGCTGAAGGTCCGAAGCAAGTTAGCCAATGTAGTATTTCGAATCCGGGAGCTTTTTGGATTTTGGTTATATCATACGTGTAGCAGATGGGTTCTTGCCAAAGTACTTGGCCTGGTAGCGGCCCAGAAGACCCTTGCCCTTGATCTCGGGAGCGGCACCCCGGGGAAGCTTCTCGTAGAAGCTCACGACACGCTGCATGCGCAGAGCATCGGGAGCAGCACCAATTGCCTAGCATCAAGCATCGTTCGTTAGCTAAATGTTTTATTCATTGTCCCGCACTTCGGTCGATTCATCAATTCGCATTTCTTCGTCGCACAGCAGCTCGCTCCTCTGCGTCGTCACTCGGCTGTTTTGAAGCGTATCGGCATGCGTAATTGATTAAAAGATTCCCTCCTCCTCCTCCTTTCCCTCCTCCTTCTTCTTCATCAATCATCGCATGTTTTGTTCATACCTTAGGGGAGGCAATCTAATCACAGCATATTAGCATTATGGCGCAGGCAATTTCGGATGCCGCTTGGGAAGAGTCTCACCTTGGGAGGGATGAGCGTAGAAAGCGCTCGGCGGGTGACGTAGCTCATGATGTCGGGTTATGAGGAAAGACGCTCTGAAATATGGCGAAAAGCTACGTCTGGAGGCGCTCAATGGCGAAAGGTCGTCGATAAATCGCTGGATTTGATCCAGCCAAGAGGTTCTTGCCGAAAAGCACTCGTCTCGGTAAAATATCGCTCCGCATCAGCCAATCAGCGCCCCCCATTTTTGTCCAAGCCCACCTTGAACAATCGCCGCAAACCACCGTCATGACCATCGCGGACAAGACCATTTCAATCAATTGAGAGGCACGTTCCCTTTGCCATGGCGTCCCTCAGAACACAGTCGGCTGCTCGCCTGGTGCGCAACGCCATGCGCCCACGCATTGCGCTGGCGTCTATCCCCCGCCGTTTCGAAAGCTCTGCAGCAAAGCCCGCCGACGTCGTCCCTGCGATGCCAAGTGCTAACCAGCCCGATTACGACGTTCCCCTCGACAAAGCAACTTCGTACGATAGCTACCTTTCGTCTCATTGCGATAAACTTGGTTGCTAACAATGTGTAGCACATATACTCCGGTCCCCAAGCGCGTGCAGGACGGCACTGAGGACGTTCTTCCTGCCGCTACCGTTTCTGGCGCCCCTATGGAGCTCCAAGGAAGGACAGTTCGGTTAGTTTGATATCTTGTCTTGACAGTTTGAAAATTCTTAAAGATTGCCGACTCTAATTCTCGATGCAGAATCTACCAGGAGGCCAAGCCAGCCACACAATCTGGAGACCACAGGGGTGATCGCTGGCGAATGGATTGGGATATTCTGCCCAAGGGACACCGTTGGGAAAACCCGTTGATGGGATGGCAGTCTTCGGGAGATTTCATGCAGGGAACCAACATCAACTTCAAATCCAAGGAAGATGCCATTCATTTTGCTGAGAAGCAGGGCTACGAATACTTCGTCCAGGAGCCAAACTCTCGAAAGATCACACCCAAAGCCTACGCAAACAACTTCCTATACTCACCAAAGAAGTTGAAGCACATTCGAACAAAATAGAGCAGCTACTAAGCTTGGCTCCATACATATATACTTATTAGATAAAGAAATCATTTTGTCAAAATTTCCATTAACGCGGTCACGCGTAAAAGAAAAACGATAAAGTGAGAGTGAGAAGGTACATATTGAGCCTCTCCGTTTTCTGCAAGCAGAAGTGTCTCGTTATAAACTTCATAGCATGAATAGCCGACCAATGTGGCCTACCCTCTACTAGTAGCAGTATCTCTATTACGGCATGCACACTGAGCATTTAGTTCACAAAGGACACACCCCGAGACTGCTCTTCCAGTCTCAAATTATTCAAGCAGAATCATATCATAGCATTACTCGTCATTATATAATTATAACCCGCACAAATCAAAGGACTCGCCAAATTTATGGACGAAATTCAATTGTTCAAGTCGTCATCATGGATTCATGTCCATTTTCAGAACCGGATCCTCGCCATGTTTGGCTTTGGGACTCGTCACCTCCCAATCCAAGATCGAGACGTTCTGGGAGGCCGTTTCCCTTCTCTCTCGCCGCACCCTCTGCCCAAGCTCGCATTTTCACGAGCTGGCGGATGGCGGCCTCTCGTCTAGTTGATTGCCTTTCCAAGATAGCCCTATTTACTCTGTCCGCAGCATCACGACGTAGGCTAGGGTCGAGAAGAGCAGCGAGTTGCGGCTCCAAGGAGTCTGGATTAAATAATAGCAGAGCCATTGTTGTTTCCAGATCTTCTAGAAAGGCAGGGTTGGTGGAAGCAGGCGGTCCCAATTGTTCCGTGGCAAACTTCAGAGCAGGGCCAATATCCCCTCCGGACGCATTGCTAACCCGGATTAACTCGACAAGCTGGAGCCGCAGAAGAGAAAAACGCAAGGCCTTGTCTTTATCCAAGATCTAAGTCGCCTGTTAGAAACTTTGCAGACAACGAAAATAAAAGAGTACAAAATGTAATGTTGCATATAGTAGAGGATCATAAAGGAAGTGGTGTTTCTCATCACAGGCCGGAAAACCAGCCATATGCGTGGTGCATGTAAAAACTCGTGTTCTAATCATAAAGGGCAAAGAAGAAATTGAAAATGTGAGAACAATGGTGCACATACCTCAGGATCAAGCTCATTCAACGTCTCGATAGCAGTCTGAATGTTTCCACTATGGATGCAGTTCTGAATCTGCTGCCGTGCTCGGATAGCCGAGGTATCCTGCTGCGGCTGCAATTTTGCCTCTTTCGAGAATCTTGCGGCCGCGTTTGGGTAGCCCTCCATGGTCAAATAGTCCAAAATCAAGGCATTAATATCGCTACAGGCTAGTTAATAACTCGTCCTGGTCGTGGTGTGAAGGATAATCAATAGAATGAGGGCGTTTGAAATGTCAGGAAAGAAGAAGATTATATCGGTTTTCCGCAGAGATGTCTCGGAGAGATTCCCATTGATAGTATGTTCATCATGTAAAGTCTTGTTCGGGGGGGTGTAGCAAGGAAGCAAGGTTGGGGGCTGAATCTTACTTTTTGGGAGACTTGACCCCCTCGACACGCCTCTCAAAGGCATGCTTAGCCGGAGTAGCTGTAGAAGCCGACGACATCTGCACAGAGAGTCAGGACATGTAGCGCGGGGGTGCAAGGTCCAGAGCCGTCACGGCATCGTACCATGAATCTGATCAGTCCTCCCGCGGGAAGACGGCAGCAGGTCTAGTTACGGTACGACAGCAGCGGTTATGCGAGAATAAAGAGGCTCATGGCGTGCGCGGCAGCCAAAAAGGAAGCCGAGGATGCCAACGTTTCAGCGCATTGGCAAGCCGAGTCGTGGAACCGCAGGCTCGCGAACAGGGCGAATGTGGCGCCTAGTGCTGAGAGCGAGGGAAAAGTTTGGTTTGTGGAAGGATAACGATTTCTGCAGAGACCGGAGGAGCAGAGAAGGCCCTTTTTGGAGGTGGCCCGGCCTCCATGTACAGTCATCCAAGCGGACCAATGGACGGCGCGAACGCCTAGAGCAGACTCCACAGTAGCTTCTTGCGGCTGCGTTTGCCCTTTCCAGCGGGGTCCTTGACCACTAATTCGCTGGGATAGAGCCCTGAGATTGTGTTATCATGATCGTGATAGCGAGCTGGAGAGCAAAATTGAATGGAAGGTAGAGAAAAATTTTCTCTTTCTTCGGAAGGGTAAAAAAAAAGATTAAGTAATGGGTACCTATGAAATGCAGCAGCAGCAAGTCTCTAGCAGCATCACCAGCCTATAATATTTAGACTACCTATCTACAAGCATGTATGTAGCCAAAGATCCGGAAAGACAACCCCCCTTGCATACAAGTAAGCTTTTTTCCACGTCTCTCTGTCGAAATGTCTGTCGTAGTCCCCTGTCGTAAAGCAGTCAGATATCATCATCGGCGGGCTGCAGAATGCAAACTAATGTACTCCGTATCCAAACGCCAACGTACTCTGCATGTGGGTGGCTTTTGGGTGCCTATCGACACGACACGTTGGAGTAGGCCCTTTTCTTCCCATTTGGTCGCCACAAGATAGAGTACAGACCTAGTAGCAGCTTCAGCCAACTGGAGAAGGCAGTGGGAGCACGAGACAAGGTTGCCTGATCGAAACTCAACTACTACCGTCTAATTGCACCTCAACCCGAGGCTTAATCTGGACGCCAAACCGCCGCATCTCAAGGCTTCCTCCGCCTCGCGCCGCCCGCCGCCCAGACGCGGCCAACGCAACCATGTGAACGTTTTGCTAGCCACCGGCACATGCCTGCTTGGGCACTCGTGCCTCTCCAAGCCCTACCAGGCCTATCAGCGCGCGGCTTAAGCTTCGCTTGGATGGGGCTATCCGCGCCGACTCGCTAGCGGATGGCCAGCTGTAGAGGCGGCCATCTCCGTCCAGCGCCCTCGAAGCCTCGATTTCGGTGGGTTGGCAGGTCGATAAGCCACGGCCGATAAGATTTTATGCTGCACCCTGACCGTCAATCTACATCAGTGCTCTGTTCCCTGTTCCGCCTTCTGCTCATCGATCAACACTCGTTTCGCTCCTCATTCCCTCCAGCCATTCTCTCTCTTCATTCTCTTCCCGCCTCCTCTCTGTTCTTTCAACTCCTCGCGCCGTGGCAACGTCCTCTGGCCCTGTGCCGGCAAAAACTCACCTTTGGCGACTACCGAGTGGGGATCACGCGAGCCGTTTCCCACTTCATCTGCTACTCCGTACCCTAACATAAAAAGCGTAATCCTGTGCTTGTTCTTGCTCGTAACGACGGCCTGCCGGTGATCCAACCAACCCACGGCTCGGGCCAGCACTTGTCCTGGCGGTAGAAATGTCGCAGCTCGAGAGCCATGTCACGGTTCAGAAGCGTGCTTACTACTCCCCGCCGTGGGCAGACGTGAGCATCATTGCCGTTGCGGGCAGCTCAGGCTCCGGCAAGTCGACGCTATCCCAGACGATAGTGAAGAAGCTCAACCTGCCGTGGGTCGTCATTCTCTCCATGGCATGAACACCCCAGGAAACGCAGCCAGACTTGAACACGGCAACTAATGGTGAAACTAGGACTCATACTATAAGTCTTTGACCCCTGCCCAATCCAAGCTGGCATTTGCCAATGCGTACGATTTCGACTCTCCGGAGGTATGGCGCCTGACCTTGATGTGTTTTTTTCTTCTGGTTTCTATAGTATCATGTCTCTCACGATCGGACGCTTAAATTTTGCTTTTTTGTAGGCCATTGACTTTGACGCTCTCATCAACTCTCTACGGGACTTGAAGGCTGGGTAACCATAATCTGCGGTAAATGGAGCAAGTTTTGAACGTCCTTGTTAACTCAATCCTCCAGAAAGCGAGCAGAGATTCCTGTGTACTCCTTCGCCAAGCATGCACGACTGGAGAACACCACATCTATTTATTCCCCACACGTACTTGTCTTGGAAGGCATTTTCGCCCTCTACGACCCACGAGTTCGTGAGCTATGTGATATGGCAGTATGCTTGATTACAAATGACGCTGTTGGATAAGTTCTGACATGCACTTAGATATACTGCGAAGCTGATGCAGACACCTGCTTGTCGCGGAGAAGTAAGGCATTTCATTCTCTGCTGCAGTGCTATCAAGCGAGGACGCAAATGCTCACTACTGCCCTGCTAGTTGTCCGAGACGTTCGTGAACGTGGCCGAGATGTTGAAGGCTGTATAAAACAGTGGTTCGCTTTCGTGAAGCCGAATTTTGAAAAGGTAAGATTTCTCAACGGAGCTGTGCTTTGACGTGGCTCATCTCACATGAATCAGTACGTCGAGCCACAACGTAAGGTGGCCGATTTAATTGTACCACGAGGAATCGAGAACCAAGTTGCATTGGGTAAGTCAAACCTCGATGTTTCTTTTTTTTTTCTCTCCCAAAAAAGTTGCTGAGTAATGTAAAGATATGATGGTTCAATTCATCGAAAAGAAGCTCTTTATAAAGTCAACACACCATCGAGAGGCTCTGGCCAGGCTCGAGGTCAGAGATAGAGACGAGCCCCTCTCCGACCGCGTCGTTGTAATGAGCGAAGCACCTCAAATCAAATTCATGAACACCATTCTCCAAGACATAGACACTACCGCTGAGGACTTTATCTTTTATTTCGATCGACTCGCCGCTTTAATCATCGAACAGTAGGTCCACTATGAACTCAAACGGGCATACATACTTACTCTGATATAGGGCTCTGAATAACGTCCAGTTCGAGGAAACGACAATTGAGACGCCGCCGGGTTACAAGTACAACGGCCTGCGGCCCAAGGGAGAAGTCAGCGCTGTAATTGTGCTCCGAGGAGGATCAGCCTTTGAACCGGCGCTCAGAAAGACCATCCCGGATTGCAGAACGGGACGGCTCCTGATCCAGTCCAGTTATTCGACTGGCGAACCAGAACTTCATTATCTGCGTCTCCCGGAAGATATCCACGAGCATGAAAGTGTGTTGCTGCTCGACACGCAGATGGCTAGTGGAGGAGCAGCTCTCATGGCTGTTCAGGTCCTAGTCGACCACGGCGTCGCTTTGGAGCGTATCGTCCTGGCAACTTATTCCGCTGGAAAAGTTGGCTTGCATAGGTTGATGACGGTATTCCCAGAGATTACGGCCGTGGTGTGCAATCTCCTACCCCATCAAGAGCAGCGGTGGGTTGAAAAGAGATATTTCCGTTGTTAAGCGACCTGCATATCCTAAAGAAAGAAGAAGAAAAAAAATATCTATATTCTACTCGCATGATAGACGACGAGATTGATGGTTCTCTTTGGACCTTGCGAGACAACAGGTGCTAGCCGCCGGCGACGACAGCTGTTTGACGGCTCTGATGATGACATGATTGCACATGTTCTTGGATTTCGGATGATTGAATGAATGCTTGCAACTGATACAAATATGGTGATCTTAAACAAGAGTGGGTGGTTGCGGGCGCTTTATATTGCAAAGTATCATTACACGGATACTTGCATGCCCAGGACTATGAGAAGAATTCATCGTAATTCATCCTCATTTTTCTTTTCCAGCTACAGTAATTCAGCTGTCGGAGGAGATGCTGGGTTACTAGTCCGTGTCGGCGGCCGTGATATCGCCGCGAGGCCGAAGCTCAACAGCCGACTTCCGGCATTCCGGCCTCACAACGCGCACGGCGACGGCGACGGCTGGCTGCAGGCTCTATTTTCTATTTTCCCTTCTGTCTCGTTTTTTTCCTTTCTATATCGAGGCCCTATTCTAAATTTGTCTTCATTCGGGCACCTCGATGCACATATTTGGCTTTCAATGTTTCTACCCTAATAATCAGCAGCATACAGACAGAGCACGCACGTAATAATAATTGATAGCAAGTTGCCATGGTTGCATCCCAGCTGCCTGAGACTTCTGCCTCCACTCCAGGCCTACATCACTTCACTGCGTCACAAAATCTGCATTTCCACGGGATAAAGCATCATCGCCCAGACAGGCGAGGTTGCATCGGCGGATCGCTCCAGCGATCGCATATCGGCGTTCCTGGGTCGCTAAAGAAGCGCTAAAGAGCTACGCACTCTGAATCTTTAGTGGGGGCGTAGCCCAATCTTGCGGCCTATGACGACATGAGCCTCGCCGGCATATCCAGAGTAGCGCGGTCCAGTCAAAGGGCCGAGCTATATCAATCGCAAAAGGCGCGCATTGCGTGTTGCGTAGAGGAGGACGTCTTTGGTCAAATCTCGCATAATCACATTTCATTGCTATAGACGAGCAACGGGCAGCTTTTGTGTACTAACCGATAGAGCATCGAGGCATTGGCTGTTTGCCTGAAACATCTTGAAGCTACTGCTCCGTTCGTTTTCGAGCTCCCGCAAAACGACCAATTGGCGCGAGGGGCTCTTGGGCTTTCATGGTGAACGACTCGTATCGGCCCAATTGACCTGCTGTCAACGATGCCGGTGACCTCAGCAAAGGCGCTGGGATCCCTCCGCCTGGCAGCGAGTGGCGTCACCAGGCAGCGCCTCATTCTCTCCAACAGCCCGCGCACCGCCGCCACCACAGCGAGATGTACACAGCTGCGAAGCTTCACCAAGCTCTGCTCCCGACCTAGAACAGGTGCCCTGGCAGCGAACTCGGCCGAGCGACGCCAACTCCAGTCCCAGCTCCCACATCCCAGCCTCGTGCTCGCTCGCGCGCTATCTGGAAAGCCGCTGCCCCAGCGCAAGTCGTGGCTGCTCAACTTCCTCTACCGAGCTGCTGCGTGGGTTGGCATCTCGAGTGTCGTCCTGGGCGGCGGTATTTTGGGCTTCTTTTTGTACGACGCCAGCACCTACCATGAAAATGTCACGCAGAGCGACATCGACGTATCGCAGCTTGCGCTTCATCCACGCCGCGGCGGCCCCAAGAATCTACCAATCGCCGAGGCATTTATCGACGACGATGTGAGCAAGAGCAAGCCAAGGCTGGTTATCCTGGGTGGTGGATGGGGCGGCGTGGCACTCCTCAAAGAACTGAATCCAGACGACTACAATGTCACCGTCATCTCCCCCGCAAATTACTTTCTCTTTACCCCGATGCTGCCATCCGCTACTGTGGGAACCCTAGAACTACGTTCCCTAGTTGAGCCAATTCGACGAATCTTGAGTCGTGTGCACGGCCACTTTATACGAGCTAAAGCAGAAGACGTCGAGTTCTCGGAGAAGCTGGTCGAGGTCTCCCAGCTGGATCACACGGGCAAGGAGGTCCGCTTCTACGTCCCCTATGATAAACTGGTCGTGGCTGTTGGCTCTTCAACAAACCCTCACGGTGTCAAGGGCCTGGAGAATGCCTTTTTCCTCAAAGATATCAACGATGCGCGGATGATCCGGAACAAGGTCATTCAAAACCTTGAGCTTGCTTGTCTACCTACTACCACAGACGACGAGCGCAAGCGGCTTCTTTCCTTTGTCGTTAGTGGTGGTGGACCGACTGGCGTCGAGTTTGCTGCAGAGCTCTTTGATCTCCTGAACGAGGACTTGACTCGACACTTCCCCCGTCTACTACGAAATGAGATATCCGTCCACATCATTCAGAGCCGAGGCCATATTCTCAACACTTATGACGAAACGGTTTCTAAATATGCAGAGGAGCGGTTCAACCGTGACCAGATTGAGGTGCTCACCAATTCGCGGGTAAAGGAAGTTCAGCCGGACAAGATTATCTTTAGCCAGAAGCAAGAGGACGGATCTGTTTTAACCAAAGAACTTCCAATCGGCTTCTGTCTGTGGTCTACCGGTGTCTCTCCAACCAGCCTTTCTCAGAAATTGGCAAAGAAGCTCGGTGATGTTCAGACAAACCGACATGCGCTGGAAACAGATACCCACCTTCGCTTAAATGGCGCTCCTTTGGGCGATGTTTATGCCATTGGCGATTGTTCCACCGTCCAGAACAACGTGGCCGAGAGCATCGTTACCTTCCTCCGAAACCTCGCGTGGAAGCGTGGAATCGAACCCGAAAAGCTCCAGCTCCATTTCTCGGACTGGCGCACAGTTGCGCAGGACGTCAAGAAGCGATTTCCGCAGGCGGTCAATCACCTCAAGCGTCTCGATAAGCTCTTTTTCGAATTCGACAAGGACCAGTCCGGGACTCTCGACTTTGGCGAGCTGCGAGAGTTACTTAATCAGATCGACAGCAAGCTGACATCGCTCCCCGCCACGGCTCAGCGTGCCCACCAGCAGGGAAGTTACCTGGCCCACAAGTTCAACAAGATGGCGAGGATCTCGGATGCAATGCTGGCAAACGATATCCGGGATGGTGATTTGGATGCTGCCATCTACAAGGCGTTCGAATACCGCCACCTGGGTAGCTTGGCATATATTGGAAACTCCGCTGTGTTTGACCTGGGTGATGGCTGGAGCATGGCTGGTGGACTCTGGGCTGTTTATGCCTGGAGATCAGTTTACTTTGCGCAGAGTGTGAGCTTCCGAACAAGAAGCTTGATGGCGATGGATTGGATGAAGCGAGGACTCTTTGGTAGAGGTACGTGTCACGGTCTTTTACTTGCGCCGATTTCGATTATTTGACTGAAATGCTGACGAAAATGAATTTTAGATCTTGTGGCTTTTTAAGAGATATATTCCCTTAAACTGTGCGCTTCTCAACAGCCAAGTTGATAAACAAACGTTAGACGAAAGTGTTGGTCAGATTTAGAATCTATAAAATTGGTTTTAAATAGAGGCGCCGAGAACGCAAAAACTGCTTGCTACGTATATAATATATATTTAGTCCATCCTGTGTACATTGTTCTCGTTTAATCAGTGGCTTTGAGAGCATTTCTTCGCGAATAAAAAATAAAAACTTTTCAATTATGCAAGGAATATATATAAACGCCATGATCTGAAGTCTTTTTATAAAAGGGCAAAGCAAAATCTCAAAAGGAAGATACAGAGAGAAGTCATTAGTTCTAATCTATATAACAAAGTCTTTGTGCGTCCACTTCTCTGTGACCTTCTTCCTGGCCTGCTTCTTGAAGGGAATGTGTCTTCGGCTCTCCACCTTTCCTCTGAGCAGCATGCTTCTGTATCGGTCCTTGAGTAGGTTGCCCTCCGGCTTGAGCAGTCGCAGAGACTCCTGCAGCTCATCTGGCAGAACAAGCTCCAGATCCTTCTCCGGGAGCTTGTACTTGCCAATCCGCTTCCGTCGCAGCTTTTCCTCTCCAATCTCGCTGTCGGCGTCTGACTCGTCTTCAGCGGCCTGAGCCAGGATGAGGGCCTTTTGCTTCTCTTTATCCTCAACCTCTGCGGCGATTTCCTTGATGCGCTGCTCCTGCGCCCGGCGAGACTTCATTTCGGACTTGTGCTTCGCCAGCTGCTCCTCTTCCCTTCTGCGCTTGATGCGATTCCGCTGAGCCTGAGTCTTGCGCTTGGGCTGCTTCGCGCTGGGCCTTTCGTCCGCGCCGGATTGGAAACCCTCCCACTCGGAGTCTTCTTCCCACTCTGACATGTTGGCTCGCTCCTCGGCGGCATCTGCCTCGGCGGCCGACCTAGCTGCGGCTTCGAGCTTCGCAGCCTCGGCAGCCTCTGCTTCGAGGCGCTTCTGCTCGGCCTCGATGGCCTTGGTGCTCTCCTCTGCGAGTCGCTTCTCGTATTCGGGGAAAGACGGGTTGTAGCTGTATCCGCCTGTAGGCTTTGGCACCGCGGGAAGTTGTTTTCCATTGGAGAGGAGCGAAAGAGGCTGCTGCTTCATAGACTTGGGGACCTTGGCCTCGGCCTTTTCAGGCAAAAAGTCGGTAGGATCCTGCGTCGCCGGCTCAGCGGGGGCATCCCACAGATCAAAGGTGGCGTCTTTGACAGCCACGGTATTCTCGTGATGTCCGTCGGCAACTCTTCTCAGGCGAGCCAATTCCTTGTGGGAAACCCAATCCGTGCGCTGGCGCTTGGCTGCGATGACTCCGTCGGTGCTCTTGTCGCTGGGACGCTTTCGCATGGGGACTGCCGGCACGGCCGAGCGCTTGTTGATGATCTCGTCGGCCTTGAGACCCTTCTTGACGTGCTTGGGGAATTTCTGGGGAATCTTGGAGTCGCCTGCTACGTCGAGGACGAAGAGATCTTCGGATGCCTTTTCTCGAATGACACCACTGCAGAATTTTGTCAGCATATTTCCCCCTTCATTTATTGATAAACAGCGCCGTACCCTCGAATAATTTCATCATTCAGCTCTCGAAGACCGTCCTCGACCTCTGTAACGTCCACGTTCTTCCTCCATGCCTTCTTTCCTTTCCTGGATGGCTGGCTGAATTGCTTGGGGGCTTCGCCAGAGCCAGCCGTAGCTGAGCGAAGAACCGGCATTGTTATTTTTGGAGATTCTTTTGAATTTGATCGTATTGAGATGGGAAAATTTGCGATGGAATATTTGAAAATAATGCCCAGCTGTGGCAATACCAGGTCGCAGTCGCAAATTTACCGTGTGGAGGACATTGGCTGGGCGATTCTGTCTTATCAGCAACTTTTCTCGAGATTTTTTAGCGGGTCCCCCACCAGCATCCAGCAAATTAACGGTTACAGGCACTGGAGGCAGCGTTTATCGCGCAACGACGGGCTAGTCCCCATCTGGCCGCGTAAAGAACGGTTGGTTGGGTAGCGGGGCACGGCATGCGGAGGGGCCCGTTTTCTGAGCTGTCCACGGTCCAAAGGTGGCTCGGGGTCCTAATTCTTGCCTGTGCTGCTATTTATTGACCCGAAGCCTAGTGGCGGCCATTATCAACTGTCACCACCTCCTTTCGGGGCTGCCTACTTAAGTATTCCAAACCGTTGGACAGGCTGCGACAAAGAACAGCATCAGAGACCAAACCCGTGCACTGCGAGAATCCACCACCAAACAATTGGAAGCGTTGCCTCTGTCCACCAGAAAGCAGCCCAACCACAGTCTCTCTGGCACCCCTCGGAATATCCAAAACCAGCATCACAAACCACCACACGAAGCAGCCATGGCGCAGGCGGGATCATACAACAACCCCTTGAAGAAATTCAAGTGCGTCGTCATCTTCTGCCCATTTCTTCATCTATATCCAAGGTAGTAATGCTAATCCGGTCTTGTCCAGGCTGGTCTTCTTGGGAGAACAAAGCGGTATGTGTCCATTGCCCGGCTCCACCTATCTGGCGATTTTGTGACTGACCGATTCTACGGCGCAGTTGGCAAGACGTCTCTGATCACTCGCTTCATGTACGACTCGTTCGATAATATGTATCAAGCAACAATTGGTATCGACTTTCTATCAAAGGTACGGAGTTTTAAAAAAAAAAAATCAGTTCATCCGCATCATCTGTCGGCACCCGAGCCTAATGCCTAGTTATAGACCATGTATCTCGAAGACCGGACGGTACGACTACAGCTGTGGGATACCGCAGGACAAGAGCGATTCCGAAGTCTGATCCCTTCATACATCCGCGACTCAAGCGTTGCCGTCGTGGTTTACGACATCTCTAGTATGGAATTTCCCCGTCTTCTTTTTTCTCTTTACCGCCAAAATCCCCCTCCTCCTCCACTCACCCCTCCAAACTCGCGGTGAAGCCCCACCATATCTTCCTTACGGTTGGACTAACAACGCATACCACTACGTAGACGCAAAGTCATTCCAAAACACCAAGAAATGGATCGACGATGTCCGGGCTGAGAGAGGAAACGATGTGATTATTGTGCTGGTGGGAAACAAGACGGATCTTAACGACAAGCGAGAGGTCACGACCCAACAAGGAGAGGAGGAGGCCAAGAGGCAAGGCTTAAGGTTTGTTGAAACTAGTGCAAAGCTTGGCCACAACGTACAGAACCTTTTCAAGAGGATAGCGCAAGCCCTGCCTGGTATGGAGGGTTCCGACTCGGCTACTCAGGCCACCAACCAAAGTAAGTTTCTTGTGTCCATCTTTTCCCACGCCTACCCTGTTACAACGGGTGGGCTCTTGGTCTTTTGTATTTGCTGGGACATGTTTCTAACTCTTTTTCCCTCTCGCAGTGATTGATGTGCGGACAAACACACAACAGCCTCAGCAAGAAGGCTGCTCATGCTAAACCAAGATGTCAAGAATTTATGATGGAGTATGAAAGCTTAATAAGATAACCAACCCAGTATCCCCATTTCAGCGTCGCTTCGCAGTCACGATGCATTTATGCCGAGGATAGGATATATAATTCGAATTTGGCGAGTGCATGGGACTTTGTATAATACCTGCAAGGGGGACAACGTGCCCACGATCGTTTATACATATATTAATACTCTTTTTTACTGCTAATCAAGCGCTTCAACTACTACTCAAATCGAGTCCAGATCAATTGCTTCTCGAAGAAGATATTATATCATGTGATTTGTCATGTGTTTGTTTCAGTTTTAGATCATCTTGGCTCCTCTGTGACTGGTTAAAAGACGGCTGCTGTGGGGCTTTTCAGCCTTGGATATGGCTAAGCGCGCTTTCGGGCGTCTCCTGGGCGCATCATCTCCGCCGTCGCCGAAATCTTTCGAGGTCCTGTCGCTTCTTCCGTCATTCTCTTTTTCAGCGCCCAAACGTCGCTTTCTGCCTGACGATAGACTGGATTTGCTTTGTTTCATGGTATAGACCTCAACGGCGACGGGAAATCTATCCATCATGTCGAAGTTTACGAGGCTTTATTTGCGGATACCCCGTCCGAAGGTAGGCATTTGCTGGCGGTTTTACCTGTGACAACCTCTTCCTTTTGGTCACGAGATGGTCAAATGAGCGAAAAATGAAAAGGCATGGTGCTGACGGTTAGCGACTATAGACCCTCTTTGGCTTCATCAGCCTCCAGACCGGTACCGAACTGATTTCTCTGGCGCTGGTCTTCAACAAGGTCACCGGCGTTTACGGCCTTCTTGCTATTCTTACTGGATTTCAACTCTCGCTGTTCCAACTTACGACTTACATTTACTGCATCGGAATCCTCGGCACCCTCGTCTATCTGATCCCACACATCCGAAAACAGACTGCGTTCGAGTGCCTGGCCTTGGCGTGGTTGTATGTGATTGATACTGCTATCAACTGTGCGTCTACATTCGCTTTTGGAATGGACTGGTACTTTGCCAATGCTGCGCTATCGACCGGGTCTGGAGTCAAGCCTTCAAGCCTGCCCGATATTGTTGCCGAAGGGATGGAGGGTCTTCGCCGTGAAACCGCCATGCACGGGGATGCTGTGCCCCAGGAGACGGCGGCCAGCATGATTCTCATCACCGGATTGACCTTGATCCGAGTATACTTTAGCCTGGTTGTCATGAATTATGCACGACAGGTGCTGCAAAAGTATATGCAGCTGATGATCCTCGAGGGACCCGGCGTCGACGATCATGTGGGACCTTTTGCGACCGACCTGCCTGACGGTGAAGGCCGGAGGGGTCAGCTCGGCCGAACGATGGTGTCTTTTGGACGCAACTACTGGATGGATTATTCCGAGGCGGGAGAGTGGACTGTCGGAGGTACCAGCCGGAAGCCTAGCTCAACCGGTACTCTGGCCGGCGAAGTATAAGAGACGTATTGAGAGAGAAAGGGAGACTGGTTGAATCATGTAAAGACAAGGCAGACATATACCTAGTTGATGCGTGCAAATAGAGTCCAAAGAGAGTTGACGATATAGACGATGGGGAGCGGGACAGGGCGAAGGAGAAGGGGAGCGTATGAAATGACGCGATTGGAACCCCGCGATTCCTCATCGAAAGAAAGGAAAGAAGTCTCGGCATAGTTCTTGGTTTTTGCTGTTTTGGGCGGTCACGGGTGTGGCCTTAATTATTTAATACATAAAGTAACGCTGCTATTGGTATGCTTATTTGAAGGGTGCGGCAGAGACATGCGATCAAAGACAAGGAAAACCAGCTCCGACGGCCGGGCCCTGCGATTTGCTCGGCATTCGGAGGTGCTACTACGGTGCTAGTGACTGGCTTACAAGTTATGGGGCATCTGCTTGGCTGGACAAAGGACGAATGGACGAATGAGGTTGCCCGGCTCGTCGGCGCCCTCGAGAGAATGACGGAAGTCGGAGGGGGGAGTTTGATGGACCGGATGGGGTCTACCCAAGCACCAAGTCCAAGAGTCCCGCTCAGCCTAATCAATGGCAACGGATTGATGATGGATTTGCAAAATAGCTGTTGGAATAGGCGTGTCTGCGGCGTGGCTGCGGCGAGAGCGGCGGTCCAGCAGGTGCTGAACTGGGTTTAGTGTTGATGGCGTCAGTTGAGGGCATGAATTCGAGCAAAGGAAGTTGACGGCGGCGGTAGAAGCTGGGCGAGAGAGCATCTGAAGATTTTGCTGTTTCACGAGCTGATTGATTGATTCACTAGGTGCAATAATATGAGAGGATCAATGTATACTTGGAGAGTAGTATGGTTAGCCTTGATAAGGATAGTACCTTAATGAAAGGCAGGCGCTATATCAGTCCCTGGAACTTCTACAACGAACAATCATATCCCCTCCATCAACAATCCCCCATTCATGGCAGCAAAATCCTCTCCAGCTATCCATGCTACCGCTGTCGCATTGCAACGAATCTGACGGCAGGGATTTGTCAGAGAGAGCGATTTCGCCATCGCCGCCGTCCTATGGCTGCGCTCTGGCGGGTGGCGCCCACGCACGACTTGCGCACAACTCCAAAGCGCTAAGCGATCACGCAATCCTCGAAAACTCGGGCTTCTGCGGGGAATGGAAATTTGGCTGAGGCCAACCAGTGGAGCCGGGAGAGGCTTTTGGGAAATCCAAAGGCAGTCTGTGGTAGTAATTTGGCACGACTATTGACTGAGAGCACGGATGAGTCTTGCGGGATCGACTGGGGGTGAATTGGCCGTTGTCGAAACGGGTCGGTCTTATAACTAAAACCATGTCACCATTCCTCGTCACGTCGTTTCTCCAGACCTCTCTCACAAGGGACCTTTCCTGTTTTTCTTTCTTTTTTTCCTTTTCTGCCTCTCTTGCCTTTACATCTCTTCCCTCTTGTTCCCTAATTTGCCCTTTCGTTTGGTCCTGTAGAGACTACATTCCCGTCTCTCAAAGGCCTTGAACGAAATCGGTTCGAGGCGCCGGATACTAGAAAAGGGCATGGCGACCTCGGTTCAGATCCGCACGCCTGAAGAGGCCGGTAAGTCGATGATTTGTTGTGGAATACATGACTACAATTTCTTTCTGCTCTTTTGGAGGCATTCTTGTGATTAAAGCTGGACTAATTCTTTTGTTCTTCTGTTCTCTGCAGCTGCGAGAATCGCCTACTTGTCCAGCGATGTCGTCATTTCCGTGCAGCCGTCATTGGCTGCCGATTCTGAGTTTTCCTCGCACCTGAAGCGCTTTGCCAGCCGCAAGGATCGAGGAATTGTCGCAGCTACTGAGGACACTGTGCCAGAGGTTAGTATTTGGCGATTTTTTTTAGCCCCGGAATGCTCGTTGTTTTGGTGGTTGGGGTTTTCTACCGCACTTACACATAATCATCTCACCCTGACGACGACCCGATCCTAGTCCGCCGACAGCCCGAAGACCACCATTGAAGCATGAAAACTCACTGACCACTGCCTGAATACAGATCCAACATGTCCGCCATAACAATGACCCCTTACTCTCTGTCTTTGCTCCCATCCGCTCAGGCAAGCTCGTCTCTGTCACCACCTCTTCTTCCATCCTCCTCCCCTCCATCTCTCACCTCTACAAGCTCGCCAACTACCCTGTTGTCCTGCATGTATCTCTCCAGCCACGCGGCTTTGCCGACTACTCCGTCATCACCTCTATCCGGAACTCAGGATGGACATTTCTCCAGTCTGAGACTCTCCAGGAGGTTCAGGATATGGCCATCACTGCCCATGCTTTGGCCCTGCGCACCGGCAAGGCTGTCATCCATTTCTTCTCTCCAGATACTTCAGCCCGTGATGAACCAATCGGTCTAGAGGACTTTACCGTAGTGAGAGCTGTCCTTGATATCGAGGGCGTCAGGAGGTTCCAGGCCAGCACCATCAAGGCCACGGGGTTATACGCCGACGATGGACACGCTGCCGTTTCCTCGGACCTCCAGGAAGTCGAGGCTTCTGGAAGCTCTGACAAGACCTCGGGTCTTCAGCAATCAACCGCCTCACTCGCCTCCAAGGCAGTATCTGAGCAGTCTGCCAAGACCAGCCAGGCCAGCAGTTCCAGTACCCCTATTGGCGCTTCATCCGTCGCTACCACTGTCGAGACTGCCGCCCCCAGAGTGACATCAGAAGACGTCTACACCTGTGCCTCTCGCATCTGGGAGCAGCTGAACACCGCTCTTGGAAGACAATACAACGCCTTTGAGTACACTGGACCTGCCAATGCAGAGAACTGCCTCTTCATCTTCGGATCCGACACCAGCGCTTTTGCTCAAGCCATTAACAGCGCGAAGCCCGACGACGTTTATGCCAAGATTGGCATTCTCACTCCCCGCCTGTACCGACCCTGGATCGGCTCCAAGCTCGTCTCCAGCATCCCAAACACCATCAAGAGGGTCGCTGTTCTGGAACAGATCCACCGAAAGACCACCAAATGGGGTCCCCTATTGATTGACGTCTTGTCCTCTGTTAGGAGCGGCCCCGGCGGTGTCGAGACAATCGTTGGCCACCAGCTGGGATACATTGCCCCCGAGGCCACCACCCAGGCCCTCCGTGGTATTGTGCAGAATCTCACTGCTGAAAAGCCCATCCAGAACCTTGAAGTTGGTGTCAAGGAGGGACCGAGCGAGCCCGTTGCACAAGGCATTGAAGCCCCGAAGCTCGAGGTTGCTTATAATAAGATTCTCGACCAGCTTTTTGGCAGCAGAGCCTATATTGCCAATGCCCTGGGGTCCCAGGACGCCGGCATTTCTGCTACTGTATCTGCCAGCCCCGAGTTCGGTTTCGGTTCCCTGTTGGCCAGAAAGGAATTGCGAGCCAACTTCATCGCCGAAGTCAAGCAGGCGGCAAGCAGCTCTGGCTCTACCAGCGAGGCTCTGAAGAGCTGGCTGGCACGATGGGCCGTCAACTCTGGTGACCAGGCCAAGTCTGATCTCATTGCGGACGAGGTCATTGCCAAGTTAGAACAGGACAACTCTCCTGAGTCTCAGAAGCTCCTCTCCAACCGTGCGCTGTTTCGGAAGGAGTCGCTTTGGCTGATGGGCTCCGACGCTTGGGCTTACGACCTTGGTAACTCTGGTGTTCACCACGTCCTTGCATCTGGCGAAAATGTCAACATGCTCATTATTGACTCTACGCCTTACTCTGAGAAGGCTTTGGCCGATGCCAACCGCAGAAAGAAGGACATTGGTCTGTACGCCATGCACTTCGGCAACGCCTACGTAGCCTCAACTGCTGTCTACAGCTCATACACCCAGGTTCTTCAGGCCCTGCTAGAGGCCGATAGATTCAACGGCCCATCAGTTGTGTTGGCCTACCTGCCTTACTTTGGCGAGACTGACTCCCCTCTCACTGTTCTGCAGGAAACTAAGAGAGCCGTGGATACTGGATACTGGCCTCTCTATAGATGGAACCCGTCCAACGAGGCCAGCGGCGAGCTTACTTTCTCACTCGACTCTGAGCTCATCAAGAAGGAGCTGAAGGCTTTCCTTGACCGAGACAACCAACTGACCCAGCTCATGCAGAAGGAGCCTAGCTTTGCGTCCAACCTTGGCCAGGACTTTGGAACCGAGGTCCGCGCAGCACAGAAGAGGAAGGCAAAGGATGCCTACAACCAGCTTCTGGAGGGCCTTTTGGGTGCTCCTTTGACCATCCTGTATGCTTCCGACAATGGCAATGCCAGCAATGTTGCCAAGCGACTGGCCAACCGGGGTAGAGCCCGAGGCTTGAAGACGGCAGCCATGTCCATGGACGATTACCCGCTCGAAGATTTGCCAGGCGAAGAAAACATCGTCTTCATCACATCCACTGCTGGACAGGGAGAGTTCCCTCAAGATGGTCTGGCATTCTGGGATGCTATCAAGGACAACACCGATCTTGATCTAGCTACTGTCAACTACTCCGTCTTTGGTCTGGGCGACAGCCACTACTGGCCACGCAAGGAAGACAGGATTTATTACAACAAGCCGGCCAAGGATCTTGACCGAGTTTTGGGCAACCTGGGTGGCAGACGATTTGTTGATACTGGACTGGGAGACGACCAGGATCCCGATGGCTTCCAGACCGGCTACCAGGAGTGGGAGCCCAAGCTGTGGCAGGTCCTGGGCGTGGACAAGGTCGATGGCCTTCCCGATGAGCCCCCGCCAGTTACCAACGAAGATATCAAGCTTGAATCCAACTTCCTTCGCGGTACTATCGCTGAGGAGCTGAGGGATACATCCACCGGAGCCATCTCCGCCGCCAATCAACAGCTGACCAAGTTCCACGGTACCTACATGCAGGACGATCGTGATGTCCGCGACGAGCGAAAGGCCCAAGGCCTGGAGCCTGCCTACAGCTTCATGATTCGCTGCAGATTGCCTGGCGGCGTTGCTACTGCCGCGCAGTGGATTCAGATGGACGATATCGCCAACAAGCTTGGTAATGAGACGATGAAGCTCACCACTCGTCAGACATTCCAGTTCCACGGTGTTGTCAAGGGCAAGCTGCGACAGACCATGCAGGCTATCAACCGTGCTCTCATGACCACAATCGCCGCCTGTGGCGACGTGAACCGTAACGTCATGTGCAGCACTCTCCCCTCGCAGTCCAAGCTTCACCAAGAAGTCCACTCGTACGCCGCAAAGATCAGCAATCACTTGCTGCCTTCTACCAGCGCGTACCACGAGATCTGGCTGAAGGATGAGGACAACAAGAAGGTCCAGGTTGCAGGTGATGCCGTCAAGGATTTCGAGCCTCTGTACGGCCCCACCTACCTGCCCCGAAAGTTCAAGATCACCATTGCCATTCCTCCTTACAACGACACCGATGTCTATGCTCACGACATTGGCCTGATTGCCATTGTCAACGAGGCTGGTGTCTTTGAGGGTTTCAACGTGCTTGCTGGAGGTGGTATGGGTGCCACCCACAACAACAAGAAGACCTACCCCCAGCTCGGCCGCATGTTTGGCTTTGTTCCCAAGGAGCAGATCCACCTTGCCTGCGAGAAGATTATGCTTGTTCAACGTGATTTCGGTGACCGTAAGAACCGAAAGCACGCCCGTCTCAAGTACACCATCGACGACATGGGCGTCGAGGTCTTCAAGGGCAAGGTTGAGGACCTCTGGGGCCAGAAGTTCGACACTCCACGAGCTTTCGAGTTCAAAAGCAATGTTGACATCTTTGGCTGGCAGCGTGATGAGCTTGGCGTGAACCACTTCACCTTGTTCATCGAGAACGGACGTATCGAGGATACCCCCGACTTCCGCATGAAGACTGGTCTGCGAGAAATTGCCAAGGTTCACAAGGGCGATTTCCGCCTGACCGGCAACCAGCACCTGGTCCTCAGCGGCATCAGCGACGAAGATGTCCCCGCCATGAAGGAGCTGATGAAGAAGTACAAGCTTGACAACCTCCAGTTCTCCGGTCTCCGCCTCAGCTCATCCGCCTGTGTTGCTTTCCCCACCTGTGGACTTGCCATGGCCGAGTCTGAGCGATACCTCCCGCAGCTCATCACCAAGCTCGAGGCATGCATCGAGGAGAACGGTCTCCGCCAAGACTCCATCGTCATGCGTATGACTGGTTGCCCCAACGGCTGCGCTCGTCCCTGGCTCGCTGAAGTGGCCTTTGTCGGCAAGGCCTACGGCGCGTACAACATGTACCTCGGCGGTGGCTACCACGGCCAGCGTCTGAACAAGCTGTACCGTGCTAGTATCAAGGAAGAGGAGATCCTGGCCCTCATGAGGGGCCTATTGAAGCAGTACGCAGTGGAGAGGCAAGAAGGCGAGAGATTTGGTGACTTTTGCATTCGGGTTGGTCTTATCAATGAGACTACTGATGGACAGAACTTCCACGATAACGTAAGTCTCTTCTTCTAGTTATTTTCATCTTTAAAGATCCATTGTGCTAACTTTTCGGCAGGTTGCGGAAGAAGAGGAGCCCGAAGAAGAGTAAATGAATTGAGATGGTGTGAGATAAATTGTATTTTTTATTTTTTATTTTTGGATTAAAACACACTGGGCGTTGGATATCATCAAGTGAAAGCAGTATTGAATCAAATTTAGTTCCTCAAAAATATGGCATAAAGAGTAAAAAGATTTTTTCTAAGGCAAAGGCAGATATATATCAGTAATCTACCGTGACATGCATTCATAGATGTCAGAAATCAATGATCTGAAGCACATAAAGTATATTCTCATCAATGTCTCATAATTCAACAACCATCATTATCCTTCCATCAAATCCACCACTCTCCCATTTCCCATTAGTATCACCCTTTTTCCTTTCCTTCCTTTCTGCTTTTACCAAAAGCCTAAGCCACCGTGAATTCATATAGCATACCATGGAATGCTCTCGCATCACCAATATGCTTTCCAACGTCAAGGGGCTCATCGAACCCTTTCATTATAGACAAGAGACATACATCATACAGAGAATCCATATTGACAAACACTGTGCTTCTCTTTCTCGCAACGATACAGAAAAAAAGAACAGAGGCATCCAATCAGAATTGAAAGAGCCTCCAAAAACCCTCCCCAGTCTTTTTCCAAACTTTGTATAGGTACTTTGTTCAACTATTCGTGCCTCTTTCTTTCTTATAGAGGGGCATGAAGAAGAAGAGAAAAAGAGACGAGCCACCCACCGACTCTCCGTTTGTCAAAGGAGAGTAGAAGAAGAAAGAAAAGAAAAGAGAAAAGGACAAGAGAAAAATCTCTCAATCATGTAGGACATAATCAAAAGAAGCTGTACAAATCTAAAGAAACAGGAAACTGGATTCAAGATCTAAGGGCATTAGTAACGCTGCTCCCAACGCTGCTCATGGTTTCGCTAAACTTCTCGCCCATGCCACCCGCCCAGCTGGGCAGCTTGAGAGTCATGCGGATTCTGCCTTCAACTATCAGATGAACGAGGTTGATAACAGCAAACGTGGTAGAGCCAATAGCACGGAAGACAGCCAAGCCAGCCACACTCCACAACAAGAAGCGGAGATAAAAGTTGTCACCGATGCCCTTGCTACTATACACTTCTGATATGGCCATGGCGAGAATGGCATTCAGCACCATCCATGACACAACCATATAAGTTCGGACGCTCTTGTAGTAATCTTCCTGCAGTTGGGACTCGCTCGGGGGCTTCTCTGGGACTTCGACTCGGTCACGCAGATTGCGTAGAGCCTCATCATATCCACTGTCGATATCGAGCTGCTCGCTGGGCATTTCAAGCTCAACAGTCTCGCCCTTTCCGATGGCACCACCCAAATCAGTCTTGATAACATTGTCACCCTTGGTACCCCAGGTGACGTCGTGCGTGTTGCAGAAGGCGTAGACTTGAAGCGTGCAGATGTAACTTGGTAGCAGGAGGAAGTATTGACCAGCAGAGGTAAACATGTGCCACGGATCGAGGTACAGGAATGACATGGCAAAGTACAGACCTATCGTCGATGCCATGGACACAATGAGATTCGTAAACACGTTATTACCGAGAGTTAACGTTTGGCCACCCTCCTTGTGCGTAAACTGCCTGATGACAATGTAGATGATGGCGAAAGTCGTGTAAACCATGATGATGCTGTAGATAATCATACTGCTAAGATAAAGCTTTCGTGCGCCCTGTGGCCGGTTTCCGAGCGACAAGATGAACTGAATGGCGATGAGCAGGATGCATGTGTATCTCAAAATGATGAAGATGACGTTTCCGATGCCGTGCCCAAACGGATCGACCGTTGGGTCTGCCAGTCCACCAGCGACGAAGTAGAAAGCCAAGTAGAAGTTTGCGAGAGAAAAGTACGTGAAGAGCAGTTGAACAAATTGATAGACAAATTCAATGTAAAGAAGGACCTTGCGTGCAAGGGTATGATCAGTCTGTAGAATCTGTCGCATCTGGACAAGGGAGTAGACGGCAGCGAAGAAGGCACCGTTTAGCCATCTTCTTCTCTGAGAGATGAATTCGGGAACAGTGTCTACAGATTTAGAATGTTAGTTTTTGTTCTTTCTTTTAGGACAGCGTGCAAGATGTAATATTTTGAAAAGCAACATACCGGGAACGTCAGTTTCTCCGTGGCAACCCTTGACATATTTCAAAACCCATCTCTCGCCTCGCTTGGCTACGAGCTCCCAGCAAAGAATACGATCTTCGGCCAGGTACATATTGGCAGTGAACACGTCGGCGTGTTGGCCGTGAAGGGTCTCACCCTTGAAGTACTGGCTGAGAGGCCCATGACCAGTTTCATCGTTTTGCAGCGCGTGGTAACGGTAGGCACTGAGAGCACCGGGCAACACCGTAATGTATCCAAAAACAGACTCCAGAGGCTTATCCAAGATGTTGGACATCTTGTATTCGAAATTCTGGGACGCAACTAGAGGATTCAAAAGGTATGACCCGTATTTGCCCTTCAGGGCTTTGATTTCACCACATGCCCCAGCGACGTTGGAGTCAAAGTCAAAAGCCTTCCAGAGGTGGTACAGCGAAGTACCTCCTGGACGAGTTCCCACGTCTAGAAGAATACAGACATTGGGGTTCAGGGCCTTGCCAAATGCGTTGAAGAACCAACGGTGTGAGTTGAGCTTGCGCGAGTTCTTTTCTTTGAGGCAAAAGATGATTTGGCACGGCACGATGCCCTTTTCGGCGCCCTTGAATTTGAGATCAGAGTCGAGTGAGACTTGTGTTGTGTACTCATAGACGTGAGCCTGCACGGCCCTGTTGTTGACAAAGTTTTTGGCGATACCGTGCTGGTATACTCCCATGGCCGCCAAAGCGTCTAGTGTGCGTGGATGGATTTTCTCACGGCCATCGGAGATGATGCAAACGACCACCTTTTGCCAGCCATTCTCACCCCAGGTACGGGATCGAGAGCGAGAACAGAAGTGGGATATGTTCTTCATGACGGCATACATGGTTCTGGTGAAGAGAATCTCATCTTCATTGTACATGGTTACGCAGATGAAGAGCTCAGTCTCTCGAGTCGTCCGACCAATGGCCTGCCGGAGCTTGTACCCCCTGTCAACAAAGTCATCCGGGTCACAGGTCACAGCCGTGTATCTCATATGAGTGAATTCAACCTCATCTCGTCGCGGCAGAAAGCTGTAAAGAATGGTTGGGATTTTGCACTCTAGAACAAGCTCTCCGTTGATAAGAGGAACCTCCTTCTTGGCCATTTGCGGAGCGCGGACACCACGTCGCTCTTGCGCTCCGTCAGGCGCCGGCCCGTAGTGCTCATATTTGTCGAAATACTCATTCTCTTCTCCCAGAGTTTCTTGGTCGCCTGAGATGAACGACTCGCGGCCATCGCCGTAAGCGCGGCCATCTTCTTCATCGTAGTCATAATGATCGTAATGGTTGTCATAGTGGCGGTTATCGCTGAGATCCGACTCGGGACGGAAGATGTCTTCGTCATCAGGATGGTCGTAGGGAATTGAAACAGTTATGTCGTCTGTAAATTGCGAGGCTCGCGACGTGTTGCCAAAGCGAGGTGCCGGGGGCAGTGGACGTCGCGGGCTGCCGCCATACCTTGAAGACGGGGTTCCTGGTCTGGGGCTGCCGTTGATGTCTGAAGGCTCATAAGAATCATGAGAAGGCGGGGGGCGAGAGTAGTCTGTCAGTCTCGATGCTGGAGACCACGGCCTATGAGGATCTCTAGTATCATAGGACATGTAAGATCCATCTGGCGGCGGAATGCTGGGAGCGTTGTCCCGAATAGACCCCGTCCGAGTGTGAGAGGACAAGACACTGGGTTCGTATTGAGGCCGCGGTGATCGCGAACTAATGGGCCTATCGTGTGAGCTTTTGGTCTTCCATCTAACGGTGGGCCTTTTCCTTTTTGGTGTTGTTGGAATTGTCTCTGCAGCAGCTGCAGCAGCAGCTTCCACTACGACTGGTTGTGGGGTTTGCTGTTGCTGTACGTCTGGTTGAGAAGCTGGCTGGGAAGCTGGCTGGTCGGACGCGGATAGACTCCCTCGTCGTCGCCGGATTCGCTCACTTGGCCCCTCCGGGATGGTTGGCAAGGCTTCCGCCAGGTTTGGACTTGTTGGGCTGCGTGGCAACTTTGCAGTGTTGATCTTGCGAATTTGTTTGATATAAAGAGGAGGGGGAATAACAACATCAGGAAGAGGGGGGTTGGGGAGATGGTGAACAGAAGGAGAGCCAGAAGCATGGCCATCCGCCGCGGAGTTTGCTGCTTGCAAATCCGTCTCTGGCTTGGGCTCTACGCTCGAGGCGGCTCTTGGACACTCGTCAAAAGCCATGGTGGATGTCCCGGGACTGGATCCGTGGAGTTTCGAGGCCGTCTTGGGTTGCAAGGACGGCGTCGATATGGAAGCTGGGGATCTATTTGGGGAAGCCGGTGTTGCCAATGGCGACGGCTGTGTCACGTACGGTCTCTCAGCGGGCTCTTCCACCGATGTCAACAATCGGACGGCGGCGGCGCCATGGCCGGTGGGCGAGTCCAGCTCGTCGTCGTACGGCGGCAAACTATAATCGGGAGGTATGTCGGAGCGACGATGGCGGTCCATTGTCATGCAATGCCTGTGGGCGGATGTTTAAGCTTTGGAATGCTGTTAGAATTAGAGCTAGAGCCAGATCCAAGCCAAGCGGCCTGCACCACCAGCAATCACTTCGGATTCGATGTGAGGCGAGACAAGATGGTGCTGATGCGTCGATGCGGTGTGTTGCTTGGTCGTTGAGGCGCCCGTCGCAATCGCTGCTGGAGGGAAACAATAAACAAATGAAGGAATATCGCAGCCCGACAAAACAAGACAAGAATATTTTGAGAGGTGGAATACGGCCCCGGGCTGCATAAAGATAAAGGCGGGCTTCAGATGCAGCGGCTCTGGGGACATGCGTGTGCATGCCAGCTGGAAACGTCCGCAGTGGAGCAGCCGCACAGCTTGAGCGCTCGCCCGCCAAACAAATGCTGGGCGTGGCCCGTTGGCCCAGCAACAGGCGGTCGTGGGCGCAGCACAAGGCCGTTGGCGCCCCGTAGCGACACGCAGCAGCCCGGCAGGCCGGCCGCAGGAACCGCGCAATCACTGCTAGCCGCTGTGTTTTAAAAACAAAGAGTCGTGTACCTGACCCGAACCCCGGCCATCGATCGAGGCTGGGGCTTACCAGAATGGATTTGGGTTTGCGAATGTCGCCGGCGCCGCGCAGGGGGCGGTGAGGCAAACACGCAGCCATTACGTGCATGCAGCTGTATCTGCCATTGTCTCCCGTGCTATTCTATTTAGGCATTGGCACAACAACATTAGCCAGAGCGCTTCAGCTGCCCGTATCACAAAACACACGCAGCCATCTTCAGGAAAAAACGCGCTAGTTTCGCTTCCCCAGAACACGGCGCTGTCGGGCTGGAGGTTTCTGCAGCGATATACAGTAGCGGTCTGTCTTGCAGCTCTTCTCCACAGCCCAAGGTCAGGGGCAAGGGATCTTGACACCAGACATGAGCTTATTATTAGGTATCGTGTTGATCTTATACGAGGTAAAACTCTGTATATAATTAGAATTACTCAACGTTTGGCAAGAACTTGCTTCGCCCTTCAAACTCGTACATTGCGTATATCCTCTGTTGTAGAAGATGTACGTACCACCGCGCTCATAACGCGGCTTTCATCTATGCACGCCATATCCATCTATGCTCCATGCTCAACCAGGTTTCCTCATATCACAATGTCTCTATCGGCCAACGCGAAAAGGCATCGATATTTCACTGGTCATTTCGAGAAAAATGGAAAAAGTTCAAAAGCTTACTAAATGCTTAGGAGCAGTTACTGATATGTTTGAAAGAGGATCTAGTGGTACCAAGGCAATGCGAATAAGGGCAGCAGCTCTCACCAGCTTGCAATCCGGCCTCTGCTCACATTTGGATCCCCAAGCTTCTCTGCGCAGTTCTAATTCAGACGTACATATACATATAAACATACATACATACATAGGTAGAGATGTCATTGATAATAAATCGTGACAACCAATGCTCCCATCTCAATTCTGTCTCGCCTCTTGCGGCCAACGCTCGTCTCCTTCAGCTGCCGTACCTGGAACCTCTACCGCCAACCAATCTACCGCCAAGCTGCAGCCATTGCTGCCCCTCCATGCCGGTACTCGATACCTTAGCAGTTGCACGGAGCCCGCACTGACGCAATTAGCCCAGCAACCATGCCAATCAGGAACCGCTGTAAACAGAGCCGCCCTGAATGCGACACCATCGCCTCCCGCTATCCACGCGCACCCTATCTCCATATCTCTATCTACTATCATCCCCATCAGCCTCAGCGCATCGCCAGAACTCTCGACTTGCTGTCTGGTGCTGAGCCCGCCCGGTCGAACAGCATATTCTATTCCCTCTAGCCTCGCCGTCCAGCCCGCTGCCTGTCTTCGCTGTCGGTCTGCGCATCTCCGTATGCTCTATACTGTTCTCCTTGTCCATTCCGCGACATACCATCCATTGCCCCGCTAACCAGTTGGTATGCACGCAGAGCATCGTATTGCATTTCAGCTTATTCGACCTGTCGGCCAAAAACCCTCGCCTCGCCTCGCCTCGCCATGGCTCAGTTCTTGCAGACAGTGTCAGTCCAGTCCTACCTTTATCCGCGTGCTCTCGTCTTCTGCCAACTTCAACATGTCCCTGCTGCTGCAATATCTCAGCCCCAGGTCTCGTGCCAAAATGCAGCACCTGAATAACCCCATCCTCCCCGTCTACGAAGATCCTCCTCTTAAGCCCGTGTTAAATACTGTGATTGCTGATGGCGAGATATTCCTAAGCAGAAACCAGAAGACGAGAAATCAGTTCCGCCCTCGCGCCGGTAAAGGAGGTGTCAATAGCTACCAGCTACGTCAATATGCTGAAGTTACTTTGGGGGGAGGTAGCTTGAGAAAGGTGGTCAAGCTCCCCGAGGGCGAAGATGAGAATGAGTGGCTAGCAGTCAATAGTAAGTTTGACCGCTGCCTATTGGCCAGCTGAACATCAAAAGCCTAACGATAACCAGTGGTGGACTTCTACAACCAGATCAATCTCCTCTATGGTGCCATCACCGAATTCTGCTCCCCGCAGTCGTGTCCTGAGATGAAGGCAACCGATGAGTAAGGGACATCCCATCCGACCACTGCAAATCCTGGAAGCGAATTAACGTCCATAGGTTTGAGTATCTTTGGCAGGACAGCGAAAACTACAAGCGGCCAACCAAGATGGCTGCACCTGCCTATATAGAGCAACTGATGGCGTGGGTTCAGGCCAATATCGACAACGAGTCTGTCATGCCTAGCAAGATTGGTAAGCACCTCCCTCTTGATATCTTCATATTCACCTTGTGTCGAGTTTGGCTATTTACACTGTTCATAGGCGTCCCGTTCCCCAAATCGTTTGGAACGCTCATTCGCCAGATCTTCAAGCGAATGTATCGTGTGTACGCCCATATCTACTGCCACCACTATCCTGTTGTCCGGGAACTGGGACTGGAGCCTCATCTAAACACTAGCTTCAAGCAGTACGTGCTCTTCATTGACGAACACGGCTTGGCAAGCGGGCGTGATTACTGGGGTCCTCTTGGCGACCTTGTCGACAGCATGCTGAAGAGCGACTGATTCAGCATCATTCTTCACTTGGCTTTTTTTTTTCTGATTTCTGTTTAATTGATCACTCTGAACTGCAAGCGACATTGCAACGATGCTTAATAGGGAGCAAGGCAAGGCGTTAGGATAATGTAGAATTGAAAATTGGCATCTGGGTCTATCGGGCAGAATCGGGTAAGGTCATGGATAAGGGACTAGGTAGTACTATGAGCATGCATGCAAGATTGTGTGCTGTTTGGAGGCCATGTTTTATAAAACATTCAGCAAATGCATTCATCACAAGAAGATGATAGTAAGAAGAAGTTATGCCACGAGTATGGACACGCTCAGATCCAGAAACCCTTTTATATCAAGTAAAAAAAATCAACATTCACTGTTTTAGGTAATCTGTAGATCGCTAAGATGGCGGCAGCTGGTGGGCGCAAACCTCTGTATGAGGCAATATTAGGTAAGCCTAAAATTTTGGTGCCTCACCCGTGCGGCAAGGCATCAACTTCCAAAATTGCCGGCCGACGAGAACCTCACCACCAGCGAAAACCGATCTCTACGAAAGCCGGTCTCTCACCACCCTCCGCCGTCCCATCCACAATCGCCATGCTGTCGCGACAAGTCTTCCGTTCCCTCAGAGCCGCTGCTCCTCAGCGTGCCTTTGCCGCTGTCCCGGCCCGGACTTTTGCTGCCGCTGCCAGCGCCGACGTCAAGGCCCCCATTGCTGTCTTTGGCCTCGATGGCACCTACGCCACTGCTCTGGTACGGACGCCTCCCGCGAAGAATCATGCAAGATTTCATTTTGGTGCCTGCAATGGCAGGTTTGCCAATTGTGCAAAGTGCCAATGCCGCAGACATCGAGCGAATTAGCAGCGTCAAAAACACCACCGCGAAAATGGCTAATCCTTGCGTCAATTTCTAGTACACCGCGGCCTCCAAGACTTCCACCCTCGATGCCACCGCCAAGGAGCTCGCCAAGCTGGGCTCCATCGTCGAGAAGGACTCCAAGCTGGTTACCATCCTCTCCGCCCCGACTCTGACCCCCGCCGACCGATCTGCCATCGCGGCCGAGCTCGTCAAGCAGGCCGGTGCCAGCGGTCCCACCCTCAAGAACTTCCTCGACACCCTCGCCGAGAACAACCGACTGGGTCTCCTGAACGGCGTGATTGAGAAGTTTGGCCAGATTGTCTCTGCTGCCCGTGGCGAGGTTGAGATGACCGTCACCAGCGCCCAGGTGCGTTTCCAATCTTTTGGGATCCCTTGTTGAATATTTCGACAAAATCACGACGTCGCTTTAGTTGCGAAATGACACACATACACACACTTGGAGAGATACGAATTATTCTAACTCGAGTATCATCATAGGCTCTTGACTCTAAGCTCCTGTCCCGTCTGGAGAACGCCGTCGCCAAGTCTTCCTACGTTGGCCAGGGCAAGAAGCTCAAGGTCACCAACGCTGTACGTTCAAGCTCTATATTTTTCTTCTCCCCATTCGCCAGTGGGAGGATGTCACCATTTATCTCAAATATCAAACTAACATCAATGCTCTAGGTCAACCCCGATATCATTGGTGGACTCGTCGTCGAGGTCGGCGACCGAACCATTGACCTCAGCGTCTCCGCCCGCATCAGCAAGATGAACAAGCTCCTTACTGACAACCTGTAATTTATTCATGTATTAAAAAATATCACCAATCAAAACAAGGAGCCTCTTTTTGTTGAAACGTCCATAAAAAAAAGAGAGAAAAGAGGGATCAATTTTATACAAAACGAAGCTCTCTACCACCATGTATAGAATCTGGGCTTGCTTCTTGAAGGAGAGACCTGGGGGGTTTTCTGTTTTTGTATGCGTCCATCTTTATATAGGAAAAGACGGATGCAAATAGTGTAAAGAGAGGGGGGGTGCTGTTATCTGGTGGAGCAGCATGTTTCAAATAGAGAGCAAATTTATCTAGAGAAAATGGGCTTTTCTATATGCCTATCAATGGGTATCACTCAGGTGCATGTATGAAGCGGCCTCTTCTGATATGATGAGACATGCTGACACGGCTACAGGGAGAAGGACTTCACACCCCCAATCACTGAGCTATTTTTTCCACTCTTTGATACATAAATTCAATCGTTTTTACTAGGAAAAACTATGCTCAAAACACTATCCAATTCCACCCGTCAGATTGTTATACTGTAGACCTCTTACCTTGTTCTGTAGTTTCCAATTGTAACATAGATAAAGTCCCGCCTTTTACTTTTTTTAGACCCAGACATCTTCAAATTTCCAAATTTAGCTCAGTCACAAGGCACAAGGGAAATAGCCTATGCCCTAGTTTCATATTCGTCGCCTCCAGAGTCCTCCTCATTGCCAGCGCCGTTGTATCTACGAAGCTGATCGGAGATGTACCGGTGCATGTGAGAATCAGCTTCCTGCTTCTCTTTGATCCTTTCAGGGTCATCGTGATAAACCGAGTTGGTCACGGATCGAGCATCGTCGTCACCATTGATAGACGATTCAAAGTCGCTTCGGGCACCGATGGAGCGGGCTGTTGATGATCGTCTGAGGTGGCGTCTGCCTCCCGGGTGAGGGACGCCGTTGTCTATATGCCTCTGGAAAATATCATCAAAGTAGTGTGCCATGGTGGCTGATGGTGTTCGAGGAGTTTGAGGCAGACGGCAGGTGACGCTATTTTGGAGAAGAGCTCAGTCAGTATACACTTCATCAAATAGCGAATAAAGGTTGGATGCAAGTTATTCAAGACTTACCCTGTGTCATGAATCAACCGAGCAATGAGACCGGTCCACCCAGTTTGGTGAGTAGCACCGAGACCCCTACCGGTGTCGCCGTCAAAGAACTCGTGGAACCAAAGGTAGTCTTTCCAGTGCTCGTCGTAGTCGAGGCGATCATCTCCAGCGTTGATGCTGCGCCTTCCGTAGTCATCGCGGGCAAAGAGGTGCTGCAGCCGATGCTGGAGTTCTTCCGAGACCTTACCCAGATGCATTTCGATGCCACTGCCAGTAGGGCATTCAACCTTGAAGTCGGGCCCGTAGAAGAGGTAGAATCGCTGGAGCGACTCAATCAGCAAAAAGTTGACGCAGAGCCAAATCGGTCCTCTCCAGTTACTGTTGCCGCCAAACAGTCCAGTGTCAGAGTCTCCGGGAACGTAGCCAACTTTGAACTCTTGACCCTTGACTTCCATGGAGTAGGGGTTTTCTTTGTGGTATTTGGATAATGAACGAATGCCGTGGTCACTGAAAAACTCATCCTCATCCAGCATTCGTACCAGAATCTTCTCTAGCCTCTCTTTGCTGACGATTGACAGGAGAATACGATTGCCCTTTCCTCTTTTCTGGATGCTGGCCATGTTCCTCTCCGCCAGATCGCAGCGATTTTGTATGAACCAATCGACTCTCTTCTTGAATGAGGGCAGCTTGTTGATAAGCTCAGGTTCCAGAGTTGCGGTTGCATAAAGAGGAATGAGGCCGACCAATGATCGTACAGGCAGCTGCTGGAGCCACGGCCCACCCCAGGAGATGGCATCATAGTAGAAACCGTCCTCTTCATTCCAGAGCGACTGCTCATCCTTTTGTCCTGTTCGGAAGGTCATGGCATCGCTGATGAAGATGAAGTGCTCGAAGAACTTGGAGGCAATATCCTCATAGATGCGACGATGCTTTGCAAGTTCAAGGGCAATGTTCAGCATGGAAAGGCAGTAGAATGCCATCCAGCCGGTGCTGTCAGCTTGTTCAAGGACACCGCCCGTAGGCAGTGGCTCGGAGCGGTTGAACAGACCGATGTTATCGAGTCCCAAGAAACCACCTTCAAAGACATTTTTACCGTCTGCATCTTTTCGGTTTACCCACCACGTAAAGTTGAGTAGAAGCTTTTGAAAGACTCGCTCAAGGAAATCAATATCCTGGCGGCCATACAGCTTTCGTTCAATCTTGAACGTTCTGAAAGTGGCCCAGGCGTGGACGGGGGGGTTGACATCACCAAAGTTCCATTCATATCTTTAAGCTTGAGTTAGCGCTACGAATAGGGTAAAAACAAAAAAAAAACCTCAGACGGAGTTACTTACGCAGGTATTTGACCATTGGGGTGACAGTACCATTCTCTGGTAAACAGATCAAGCTGCTTCTTTGCAAAGTCAGGGTCAATCATTGCCAGGGGAATGCAGTGGAAGGCACTATCCCAAGCGGCAAAGAATGGGTATTCCCAAGAGTCTGGCATCGACAAGATATCGTCGCAGTGCATATGCCTCCACTGTTGATTGCGTATGCCCATTCGGTCGGCGGGCGGAGGAAGGGTTCCGGGATCTCCCTTTGCCCACTGATCCCAAACGAAGTGGTAGTGTTGCTTTGTCCACATCATACCCGAAAAGGCTTGTCTCTGGATGTTACGCAGATCCTCAGTCATAGGAAGAGGGCTAATTCTGAAGTAGAATTCATCTGCTTCCTCTCTGCGCTTTTCAATGATGTCGTCAAACTCCTCTTCGTCGAGATACGACTCATCTCGCTTGGTGAATCGAAAACGGACAACTATTGTCATTTGTCAGAATCTAACCATACGCTGTATTCTGTACTCTGTTTTGGAGATGGGTAGTCGCTTACCAGCGCATTCACCAGGGTTAACACCGCCGTCTTCGTTGAAGTTATACCAAGCAGCACACTTTGTGCCGGTTTGGTTGGGGTTAATGGCCCCTTTTTCTCCGTCAACAATGTATCTGTGGAAGGCGTCTTTGACATAGGGCTGCGGATTCTCCTGTTCATAGAGACGCTCGTAATTGGTGTCATTCTCGGTAAACATGAGCTTAGGCATGACGTCTGTTCCCGACGAGCCAACGCCAGGGGAAGGGGAGAGAAGGAAATATCTCTCTCCCAGCTTCCAGTGCTTCGACTTGGCGGAGTCTTCGCCGTAGGCCGCGATATTGGGCTTCTTGTCCTCTGGCTCTCTACCCCAGCTCCAAGTGTTCCGGAACCATACATGGGGCATGATGTGGAGCGGGGCTGGATCAGGTCCTCTGTTCCAAGCAGTTACACGGAAGAGGAGTTCATCTGGATCGTCCGTCTCTTTCGCTGTTTCGATGAAGATATCCCAGTACCGATTGTCATCGAAAATTCCAGTGTCAAGAAGCTGATACTCTTTGTCTTGTCTTGTTCTCCGAGCATTTTCCTTGATCAGATCGTCATAGGGAAACAGCTTCTGAGGATACTTGTAAAGGAACTTCATGTAGGAGTGCTGATGCTACGTTAGTATCAACGGAAAACGGACGACCGACGAGCGAATTAAGACATACAGTCTGGCCAAGCGAGCGTTAGTATAGTTCGTTGGACAAGAGAAGGAGGAATTTCGACTTACAGGAGTGTTATCAACATGGAAATGGGCTTCTTTGATACTTTCGCCATGATTTCCTTGCGGGTTGGACAGTCCAAAAAGACGCTCCTTCAAAAAGGGACTAGTTTATCAATCAGGACAACGTTCGTTTTCGGATATCTGAGAATTGGCATGGCACACTCTTCTTCGTTCCAAAAGGCAAAGCCAATGTTCTGAAATCCATGTGTATCCGAGACACCGGCAATACCGTCCTCGCCCCATCTGAAAGTTCGAGACCGGGCATGATCGTGCGGGAAGTCTATTAGAAGGATTAGCACAGGTTTTCAAAGAGTAACAGCAGAAGGCTGCACTTACGGCTCCAGGCATCACCATCGGCACTGTAATCCTCTCTGACTGTTATAGATGTCAGCATCCCATTCGTATTGCCACAAGCATGTTGCGGAAACTACCTGTCGCCCACTGCCTTTCGGCAACGTACGGGCCCCATTTCTTCCAGTACTTGGTTCGCTCTCTGTCCTCTTTCAACCGCTTCTCCTCCTCTGTGAGGTATTCGTGGCCGTCGTGGACAACCATTGTGCAAGTGGAGTGGACGGGCGGGCCGTGTGATGGACGTCAACTGGAGGCTGCTGTGATCCGGCCCCGGATGGATAGAGGATAGAGGGCAAGGAGGGGTAGAGACGACAAACAAGAATAGAGACAGAGACGGAGGAAGAAGGGAAGAAGGGAAGAAGAAAAGGGGAGCTGGATATCGGAGTTTTGTATAAGGATTGCCCTCAATGGCAATCCGATGCAGCAGCAACAGCCTTGGCCTATCGGCAGTGAGCTACTTAATCCTGCTAGCAGAGCTTGGTTGTCCAGCGTGGGGCAGATGGAGGGGCAGAATGCAACGCAGAACGCTTATAGTGGTTGCGCCACCTCTTGGGCCTCTCGTTGGCGGTTTGCACGCTGCAGCTATTGGTGCCTGATTGGAGCCACGACGGTTCAGCGCCGCTATAAATGGAGATAAGCCCTCTATGCCGTAGGTACGAGTGCTTTACATGCGCCGTGCATCTCGATCGTGTAGTCGCGGGTACGGCACCGGATGGGCTTTTATATGAATGCAAAAAAGCCTCTGCCAGAATCCACGACCGCGTCAAATGGCCTGCGACCACGAGTTTGGCGCCCAACCCAACAGGCTACCAGATTCGAATACCTGCAGTGATACAAGTCTAGCTGTCACGGATCTGTAAACATGACGTACGCTGCTTTCTTCCAGACGCGGGCCATGGCGGAGCTTCTGACATGGCAAGGTTCAATTTCTCGCAGCAGCTCTGCATGTGCATTTTTGCCCAACATTCTGTTCCGCAAAAGGCTCTTCTCACTAGCTGCTGTTTGGCGGGTTACGGAGAGATTGAACGCCGTGAGGAGAAGCAGGCTTTCTGCGCGTTATTGAACTTTTTTCGAGGTAAGCGATATACGAGTATGACAGTGACGTCAGGACTATGGAAAGACGCTGAATCGAGTCAGCAAACGAGCAGAGAGATGTACTGTAGCGAGTAGCGGTTTGCAAGTTAGCTGGCTAGGGAGAGCATGCAGCCGTGGGCACAGGCGCTAGCACCAGGCTAGACGATAAGCTGGCTGGGCACATGTGAATCAAATTTGAACTGAAAGCACTAGAACGCGCCACTGTGCCATGATCGCTCGATTGTCGTCTTCAAATGGCCCAGAAAACGTGGCGGATATATATGAGGCACAATGTGAAATTACCACAACCGGCAGCGAGGCCAGGCACCGCCGTCAGCCACCGAGGCTGGGTCCAGGGGCTCTGTTGGGAAAACGTGCCGGTATAAGAGCATCGCTGCCCTATCGAGGTCTAGGCCTATCGGAACATCGATAGTACTGTACTATGGATTTGATGTTCTACAGCAGGCTGCGGCCCCAGGAATACAGACTCAATGCTACATACAACCGCGCACACTTGACAAGACATCTCAACAAGGCAAAGGACAAAAGATCAAATAACTAATGTGCACGGCAGAACAGCAACCAATCATCAAACACGTGCTTATCATCAATCTGTTCACTTCATTTTCCTGTGCAAGGGGGCGCTGTCTCGCCTCGGATTCCTCTTCGATTTGCCCCTGTCCCCAGATCTCCGAACCGCCAAGGGCCAGGCTGCGCTAGAGCTGCGCGCTGGACAGCAAATGTGGCCAGTTGAGCTTCCAACACAGCTTCGCCACAGCAGTTTCGCGGCCCTTTGGCGAAATCCGCCTTAATTTTCATTCATTCCTCTAGCCAGTGACCTGTTCAGATTTGCAGCCATCATGCTCTGCCGTGCTCTTCTCTAACCTCATATTCTTTCCTCCTCTTCTGCAGCAGCGGTAGCCTTTTCCTCTTCTGTCTTCGCTCATTTTATTCCTTCTAATTTAACAAAGAAAAAAAAAACCCACGCCTATTTGCCGGCCCCCTCTACCTCTTGTGCACCGTATAGGACCGTCTCTCGTTTCAACACGCCCTTTCCTTTTCGTCTTTTTTTCTTTTCGTTATCACTTCAACATGGCCGACACAGTTTCGCTTCTGCGGAGACTAATTCTCGAGTCGCCGCCGGGAGAATGGGCCGTCAACCAGCTCCGCGAGCTGCTCATTGGCGCCCTCAAGCAGGGACCGATCCCTCAACATGTTGCCTTCGAGATGGACGGTAACAGGCGTTACGCAAGAAGTCGTCGCATGGAGACCGTCGAGGGGCACCACCGTGGCTTCGAGGCCCTGGCTAGAGTTTGTCGCCCTCTTGCCCAACCTTTGGGTCGCTTTCTGCCCAGCTTTTTCTAACAGGGCTGCGTCTAGATCATGGAAATCTGCTACAAGTGTGGTGTCAAGGTCGTTACCGTTTACGCGTTCAGTATTGAAAACTTCAACCGGCCAAAGTACGAAGTGGAAGGCCTCATGCAGCTTGCAAAGGTCAAGCTGGAGCAACTGACGACATATGGCGACATTCTTGACCGCTACGGGGCCTGTGTTCGAATCCTCGGCCAGCGTGAGATGATACGCGATGACGTATTGGAGGTCATGGACAGAGCCGTAGCAAGGACTAAGCATAACAACAAGTGAGTTGCATGCCTTCTGAAGACGATGGCTTTGGATTGTTGGGGCCAGAAAAGGCTAATTGCTGGCTTAGGGCTGTCCTGAACATTTGCTTCCCATACACATCGAGAGCAGAGATGACGACCGCGATCCGATCAACCGTGCAGGAATTCCTATCTCCAACGCCCCCCAAGAACACACCATTTTCTCCATCGCGTATAAGGCAAAAGATACTTTCGGGTCAACTCGACGGCCGCGACCTACTGCCGACCATTCCAGATGAACCACTCGACGATGGCGAGTATGAGGGCAAAGATATAGATGACGGAGACGACAACGACTCTTCTGGATCCGCCACTCTTCCCCCGGGCTCCCCTGAGCCTCGCTTGCTATCCAGGTCAGGATCCTACGGCTCTACGACGCTACCCAACCCCGACAACATCACAGTCGACACCATCGAGAGACACATATATACCGCCGACGACCCTCCTTTGGACCTCTTTGTCAGGACAAGTGGCGTTGAGCGGCTCAGCGATTTTATGCTCTGGCAGTGCCACCAGGATACGCACATATTCTTCCGCAAGTGCCTGTGGCCGGACTTTGACCTCAAGGACTTCATATGGGTCCTGCTGGAGTGGCAATGGAGGCAGAAGCAGTCTGACAGAGAGAAGCCCTCTGGCAGGGCGGGGACGGCCAAGGCGCGAAGCATGATGGAGTAAATTACGGCGACGATACCCCCGTTTTCTTTCTATAGAGAGGCATGGCATATTACATCATATCGCATATTATTAGTAGCTGGTGCTCTTGGGTTATTCGATTCTGGCCATGCATTTGTTGTGTTACAGCAGTTTACATCTCTCCTTGTTTGCCCTCTCTTGCCCTCTTTTTCTTTGTTTGATTTTGATCTTAATTTTCCGTTAGAATCGCTATAGAGCCTCTCTCATTCGCAATGCAATAGAATTCAAGCGCACGTAAACAATCAAGTGCAATTGCTCCCAAACGGCCGCTGTCGGGCGATGCTTTGCAGCTCAGCTGACGCCATAACGAGCTTCCTGTGGGGGCTCTGGCTGCCGTCGGAGTCCCCTTTAATCCGGCTGACCCAATGACAGCGCTCTTCAGCGCAATGCGTGCTGTGTCATGCGCCGCTAGCCCGCCTGAGCCAACCGGGAACGGCAGCCCGGCGCCTTGTACCGCCGTACCTCGCGGCAGATCAGTGCTCTCGCTCGCTCCCCAAAGTCCAGTCGAGATACTCTGCTGCTCTATCTACCACCGAGCCTCCACCACCGCCCGCCGTCACCGCGCCGCCCACGCATGATTTGGCTCTTTGACCGCAGATCCGGAGCAGGATGGCCTAGCCTGTCCTCAATCAGAGGCGTTGTTTCATTGTTTTGTCCTGTCTAGCCAGATTCCCCCCTCGAAAAAAAAAAAGTTCGCCAGCTCGTCGCCCCTCTACGCAAAACACCCACCTCAATCTCTTGCCAGTCTTTTCTTGCTGGCCACCTTCGCCATATCCGCAATGAAGTCCGCAAAGGCTCCCGCCGTGGAGGCCCCGTCGCACCGGAGGTCCCAGCCTGTACGGCAGACGCGCACGAATCCTCCTCGAAGCTCGGCGACGACCGTCCGCCCGGGCGGCAGAGATTCGCTGAGTGGCCCTGCCGGGGACCAGCCCATTGACATCTTCCCTGCCATCACCCACTTTGCCGACACCATTACCGCCCTCCCCAAAGAACTCGTGCGACACTTTACTCTGCTCAAAGAGGTCGACGCCAAAATTTTCGCTCCTCAAGAACAGCTCTTCAGGCTTGTCGCCTCGGCGAGGACATTCCCTGTCCCGGAAGCGCGAACGAGCAATGCCGCCCTCAACACGGCGCCGGGGTTCGCACCGATGAGCGCCCAGGGAGGCTCCAACGGAATTGCATTCGGCCAGCACCAGCAGCCCGTTGTTTCGACCGAAGACGTCAATGGTGGCGTGTTCGACCCGTCCAACCTGCAGCGCCGGCAGCTCTTCCGCCAAACCGCGTTTAAAATACAAGAACTACTCGTGTCTCTGGAAGAGAAGAACCATGTCATATCCACGGCGAACGAGGCGCTCCAGAGACAGCTCGCTCGGGTGGAAGATGTATGGCCATATTTGGAGAACGAATTCAGCGACGAGGCGAAATGGGGAAGCACCACACACTGGGCCTACCCCGAGAACCGCAATGGGAAGCCCTCGCAAGCTGAAAGATCCAGACGCGATGGCGCTGCTGCGATTTCAGCGGCCGCACAAGCCTTGGCAGAACAGGCCGCCGCCCGGAGCGACGCCAGGAAACAAGCGGTCCAAGCCAAGAAGAGCCAGAAGACTCATGCCCTCGATTCCGAAGCCGACGATCACGACAGCCAAACAAAAACCAACAGTGCTAAGAAGACAAGCTCGAGTAAGGTTCGGAAAACTGCTGAGAGTAACAATGTTGGCTTGGGCATCTCTACTGGAACTTCTTCCAATGGCAATCCTCCGCAAAAGAGGCGAAAAGTAGACAAGGACAAAGATAAGGAGAAGGAGAAGGAGAAGGAACGAGAGAAGAAGGAGGAAAAGGACAGAGAAAAGGACAAGGACAAGGAGAAAGAAAAGACTGCTGCTAGCGGGGCAGAAGCACCTCAGATGGAGCGTGCCATGAGCCTCGTCTTTGGTAACAACACATCCAAGACGAGGGCCACGACTAGCCCTCGAGAGACTCCAGCTCCGGAGGTACCCAAGAAGCGCAAAGCTTTGCCCACTAGCAGTGGTCAATCCAAGAAGAAGTATGGCAATTGCCTATCCTCATCCCTCCGTATCCATTCAATCGCTCTGGTTTAGACTACGATGCTGACCACCACTTGCTTACAGGAATGCTCTATCCGCCACCATGTCGCCCTCCGCTGCCTCGTCCCCCGTCATGGGCTCTTTGCCGGAGACGAAGACGCCAGCTAGCCGCCCATCCCCAGTACCGACGCCTGCGCCTGCACCCGTCCCACGACCAACGACGTCTCGTGCACGACAGAACTCGATTGCGTCCAACTCAGAAGCCAGCAAGGCTAGACCTCCCTCTTCGGCAGCTAAAAAGACGAATGGCAACATTCCCAGCACGCCGGAAGTTGTTCAGACTACAAACTGGGCTCGCCCCAACCATGACTCCGAAGGCAATAAGGAGCCTACTGTGACGGTCAAGACGGAGCCGTCACCAAAGGAGCCAGAACAAACGGAAGACAAACCCGCGCCAACTCCTACTGCAGTCGTTGTCACTACATCCTCTTCCAGCCGAAGGAATAGCAAGGTGGAAGAGGCGGATCGCAAGAGCGAGCCTACCCAGTCGACTCCACAGAGCACCGGTATGGTTACGACCAAGAGCGGAAGAGCAAGCAAGCCGTCAACACCGGCCCTGCCAAGTTTCTCGGACGCTGCAGCTGCTGCTGCCAGGCCGCGAACCACTCGAAACGTAGAGCCAGCGGGCAACGGCAAAAAGCCTCAGAAGAAGGGCACTACCCAAGCTCTTGCTCAACTTGTGGACGAGGACGGAAATAGTAGCATGCAGGGCGACGACGGCGATGATGATGCCGATATCGACCCAGATGAAGCTACGTACTGTTATTGCAATAGCATCAGCTATGGCGCAATGGTGGCGTGTGATTCTGATGATTGTGCCCGCGAGTGGTTCCATCTGGCTTGCGTAGGCCTCAAGGTCGCACCAAGTTCAAAAAGTAAGTCTACAAAGCTCTCTATTTTTGGTGACAGACGACAAGGGGAGGAGCGAATTGTCTCGTCTCGTCTCGTCGCGTTCCATCTCGTCGCATCTAGAAACAATGCTAACCCGCTCGGTAGCCAAATGGTACTGCCCAGACTGCAAAGAGCGCCTCAAAGTAGGCAGCAAAAAGAACGGCAGCCGATGAATCAAAAGGAAATATATTATCGATGATTTCGCGGTTGGTTAGCTGTGTTTGAAAAAGGAAAACGGCACCATTACTTTTTGAGTGCTTCATATTGTTCAAGCCTTGTTCTCAGCTTGTTGCTCGGCGTCTATTTTATTCTTCTTTCTCTTTGTATCACTTTTTTCTTTTCCTTTTTTTATCGCCTCTGATCTTTTCAAACTAGCATGTGCAGTCATCCCCGGCTCAACTAGTACACGGCGTTTTGTTCACAAAGGATTCGGCCACATTACCACCACTGGGCTTGTTACGGGTACTATTCACACTGGGATTCTTAGCTTCGGATCTACGCGGTACCTTTTTTTTTTTTTTTCCCCTTTTCCTTCATACGTGTGCGAATAAGATGCACGCTACTTTACGCAAGAAACCTGAAAGGGGAAAATACATTATTTTTGGGCAGAGGGGTCTGCTAGAAGCATGGATAAATATGTCCGTTGTTGGCGTCGCATTACAAAAGTGGGAGGCAGGCTCAAGTAGAAACTTGGAAAAGGATATGTGACAATGCTGTCGACGCGGATCAAGAGGGCAGCAGCAGTGGCAGCAACGTGTGAAACTGGCTGACAGGGCTGGAGATGGCACGCGATGCGAGTCTGAGGCCGATGCTGACCGCTGCTGGTGTTTGCCTCGCTTGTATGATGAATCTGGAGAGCAGATGATGATATTCTCATTAGGTAACACGGATGCATGTAAGTAGCGCTTCGGCAGGATAGTTCAACGGAAGCTCTGCATGCCTACATATTATACTACTACCTAGTACATACTACTTATCGCATGCCTTCTTTAGTTGGTAGGAAGTAGTAGGGTGGGCAGAGAGCCCGCCAATAGACGTATTTATTAATGAAGCAACGTGGAGAAGAGAATGCGTGTGTATGGATACGTGTTGTTGTATGCGTTGTATGTGGTTCCCGGGTACGTTGGATGCTTGGTGACGCAAGAAGCGCAGGAAATCATCACAACCGACCCATTGAAGTATTTCCCTAGGATAGCAGCAGGTCTTTTGCGTTTCATTGCAGCTCACATCACGAGAAATGCTGCAGTAAAAGCCCCAGCGTGTGCTCTATATGGATAGAAATAGAGACGAAGATGGGATGCCAATATAATGCAGATAATTTACTCCGTGTCCAACGAGGTAAAGGTAGCACAGCGTCAAAGCACAACGCATTCACGGATAATACGGCACGGACGCCATTCCAGGAGAGAATTATCTCGGTTGCATTCTTCTTCTTTCCTCGCTGTCCTCTCCTTGCCCAGCGTCTTTCGAGGGTGCGAGTAGATGAGAGACCAGCAACTTTTAGGGCGCTTTGTACAGTAGGCGTCTCTTTCTCTACAAAGCAGCACGACATAGTTTGCTTCTGACCGAGCAGGTGCAAGTAAATCAGCAAAAAATAGGCTAGTAAAAAGTAGGTAGTATTGGATGCCAAATCAGGGGGTCTGTGGTTGCAACCCCTTCCCCCAAGAAAAGCGTCGTTTCGCCCTCAGGTCCCCATCTCCACCATTGGGATTGTCTTTCTTCAGTCAGGCTGGTGGTCTTTCTTTTCTCGCACACGCCCCCCCCCCTTCCCCCAGGTTCTGTATTAGTACACGTTACTATTTTCTGGACCTTCCCCGTATTTTGAGGGGGATGGATGTTGGGGGGGAGCTTTAATTACGTTAAGGTAATGAATATTCCGGGTCAAGCCGGTTGGGGGTGGTTGAGAGAAGACGAATGGCCAAAAGTGTGCGTACATGTTTCATACATGCTTTATAGAGGAAGTTGAAACGTGCACAGCATTTGTATAGTATGAACTGCCTTGGTCTCCTCACTTTGTACATACATGTTGCAAAAGGTGTCGCGTGAGTGTTCCTCACGCAGCATACTACTGGTAAGCTGACTGCTTCTGCTGCAGTAATGAAATGAGCGTTTGATTCCATGGAAGTTAAAAAAGTGTCCTCTCCTTATTGCAGAATCATCCAGACTCAAAACACCATCCCAAGCCATGTCTAGTGCTCCGCGTGATACTTTGCTGCTCCGCTCATTTACATAACAAAATCTGGGGAAGAACTTTCTAGTCCTGTTTCTAGCTTAGCCGGGAAAAAAAAAACACAGCCTGGAAAAAAGGGAGTGTGCCAGCCGGATTCTTTTTTTCCCAGGGGAGGATCCAAATCCAGGAGCCGCCCTGATGGATCTGAGCTAGTGGCATGGAATAAGCAGCCAGGCAGCAAAAGAAAGAAAAGGCGAGGGAGAAAATACCATGTGAATGAAAAGGATGGTATGGGGATTCTGGTTATAGTGGGGATGGAGGGGCGGGAACAGGAGCTGTGGCTGTGCGATTCGCGGTCGTGGCTGAGAAAATGCTATCGATAAGTGACTAAGCGCCAAAAAAAAATTGTGGCAGAGTTTGCTGCATGAGGCGAGATAAGTTTTGTCTGATTTGATATTGATACTCATTTAGCATCATCACAATCCACATCAGACAGTCACGATGCGGTAAGTAATGCTGGAAATATATGATGCCACAATGCAATTTGGGGCATTGCTAATATGGCCACAGGATTGAGGACTGCAGCTTTTGTGGCCGTCCGGCCTATCCCTCCAAGGGAATTACCTTTGTCAGAAACGATGGTGAGTTTTCTTTGCAACGGATCCTGTCTTGTCTTCCGTCTTTTGAAAGATGTAGGGATAGAAATGAAAGAAACGACCAAATTCTAATCAGCATCTTCTCTTGCATAGGCAAATCGTTTAGGTTCTGCAGATCAAAATGCAACCGCAACTACAAGATGAAGCGTAACCCCCGCAAGCTCAAGTGGACAAAGGCCTACCGCCGAAACGCCGGCAAGGAGATGACGGTTGACAGCACGCTGCAGTTCGCCATGCGCCGCAACGAGCCCATCCGCTACGACCGCGACCTGGTGAACAAGACCATGGCGGCCATGAAGCGCATCAGCGAGATCCGCGCTCGCCGCGAGCGCGTCTTCTACAAGAAGCGCATGGCCGGGAAGCGCGAGAAGGAGCTGGCCGTCGCGCGCAAGCTGGTCGCCGAGAACGAGCACCTGCTGCCCCGCCTGCGCGGAAGCGAGAAGAAGAGGCTGGCGGAGCTGGCCGCCCAGGGCGAGGATGTGGCCCTCGAGGAAGAGCTGCTGGTGACGCGGAAGAACAAGATCAAGGCCTTTGGAGGGGAGGCGAGGAAGCTCAAGGTCCGGGTGGATGGCGGCGTGGAGGAGATTGTGGAATCCTTCCAGAGAGAGGGCGGAGAGGACGACGAGGAGGACGACGAGGATGTCGATATGGAGGACTAAGCGGGAACGTGGTTCCGCTGCTCATCACTTTTGTTACGACGAGACTGGCCGCCGCGGTCGGAGTGGCCTTGAGATACAGAGTTGGTGTCTGATGATTGGTTACGACTCATGGGTTCCATTATCGGGCTCGTCAGCGTTGCGTTGCGTTAATCGTTACGGCGTTTTTAAAGGATACACAGATACAAAGTATATGGTAGTAATGGAAAACACAAAAAGTCCTTGGGTTAAACAAACACATTATGGTCTGCGCTTCCTTCTGTTTCCTTGTCCTTTTTCGTTTCTCTCCCTCTTTTCTTTTCGTGTAATTACCAAATTCTTTTTTTACCTTTTCTGTTCCGGGTGCGTCTTTTCGGATATGTCTTGCCGATTTGGCGCCAAGACGATGCAAATCATGCCGTGGTGGAACGTGCATGTGTAGCCCTCTTACACGCGCTCTCGAGGCGATGCACCGATCCCTGGTAACATGGTGCGATGCCAAGTGATGGTCGGCAGCATCAATCGGATGCCTGAACATGTCGCATGCTGGCGATGACGTAGGGAGGGAGATGTTGGACGAGGAGCATTAGACGTGTTTATACGTTGGGCAGATGCTGGGCTGCAATGTCGCCCAAAGCATGCTGTTGGGTGCCCTGACCTTTTACATTGTGATTCAGGCAGTCAATCGGGAGGTGGACTACGTCAAATAGAGTCACGTCTAATATAAAAACCGAGCAGCCGCAGTAGTATCCGTAGAAATAGTCGTATTACCAGGGCGGTGTGATTGGATGGAATGCAGCATTTGGTCGTCAAAATAAAGAAGCATGGCGATCATCGGCCCCTGTTCCAACCCAACCGTCCCAAAAACCTCCCTACATTTTTGGTCGTTTGTTACCGGTTTGGTAAATGCACAGCCGGGAGAATGGACAGAGACAAAATTCAAGGTTAAATGGATTAGCCCGGTTTTGGGGGCTGCTGAGTGGCTATGTTTTACTGACAGATAAGGCAGAGAGGGAAGCATGGTTGAAAAGGGAAATCGGGCGCTGCGATAAGAAGATGGAGGCTGCATCAGATAAGTAACCTTGTCCTGTAGACGTATGACGTAGAAGGCCATATATTTTCCATGGCATTTCCCTTCCATGTTTCTCATTTCAACCTTGATGGGCTTATTTGTGGAATCCAAATCGCAGAGGCTTCTGCCACCTCGTATACGTGAAAATCATCTCAATGTTTCCGACGCTCTCTTTGTCATCGTTTATGCCTGGCCGCGAAGCCAGAGTCCGACCTCGCAGAGCAATGACGAGCAAAGGGGGGGTGTGGATAGTAACCCCAAAACAATCAGCCTCCGGATCTGGATCCATCGGCACCGGCTGGCTTCGGTTCACACAACGGCGGCTGCTGCTACTGCTGCAGGTGGTAGTTTTGGTTTTACTCGAACTAGTACTGCAGCAGTAGGTATCACGGGCAGTATGATGACCGTCTCGTTGGATGGCACGACATATACGTCTGCGTTAATTCGCTCGTTTGTCGGCATCGCGGCTTCTGTGTGTATCGCATTACTGAGAGCCGCATTGGACGTGGGCAACACAGCTCAATTGGCGCTGCCAGCGACGCCCAACATCCCTGCATTGTCCCAGCCAAGCCATCGGCCTCGCGGATGAGGAGGATGCATCCGATGTCCCAGAGCTTCCGCTGCTGTTGCTGCTAATATCAACCATGGCGACGCCTAAGTCAATCAAATCAAAACTGTCATCGTACTATTCACGGTCTCTTGGCAAAGGGAAGCAAGTCTAAGATCCGGATTCCGGGTCAAAACCGCCAGGAGAGAAAGCACCCGTGACCTGACGAGGCAGGGAAGGCTGGTTTGCATCATGACGGCAGAAAGCAACATCAAAAGAATTGCAGTTGACCACTTTTTTCCCCCCCCAACCCCTTCGCCTCTTTTTGGATGCGGCGTTCCCGATCCGACGCCATTGACCAATCTCAGGCAAGAGCATGTTTGGGCATCTGGACCCCGAGTCCAGGGAAGCTGTCGCGCCGCTGGCTTGTCGCAGGGACGGGTCATCAGATGAACACGCCAGGATACTCCATTGGCAGCTATTGCATGGCCCTGCACGTACAGTATAGGTAAAGAATAGTCCATCAATGGACTCAATTAGGGGGTGGCCTGTCCATCAGGAGCTTCGTTTCCCGGCAGCGTGGACAAGCGAGATGGCCGGCTGGAGCATCACCAACAGCTAGCCAGCAATTGGCAGCACGATATAGATCACGAGGACACGCTGGGGTGAGTAACGTTGAATTTTGCTCGATCGACCCTGGAGAAGACGCCAGGGCCTAGAAGGCAAAAGAAAGGCCGGCGTCGCGGCTGATTATGTAAAAGATATTGCTCGCAAGCAGGCGTTGGAGAAGCAGATGCGGAGCCTTGCCAAACCCGGAATTTCCATTACGGCACTCCAACTAACTTTTCACATCCACCACCAGACGCCTCCCGAGCCGGAGCGCAGACGCTTCCATGGGTGGCTGCTATTAATAAGATGACGGACCTGTGAGACTGGCTTTGGCTTCTAGACGTGCCCGCGAGTCTCTTGCCAATGACGTTGGATGAGCGTGATTCTGCAAGCAGAAGGCGTAGCAATAGAGTGCTGATGAAGCTAAATGTCTTGGTGCCAGTTCTCCAGGGCCCGCCCTATTGTTTCCAGCGCTGATGCCGCTCGGAGTGCCCTTTGGCGGATTGCTCGGTGCTCTGCGGTGACGGAGCACTTGTTGCTGCAATTGGGATAGACGTTCCAAGGCCGGGGAAGATGCACACATGCAGGCATGCTCAGCAAGCGAATGAATTAATGGGCAATTGGACTGTTGCTCTCCAGCCCCCATTACCTACAAGTATTAACCTTTTGCTAAATTGGACCCCCTTCTCCAAGTGGCTCTTGCGCTTCGCAACAGCGCTGCTCACCTGACGGGCACAGGCATCCAGTCACCGGTTTTCATTACACAATCCAGGCGTGTTGTGAGCTAATGGGGGGCGCCGAGTGCCAGCACGTTCCCGCCTTGGAGAGCCCTAAGAGGGCCCTATTGGAGAGCCCTAGAGGCCGGCGGCGGACGCTCTGCGCGAGGCCCTGTGAGATGCCCTGGCAGTGGCGCAAGAAGGGCGCATCTCCGGCACGCCGCAAAGCAAATCCTGGGGAGTTGCTGCTTTGTACAGCAACGATGTGCAGCAGCCGCTGGCTCGCCGTCCGGCACAGGCAGGCTGGGCTCCAGCCAGGCACCGCAGGTACCGGTACGGCCATCAGCCGCGTTGCTCCGCGCACGCCCCCGCCCTTGCCCAACTGAGGAGACCTCTGCCCGCCGGCGCACGGTCCAGCAGCTTGCGCATACCCCTTTCGAGGTAGCGGTACGCGCTTGCACCCAAAAAGGCTCCGAGCGTGCTGTGCGGTTGCGCTGCTGCCACCTGCCGCTGCGAAAGTTCGCCTTAGATCCACACCCCCCCTGCCCGACTCGGACGACGTTCAACTTACACATAAAAATCCCCAGAACCACCACCAAAGCCGCCACTGGAAGAGACCCTTTTTGCTTTTTTGCTCGCGTAAAAGACCCTTTTATCTAGCTTTCCCGCACTGCGTTTCTGGTATTCTGCATTGTCGTGATCCGAGAAACCTCAAGTCGTCCACATCATCTGTCGTGCTGGAGGTGTCATCACTGCTTCGCTGCGCTCCTCCAACACACTCTCAGCCCTTCCGTCTCTCGCTGCGGTTTCCCTCCTACTGGCTTTTGCTGGCTTCCTGCGATCGAGGATATCCCAACAAGAAGAAGGAGGGCCATTTCTCAACTCTCCAAGGACCGAAAAGACGCACGAACCCCCAAATTATCCCCATCGTCTTACGTCTTCGCATCGAAAAGGCCCCTCCAAAGCCCTTCCCTCTCCACTTACTCTAGATTCAGAGTCGTTACATACAGGATCCCACTAGTCTCGGCGCCACACCCAGACTAAATTTTCGTTCGATTTATTATATACTTTTTTTTTTCCCTCGACTAGGCGCGGCCGTATTTATAGATGGCCACCCTCCCCGGTTTTGAGCGCCGACGACCTTCGGTGCTCGATTCTGCTGCTTCCAACCCCTTCAAGGGCTCGAGTATGGCTCGCGCAATCTCCCCGCCCTCCGAGACAGCTTCGCGATCCTCCTTCTCGTCGGTGCGAGAGAACGACGATGGCTTTGCCCAGACCTTCACCCGATCCAAGATCTCGTCCTACACCGAGGCGCCAGAGGAGGTGATTGTCGACGAATCGCCAGTGGCCGAGCTCCCTCAGCCCGCCTTCCAGCCACCTCTGACGCAGCCAAACAGCAGACTGCATGGATTCTGGTATCCTGCCGACGGTTTCAAAGGATGGCGGGAGATTCCTCTCAAGGGAAAGCTCGCCAGTCGAAGCTGCGAGAATTTGCACAGGCTGCACATGACATGGGACACACCGACCCCAGCCATTGTCGAGAAGCCTCACGAAACCTATCCGACTACTGCATCACCTCTGGAGAGACTACCGAGCGAAGTATTGAGTAAGTACTTTATTGGAAAGGGTCCTGTTTGATGAAAGGGGTTTTTTTTTTTTCTCTTTTTTCTTTTCGAGAAAAAAAAGAAAAAAGAAAACACAAAGTTTCTGAGCCTGCATGCTAACCGTCATTTCCTCTACTACAGGCACAATCGTCGACCTTCTATTCATTGAGCTCCCGCCTAATGGATTGACTACTCGAAATGCCGACCTCATGTCGCTCTTACTCACCTCTCGATCTCTTCACGCTGCTACTCTCACCACTCTCTACAGACACATCACCATTCCCCACTCACGAATCTTCCGCAAGTTTCTCGCCACCATTACGGAATATCCATCCCTGGCCACAATCGTCCGCCGCTTGGATTTCAGTCACTTCAACCCCTCCATGTTCTTCAGCACTGCCAGCGAGAGAGCCCAGGCTCGCAATCTGACGTCAGAGACCCTCGCTCAGTGTCTCAAGCTGACTCCTTACCTCCGAGAATTCTTGGCTCAAGAGTACGTCGACGATGATCTTAGCGGCGATGTTCTGCGCCAGCTGCTCTTCCATTCTCCTCAGCTTCAAGGGCTAGACTTTTGCGGCTGCTCTTCCGTCTCTTTCAAGAACTCCTTCTCCAGCATCTTGGAAGACGAGTGGCCCGAGACACTTACCGTCACCAAGCTTTCTTTCCACAAGTGTCTCAGCCTGCCATCTGCTGTCTTTGAGAAGATTCTGCCTCGGTTGCCTGGACTGACTCATTTGGACGTTGCCGCGACGCGCATTACCGACCAGGCCCTTCTCTCCATCCCTACATCCGCGAGACTAACTCACCTCAATCTCGCCAAATGCAAAGAACTGTCTGCAGAGGCCGTTCTTCAATTCATCTCATTCCATCCTGCAGCCCAGTCGTTGGTATTCCTCAGTCTCGCCACTGATCCAAGCAACCACCTGTTGCTGGGCAAGTCTGATGTTGACCAACTTCTACCGAAGCTGCCGGCTACTCTGCGCTCGCTGAGCCTACGCGGTAGCCGAATGGACTCGTCAAACCTGCCGGAGCTCATTAGACTCTCGCAGTCTTTGGAGGAGCTCGCTCTCGGCCGAGGGTTGAGCATGACTGACGTCCACGGGCTGTTTTTCCAAGACAAGACAGCCCTGCCTCACAATTTGAAGTTTATCGATATTTCGGACATTGAAACGATTATCGGCAGTGCCAGCGACCTGCTGGCCCCGGCTTCTGCTCCGCTCCATGTGATTGAAATTGGCGAGCGGTCCTATGAACGGGCCGCCAAAGCCAACAAGAGTCTTGAGCGTGTAGGCTGGACTGCCAAAGAATTCGGCGCTCGCTATTGGCTTGTGCGGAGAAATCCTGACGGCACGACTCAGGACAACGGCGGCCGCCTGTGGAAGATGGGCGCCGAGAGCTGGGGAATGAGAAAGGTCCCCGTTGCCGTCGCCGAAGTCGGAGGCATGTACGGCTCTTTTATGTTTGGACGACGTCTCTAAATGACGCGAACCTTGTTTTCTTATATTTTTCACGGACTTGTTTTTGTCGGTTTTCTAATTTTCTTTTATCCGTTTACGCTTCTACGGGTTGATCGGATCTCTTCTCTTCTTCGTTCTTGTTGTTGACTTTCGCGAAGAGCGTGGTTCATATCATATATCGGACGGTGTTTGGGACTGGAAGGATATCCAAAAGCTTTTTTTTGCTCAGCGTTCAGTTTAGCGAGGGAAAAGACAAAAAAAAAAAGTTAAGGCGTTTATTATCGGATAGCAAAGGGCGCAGGTTGGCCAAGGGGGAACAGGGAACCAAAGCATCATGCCAGGCGATATCCATTATTTAGACCGCGTATTATGCACTATGTATTATTATCATCTCTCGATGCTTTTAGGACTCTTGCGGTCTGATTGCTAATTGAATGAATAAATGAATGAACAATGCCTGTCTCTTCTCCTGTCGTAGAGAGTCTGTCGGTGAGTGGCCCCGGTCTGATGACGGAGTCTGATGCAGTCATATGTGACCGAATTAGGAAATTGAATGCAGGCATCTATCATCAGTTATCAAGTACTACATATACATAATAAGTATAGCAGCTTTAGACGACATCGGATCTTTAACTTTCTTTAAGCTTCCTAATTTGAAATGCCAAGCTCCAAAGTAAAAGCATCTAGTAAAGCTTTCTACTCATTACAGACGCAAAAGGACGCAGTGGAACACAATACCGTCTGGTTTGAAATCTTGATGCGGCCCTAGTTTTGGCTCCGACGGGGGCTCCGTACTTGGTACGCGTAGCTGAAGCCTCCCCAAAAACTTGGAAGATGCCTTTGAGGCTGTGCACGTGACGGACGCAGGTACCTTGAGCCACGGAATAATTCGCGGCGCCGCCCTGGACTATGGCTGGCTCCAACCGCTAAGCGCCTGCTGTGCTTTACTTGCCATCTCCCAAAGAAGCTCTGTCTTCGCCCGTCTCTCTTTATCCCAGTTCGACATCACCCCAATCCTTCGAGCCGAGTGTGTTTTTGGGCGCTTCTGAAGCCGCCAGCGTCGCCATGGCTCCGCGAAAGGACACGCCGTTCCGCTCGGCGGACATGAGCATGGTGCAGCTCTACGTCTCCAACGAAATCGGTCGGGAGGTTGTTACTGCGCTCGGAGAGCTTGGACTGTGCCAGTTCCGCGATGTATATCTTCTCGCCCCCTTGTCTCGCCCCGGTCGCGACGCCGCCGGCCTAGGATCAAGATATCAAGATGCTAACTGATTGTTTTCTGGTGGGATTAGCTCAATGAGGATGTCAGCGCTTTCCAGCGAACCTTTACTCAGGAGATTCGCCGTCTCGATAATGTGGAGCGACAACTGCGTACGTCACCGACGACATGATTCTCACCACCCACTCGACCGCGTTTCCGACTAACGAATCAACTCTCTTAGGCTACTTTTATACCCAGATGGAAAAGGCTGGAATTACTCTGCGAAAGCTGGATCTTGATGCCGAGAAGCTTGCGTCCCCATCGACGTCGGAAATCGACGAGCTTGCTGAGCGATCTCAGAAGCTTGAGCAGCGCATCTCTGCCCTCAACGACAGTTATGAGACGTTGAAAAAGCGCGAGGGTGATCTCACCGAGTGGCGCTGGGTTCTGCGAGAGGCCGGAAGCTTCTTCGATCGCGCTCACGGCAATGTCGATGAGATCCGTGCGTCGACCGACAACGACGATGCGCCTCTTTTATCCGACATGGAGCAGCACAACACTGCGCCTGACGTGGAGCGCTCATTCTCCGGCATGAACATCGGATTCGTCGCCGGTGTCATCAATAGGGACCGTGTCGCCGCTTTCGAGCGTATCCTCTGGCGAACCCTTCGCGGAAACTTGTACATGAACCAGTCGGAGATCCCGGAGCCGCTGATTGACCCGACCAACAACGAAGCCATCCAGAAGAACGTCTTTGTCATCTTCGCCCACGGCAAGGAGATTCTCAACAAGATCCGCAAAATCTCCGAGTCCATGGGCGCCGATGTTTACAACGTCGACGAGAACAGCGAACTCCGCCGCGACCAGATTCACGAGGTGAACAACCGCCTCGAGGACGTGCAGAATGTCCTCCGAAACACCCAAGCCACGCTGGAGGCGGAGCTCAACCAAATCTCCCAGTCGCTAGCTCCTTGGACGGTTCTCATCGCCAAGGAAAAGGCTGTATACAGCACGCTCAACCTCTTCTCCTACGACTCGGCTCGCCGAACCCTCATCGCCGAAGCATGGTGCCCCACCAATGATATGCCTCTCATCCGGTCTACGCTTCAGGATGTCACCAACCGAGCTGGCTTATCCGTCACTTCCATTGTCAACGAGATTCGAACGAACAAGAAGCCTCCAACCTACCTAAAGACCAACAAGTTCACAGAAGGTTTCCAAACCATTGTCAACGCGTACGGCACAGCCACCTACCAGGAAGTCAACCCTGCTCTGCCGGTCATCGTCACCTTCCCATTCTTGTTCGCTGTCATGTTTGGTGATCTTGGACATGCCTTTATTATGCTTGCTGCCGCTTTGGCTATGATCTATTGGGAGAAATCGCTCAAGAAAGTCTCATTCGAGCTCTTTGCCATGATATTTTACGGCCGATATATCGCTTTGGTCATGGCTGTCTTCTCAGTTTTCACTGGTCTCATGTACAACGACGTCTTCTCCAAGTCCATGACCCTCTGGGACAGCGCATGGGAGTACGAACGTCCCGATAACTGGAAGCAGGGTGATACAGTTACTGCTGTCCTCAACAGCAATGGTAACCGCTATCCCTTTGGCCTCGACTGGGCTTGGCACGGTACCGAGAACAACCTCCTCTTTACCAACAGTTACAAGATGAAGATGAGTATCATCCTTGGTTGGGCACACATGACCTATTCGCTGTGTTTTGCCTACATCAACGCCCGACACTTCAAGAAACCCATTGATATCTGGGGCAACTTCATCCCCGGCATGATCTTTTTCCAATCCATCTTTGGCTATCTCGTGGTGTGTATCATCTACAAGTGGTCTGTTGACTGGCCAGCTGTTGGAAGGAACCCTCCTGGTCTTCTGAACATGCTAATCTACATGTTCTTGCAGCCAGGAAAGCTGGATGAGCGTTTGTATGCTGGGCAGGAGTATGTTCAGACTATCCTTCTGCTTCTGGCTTTTGCCCAAGTACCCATCCTGCTCTTCCTCAAGCCCTTCTACCTTCGCTGGGAAAACAGCCATGCCCGTGCTCGAGGCTACCGCGGTATCGGCGAGACTTCCCGGGTTAGCGCTCTAGACGGTGATGACGAGAGCGAGGCACTCGTCGGCGGACACGGCAATAGCTTTGACGAGGACGAAGGCGTTGCTATGATTTCTCAGAACATTGATGAGGAGCACGAGGAATTCGAGTTCAGCGAAGTCATGATTCACCAAATCATCCACACTATTGGTAAGCAACAAACCCCGGTTCAACCTGAAGGAATTGTTTGCTCTGGCCCGTTCTCTTCCTGAACAATGCTAATGTATCACTTTCATCTAGAATTCTGCCTGAACTGTGTCTCTCACACCGCGTCTTACTTGCGTCTTTGGGCCTTGTCACTTGCGCATCAGCAGCTCAGCGTTGTGCTTTGGGATATGACGATCGGCCCCTGCTTGACAAGACCAGGTTTGCTTGGCGTTATCATGATTGTCATTGGCTTTTACTTGTGGTTCTTCCTTAGTAAGTGGCATATGCATACTATTCCCTTTAACCTGAATGCAGTACTAACAGCTCTGCTAGCAATTGCCATTTTGGTTTGTATGGAGGGTACCAGTGCCATGTTGCACTCTCTCCGACTGGCGTGGGTTGAGTCCTTCTCCAAGTTTGCAGAGTTTGCGGGTTGGCCTTTTGCGCCGTTTGCTTTCAACACGCTGATAGAAGAGTCGGAGGAGCTGAAGAATTATCTGGAGTAAGCGGACAAGGGAAGCTGTGTCTTTATCTGTGGTATTAATGTTACTTTTCCTTTTATCCTCTTTTTGTTTCCTTTTCCAACTATGTAGTAGACTCGAGTAGTGCGCTGATAACGGCCCACTACCCTTTGTATGATTATATTTTTGCATGTCTTTCTTTACACATCGACTCATACATGCACTCTATGCAAAAGTAGAAATAGTAGAATGTAAAAAAAGGAAACACAATGGCATACTTTGCTGATCTGCTATCACCACTATAAACGTAAACAATCTACTTGGTTAAAAAAAAAAACGAGTTTCCTGTATTTGTAAATTACATCTTGGGGGGTTCCTTTTTCTCTCTCTTCAACGCTGGTGTATGTTATCCATCTAAGAATCGTATTCGTCCCCCTTTGACTTGCTCCGGCTCTGGGTCAATAAATGTTCAAAAGCTCCATATCCCGATATTGCCCCCTTTTACCCTCCCCCGTAGTGATTATATATCCTTTCATCCTTGAGATTTCTTCATTCTTTTCATCCCCACAGCGGAGCGGTAACTTCGACTGCTCGCTCCACCACCGCGCGGACTCTGTCTGCAAACACCTTGTTGTTGCATTCTACCTCCAGGTCTTCCAGCCATATCGTCGCGGTCATCTTGTCTACCTTGATGGATATGCCGGGGACGGGGATACCGAGTTTGTGAAGGCGGGCGATTTCCTTGAGTTGTCGCTCCTGGAGCTGCTGTTTGGCTTCGTCTTCATCTTCGGTCGATTTCTTGTCGTCAATGTCCATGTCTTCTGCTTTCGTGTCAGTGCCGTCGTCGGCATGCTTTTGTTCTTCTCCCTCGGGGTTTTCTGATTTCACGGCTTCCTCATCTTCCTCTTCCTTCTTCTGATCTTCTTCCTTTGGAGAAGCTTCTGGTAGTGGCGGAAGTTTGGGGTCCTCCACGGGGGCGACGTTATCGGCACCAAACTGAGCTTCCAGGAACCACATGAGCCGTTCAAGTCGGTCTTCAGGGGAGATGTGAGCGTGTGGGTTTTTGCTATCGGGCTGGGCGGCGTAGATGCCGTCATCGGGCTCGCCGTGAGAGTGCGAGTGTTTGCTGTTGGCAGAGGAGCGTTTGACTGCGGCGGGGGAGCTCTCGACGGAGAATAAGACGGCCATGACGGAGTCGGCGATGCCGTCGTTGAGCATGTTGCCTTCCCACTCCAGTTCTACCTCGCCGTTGGTGCGATAACGGACAGAGACGCAACCCATCACGAGGTAGGCTGCTACCAGGTTGGCAACCTCCTCGTCTGCATCTTCGGCCATCTTCTCATCTTCGCCGTCCATGACTACGTCCTGCTTGGAGTTCTTGATGCGACGCATCTCGGGGAGCTCTTCGATAGCACCAAAAGTCCCCTCCAGCGCCCAGCGGACGAGATCTACGCCCGCAGCACTCAGTGTGAGACGTTGCTTACAGGTGATGGTCGTGGTGTTGAGGCCAGCGTATTCACGCAGGTCCTCAGGAGCCATGAGTGAGAGCTTGAAGTCGTTCTGGACAAGCACGCCGGTTACGAGAGGCGCAGATGCACCAATGTCCTGTGGAGGTGAGATGGAGGCCAGTTTACCGACGACTTTGGCAGTCTTGTCGGCTTTGAAAGGGATGCGTAGCTCCTCGCAGTTGCGGGGAGAGTAAACTTTGACCTTTGTAGTTTTGCTGGCGTTGAGGGAGAGGAGCTTGGACTTGAGACGCATCATGTTATGCTGCTCGCCGTGAACAAGAATCTATCTTTCGTGTTAGTCACAAGTCGCTCACTTCTAAACGCTTATTAGGGAAAGGTATAACATACGACAACAGGTGCGGCAACCTCTTCAATAAACTCTCTGTTCTCTACACCATCAACATGAGCGGCGAAAGAGTACTCCTGGACGCTGCAGCGCCGGGGAATAAGCACTTTCTCCGAATCTGCTCCTGGCCCGCGGCGCGCGCCCGCTATGCTTCGAGACATGACGGCCTGGATCTGATCCGGCTCTTGCATAATCTGCCGGGCCATGGTGCCCTCGACACTGTAACCGGTGATGATGACGCCGTTCTTCTCGCTGGGGGCCCAGCGCTCAAAGAGCTCTCTGCTCACTCCGTTTTGCAGCATACCCGGACTGGCGAGCATGACGCAGCCGCCAACATCATCGAAGCGGTCCAGGTTTTTGAGAGAGCGGATATATTTGAAGTCCCAAGGTCCATTCTTGCCGGCTCCGTCGCCGCTGGCCTCGGCCTCGGCCATGCGTTCTCGGAATAATCGTTTAATGTTGTCGTTCATGGCACCGACGTATGTCTGGTAGATAACCATACACTTTCTGGCAAGGTTACTGGCGTAATAGATGGGGAATTTTTGGAACTCGGTGTGTTTACCCCAGTACTCATCCAGAATCAGGAGAAGTTCCTGAGCTCGTCCCAGGGCGAACACCGGCAGCAGCGCTCGGCCGCCTCTGTTGAGGATTCCTGTGATGGACTTCATGAGAGCCTGCTCTCGCTCAACACGCGGCACATGCGACGCTATGCCATATGTCGACTCGGTGATGAGAACGTCAATCTTGAGTCCCTTGGGCACCTCTGCCGAGACGAGATGTCGATCCTGCTCGCGCGAATAGTCGCCGGTGAAGAAGATGTTGAGGCCGGCAATCTCGATGAGGAACATGGCTGCTCCTAGAACGTGGCCTGCCGGATAAGGAGTGATTCGGATGGAAGAGATGGTGTGAGTGGTGTGGTAGTCAATGGCTTCGATTTGCGGAAACGTGTTGAGGTGGTCTTGTTCCGTGTAGAGCTGGGTCGCCGAGTTTGACGCCGTGTTCGCTACACGGACGCTGTCTTGGATGAGCCATTTGTAGATGGCCTTGGTAGGATGCGTCATGAAGACACGGCCGCGAAAGTTGGTCTTGGCTAGGACATATGGCAGCGAAGCCGCGTGATCAATGTGGAAACTAATCGCCACGGGTTAGCCAAAGATTTCGAGACGTCGTAGAGGCTTCCTCGCTCTGAGGCAGCAGCAGGTCGAATTGGATTCGGTATATCACAAGGCAATAGAGATGAATCTCGGGCAAGACTGAGAACGGGCGAAGAACATATTGTATTCATAGCTGGCATACAAGTGGATAAGAGAGACATAGACAATTGAAGAGAGAAACTGCATCAGGGCACACGCCGCGGCCCTTTTTCCTTCGCAAGAGTACCAACTCGTCCTTCGCCTATAGCCTGGCTTTTTTTTTCTTTTCTTTTTTTGTCTTCGATAGATGCAGGAAGATGGGGGGAGTGTGCATGGGATATATCGCTTACTGGCTGATGAGGAGCACATCTACGGTGCTGAGATCGAAGTCATCATAGAATGGAAGCGCTGCGAGGCCATCGTATGCAGGGTGCTGGCCGGCATCAAGCTAGACGTGGCAGATAAACAATTAGCCGGGGGCACACGGCAGCTTCGAGGGCGTCTCGGGATTTCCTCACCATGACCGTTTTGCCCTTGTATTGGATGATATGGCACGACCGTCCGACTTCATTGCCGCCTCCAAGACAGAGAAACATGAGCTCGTCAGAGGGGTCTACTGGCTCGTCTTGGGCGGCTGCATTCATCGCCGACGCCTTCCGCTTGGATGCCATGTCGCGCTGTGGTCAAATATATCTGCCTAGAAGGGGGAAAAAGATGGGCAGTAATTCACATCAGCACGGAGAGAGGAAGCTTCAATCTTTGGTTATCCTAATAGTAGAGAGTGAGCTTCAGTTCAGTTCAGTTCAGTTCAGCGCCAACGGCCTCGACCCGCTGCGCAAAGGACGCAACAATAGCCGGATGGGTATCCTCAAGGAGAGTCTCGGCGGCAACGTGAAGTTTGAAGCTATTCATGGCGGCATCAATTGGCCTGCAGCGAATAAAGACAATAGCAGCGGCTAAAGCCCGGGTAGCGACGCGTGGTTGGCTGCGAAGCTCCGGTGCACGTGACTTTAAATTTACGCGATCCCCAACCTCTGCTGCGAAGCTTCAACTTCATACAGATCGCCTCCAGATCTCCGGCTCTTTAACGACGACCGCACGAAGCGCATTTCCATCTCCGAGCCCCCCGAAATCGTATCCCCAGGAGCCCGTCCCTTTTCCAGCAAAGCAAATCCGTATTCCGCTCGGGAGACTGGTGCCGATTTCGCGCGTCGGATGGGACGAGGTACGGTGACGGTGATAGGCTTCGCTGCCTGTTGAGTGCCTCGATTGCCGCAGCCGCCATCGCCCACCCCGGCTTTCGTTTGCTTCGAGGGACAGATTTGCCGAATTTGCTGCTCCTGGGACATTCGTTTGATTTCATTTCATTGCCAGCACAGCAGACACCATGGCGCAACCACAGCCGCAGCAACAGCCTCCGCCGTCGCAGGTTCCACAGCGGGCATTTTCGCCTCCTCAGCCAAGCCCATCGCCCGCAACCTCGTCACAGTCGGGCTTTGCGCTGCCTCCCAACAAACGAATCCGAACAGATGGCCCAATGTCACAGCCTGGATCGCCGTATGCTGCTTCGCCATACACCATGAGCCCGGTGCCTGCGGCTACTCCCCCGCCTCCAGCTGGATCACCGACGTATCCTCAAGCCCATGCGCAAACACCGACTGCCACAGCTGGGTATCCTATGCCGTACACCAATGGCCATCCTCCACAAGGCTTGAGTCTTCCAGCTGCCTCACCAACTGTATCAACGCCCACTATGCATACACCCCAGCCAGCTCAGATACAGACACCGGTGCAGATGCAGACACCGGTGCAGATGCAAACACCAATGCAGATGCAGACACCGATGCAAGCCCCGATGCAAGCTCCGATGCAAGCTCCGATGCAAGCTCCGATGCAAACACAGTCACCGATGCATGTGCCAATGCCAGGACCAGTGCAAACCCCAGTTCCACTACCGACTCCGATCACAATGTCCCAATATACGAACGCAACAATGCAGCCCATGCCACAAGTAGCCCCTCATCAAATGCAGACTCCTGGCGTGATGGGCCCTCCTCAGAAACCAGCAGAAAGGCCGACGAAGGACTACGAGTATGACGTGACCGATTCATTGGCCGGTACGGGCATCGATCTCCGGGCAGAGGAGCAGTATATGGCAGAGCTTTACTCGAATGCACTCGAGACAATATCAGAGGCCAGGACGGGATTTGCCCATTATCCATCGGGCTCAAAGTCTACGTTTTACGGCGCTGGCCCTGCCAATCAACCTGCTCAGCCTACGGATCTGTCACAACAGCAGTACAGTGCTCAGGCCGCTGAGCAGGCATGGCAGGATTCATCAATGCGGCTTGCTGTACAGAGAACCCAAGAAATCAATGATCCTTTTCTTCTCGTGGCACTGCTGCATCGCCGAGCGGAAAAGGTTGCCCGTGAACACCACCTCGGTCTTAACCTTGAGCTCAAGAACAACACTCACTCTATGGGGAAGATGAAGCTGCCGGAGAACTTTGCGGCGCCCAAAGTTACCGTCAAGACACAGCCGGGGCCGGATGGCACTGTAGTGGAAACTAGCGGTTCTTTCATTCCACAAGACGCCTATCTAGTGGACCAGCTCGCTCTGATGTCGATAGCAACGAAACAGAGACTACGTGAGTTGATTGAAGACGCAAATATCATCTCAAGAACACGGCAAAAGACGTCTCATGGAGAAGTACCTCTAGAGTGGGCAGCTGCAGCCGCTCCAATGAACGCGGAGCCGTTGGAGCCCATGGAAAAGGCTACCGATGCGAACGGGACTGGAATAGACACCGAGACTGGCAGCGGTACCAGTCCTTTGAAGCGTAAGCTCACTAACGCTTCCATGCCTTGCTCGTAAATATCATCCACTTACACTTTGCAGGTCCTGCCGACACAAGTGATACGGCCGTCAAACAGCCGCCCGCAAAGTTGCCCAAGATTGCCTCTTATGCAACGCTAACAATGCGAGATTTGGCCAGGCAAGAGCGCGAATGGGAAGAGGCTCGGCTGCGTAGACGTCAGATGCGCAAAGACGGCATCACTGATGCAGGCGCTTCAGCTTCGCGATCGGGAAGCGTAGCACCTGGCACGCCCGGATCAGTAGCCCCAGAGACGGAAAAGGCGATGACGAAGAAGGAGTTGAAGAAGACGCAGCAAATGAAAGCTCAAGAAGCCAATAGTCATGCAAACCAGAACATTACCAGCAGCATGTTTGCAGGATTAGGAGGCAAGAGTGGCCTCTTTGGCAAGAAGAAGGCAAAGTCGTACGACTGGATGAACGTTGGCCGAGGTGGAAGCGGAACCAGTACCCCGACAAGAGCCGCCCCAGGACCAGGCAAAGGCCCAAACGGCGTGCCCAGTGTAACGGCTTCTGGCAACATGGCGTTGACTACGGAAGGCCGAAACAGACTGGGAACGTGGCGAGAGGACAAGGAAAAGGGGAAGAATATCCAGCTGCGTGACTGGATCGCTGTGCTAGAAAGGGATGGCCGAGAAGCCAAGGCGTTGCAACACGCTTATATACATTTGGACAGTTCGAATCCTAAATAATACAATAATGATGACGGCGGCGGGGACCAGAGGGGGGCGCCTGAGGGAGTGGAAATCCAGAAACAAATGGGCGGGCTCAGTGATAGTTGAAATACCCAGTTAGCTAACAGCGATGATCGACGAAGAAAAATAGACGGTGGGCTTTCTGAAAGAAGAAGTCTGGTTTGTTTTTTTGGGGGAACTGCGTCTTCTTTTTTTCCCTTTTTTTCCCTTTTTTTCCCTTTTTTTTTTTCTTCCCTTGCCAACGTGCATATTATCTGAATGAATGGATGGGCTAAAAGGATGGGATGAAATGTGCCCTTATTTACAGGCATGTGATTATGGTTTTTATGGTTCTAGGACGCGGTATTTGAAAGCTAGCCAGTTACTTTGGACCGGGACAGGAAGCAGAGTCGATGAGATATATAGCGAAGTATGACAAGAGTGCTTCCGAATAGACGGGCTCTAGCTTTGAAACGTTTGATGAGTCGTGAAGATGAATTGTGTGCAATTCCAAAAGGGCAGCCAACTTTGCAGTTTACGAATCGGGTGGATTGTGTCAAGGCCATAAACGGGCCCTTTCATCAACTTGTATAATATTACTGCTGTGGCTTTTATCTTGCCAATAGAGGATTATTCGCCTCTCTCATTACATTAGCCAAGCTTCTTCATTCAGTGCCAAGGTTGGAGTAAAATACAAAAAGTCTTGCGCGAAACACATGCCATATTATCAAAAAAGAAAAAAACTCCCAAGAAGCAATGAATTCGGTCAATTTCGTTCATCTCCCTTGTGCATAAGCCCCCTGTCTTCCGGCACATCATCCTCCTCGTCACTCTCCGGGATATCATCCAAGGCAAAGTATGCCGCCGAAGACTCTGGTGTCTCCTTGTAGCCCGAATCTCGAGCCAGGGAGCGGCGTCTCGCCAGAAAGGACCATCCGCCCACGCCCAACAGCTCAAGCAAAATCAAGACTCCAATCATGACGGTGCCGAATTTGCTAAAGCCGTACAGCACAAGGCCGCTTATCACGTTTGCCCAGCCGGCCAGGAGAATCACAAAGCCGAGATATACGTGCGTGTAGGAGATCCACGTGCGGCGGAAGATGCGTATAAAGTCCATGTGGTGCCGCCAGCCGAGCACGGCTTGGACGAGCAGCAGCGAGAAGATGACGACGCCGGCGATTTGGTGAGGCGAGCCAAAGACTCTGTCGCTCATGATGATGGCGAGGACTGCGCCGCTAAAGGCGGAGACGAGGCCGGCGACTTGGATGACCCAGTGGAAGCGGAACGACTTGTCCGATCCGGAGCGGATGGCCACGGCACCGGCGGGGAACAAGACCAAGAAGGCGGCCATCATGAAGAAGCCGTGGAGATGGGCCAGAGGCCGCGACATGAGCTTCTGCCACAGCCCCGTCTTGGACTCCTCCATGGGCCGGTCAGACGTGCCAATGTTGGAGTTTTCGCCGGCAAGGACAATGGCCGGAGGACCGCTGGCCTTGTGCGACGTCGCCGCCTCCATGTCGACGTAGAAGTGGCCGTAGCCGTCAATGAGCGTGTGCATCTCCAGCTGCTGGTCCGGCAAGAAGCTCCTCATGTGCTGCTGCTTGTTCCACGCCCAGATCCACGGCTGCGAGGCCGTCTCGGGGGAGATTTCCGTGCCCGGCCACTTGGAGCAGGCGTAGCAGACGATGGACGCCGAAGCCACGTACATGTCGCTCTCGCCATCTGCGGCCCTGGTCCATTTCGTCTCGGAGATGCGCACGTCCAGGTCCTTGGGGGCTTCGTCCTGGGCGATGAGCTGCGGCAGTGCGTGGCCCTTTGTGACGGTCCGCACGCTGAGCGTTGGGCGGGCAGCAGCACCATCGGGCGCTTCGGGATCGCCATAGAGGACAAACATGAGGGATCCGGCCATCTGGGGGCCTGCGCCAATGGCGGTCCATCCCAGTGCGTGGGAGCCGTTGGAAGCAGCTCGCCTCAGGGCAAATGAGAGGTGGACATCGTGAGCCTCGGTCGAGTGGTTGTGGTAGAGCGAGACGGCCATGCAGAAGTCGACTTCATTGCGGGGGAGGCCGAAGAGGCAGTACTGCGAGGGCGTAGCTGAGACGACGGCCAAGAGAAGGAAGATGGAATGAAGCAGCAGCGAGAACATGGTGGACAGGCAACGATGGAAGTTGTCGCGAGTATGTCGCTTGATGAGCGCAATATCGCCTATAAGAAACAGCTACAGGTAATTGTAATAACAAACAATAGCACCAATTGAGCAAGACGAGCGGAATGAAAAAAAAGTATCCTCACAGCTCCATCATGATGGAAGAATCACCGTCTGATGGATGTTTCTCCGCAATCAGGTCATACGAAAAAGACAGGCTGATGGATGCGGAGAGATGAATAAAGACGAGGCTTGGACTAAGGTTTTTGCCATGCCTCACGTATGGACTGTGGCTTGTTTTTTTTTTTTTATGGCTGCAATGAGGGGCTATGGATTCGGGGTATCGTGTCCTGTCGTAAGCGTGCTACCCCATTATGCAAGATGACAGTGTAACGATGGGGAAATTCAGCAAAGATATAGGCATGATGACTCTTGTATTCTAGGGTTATTAATTGATAAATTGAGACTGGCTGATGCATCACGACTAGAGGAATCTCACGTGCCCAGATCCAGAGCATTACCCAAGCACACGTGCGATTTGCACAAAGCACATGTGCCTCGATTATGCAATGACACGGCGAGATTGCGCCAATTAAGAATATCAACACATAGCTTCATCTCGTCTTTATGAAATCCCATTCGCAGCTCTCACTACAACTACTCACAGCGTCAATCAACCAATCATCTGTTATTTATCCAAACCAGTACTACTTACTGTATATCCTTCATCCTCATCCATCATCCAAACTAGCCGTGTCAATCAATCGGGTATAGGCACCACAAGCAATGGCCATCGCAGTACGTCTTCAACACTGCATCTTTCCCTTACAGCAAAGACATTACAAAAGAGCCCCTGCTAACTCATCGACGGCTTAATTCACGCTCGTCTAGGCGGTCGGCCAGATTTGCTCCACCGGGTCAATCACCGCAAATCTAAACCAGTGTGTGAGATTGGTTGCCAAGGCGGCCCTCGGAGGAGCTCAAGTATGGCCTCTCTCTCCCTCTCTCTCTCTAGAAAAACTCTCTTATATATACCCCGTGTTTACTCCTGTCTCCGCAATACCACGCCGACAAAAATGATACTACTGCTACACCCATCCCTTTGTTTGACAACAATCTCGTCTCAGATGCTGAGACTCTGGTGAGACTCTGTCTCCGATCGCGATGCTCTGCAAGGGGAGATTGCTTGGTAGTCTTACCTTGCCCAGTAGTTCTGGGGGGGCGAGGAATGTTGGGCTTATAGCTGGGACGAGAGAGCCGGAAAAGTTGCCGCTGGCCTCATCCTACTCTGCGTCATCCCCATTCCCTCCAACTACTAGCTCATCATCTTCAGATCATCTTCAGATAACCAAGCTGACATCTACGATTCGCCTCTACCTGGCCTGAGCCAAGCTGACGATCAAATGCCGTTCAGGTTCTCTTTCTCCCAGAAGCATCAGACTACATCGCTGCCAATGCTCAGGCTTCACTAGATCTAGCCGTCCCGCAAGCGTCTTCTCCGTTTGTCCAAGGCCTCCGAGCCGCCGCCAAGGCCCACTCCATTGCCGTCCATGTCGGCATCCACGATACCGTGTTGGGTCAGGAGGCCGGCCAGCCAACGCGCAAGATCCTGAACCGGGCGTTGTATATCAACTCAGACGGCGTGATCCAGGACTCGGCCACGTACGACAAGCTGCACGTATTTGACTATGGAGCCCTCCGGGAGAGCGCCACCGTCCAGCCAGGCACAAGGTTCGCGGCTCCGGTTGACTCTCCCGTCGGCAGGATAGGCAGCCTAATCTGCTTTGACCTGCGCTTCCCCGAAACAGCCCTCGCCCTCGCCCAGCCCGGTCGCAACAGTCCCTGGGCTGCCCGTCCGGCGCAAGTCATTACGTATCCCAGTGCGTTTACGCTGCGTACGGGAGAGGCTCACTGGGAGACGTTGCTCCGGGCTCGCGCCATCGAGACGCAGAGCTACGTGGTCGCAGCAGCCCAGGTCGGCCGCCACAATGAGAAGCGAGCCAGCTACGGCCGCAGCATGGTTGTTGATCCATGGGGCAAAGTGCTGCTCTGCCTCAAGGGCGTGGCGGATGCGCAAGGCAACGCGGAAGACGGGGCCGTGGAGGAGGTTGGCTTCGTGGACATTGACCTGGACGAGCTGGAGCGAGTGCGCAGGGAGATGCCGCTGCAGCGACGAACGTGAGTCGGCTCCCTTTACCGAAGTGCATACAGTATTTGTACAGGCAGTTGGGCTGACAACCAGAGCGTGCTAGCGATGTTTATCCCGAGCTTACCGTCGTCTAATCCTAATAACAAGCGGTTGGATGGAAGCAAGGCATCAGCGAATCCCGCAGGCTATAGTAGCTATTCCAGGACAAGGTTGTAGTTGGCCGTGGCAACGTTGTCGAAGCGCAAGCAGTAAGTGAGATGATGATCCGTCGTCTGTGCGACGCGGCACACGGCAGGATCCTGAGTCACAGCATCTCGGCCTGATGTACGGAGTAATACCGACAAGATGTTGCTCGTGCACATGTACAAGCAAAGAAAGAGGCTCAGCCAGGGGCGTGTGTGTAGCCAACAGCACACGCTACCTACGTACCCATCTACACCTACACGAGATGCAGCCACTGGAGCCGCTGCGCCTAACATCAACACTAGCCGTACAGTAGCAACAAGTAACACGATAATAGTAGCTCGTTAAGCGGAAAGGGAATCAGAAGCCGTCCGTGAACTTTGCAGCCGTTGGCGCACAAGCGAGGGCATCTGATACGTCCGATCTGGAGTCTCTCCCCAATTGTGCGACAAGGATTGCCGGGGGCCAAAAGTGACTTGTAAAAAAAAAAAAGAAGAGGAAAAAAACAGCGGCTATGCAGCGAGTCAAATCCCGAGTCCCGTCTACGCAAATGTGAAACCGAAACCTGTTGGGGGGGATGGAGACTTACAAAACAGAAAGAAAAAAAATGGGTAAAAGGACGAGAGAGGCGTTTTGACGAAAATCTGAGCTGTCATGTCTCTGGTGGCCTGTTCCTTGTTAAACCGCTGCCCTGCCCTCGGTGAATTGGAGTCAAACTCAAAGTGGCCTTGCAAAGCACTAAATTATTGACTTTCTTTTTTTTTTTTTTTTTCCCCTTCCGTTCTCTCTGTTATTTCGTTTACATTATAAATAGATATTACATTTCTTATTCTACTGCATTCACGGCCTGAGTTCTGCGCTCAACGGTCCAAAGCAACCGGTGAAATTATGCAGCATTGCGATACAAGTGAAGCTTGAACGCTATTTGCATGCATTGGTACTTGTGTAGGCGTCGGCAAACTCCAAAACTTTCTCAAAACAACTGCATTTCTCGCTTCCAGCCACCTTGTTTGCAAGCGTTAACAAAGACACAGCGCAGAGAGCATAATAGATGATTGAATGTTTCACGCTTTTTTACTACGCGGTGCATATTATATCCATAAAGAGTAGGTATATTTAGTTACTTCTGTGTCATAATAGATGGCCGTTGCAATCTCATACATGCATGCATGGTTTTACATCTATACACTCACATTCAAAAGACGTCCCGAGACAAAAACGGCAACATCTTGCGTTGATGCAATTTTGCATGGCGTTGCATTGCATCTCGTTTCTTTTCCCTTTTTTTTCTTCTCTCTCTCACACACACAAAAAAAGACATGCGCCCCACACAATCACACACACACACCCCCCAATCTATCTTGCATCAGAAATCGCCCATCGTGCAGTTGCATCCTGGAGAACTAGAGCCCTTTTTTGAACCAATAGCTTGCATTGGACCTGCAAGATGTGCTTTCCCGGATCCCGGAAGAAAGCTTCCTCTTTTTATCATTTCTGTTCTTTTTTTTTTTTACTCTCTCTCTTTTTTTTTTTTATCCGAACCTAACAAGAATTGTGAACCAAGAAGCAAAAAGAAAAGAAAATCCAACTGGCCATTAGTTTTAGTGGTAGCGCCCAACTGACATCAGCTGGACTGCCCAGGTTTCAAAAAAGGAGAGCGGGAAAGCATCAATCACCAACCAAACAGTAGCTCCGATTGGATCCAACCAACTACCTCTCGATTCACATCCGTCATCCCTACAGTGACATCTTGCTCCCTTGAAATCTTCTATCAAAAAGGAAACGGGGAAACCAGCCAAATCAGCCGCGCGGTCTCGCTGGCGCATCACATCAATATCGTGTGTAGCAGTTAGTCTAATAGCCGCCCAATCTGAGGTGGGCTGCCTCTCGCCTCTGGCCTTTTTCCCTTGCCGTAGTGAATCTCGCGTGTTGAAGTCATCCCGTCTGTATGACGCAGTTTAATTGAAAAGCAGGGAGACGATCAAAAAAAATGATATGTGACTAGCACAAAAAAGTAAAGTAAAGAGAGCGAGCGATTAACTCGAGTGAAAATAAACGTAACAAGGCACTTTAAATGTACAAGTAATGCAAAAGAAAAAGTCAAAAATTATACGTAAACGAGAGACAATTGTAAAAGTAAAAGCAGTAAATATTGCTGTGTAGCAAAGTCTATTCTATAATATATCTATCTAGAGTTGTCAAATAAGGGGGTATCCTCAGTAAGCCATCTTTCAGCTCAGACCATGTAAAATTTGCCAACACGGCCCAAAGACTTTTTTCTTTTCTTTTGCCACCCCCGAGATTCATTGTACAATGAAAAATAAAAAGGAAAAAAAAAAGCAAGGGCAGCAACATCTAGGAACCAACAAGATATCCCCGTTGGTCGTGATGCCCAACCTTTCCCCCCCCCCCCCCCCCCCCCCCCGCTTGTGTTTTGCGATGGTAAACAATCTTTCCCTGCGAAGGGAATTGTAAACCGAGAACGAAAAAGAAAATCTTTCCAAAAGAAAAAACAGTCTGGACTGTAGGTCCCAAATAGTCTATATGCAAAAAAATCAATACCCAAATTTCCCATTTTGAAGCCAAAATATTTCCCATCCTTCTTTTTTGCTTTTTCCCCCTTTCAGATGCCAGCATGGTGTGTGTATATGGTATCCCTTGGTGCTGATTATGTAAAAAATCGACGTAGCCAGATTTCGGATGGTGAGCAAGGGATTCCCGGAATGAATGAAGATGCGAGATCGAGATCCAAGACATCAGAAAGTTTATCGAAAGCTCATTCCAGTTCATTTGTTGTCGCCCTTGCCAAGGGTGCGCTGGGGGCAAGAAAAAAAAGGAGAGAAAATGGGGAATTGAATCCCCGCAAGCAAAAAAAGTCCGTCTATGTAGAACGCCAAGTTTTTTGGTGAAAATCCCATGGAAGTAAAAGCAGGTCCCAGATCACACCAATGATCCAAGAGTCAAATCGTGCGAAGCGTTCTTTCGTTGTCGACGGCGAATGGTGTCTGAAAAAAATTCCCGTATTGCAAGTCCACAGTGTGCGAATTAAGAGTAGTATCAAAGTATTATGTGAGGCTCCAATCGCTTGCGACAGAGCCTCGTGGTCGAAGAGTAAGAGAGTGTGGGTAGAGGCGTAAACAGCGTGTTATCCGAAAACCATTTATGTGAAAGATCCGATCAGGTCGCACCCGGTGCTGGCAGACAGCCATTTACTGAGGCTGAGGAGGAGGAGGCTTGGGGAGGCCAGTGGTATCGTAGGCACCACGGCCAAAGTTGGAGGGCATGGAGCAGGACTCGGCGGCCATTGTGAATGCTGGTGTGAAGTTGGAGATCTAAGCAGCAGAGTATTAGTATGGATGGGGAATAGGCAGGGAGACGAGTGAAGAAAGACTTGCATTAAAAAGATCAAGTTAAAGATTGGAGAACCGGGTGTAGATGGGCGTCAAGAGAGCGTCAAGATTGCCAGAGGGCTATTAGATTAAGGCAAGTATGTAGTAGGTAGAGAGGTCGTTATAAGAGCCAAAGGAGTGGACTGGTTTTGTTGTTTTTAGAACGCCGGCGCAGTAATGAGTGGAACTTAAAGGCAAAAGGATGGAAAGGATGGATGATGGTTCTGATCGAAAAAAAAAAGAAGAAACCGAAGCGGGAATCGAGAGGAATTAAAAGCTTCTTGCGAATAGGCGTGGGAATAGGGGCCCTTGAACGAACGGGCAGCTCGTAATTAAACGGGAACCGCCCAAAAGTATGTGTAAGAGTCGTGTCCTAGCAGGAAATCGGATACGCCGCTAATACACGGGTACCTGACACTGGTGTGGATATTTTGGGGTGTGTGCCGTATTCGGTCGATGCAAAGGTGAGCCGCTGCAGGGCTCCTCTTTTTTTTTTTTTTTTGTTGATGTTGTTGTGTGGGGCTGGTAATGAGCGAGAAGAGATGGACTGGGGGAAGGGCAGTTGAGTTTGCGGGTAACGAGATGAATATGAGATTGATCGTTGTAGAGAGAGGCAGAGGCAGTTGTTGCTGCAGAGCGAGGAGCAAGGAAGAGGCGTGAGTGAGTGAGTGAGTGAGTGAGTGAGTGAGTGAGTGAAGAGCATGAGGAAAAGTCAGTCAAGCGAGGGAGAAAGCAGCAGCTTTTTGTATTGAACTCTTCTTTACTATTGATTCTTCTTCAACTCATGCAAACACTGGCTTGAGCAAAAGGGAAAACAACACGCAGCAAGGGCACCAGACACCAGAGCAGAAGCAAAGTACCTTGACTCGCCACATAATTGCCAGCAAAGACGTCAATTCAATCCGGGGAACAAAAAAAAAACAGCTGGAAGGGAAAAAAAGGAGGGAGGGTCCCGTCCATGGATTGGGTTGGGTGGCACCAGCGGTACGTACCTATCCGCGGCAGCAGCTGTCAGAAGGGGGGGTGTTTCTCTCTCTCTCTCTTTTCGTGCTACCCAGAAAAAGGAACGCTCAGAGGCAACAAGAGAAAGATACAAGAGCCCATCCATGGTTGTCTCGTTCCTGGAACAGGTGGAGCTTGGATGACCCTGGCAAATCCATGTTGGCGGTGCGGCGGGTGGGGCCAGCAAGGGAACAAGCTCCGGGGGTCGTGTTTTAGGGCACTACAGGGCATGAGGCCGGCATGGACGTGCTGTAGCGAGCGCTGCAGCGGCTCAACGGCGCTGGGGCCTGGTCGCGGCGATGGCCAGACCCAAAACGCTGGGCTGGTACCTTTGGCTGCTTGTCGCAGGTTCCTGGTTCCTGAGGGAGGCTGTCGCCGGGCTTGAACCTTAATGCCGATGGAGACGAGCCTGGAACCAGCCATTCGTCAATGGCACTGATGCCACATGCAATACTGGAACTCTACTACTACTGTAGCTTTGTGGCCGCCAAGACATGTGCTCTCCACGTAGATGCGTGTGTGCGCTCAGGCACCGTTTTCGACATGAGATGGACGAATGGAGACGGCATGTACCTCCCACATACAGTATGCCATTGATCCAAACTACTGCCTGCTACCTGCAGTCTAGTAGATCCCGAAGCCAGTCCAGCCCAGCCCGGTCCAGTCCTTCGTCCCCATCGCCACCCGCAAATAATGCCAGGCCCGGGCCAAGCACTGACGGCGTGCTTTTCTGGCACCGCGTACCTGGTTGCGTGCCCGCCCGGCCTGGGCTGCGTTTTTCGCCGTGCTGGGAGCCTCATCAGTGGAGCCCAGTCCGCACTGGCACCAGACAGAAGGGCCTGCCTGCCCCTGTCCGTTACTGTATAGTGCTTGTACTGTAGACAGTGATTGATGGACATTGCCAGCGACATGCTCCGTACCGATGGAACAAACAGATGCAGGGTCCTGCAAGGTTTGGTTTGTTCCAGAGCCCTTCCGTCGCGCCGGGATCAGCTCCCCGGGAGCTCTGCTGCTGCTGCTAGTCCGCCGGGGAGCTTAGGGGGATGGAGACTGCTCTCCCGTGACATGACTCTTGACTCTCTTGACTCTTGTCCTTCTTCTTCTGCTCCTCAGTGGCGAGGTGGGCGACGAGGATGCGTTCAGCTTCAGCGTTTAGGGGAAACCTTTTTAGGTCCCGGGGAGGCGGCACGATGATATATTGCACAGTGAAATCCGGAATGTCCCATCCGGAGTGACAACACTTGTCCAGAATTTAATGAGCGGGTGTGCGAGTACGAGCCTTGTATCGTGCCCAGTTGAAAAGGCCCAGCCGCTACTTTAAATTCCCTTCTTTTCCCGTCGTTGCATGCTACCATCTTGCTAGTCCTCTTGCGGGCCTAGATTGATATTGCTGTCCACTCAAATATGACCTAGACGGCTCCTTGTCGTATATTAGGCAGTGGTACCGGCTTTGCACCAGCATCTACCCGAAACGGTAGCTTCTTTTCCGGGTTCTTTTCTCTCTCTCTTTCTGCCCGGAACTCTTCTAGAAGGAGATGCCAGGTGAGGTCACACAAGGCAGCGAACCTGGGCCTGGCATGGCATGGGCCGGGAGCCGAGCATCATCTCCCCATCTTTATGGCTGCGTTGTCAATGCAAACAGGCGACGCCGTGAAAAAAAAAAAGGGATCAAACGATCAACGCCCTATCAGTCGCTCGGTCGGTCGGTCAACGTGCCACGGTGTGTTTTCTCCGTTTGGCTCCTATTCTTAGCAGGGCCAGGCCTATTATCCCGTTGCGAAACAGCGCTCCCCTTGCATTGAGTGAGTGCCGCGTAGTCGGCTTCGGCATGGCATCCGGAGTTACTTTTTTTCTCCCTGTATTTTCTTTTCTTTTTTTCCCTTTTTTTTCTCTTCTTATCTGTTTACAGCACCTGTAAGCCTGCAGCTCCGGGAAGATTGATTGCCTGTCTAGGTAAGATAAACTCGCGTACTCGGACACACATGCCTACGCCACGCCCAGCAAGGGCAATCCATCATCAAACATCTCAGAATAGTAGCTGGACGGGAGTGGCAAGTCACAATGCAAGGGACCGCCGTCATCATCCGCTTATACACTTGAGCGCTGCTGCTATTGTTGCTGTTGTTAGCAGTATTGCCGGCTTGCTGTGCTCCCGTCTCTCCCGCCGATCCCGAGTCATTAAAATCAAGTTTTCAGCGTGGTCTTTGCTTTTCTGCTTCTTGTTTCTTTTTTTTTTTATTGCCGCCATCCATGACTCCATCCGTGTCCCGCGGGAGCGGTTCCGGGCCAACTTCCCAACATGCATGTCTCTCGCTTGCATGCACAAAACGGGAGGCGAGAAGGGAGAAGACGCAGCGGCAGCAGCTGAAGTGCTCTAACCAGGCCTGATCCATGTTAGTGCCAGTAATACAGCGGCAAATTAAGCAGGAAAAAAAAAGGATAAAATAAAACAAGAGTATATTGCATGTAATTAAAAACAACACGACCAAGTGTTAAAACCATACGAGTAAAAAGAAAAGCCAATTGCTGCTAGTTTCGCATAGCTCGGGCTGGTAGCGCCGTCTTACACGCCCCCGGTTCCTTGTTTGTGGCAGCAACGTCGATGCCATGAAAACTTGAGCGCCACGTCCAAGCCGCAACTGAGCAGAGCACAGCCCAAAGCATGAAGCTGCTTGGTGCTCTTGTTTCCAGCTGCTGCTGGTGGCTGCTGGTTCCTGAATTAGCTTGGATTCAGTTGGATTCAATGGGCGTAGACTGCTACAGCATGCTCTCTCGCCTAGATACACGCCCTTTGCCTGTCTGCTGCTGGAGCGGCACGTACTGCTACCCGCAGCTTATATGGGGCCAAGGCTTACACTGACGTACATGTACGTTCGTGCAGGTGACATTTTGCCCATGCACGTCTCCCAACAAACAACGCCCAGCGTCTAATGGCTGTTTCTTTCCAGCTGTATGAGCTGGTGATGTCAATAGCCCACGCGTATTACCTACATCGACTTTTCTCAGCCACCAGTAATAGAAACATTTATTAGCGAATTGCTGCGTAACCAACAGCTGCTGAAAATCTACACATATCCATTCTGTGTTCACGCTGCTATTTCTGGGCATGTGGTTGATCTAGATCTCGTGGAAGGGTCGTGGATGGCGGTTACCTCGAGCCACGTTCATTCCTTCCAGTCGTGTAGTACCTGCACCAAGGTACTATTCTCAGCATTTAGTAAATCCTCAGGCACAAAATTCGGGCATTAATGCGGCGTGCTGTCCTTGATCCCGGAACCTTGCACTTCACCGCCAACAGCCTGGAAATGAACGAATCATCCACAGCCTCATGACAGTAACGGACTTGTCCACAAGCCGTCTTCAGGGTAGCTGACTCTGTCTGCTGTAGTAGCCATTGAAGCAAACCAAGCTCTTCCCGAAAACCCCCTTTACAGCAATAAAGGGATATGCAGCCATCACCATGACCGCTTCCCAACCCCATACCCGGTCGGCCTTCTCCGAATATTCTACATCCACGTCAAAGGAGTACCATTCAGGGGATTTTTTAAGCATTTGCCAGTCGGGTAGCGCAATGCCTCTCCTGGAGATGCAAACCACGGCTTGATGTGGCGTCATCATGTTCAATACCAGGCAATCCAAGCCTCGTGGTGCAGGGGGCTTGTGTTGCCCCTAGCCACGACATGTCAATCAGCATGGCGGGCAGCCTGGAAGGGGGAGCACAGTATTGCGCCTTCACGGCATGGCAATGTGCATATGTGAGTTGCACATGCCGCAGCATTATGTTTGCCCTCTAACCCAGACCTACTATTTACGACTCCATACTGTGCTACATTGGGACGGATATGACCGTTCAATCGCCTATCTGCTAGGAAGTGGTAGCCTCGGAGATTCTACTCGGCCCGCTCCCATAATAAACGGTCCCAAAGATCTGGATGTTACTAGCTAATGTAACGAAATCGAAAGGTGGTTGTCAATCTGCTCAGCAACAGTCGATACTACAGTGACACGAAAGGATGAATGGGGTGGAGTGGTACAAAGCACCAATTATAAGCTTTGGTGTCGATATCATGAGCCGCTCCTAATGATGCCTTGTGAAAGAATGGCGATGAGCTAATCTAGACTATCCGCACAGACATCACAATCTATCATGCTCCCGAAGGAGGCGAGATGCCTACTCTGCGAACTGACAATTACAGCAAGGCTTCCCTCCCTTGGTACCCGCGTTTGCCAGACGAGTCGTTTGCGACACTCAACCTATGCGACGGCTTGCGGATACATGCACCTTGCAGCTGCAACTCCGTTGTTACACAAAGCCCAGCATGCCAAAAACTACCGGTGCCATCGGCGAGAAGCGAGCAATACCTCTGCTACCTACTTGCCGAGAATCCATATCAGATGCAACGTGCCTGAAGCATCAAGGGCTGGGCTGGCCAGATTTGTTTCTGGCAAGGCTATCCTATTCTACAACCAAAGTATGGAGTGTGAGAACCAGGTTCCAGGCACCGTGCAAAGAACGAAACAGCCAAGATTGTGCTCGGCAATACTTTCTGCAACGAAACGCTTGGACCGCTTCACCCCTGATGTTTATGCGTGCCGTGGCATTCCGTCGAAGCTTTCTAGAATGCGCTTGTCTAAAATTGGCATTTCCCCACAGTCTCCATTCATTCTCGAAACAAAGGAGACGGGACCATTTTGACAGTGCGGATTTCACTTGACCCGTGTTTTCCGTGAGGCTCTTGGTGAAGCACAAGGGTGCCTGACTAGCAGTCTTCTTCAACAAACCAGGGAGGCATGTTGTTCAAAGTACATCGCCGATCGGTCCGTTCCACTCAAACTTCGGCCAACTGTCGCCTCTCTGCCCGTCCGCAGGAGCACACAAGGCCCCGGCACGGCTCTACTCTTGACACGCAGCGGAGCACACTTCGCAGGCCGGAAACGCATCCGTTATTGCCAGCGGCGTTGGTCTCGCGGCGGAGGGGGCAACCCAAGAGTCAAAAGCAGCCATGTCAAGGCAGCAGTATGAGTTTGAAGGAGACCGAGCACTTGATCCCCCTTGACCGGCCGGCATAGTGGCGCATCGGTACCGTCGCCCGAGCAGTACCGATCATATGCCATTATCTCGGCTCCATGCCGGACCGCAACCGCGGCGTTCGCATGTGCTGGTGCTACATGCTCCAGAATAGAGGTAGATTCGCGTATACGGAGGCGCTACTCTGCATCGCCATTTGAAATGGAGTGTACAGCACAGAGTACAGAATGCAGAGTGTCACGGTTGAGGCATGGGAGACCCTGACAGGCACTATGGCCTGGACTTTGCATAGACTGCTTTTCGTGCGTTGGCCGAACTTTTACAAAGAAATGCTAATCAGCAATCAATCATAATTTCGCCTATGAACTGGCTTGGAGTGTCAGCGGTCATCAAAACAACACACTACAAGCACCTGATTCTTCAAGCTTCCAACAACCTTCCATAGCCCAGACGCACGTTTACTCACGTACCATGTTCACGCCAACGCACAGGTACATGAAAGTAGGTACATATTCATGCGGAATCCCCATCCTTGCACGCCCCCGCCGCTTGTGATCGGTCATGTGGATTTGGAAATACCTACGCCTGGCAGAATCTTGAGCGGAAGGCTGTTGCACCCTGTCAGCCACTTTGGCGGAACCCTTGTTCGCGGTAATACTTGTAAGGCGATACTGACAGCTGCGAGTAGCTCCATTGTCAGCCGCTCTATTGTCAGCCTGCGATCTACTTGTAGGTACTGGGTCCCAGCCTATGAATTGCTACAGCAATACGGGTAATGTTACTATGTATCCGTACTGGTACAGTAATATCCTAATTCTGCTACTAGATGGTAGCGTTGTTGCTAGTACTGGCATAGCTTAGGAATCGATCCCCTGTCCCGGATGCCTTTCCGCTGGCTGATGAGATGAGGAAAGGAAGAAAACAAAGCAAGGCCCTGTGGTTGGTTACCAACTTTTGGGAATAGCGGGAATAGCCCAGCTGTCATCAAATGAAACAACCCGGAAGTCATCAGTAGCAACTGCGGCTTGCTAGCGGGCTAGAGCAAATTTACAGGCAATTTCACCGAGTCGTACTCGTACAGCACAACACGCACTCTTGTTAAACGAGCAAAAGCCACGGCCTCATGAGGGCGCTTTCTTAACCCAATTCATCTGCACTGCTGCACGACGACGAGTCAGGATCATGAGAGCCAGCATCGGCCTGTTCGCCGCAGAGCACGGAGCGGTATTGCGGAGCACGGCAATGCGCCTGGTACATGCCGAGCGGTATCGCCGCGTTCGCCTCGCCGCATCTTGAGCTGATAGATGGAGCCGGAGAAAATGCCAGGCTTTGCCTTGGATGGAACCTTGTTTTCGTTTCTTCATCCGCCTCTCCTTGGGCTGTATTCCATGCATGTCCTGGCAATGTTTATGCCTCTGCTTGCTAAAGAGTTTTGGTCAAGGGGTCAAGGGGTCCAACGATGCAGTTCAGCGAGAGAGAATGTATGAGTATGAATGTTTCGGATTGTGGCCGTTAGTAGCAGGGCAGCTACAGCGGTGCATCTCAAACGGCGCCGAGTTATTAGCCACGTCACGGGTTTGTCGAGACCCCCTGTCATGAGTGTTTCTTCAAAGAATGGGGTGATTCATACGCCACCGTCACCGGTTTTGCTCAATAGGCGTACAGGGCGCTCTCAGCCAGAGACGACGCAGCTCTACAGGGACACTGGCTCCTTCACGCTCATGTGCAACTTCCACAACTCAAGACGCCATGTGGAAATCGTTCTGACAGGCGAGCAATATCTCCTATTGAATCCACAACACATGGCAGGTCAGGTCAGGCAAGTCCCACGAGCACGTTTGCCTGGAGAATGGATCCACCCGCCCATCACGGTGGATGTGGATGGTGATGGCACCGGGGAGCTCTTCCGCTGGAAATTCGTCCCGAGCAACGATTGTTTAGCGTTGGTTCAATCAGCTAGAAGGGAAAAGAGAAACGAGAGCAGACGGCCCTTTACAGGCCAACGGATCTGGACTTTGGTCGGAGGCCACCCAGCGCGCGGCTGAGCTCGCTGGCTGGCAGCCGTCGGCCATAACAGCCCCATGCAGACAAGGGGCCTGAATGAAGGCCGACTCGCTTAGATGGGCTAGGCATTATTAATGTGGAATGTTACAGAATGGAACGAATCAATCGTTGCCTTCTGGAAGCCCCTTTGATCGCCTGTCACGATCTATCTATATCGGCGGCATATTGCTGCTAGTAGCATTCCTAGCTACTGGTAGATGCTATATGTTTCCACGGTCAGGTGCTACGACGCTGTATCCCGAGTGTCCGGATTCAATCTCGGTACCAGACGATGCTTCTTAGGAAGGTCTGAGCGAAGCAAATTTAAATTTGATGGAACCTCAAAGGACGGGATGCGTAGGACTGATCCTAATTTACAGCAGACAAAAGTGCTTTGGACCTGGCATACCGCATTCGGCACCCTCCAACTACTTCGGGCTTGCATAGTAAGCAGACAGCTCGACAGAGAGCTTGCGAAGCAAATTCGCACATGCAAGGCCGGCCTTGCGAGAAGACAAAAACCACAGGATTCTCAACACGCCACCTCACATGGAATCTCATGCCATCTGTCGTGCGACTTCGGGACTGACGCCGAGGTTGAGCAGAGAGGTGTCGCCAACGGTGAGGCACGGACTATTCGTCAGTAGGAGTCTTTGTGCATCTATCGGGAATTATCAACGTGGTTCGATATTTTTCTTAAGCGATAGACCTTGGGCGAGACTTGATGCTAGAGGGAAAGGGCTGCCTCCTGATGTTGGGAGAGCCTCGGCGCCGTTGATGCAGTTCAATCGGATGCCATGTGTGTGAGAGAGAATGTTGCAGTTGGACCATTACTTGCACGAGTATGAGTAGTGCTACAAAATATCTCAGCAGCGAGTGCTACGTAATCCTGTATTCTGTAAGCAACGAAACGATTGTTTGAGGATGCGGATACGGATACGCCTTTATACGAAAACTGTAAGTTGAGGATTGCTATAGGGTAGCTTTGGACGGATGCCAACTTGGAAGAATTCAGAGGCGTTTCGAGCTATGAGTGATAACAATTATCGATTTGGCATTGGATATTGTGATATTGAAAAACGGAATGCTGTTTTGAGGAGGCCTACTACCAGAGTTGTAACTATTGATAAGAAAATCGTATTTTGGTTGGCCATCCACATCTGTGGGAAGAGTCTATGAGAAAAGGCTGTTGAATAAGGGTGCTGGCGGGAAAAGCAATAAGAAGAAGGAAAGAATTATTGCCCAATATCACAATCTCGTTTTTATGGCCATTCAAATTTTACGATTGAAATCGGTATGGAATTCGGCTGGTTCGGCCTACTCATTCGATTTACACTGCTGGATTATCGTGAAATGAAGTAGATGGAGACCATGATCCGGTACTTTTCCTACTTTCTTAGTCACTTCTCAGTGTGGATTTAGACAGCTGAAAAAGACTCTCAATGGGCTTGAAGGGACCATTGGCATATGAAGTCTTGTCTCTGTATTTCGTATATAGGAGGTATTCTTCTCCTATATCCCTAATGAGTTGTGGATGAGGCGGCTGTGCTCTAGAACAAGTTGAAGAGCAGCTGCCGTATTTTTGAAACAAAAGTCTCGTATCCAAGATGAATCTACAGCATTCATATCCAGTATTTCATTGCATTACTGTCTTTATTCGGTAATTCCATGTTGTTGCAATTCATGGCATTCTCAGATATCAGTTAGCCAAGTACATTGATCAAGCCCACTCTGCGTAAGAACTAGGAGTATCCCGCTAACGCGCATCTCCCCCACAGCCCCTCCACCCGTGACGCAGCATCATCACCAACCAGCGCCCGAGCTTCCACATCCGCCTTCCAGAGCTCCAGCCTCTCAATCCGCTTCTCCACGATAACGAACGCCTCCTTTCTTCTCACCACCTTTTACCACCGAATAGCCGTATCCTCTCCCTGAAACACGCATAAAGAGAACTTCACCTAACAAGGCTTTCCCCGCCAGCCATGTCAATCATCCAGCAACACACCGCCGCAACGCTCGGCGACGCCTGGCGCACCGTCAACATCGACATCCTCAACGAGGACTCGAGCGTCAACTTTGACACGTCGACGCTGCACCCGCCGCAGCCCGAGATCAGCGAGGCCGACGTGCGCAATCTGTCGACGCAGGTGCGGCAGCTGCTGCGGGGGGGCGATGCGGAGGGTGCGCTGAGGGGATGCCTGGAGACGCCGGTTTACAACGGGGTGGATGCTGCAAAGGTATTTCTTCTCGTTTGCTGATTTGGATATACATGTGTGTGTGAGAAAATATGCTGATGGGCACGGATTGTCGTAGGAGGCGCATTTGCAGACCATCATCGAGGTGCTGCAGTCCATCAAGGCGAGCGACATGACGCCGCTGCTCAAGGGCGTCTATGCGTCCCCCGGCGGAAGCGAGCTGCTCGACGTGCTCATGAAGTACATGTAAGGCTTGATCGAGCGCATATATAATGATGATATGTCAAAAAAATCAAAAAAAGCTGACAGCATTACCTTCCAGCTACAAGGGCATGGCCGTCGGCGCTCCCGCAACCACCGGCCTCAAGTCCCCCGCGAAGATGACCCCTCAGTCCACCGGCTTCAGCCAGGTCGGCTCGCGCCCCGGCGTTGCCAACGAGTCCGCGTCGGCGGCCATGAGTGTCTTGTTGAGCTGGCATGAGAAGTTGGTGGAGGTTGCTGGGCTGGGATGCATTGGCCGGACAATGACCGATTGGCGAAGAGTATAAAGGAAGAAGAAGAGCAAGGGGGGTAGGGTAGCTGATGCTGCTGGGACAAGTGTTGAAAGGAGAGAGGGGGAAGATTGATTATTGCAAAATTTTGAGTGTATAGAAGCGGTATGAAGGGAGCCCAAGGTGTTTGGCTTTTCTTTACTTTACAAATGGGAGCAAATGGCTATGAAAATTTCATGGTATAATGGTCATCCAATGGCTGGCTGGCTGAGATATATCTTTTTTAAAAAAAAAAATCCATCATGTATTCATGCATGTGGTATATATATATGTACCTGTCTTACTACTCTTTCTTTTCCAGAATATCCTTCAGATTCGTCTGGCCACTTCCTCTAGCCAGGGGCTGCGGCTGGTCCTCTCCCTCACGCCAGCCAATCATGTATATAATTCTAAACGTTGCAGGAATAGATCCGTCTGGATTGCCGTGCAAAGACCGGTAGATGGCATCGTTGGCAAGCAGAACGTCTCTCTGGATGGGGCCCATCTCGCGGTTCAGGATGGCGTTGCTCTCGCCCATTGCCTGCAGGTCCTGCATCAGGGCAAACGTATCGGGGTAGTCGACAATGATGTCGTCAACGTCCACCGTCAGCATCTTGAAGCCTGCTTTCTGAAGCAGGCCGCCAACGTCTCGCACATCAGCCAGCGGCGAGACGTGCGGGGACATGCCGCCTCTTCGTTCCTGCTCTGCCAGCTGCAGGGATGTCCGTAGCTCGTACAGCGTGTCGCCTCCAAGCATTGCGCCGATAAAAGGGCAGTCTGGCTTGAGGATGCTGTTGATCTGGGATAGTACGCCGGGGAGGTCGTTGATCCAGTGCAGGCTTAGAGAGCTCAGAACAAGGTCAAAGGACTCGGGCTCAAAGGGAATTGTTTCTTCATCGTCTACTACCTGGCGTGTCAAGGAGATTTTGTCGTTGAACTCCTGGTCGGCGTCTCTGTAGAGCCTGGCCTCGGAAGAATCAGTCGCAATGAGTTCGCCGATGCGGGTCGAGAGAGGTGGTGACTCGGTGACGTCGGGATCGGGGTCGGGGTTCTCGCGCACGAGGGCTTTTGCAACATTGCATGAATTGGCGCCGAGGTCGAGAGCTCGGGGGAAGTGTCGCCTTATATCCTGAACAGGGTGTTATCAGTATAAAGCTTTTTTTTTTTTTTTTTTTTAGGATGAGATGACGGGGTATTTCAACTTACAAGAAGTCTCTCTGTCAGCCGGATAGCCGCCTCATCCTTGAGATAGTCTGCTATCCGGCTCTCTTCGAGATTGGAAGCTGCGCGCTCTTTCTGCAGCCATTTTGCCCGTCGATTGAAGACTTGGAATCGTGTCGCTCCCGAGGCGACTGCATAAAAGCGACGAGGGGCAGCAGCTTCAGCGACGAATTGGTTGCTGCTGCGCGGGGCCAGCCTCGTAAGGCTGCTTTTTCCCCAGCTCATGAATGCGGACGGGCGCACACACGTGGACATGACATGCTCATCCACCGCCTAGAATCCAGAGCGGGAGGAATGGATTGTGTGCATGCAACTTGCGAGAAGCTGGAGTTGAGCTTTTCGAAGAAGAAGCTAGCAGTGACGTACTAACAATGTGCATGTATTGACCCAATTTAGCAGCGCAGTGCACCCGGCTGTGGTTTTTTTCTTCAAGAGTTGCAGGCGCACGGGCCACGCGACCACAGGGTCCTCGACAGCGCAAACCGCTGCGAGCTATCGGCGTTTATAGTGGCCATCACCCGCTACGGGATACTGGAGCTCCTGGGGCCCTCTCCTAATCAGGCGCTGCTCCACGCAAGGAACCAAATGGCCCTCTATCAAGGCCTTCGACCTTCTCCCGAGCCGCCCGTGAGACGCGACACCCAGTGCCTTGCATCTCACAACTCGTGGCCAACGCTGGTCTGGACAATCCGCCGTTCCTTTGGCACCGCCGCTCGTGCACAATCCGCCGCGCCCTCATCAACCTCGCTGCTGCCCTGTTTTTTTCAGCGGTCCGTAGGCTGTACCGTAGCAGCCGCCAGCATTCCTGCCAGCCAGAGCGCCAGTCGCAGTGGGCGATTACACATCCAGATCCCGCCGAAGCCTCGCGACGCCGTCGATGCTCGCCGCATAAAGCCAACCCGACGAACTGAATCCGCCTGACTATGCGATCCCCCCGATAGGCGATTGGTGTCCGGCATCAGCTGCTGCAAATATTCAAATCCCGCGACAACTGCTTCGCAATTTAATCTGCCTCTAATCAAACGGAGCAAGCTATAATACAACAAGAAAAATCCGGAAAAAAAGGGGCGAGCGCGCGCCCAGCTTTAGAGAGACTCGACGAATCAAACCTCCAACATGTCGTCGTCTGCGTCCGGCTGGATTGGCCGCTCCAGCAGCAGCAATGCTAATATGCGAGGCCTGGTGCAATTCATTGCTGATTTGCGAAACGCTCGTGCTCGCGAGTTGGAGGAGAAGCGAATCAACAAGGAGCTAGCCAACATCCGACAAAAGTTCAAGGATGGCAACCTCAGCGGCTACCACAAGAAGAAATATGTCTGCAAGCTGCTTTACATCTACATCCTGGGCTGGAACGTCGACTTTGGGCACCTCGAGGCTGTGAATCTGATCTCTGCGAATAAATACTCGGAGAAGCAGATTGGCTATCTGGCCATGACGCTGTTCCTCCATGAGAAGCACGAGCTGCTCCATCTTGTGGTCAACAGCATTCGGAAGGATCTCCTTGACCACAACGAGCTCTTCAACTGTCTCGCTTTGCATGCCATTGCCAATGTTGGAGGCCGCGAAATGGGAGAGGCCCTCAGCGGGGAGGTGCACCGATTGCTTATTTCTCCGTAAGTCCCGATGTATACTGTACCGATGGTGAGACGGGAAGCTGACTGACTGATGCCATTTAGGACTTCCAAATCGTTTGTCAAGAAAAAGGCCGCCCTGACTCTACTACGACTGTACCGAAAGCACCCGGGCATCGTGCAGCCCCAGTGGGCCGAACGACTAATCCACCTGATGGACGACGATGATTTGGGCGTTGCGTTGTCCATTACCTCTCTCGTCATGACCCTGGCTCAAGACGACTTGGAACAGTACAAGGGCGCCTACTCCAAGGCTGCTGCTAGGCTTAAGCGTATCTTGATTGATGGAGAGTACACCACCGACTACCTGTATTACAAGGTCCCTTGCCCCTGGCTCCAGGTCAAGCTTCTGCGGCTGCTGCAATACTTTCCTCCTTCGGGTATGTTGAATCTGTCTCCTGTATGATTATGTGACTATGCGCAGTGACTAACCCATCACTAAATAGAGGACACCCATGTGCGCGAGCTTATCCGAGAGTCTCTGCAAAAGATTCTCAACCTGGCCATCGAGTCAAGCAAGAACGTGCAGCAGAACAATGCCCAAAATGCCGTGCTCTTTGAGGCCATCAATCTGATTATCCACTTGGACACTGAGCAGGACTTGATGAAGCAGATTTCTTCTCGCCTTGGACGGTTCATCCAGAGCAGAGAGACCAATGTTCGATACCTGGGACTCGAAGCCATGACCCACCTTGCCGCGAGATCTGAGAATCTCATACCAATCAAGCAGCATCAGGACATCATCTTGAGCTCTCTCAAGGACCGTGATATCAGTGTCCGCAGAAAGGGTCTTGACCTTCTTTATAGCATGTGCGACTCCACAAACGCTCAGGTTGTGGTAGGCGAGCTTTTGCAATTCCTTCAGAACGCGGACTTTGCCATCCGTGAGGAGATGGTACTTAAGATTGCCATTCTTACGGAAAAGTACGCCACCGACGTCCAGTGGTATGTCGATATATCCTTGCGACTCATCGCCATGGCTGGTGATCACGTCAGCGATGAAGTGTGGCAGCGAGTCATCCAGATTGTGACCAACAACGAGGAGCTCCAGGTATACGCTGCTCAGACTGCGCTTCAACATGTGAGGTCTGACCACTGCCACGAGACGTTGGTCAAGATTGGCGCGTACATTCTCGGAGAGTTTGGTCATCTTGTTGCGGATCAACCGCGCTGCAGCCCCATTGAGCAGTTCCTGGCTTTGCAGAGGAAGCTGTCGGCATGTTCGTCAAGCACACGCGCCATGATTCTTTCATGCTTCATCAAGTTTGTCAACTTGTTCCCTGAAATCAAGCCTCAGCTCGTCCACGTCTTCGAAATTTACAGCCATACGCTAGATTCCGAGCTGCAGCAGAGAGCTTGTGAATATCTGAAATTGGCCACGCTGCCATCCGATGATCTTCTTCGGACATTGTGCGATGAGATGCCCCCGTTTCCCGAAAGAGAGTCGGCATTGCTGTCTCGTCTGCATCAAAAGCACGCCAACACCAGCGACCGGCGGACATGGGTTGTCGGCGGCAAGTCTGCCAATACCGAGGCAGAGCTCAACATGGCCAAGCCTGGTGGTCTCAAGAGGACGTTTAGTTCCGCTGTCCCGCCCAACGGGAACAAGGCCAATGGTGTAAACGGAAGTCATGCCAATGGCGTCTCTGACCTGGCCGGGCTGGACATGAACTCGCCAACGGGCGAACAAAAGCCTTTCAAAGCACCAAACCTGGCTAGCGCTGCTCATCTTTCTCCTGGCTGGGAGAAGGGCTTCAACAGGCTCTTGCTAAAGGCTGAAGGAGTCTTGTACGAGGATGGCCAGGTTCAGATTGGCGTCCGGTCAGAGTACCGCGGACAGATGGCTTGCCTCATTGCGTACTTTAGAAACAAGAACCCGGGGACCATCACGTCCTTTACCACTACGCTAGATTTGGACGAGAGTGAAAAGAGCAATCTCTCCTGGGACGTAAAGGGCCTCCCCGAGAGCACGCTTGGACAAGGGTCCCAAACTCAGCAGGTCATCATGTTTGAAGCAAAGAAGATTTTTGAAAAGAGCCCAACCATTCGAGTCAGCTATCTGGCTGGTGCGTTGCAGGCACTGACGCTAAAGCTTCCGGTTACTATCCACAAGTTTATGGACCCTGCAGACCTTTCTGCTGAAGATTTCTTCAAGCGCTGGAAGCAAATTGGAGGCGGTGGCCGAGAAGCGCAGGAAATCTTTGGCCTCTCTGGCAGCAGGAACGGCGCCAGGGAGATGACGGAGAGATTCGTGGCGGCAACGGTCGAGGGCTTCAGATGGCGTCTCCTTGATCTGGTTGACCCCAACCCCAAGAACGTAGTCGGTGCCAGCGTGCTTCACACCTCGGAGGGAGGCAAGTTTGGCTGTCTTATGCGCCTGGAGCCCAACTACACCACACAAGTAAGTAATTTTGACATCTTTCCTACACCCACCTGTTGTGTTTCATCTCTTCGATATGATGCTTTGCAAAAATTAGTATTTGCTACTTCAGAACCTTCGGGTCATGAGACAAACTTTATTCACCTTTGCCCTGATCATCGATCTTCTCTCTTCCTGTTGTTGATACACTCTGAATGGTTTCGCGAGATGAATACGTTGCTAACATGGTGATACCAAAGATGATCCGATTGACGGTCCGAGCCACCGATGAATCAGTCCCTCGGATCCTCGTCAAGCTCATGCAAGAAAGGCTCTGCGTCGGAGTGTCAACACAGCCCGAGAGACACGAGAACCCGACACGGCAAGACATTTCTGATGCTTTTGGAAGTGTAATGGTTAACTAATTGCCATTATTACTACTGCTATTCTCCTTTTTTTGGGACTGGACATATTTTCTTTTTTACTGAAATATGTTTGGCAACCACAACCACATGACTGACTGGGAAATGTCTTGACACGCATGGAAGCATATTGGGCGTTTTTTGGGAGAGAGAGAAAGCGTGATGGACGAGAAAGAAAAGATATCAAAAGTGCGTGGACGAGATATTTTCTTTCTTTTTTTTGAAAGCCGGCGATGGACGAGATTGAAGGCAAAACTCTTTCTTGGTTTTCTCTATATGTAATTTAGTATATTTCTTGCCTTTCTTCCTATGAAAGCGGCTGTCTTTTTTCTCTTCTTCTCCTTTTATCAAACGAAAGTTGTAACATATGATGATGGCTATGAGAGGGCGAGTAGGAGGATCCTGTTGTCGATACCACCTTTTAGTGTTACTTATTTATTTAGTAATTTTTTTCTACCTTTGAGGCTCATTCGATCGACTGTTTGAACGTAACTACCTAGCCATCCATAACATCCATGACTAAAATTTCCAATGTCAATCGTAAGATTAGTATAAACTGTACGTGTATTCAAATTATATATATATTTTTTTTTTCCTGCTTTTTGTACTGTTTTATATGTCTACCTACTCCTTTATCTTGGCATCCGACTTGGCCGGTCTCTGTCCAAAGATGGTACTGCCAACCCTCACTTCGCTGCTTCCCTGAGCAATAGCTCCTTCGAAATCCTCGCTCATCCCCATGCTCAGCTCCAGGCTCTCGGGACTCAGTCCGAGTTCCTTGGCCACCAAATCCCTCTGCTCTCTCAAGGCCTCAAAGTCTTCATTCTCGTTTTCCGCAGTGGTGGCCTGGCTACGAGCAATGGCACCAATGGTCATGAGGCCGAGGAGGTTGAGGCCAGGCAGATTCTGGGCAATCTCACGGCAGAGAGAAACGGTGTCCGCACCGGGACTGCAGCCGGACTTTGCCTCCTCGCCAGAGGTGTTGACCTGGACGTGGATGTTGAGCTTTGGCAGGTCCGGGATGGACGTCCGCGCCGAGTTGAGCAGCTGGGCCTTTTTCAGGGAGTCGACGCTGGAGACGCAGAAGAGGTTTGGGATCTTGGCGAGGTTCTTGCAGTGGCCGGACTGGAGGCCGCCGATGAAGTGCCAGTGGATGGTTCGGGGCAGCAGGTCTGCCTTTTGGGAGAGTTCCTGGGCGTAGTTTTCGCCAAAGTGGGAGTGGGAGGCGGGTGTTTGGTGGAGGGCGAGGATGTCGT